TTGGTAGGTCTGGTACTCGGGCGCTTATACCGTGCAGACGGCGACAATCGCAGCGGACACTGGACGCGTCGACCCTCCCTTGGGTTCACCTGGTAAGCCCAAACCTCAACATCCCCTTTGCAGAGATTGAATGCATGTAGGCTGGTATAACAACGCCACCGCTGGCATTGCCAGCCCCGTCATCATAGATGGGGCCAAACGCGGACGGTACGCACCCGCCCTCCCTCAGAAACCCATACCCCTCATCCTAGCTCATTTTTAGCGCGATCTGGCTCGGCGACATGGATATCGCCGTGCCTACCCAGTTCGTCTCCACGTACGACCTTCTCCCCGGTAGGAACTCCATCGCGACTATCTTCTCGCTCATGACCGCCGCGGGCGAGCTGCCGTACTCCGGGCCGCCGTTGAGCGAGCAGGGCAGTGATACGTACGCGGCGTGGACGCTCATTGGGACGTACAACTATTACTTGTACTCGGGCGACCTTGAGTTTATCGAGGAGCTGTGGGGAAATTACACGAAGGCTATGGAGTACCTGGCGGCGAAGGTGGACGAGACGGGTTATTGTATGTGACGGGGACTGGGGACTGGGGGAGGCTGTGGATGGGAGGATATAACTCGGAGGCGAACGCGATTTACTACCAGGTGAGTGTCGAAGCCGTCTATTCTCGAGATGTGCTGAGCGGGTGACAGGCACTCTTGAACAGCGCGCAGCTCGCGACATGGCTCAACGACACTGACCTCGCGGACGCCTACTCCGCGAATGCAACGAAGCTGAAGGCGGGGTTCAACGACGCGTTCTGGGACGACGACGTCGGAATGTACCGTGACAACAAGACGTCCACACTATACCCGCAGGACGGCAACGCGGTTGCGGTGCTGTTCAACCTCACGACCTCCGCAGACCAGGCATCCAGGATCAGTGAAGGTCTTACGCAGTATTGGAACGAGTATGGCGCGGTTTCGCCTGAGCTTCCGGATAACGTAGCGCCGTTCATTGGTGGCTTCGAGGCGAGTGACTCGTAGGATCTGGTATAGCCACAAAGGAACGTGCTGACTTTCATGAAGGTCTCCGCCCACTTCGCGTCTGGCAACGACGAGCGCGCGCTTGATCTTATCCGACTGGAATGGGGATACATGCTCAGCACCAACATCAGCGTGCACTCCACGTTCCTCGAAGGGTACACGTCCAACGGATCCCTGTAGTGAGTCCCACACCCCACGCACATCCGCACCCACAGGACTGCTGTTGACCAATACGCTGATAGCTACCGGTCCTACGATGGCTACGCATACGACCCGACCTTCATCAGCCACTCGCACGGCTGGAGCACCGGCCCCACCTCCGCACTCACGTTCTACGTCCTCGGCCTGACCGTCACCTCGCCCTTGGGTCAGACGTGGTCCGTCGCGCCGCATACATCGGGACTGCCGTCGGCCCAGGGTGGGTATAGCACTACGCTTGGCTGGTTCGGCGTTGACTGGACCTCCGCCGCGAGTGGATTCAATATTACCATCTCGACGCCAGAAGGGACCAGCGGCACCGTGAAGCTGCCGATCACTGGGACGGTCTATGTGGATGGTGTCGAGGTTGGCGAAGATAGCTCGGAAGCCTTCGAGCTGCCTGGCGGAAATCACACTGTCGTGGTGGAGAGATGAAGCCTGAAGAATGGACATAGTATGTGACTCGCTGTCGCTATTGAACGCCGTGGTACGCAGGGCATGCACAAAAATGCTGCAGTGCATCGTGATACGTTCTGCATACTTCGCAAGATGCGCAGCCTCCATGGATTTCTTGCGGGTAGCGGTCTCTTGACCGCGTCTTTGCCCGTGACCATCAGCCATCAAAACATGAAATATCCCGGAACCCACGCTGAGCAGCTGACCCCGATGAGGCTTTCCACGGCCAACAGTGCGTCAGCGGACATACACGTCCGTTACGACCACCTACAAGCACACATCTACCGTTCTTCACACTCGCGAACGTTACGGGAACTGCTGACCGGTCCTGCGCTCGAATGACCAAAAGCTAAAGGCTGGCGGGCCGTTGATTTTTGCAGCGATCCGGGCCACCGCTTCGTCTCGATGTCATGGGTTGCATGACTTATGCAGGATGACGACGGCGAGCTATAAGGCTCAGGATGACGAGAGAGGTGGGGAACTCACTGCCGGTCCACGATGGCACTGGGACGAGTGCTGGGTCTGCTGCTGTTGACGGCACCTGCTCTGGGAACGGCACCGAGCGGTCCGTGGGACACGTTCAACTTCGCGCCGCCGTCTAGGACTGTCCACGCTCGTTATGTTCGCGAGACTGGTGGCAATATCACGGGAGCGGCTAACCTGTTGTCTGAGGGTAGCGCGACTTTGAGCGGGACTGCCTCTTATGTGACACTTGATTTCGGTTACGAGGTGAGTAGTGTATCTTGAGCGACCCACAATGCCTGAATGCCCTCTTAGGTCGGGGGATGGGTGTACCTCAACTTCGACGAAGTCTCCGATGGTTCCTCTATCACGCTCTCCTTCACAGAGTCGCCGCTCTTCATCAGTCCGTTCAACTCAGACGACTCGTCCTACCCATCCGCGAACATGTCCTACGACGGCGTCCTCCACGTCTCGGCGCCCCTCGAGACTGGCATATGGACACAGCCTGCTGCCCAGCTGAGGGGAGGCTACCGTTTCCTCACCATTGCGTCTACATCGGATAGTGCGGTGTCCATATCGAATGTCTCGTGCGAGATTTCGTTTATGCCTCATGTGGAGGACATGAGGAACTACTCTGGCTACTTCTTTGCTTCAGACCCAGACTATGTCGACCAGAACTTCCTCACCAGGGTTAGTTTGCTGTCATTCGAGTTCCGAGTGGCTACTGAAAACTGGTTACAGTTGTGGTACTCTGGTGCCTACACGGTGCAGACCGGCACAGTGCCATTGGACACAGGACGACAAGTCCCGATTGTCCCGTCGCCAGGTATGCTTGCTAGTATCTTGAGTGTGTGCGATTGAAAATTAAATTGAAGGCGACTAGGTTGGGCGAACAACGCCACGCTCGGTATAGCAGGTCCCATTATCGTAGATGGTGCCAAACGAGATCGGTGAGTAATATAATAGCTCGCACGTCCACTCCGAGTCTGTACTGACTACTTGCATAGCGCCGTCTGGCCAGGTGCAACTACCCCTTGGCGGTCTGCAGTGATATTACTAACTCGAGCACAGGTGATATGGGCATCGCCGTGCCCACCCAATTCGTTTCGACCAACGACCTCCTCCCGACGCGCAACGCGCTCTCCACTATGTTCGCCGCACTCAACCCCGAGACCGGCGCGTTGCCCGAGTCGGGCCCGCCGCTCAGCCAGCAGGGCAGCGACACGTACCACGGCTGGACGCTCATCGGGACGTACAACTATTTCCTCTACTCGGGCGACTACGAGTGGCTCGAGGATACGTGGAGCAACTACACCAAGGCGGTGGCGTACTTGACGAGCAAGGTGCAGAGCAATGGGCTGCTGAACGTCACCGGGCTGAGAGATTGGGGCAGGCAGGGGCAGGGTGGGTTCAACTCGGAGGCGAATGCGATTTATTACAAGGTGAGGGGTTGCCATGAAGGTGATCTGAGAGCTGGGCAGCTTACGTGCGTTGCTGTGTAGCTCCTGACCAATAGCGTCGACCTTGCAACCAGGCTGAACGACACTGTATGGCGGAGGCGTATGCTGCGAACGCTTCGGCCCTCAAGACTACGTTCAATGACGCGTTCTGGTTGGAAGACGAGGGGATGTACCGCGACAACCTAACGTCGACGCTCTGTCCGCAGGATGCGAACTCACTTGCTATCTTCTTCAATATCACGGAGACGGCGGAACAGGTCGCATCTATTAGTGATGGACTGACGAAAAATTGGGGCATGTATGGGTCGATCGCTCCCGAACTGCCCGACACTGTCGCGCCATTCATCGGCGGCTTCGAGGTGAGACAGTCGGAACCGAGTTGGCATGTTGGAGGCTCAGTGAATTCGGCAGCTGCAAGCACATTTCATAGCAGGCAACGACGCACGGGCCATGGACCTGCTTCACCGGGAGTGGGGATACATGCTGTACACGCCCATCAGCGTGCAATCGACGCTGCTCGAAGGATACACCGGCAACGGGTCGCTCTAGTAAGCCAACATCAACTCTTCACAAAGGGTCGCATCCATATACATGTGTGCTCTAGCTACCGCTCGTACCAAGGCTACAACTACGACCCCTCATACACCAGCCACGCACACGGATGGAGCTCCGGGCCTACGTCAGCGCTGACTTTCTACGTCCTCGGCCTGCAGGTCACTTCGCCGCAAGGCCAGACGTGGTCCGTCGCTCCGCACACGTCCGGACTGCCCTGCGCCGAGGGTGGTTTCGAGACGCCGCTTGGATGGTTCGGCGTCGACTGGGCCTCGAAGGAGGGTTGGTTCAACATCACGATCGACACGCCAGAGGGGACAAGTGGGAGTGTACGACTACCGTACTCTGGCTCGACGACTCTCGATGGCGCGAAAGCTGAAGTCGACTCGTCTGGGACCCTTGAGCTGACTGGTGGGAGCCATACGGTAGCTGTGCGCGTGTCGTAGTGAACGCGCGCAAAAAAATCTGATTCTTCGTGTTCAGTTGTTCACATTTCTCTTTGTAAAGTATGGCCCAACAGAACCCTGTGCGTATTTCAGTGTCGTGGTACCCAATTGTATTTTGAAATAATCAAGACCATACCGAGGTTGTGAGGCCGTTGAGCACGTTCTATTCTTTTGGATGAACTGGTATTGTGTATTAACGATACCTAATAGTGTCGATCTAGATATTAGGGCCTAGGCCAGGCATGAATATTGAATATTGAGTATGAGTAGTCGCGTCGCGTGTGTGCTCTTCCCAATGCAAGGCGGTACCGTGACCGCGTTGTGTCAATGGGCGCCAATTCGGTCCGTACAGGCACGCGTCTCAAGCACGACCCATGTGTGGACACGTCGATCCTTGCTGCACTGACCACTTCGACACTGCAACCCGGACACTTGAGCGGTCATGGATTTCTCGTCGCTGGTAGACCTGTCGCAGCCGACGCTGTGGGCATCTGTATTCTCGATCGTATTCAACCCGACGGCATGGAACATCGTTGCCCGGAACGGTACGTAGGCTTTCGCAAAGCAATGGAGGACTTACGACCGTATGCTTACTCGCAGTACGTCGCAGAGTACAGGAACAAGACCATCACGCGGATATTCGGTGGGAACGCGCGGTACGGGTGCTACTTCCTCGCGCTGTCCATCTTCTCCGCGGGCATGCTCCGTGACTCGCTGTACGTCCACTGCCCACCTCTCCCGTGCACCCTGACGCGAACCCTTGTGATGCAGCTTTCACCGTGCACTCGAGCACCAGCCCAAGCACCCAATCCTCCCTGAGCCCCTCGACACGATCGTCCCCATTGCGCTCTTCGCACTCGGCCAGACGTTCGTGGTCACCTCGACGTGGGCACTCGGAGTGACGGGCACGTTCCTCGGCGACTACTTCGGCATCCTCATGGACCACCGCGTCGAGGGCTTCCCGTTCAATGTCCTCCGTGACCCGATGTACGTTGGGAGCACGCTGTCCTTCACCGCGGTGTCCCTCTGGTGAGTTACTTGAATTACACTCTAGGTGGCAGTGGGACATAACATCGATTATGCTGAAAGGTACGAAAGTCCTGCGGGTCTCATATTGACGGCGTATGTCTACGTCGTCTACATCATTGCACTGCGCTTCGAAGGGTGAGTACCGACAAACCCGCATGTACCATGTACAATTGAGGCCTAATGCGCGCTGCAGACCCTTCACCGACATGATCTACTCCAAGCGAGCCGCCGCGCAGAAGGACAAGGCAGAGTCCAAGAAGGAGCTCTAAGTCTGCCCATCCACGAAGATGACCAGAACGTCCTCCCCAAGCAGAGACACTACAGACGATGACCGCGACGCTTGGACACGTCCTAGACACGAAACGCGATGAAAGCGGAGGTTTCAACAATCTCTAGCCACCCCCTGGCCGCACAACGACAAAATTACACTACGCTGGCGTACGATACTTGGTACCACATTATTGCATAGGGGTACTAATACGAGGGTTTTGTCTGCAACTCAACTTGTGTTGTTCTATTTTCAAGCATGGGCGAGTTGCGTCATGGCGGTGTCTCGTCACTGAACGTGTAGTTCTCTACTGTCCGGTCCCACAACGTCTTGCAGTCGACCTCAGCGTTCAGCCGTGCAGCAAGCAAGAATGCTCCGCTCAGCTTCCTAGACGTCCAAATAAAACTCAGCGTCGACGACCGGTGATCCACAAAGGGCGTGAGCGCACCTATTGAGACTGTACGTCTCCCTCGGTGGCGGCGTGAGCCGGTGCTGGAGCATGACCGGGATCTGCTCCCTGATCTGGGCCGTGATGTCCGCCCACTGCGAACCGGGCCCGAAGGACATGGGCTGGTGCGTGCTCGCCTTGAACGGCGTGGCGAGCAGCGCCATCGACTGGACGTGCGCATCGAGCATCATCTGCAATAGTGCTCGGACATAAGTATCCCCTGTCGAAGCCATAGCAGGGAGGGAGGCCGCACCTCGTTCTCCTCGCCGGTGAGGTACCCGAGCTTGAGCGACCACGCGATGCACGCGTCGCGGTCGTCAGAGGCGGCGGCTTGCAGTAGGTGCATCCAGTTGTCCATGAACTCTTTCGAGTACTCGCGCGTCGCGCCGAAGTCGACGAGCTCAATCTACCGTGCATCGTCAGCATGGAGATCAATCGAGAAGACAGCGGAACGCACCTGGCGCGTACGCTGGTTCCACAGGAAGTTCGTCCAGTTCGGGTCCGTCTGCATGAGACGGAACGCAAAGAGCTCCTTCAAGCAGAGGTCGATAACGCCCGTCGCGATCTGCACGACACCCCACCACATCAGTTCTGCACGAAACCAACCCACTCGAACACGCACATGATTGCGGTCCTCCTGGCTCAGCGAGTTGATGATGGCGCCACCGACGCTCACACCCTCGACATGCTCCATCACCAGCACACGTTCTGTGCTCCCGTCCCACACCCACGGCACCTTGAAGCGCGCGTCGCTCCCCAGGTGGTCCGGCGCCCCAAACCGCCTCGCGAACCCTGCCTCCCGGGAGTAGTCGCACTCGTCTGCGAGCTCGGCCTTCATCACCTACACCACACCCGTCAGCACTCCATCTCGCCGGGCGATCTAACTGGCGCAAGCGAACCTGGATCGTCCTGTCGAGGAAGAGACCCTTCGGGAGGAGCCGCCCGGCCGTCAGGAGCATCTTGACGTACCCGAGGTCCGTCTCGATTGAGTTGGCGATGTTCGGGAATTGTATCTTGACGGCGACCTTCGTGGGCTTGCCGGTGGGTGAATCGTGCGCTGCGAGCACTGCGGAGTGCACTTGGCCGATGGACGCCGCTGCGAATGGGAGGCGGTCGAAGGTATCGAAGTTGTCTTGCCAGGAGGGACCTAGAGATGTGCGGAGGACTTCCTATTGTTTGAGGCAGGGTAATGAGTCGGGATATGAGGGAGAGAAGAGGTGGTCTACCTCCATTTGCCAGTCGGGCATGTAGTGTGCGCTGTCTTGTACCCGGCGGAAGATGTCTTCGATTTCAGGCGGAAGGACGTGGCTGTCTTCCATACATGAGACTCGAGAATTTCGCCGGTCAGAGAGAGGGAGGGGGTACCTTGTATGCTCATGAACTGTCCGAGCTTCAGCGCCGCACCGCGCAGCTGCGTGAGCTTCGCGACGAGCCGCTTGATGTTACCCTCGGTCAACATGAGCGAAGGCGAGTGTTTCTCATCGGAGTGAGTGGTGCGTTTCAGGAGCTCAGTAGCAGCTCCGTATCCGAGTGAGGCTGCGAGACCTGACAAGAGCACAGTCGGTTACTGACCGCATATATGCGCATTCAAGCTAGAGTGGCACGCATATACTCACCTCCGTAGTGGAAGAACCGTCCAATGCGCGAAGAGGGTACCCGGGAGGATTGCAGGTGGCGGGATGGCAGGGATGCGGGGACTGGCTGCCGGAGAGGGCACTAAGTGTTACAAACCGAAGCAAACCAAAACGAGGACATGCAGTTGCAGCTACCTCCGGGACGCCCGTAGTCGCAGGCACGTCATGGGCAGGGACCTCGGAGGTTGTGCCAATGACCGGGGACGACTCTCGGGCCATAGCTGCTTCGAGAACCTCTCGTGAGGGATCTTCTGAGGACATCATTATTACCGAATTGCTGGCTGCGATATCGTGCGTACTCGAGGTGGGGACATGAGGCACCGCATCCGTCGGTGCAAGTAGTTGGGTGACGGTTTCTGGTGTGACTTCTCCGAGGGTTGCATCCCGCACTCCCGTAGCAATGGAACCTTGTGCTGCAGGAGATGGGAAGTCGCTCGTCCCGGTAGAAGATTGCGGTGTCAAGGGGGTTCCTCCAGACAAATTGTTTGGAAAAACAGCTTCGTCTCGTAGAGCAGATGTACGGGCAAACTGCTGCTGTCCGACACTCTGAGAGTGATCTTCGTTTAGCACCTTGGTTTCTCGACCATCCTGCGGTCTTGTTCTTCTTGGCAGACTATCCCTCGGCGTTCTAGCAGAGTTTGCTGCGGATGCTAGCTGTGCAGCTCGTATTTGCGCAGCATGTGAGAGTATATCGCAGACAGAGTGTGCGACACAGATCCAGTTATAGAGAGGACCTGGGGGCATTCTCCCTACCTGTGCACACTGGCGGCACAGTAGATATTGAAAATCAGATAAAAGTGAAAGCACCTTCAGGAAGAGGCCATGAGTAGGATGTTTGCGTGGTCAAATGGCAGCAAAAGGTCAACTTGAAAGTGAGACGCTGGAACAAGTCCGAGGCCGCGAGCCGTGACGCGACGCGTTCCGTGAGCGCGTCAGTCTCACGTGCACGAATCGGGAGCGATCAATTGCTCGGAACGGAAATCTTGCGGTAGCATCGGGCGCTAACGCGATTACTTTCGAATAACTCCTCAGCTGGTCTCTGCCGTTCCGAGTCATTGCCAAAAGGCTCTCAGTCAAGGTACGGCATATGAGAATTGTATCTGCCTCTTAACGTGGAATACATTGCACCAAGTTGCCAAAATGGAGAACTTCGACACCTACCAGACCCCTCTCTCCAGGTCCGTTGGTCGTCAGTAGGCACTTGACGATCTAACGCTCATACACCGTACTAGTCGATATGCAAGCAAGGAGATGGCCCATCTGTTCTCCGCGGAGGTAAGTCATATTTTCTGGTCAAGAACAATGAAATGTCAACGCTTCACTCCTTCTCCAGAACCGTTTCCATACCTGGCGCAAGTTGTGGTTGAGCCTCGCCACAGCGGAAAAGCAGCTTGGCTTGCCTATACCCGACGAAGCCATCGAGCAGATGAAGGCTAACCTTGTCTGTAGTCGTATTCTTCAATGTGCTTGCCCTTGCGCTGACAGCACCACATGCAGCATCTGGACGCCGAACAGTTCGACATCGCTGCCAAAGAAGAAAAGAAGCGTCGTCACGACGTGATGGCCCATGTCCACACTTTCGGGCAAGTTGCACCTGCGGCGGCGGGTATCATACAGTCTGTGTCATACGCCTACGGGATAGAGCGCATTGACTCATGCAGCATCTCGTGAAGTCTGGGAGCTACCTCTTGCTATGTCACGGAGTAAGTGATCATCATCGTGTATTGAATTTGCCTCTGAGGGAATGCCTCAGCAACGCAGACTTGATCTTCATTCGTGAAGCCCTTACCCTCCTATCCCAAAAGCTCGCAGTTGTCATTGACCGGTTCTCGTCCTTTGCTGCGCAATATCGCGACCTCCCTACTCTTGGCTTCACCCACTTTCAGCCTGCGCAACTGACTACTGTCGGCAAGCGAGCAACCCTGTGGCTTCAGGTACGCTCCCCACACTTCCCCATTCAATCGCTGCTCACAGTCGTTGTAGGAACTTTTGTGGGACCTCCGGAACATCAGGCGAGCCAGGGACGACCTCGGCTTCCGTGGAGTCAAGGGCACTACCGGCACGCAAGCGAGCTTCCTCACTCTTTTCGATGGCGACCACGACAAAGTCAGGTCACCACTGCCCATCGATCCTAACGTATACTTATTCTCAAACAGGTGGAGGAGCTCGACCGCCTCGTCACGTCGCTGTCAGGCTTCAGCTACGCGTACCCCGTCACCTCCCAAACCTACTCCCGCAAGATCGACATCGACGTGCTCGCACCACTCGCCAGTTTTGGAGCGACCGCGCACAAACTCGCGACTGACCTGCGGCTCCTAGCCAACCTCAAGGTAGGGCCTCCTTCCCTACCACACTAGACACTCGCTGACACTTCGTGGCACTCCCAGGAAGTCGAGGAGCCCTTCGAGTCCACCCAGATCGGGTCCTCCGCCATGGCCTACAAGCGCAACCCCATGCGCTCCGAGCGCATCTGCAGTCTCTCTAGGCACCTCATGGTCCTCCACCAAAACGCACTCATGACCGCCAGCGTCCAATGGTTCGAGCGCACCCTCGACGACAGGTTCGTCCCTCCCTTCACGCCCACCTACTCAGAACGCTGACCGCGCGATAGTGCGAACCGCCGCATCACGCTCCCCGAGGCGTTCCTCACAGCAGACATCGTGCTCACGACACTGCAAAACGTCTCAGAGGGTCTTGTGGTATATCCCAAGGTCATCGCCCGCCGGATCTCGCAGGAGCTCCCGTTCATGGCGACGGAGAACATCATCATGGCGATCGTCAAGGTGGGCGGTGACCGCCAGGAGGCACACGAGAAGATCCGGGTACGTCCCTCCACTCCTCACCCCTGTCATGGTACTGATCAACGGCGACATGTAGGTCCTCTCACACGAAGCGGCCCACGAAGTCAAATGGGAAGGCCGCGAGAACGACCTGATCGACCGCGTGCGCGCGGACCCGTACTTCGACCCGATCAAGGGCCAGCTCGATGAGCTGCTCGACCCGAAAAGCTTCATTGGGCGCGCACCGGAGCAGGTGGACACATTCCTGAAGGAGTGGGTCGCACCGGCACTTGATGATGAGGAGCTCCGCGAGAGCGTGCAGGCGGGTGGGAAGGCGGAGCTGAATGTATGAACGTGGCGCATAGGAGGGAAAGACGAAAGTGATGTAGATGTATGGAATAGATGTCAAGCAAATCCTCCAAACAAATCGTGCTGTGGCACGCCCTTCGTGTTGCTTTCGAACACACTGTTGAGATATAAAATGAATCAGCGGAGAATTACAGCACTCTATACCACGCAGGTATCGTAGCAGCACATCTACATGGTATGGAAGTATGCAAGTAGGAGCCGGACGGCCCGATGAGTTCGTATTGCGTCTTGTCACTGTCGTACTCAGATGTACGGCGGGCCAAGCACTGTCGGATTCGTGAGTGTGTTACTCAATAAGTACCAAATCAATCGACGACTTACTCTGTCGGAATAATCCTAGCGTTACCTCGACCACGAGCAGGAGGACACCACCGCCTGGCGCCAACCGAAGCACCTTCGGGACGAAACCTTGTACAGCGCCGCTGGTCCCTCTTCTCGCATGATGGTCACAAGGCTACGTGTCGATCAGGACAACAATGCATGTCACAGAGTCGACGTGAGCACGCACGCAGGGTATGTCCAGTTATACTTGGGGGCCACGCCAGGGACCCGAGTCGCGCCTTGGATACGAGATTTGACAACCTGATGAATGATTGAGCGAGGGGGATGTTTATTGATTCAAACCATGCTCACATCGAAGCTAGACAGCAGCAACATTAGCACCCATATATTCGATCACGCAAGTAGTCTGCTCACGGAGTGTTTATTGCGGTCCGACAAACCACCAACAGAGCCCGCAATCAGGTCGCTCATGAGATGAGCCTTAGGGCTCTTAAGTAGAGGGTGTGAGGATGGCATGCGACCTCTATAGGTAGAGCGCACTCACTTCTGGCTTAGGGAGCAATGCGCGTACTTGGAAAATGCATCCAAAATAGCCGCCGTTCCACCACAAATGCCTGGAAACATAACACGGTTGCTACTCTCCGGTGAAGTCGGTCCTGATCTCGCAACTCACCTCCAGAACGTCGCCTCCATGCCCGAGTACATCCCCAGCACACCTTCCTTTTGGATGACCTTTCTCACGACGTCCATCGGACCCGAGTACGTGCTAAGTTTGTCTTGAAGCCTACATCTTCGATGAGCACGATGCCAAAACAGGATCCGCGACAATACAAGCGCACTTGATTTTGACGAGTTCGAACGGGACGACGACGAAACTCTCCGTCGCACCTGCGGTGCAGCCAGTGAGGATAGACAACGATTGGTTCATCTTCGCCTCGCCCGTGAGCTTGAGGTACGTCTTGCCCCAGAAACCATTTGCAGCGCTAGAGAAGTAAAGCAAGATGAGCGTGGGTGGGCTATGACGTAGGGCGAAAGTCTACTTACAACTTCGTCGCACGCTTTGGTGCCTCGAGCAACAAAGGGGGAACGAGACCTTGAAACGTAGAGTGAGGCACTGGCAGGTGAGACTCCAGGTATAGCTCGTACCTCTGTAAAGTTTCCCAAATCTGTGGAGAATATACTATGTGAGAGAATGCACTTCGTGTGATCAGTATTGCTGCGCACCCTTCTTCCCGAATAATGGCACGGAAGCTACCGACGAGACCATGTTGCGACTTGCCCGTCTCCAGTTGCATACGCGTTTTCACCTAGTTCTCGGGGTTGCGAGCTCATGAAGTGGATCTGCTACCCAAGCGCGAGTAACTCACGACATCTGCGGAGTATGAGTTGATTGTTGACCACGATTACATGCCTGAGACTCACCGAGAGGGTAAAAAGTGAGGATTTCTGAGATACCAGCAATAGCTCCTGCCGTGAAGTTGGCGACGAAGGGGAGGGCTGCGATACGCCTTGAGCAACTCCGCCGAGACATAACTGCGCAAGCTACCGGTACGCACGTTTCTTCTGTGGAGCAGCCATCCTTTTCGTGCAGAATGTTGACGACTTTTCCTCGCGAGCTCTGGATGGTTGCTGGTAAGAAGGTAATAAATACAGGACTGTCCCTACGCTTCGCGGGCGGTTTGTGGACGACTCCAGTGGTGTGCTCCGGCGCTTCGATTAATGCGGGGTTAGCGCGGGGTATCATGTGACTAGCGTGTTACTTTGGCGCCCACACCTTGAGTTTGCACGCCCGCGCCTCCATGCTGCCATGGTCTACATCTCGTCCTGGCAGGAGTATCAGGAGGCGGCGGAGGCCCTCTATGAGAAATCTCCAAACACTGTGAGTAGTTGTGGCTTAGTAGCTGTCTACGTGACCGACTGTAGGACTGCAGGCACGATATTGCGTGAAATGGAGGGCGGCAGACGGGAAACTAGTGCTGAAGATTACGGACAACACGACAGTGAGTAACACATCGATCTGTGTGGACTGCAGGCTCATCAGCTCCATGTGCGCTCAGTGTCTCAAATTCAAGACGACTTCTTCCGTCTTTCTCAACCGATTTGAGGCCCTCAACCTCTCGCTAATGCAGAAGATGACGAATCGACAAGCGAAGCCAAAGCCGGGGCCTCCGCAGCTCGACATACAGCATACTGCTGAGCAGGACCGAGCTGCAACGCCGGTACAGGGGGCCTCTGGTATTTCCTCTGGAGGGGTCAAGAAGAAGAAGCCAAAAAAGAAGAAGTAGGGTCCGTCGGCCTCTTGCCCCCACGACTGCATGTTGTAATCCGCCCGCACAAATTCCACCGCTGTCGTCCTTACATACCGATCTTGACCGTAGAGCCATGTATCAGTTAGTGTACGTATTCGATCTCTATGTTCACTCGATGGCGTTGCCGTTGAGGAATCACGATCAGTGCTCGGAACGGTCTGCTGAAAGGGCACAGCTCACTCCAGACCCGATCATTTGACGATATGTGGTGGTTTTCAATCCTCCCTAGGCGAACCTGAAATTCCTGCCTCATTGCCGGACAATCTTGCTTCTAATACTTATGCTACGTGGACTCTAGTGGACGGGGTATAGGGAGTTGCGCACGCGAGTGGGTCTTCTCAAAGCAGGAGGAAGAACTGAGTATATTGTAGGCCGCTCAATACTCCGAAGTCATCTACCTAGCCTTGAGACACGCTGAGTCCCTTTCTACAACTGTGCGCTCATGTCTCTCCGGTGTTATGCAAAGGAGATTACGGCTTGTTCAAGTACATGGATATCGATGTTGGTCTTGTTTGATCTTTTCACTTGAGCCGCAGAACAGTATATGCATCGACAAATTCAGACAAAGCACTTGGAGTTACTACACGTTGTATAGCTGATATGTTGCCCTTGCGTCCATGAAGCCTACAAGAACAAGCCCTTTATTACGTCGCTGTCGGCTCACTGGCCTTCAATCCGATGCCATAGTCCCAGCCAATGTCGGGACCTTGTAATTTAGGGAGGACATCTCGATATCTCGCGTAGGGGTCGACGTGTGCGCGGACGTCATGGAGGTCAATATATGGTCGTTGTGATTAACCGTCGACGCAGGCCGGACAAGTATGCGCGGCTTAGGAGGTGAGCGACTAGGCTGATGGCATAGCTGCGGCTTGCCGATTAGAGTGGCTTCGGGTTGGAGAACATGTCGACTTACAGCTTAGCACCGTTGTACATCCTATTCAACATGATCAGCGACGACATGAGACAGGGACTGGATCGTGTTACTCACGCTGGCATATAGTACGATTGGTTCTGACATTGTAATAGTCGGCGGGTAGTACCACGGTGTCAGTAGGTTATTTGACTCACCGGAAACGCCAGAGCCAATATCACTCCAATGATCGAGTTGCCTGCTGCATATCCACGAAGTCGAATATGATTAAGATAAGAGGAGAAGGTACAGTGAATAAATAGGAGAACCCACCAGTCAGAGCTCCCGTCTCTAAGGTAAAACGGATGAGCTTGTTGATAATGCGATTTGAATGGGCGAATGATGTTCTCATCTTCAACATCTACGAGAAAAAATTACTCGGATGCTCGCACTACAGGATTAGACCCGTCACGAACCAGCAGAGTCATTGCGATAGCAATGATCACGTCGACCAAAACTGTTCCGCCAATCCAGATCTGCAAAGAAGGTCATGAAGGCCGTCGAGGTGCGACATGCAAAAACGCACAACATGATAGCACGCCCCGAGGTTGACGCCAGAACGTCTCCAACTGAGGGCGTGTGCACCAACTATATTCAGTCGTTGAGCGTGAAGGCATGTCGGATGCATCAAAGGGGCCTCGCACTTTTGCACTCGTTGCAAATCCGAAGCTGGATTGGATAACACACAGCTGGCATGAGACAGAGTATTCGCCATTAATATCGAGACAACCGGCGAGGACCATCATTCGTACTCACCACAACAATGATGCCTGTGAGGATGCTCCTTTTTGAGAGTGTGTAGATGCGCCACGCAAAGAAACATTGCACGATGCTCGAGACTAGAGAGGCCATGATCGGCAATGCGACCGTGTCCGCGTCGGAGGTATAGTACTCGCCCACACCCTTGCTCGCTCCGAACACGAATGTGACGAAAGCATCCTCGGTGACGAGCCCCCAGTCGACCCATTCGAGGATGAAGACAAGTAGACTATCGTGAGGATGAGGCCACGACGATCCTACGAAACATATTCTGGCGCGCTCACCAAGGCATTTAAACCGTAGAGGATCTTGAGGAAAATTGAGGTAATAAAAGTCTGACAAAAATAGTACGAACCAATGAGCTGATGAAGATTGTCTCCTTTCAATCAGGAAAACCTACAAACTTGAACGGTCAGCACGCCCTGCAGCGCCCAGTGCAGCAGGTAGCTAAGCAACTGGATGCACATTGTTAGCTATCTATGCCTACGTTTTGAAAATTACACCGACCGCAGGGAAGGCTCTAAGAAGGACATGGTTGATATCAGCCGGTTAGGTCCAATCGCCATAGATATTAAAACTCACCGCTCGTCAAAACTCATTGAGCTTGAACCCATGCTTATCGACGTGTCGGATGCATAGAGGGGTTTGTGGGACGTCCTACTGGGCTGGTAGTTCTATGGCTGTATTAATAGGGCGCAGCATGGCATGCATCTATCAAATCACTGTGACAGTAAGCTATACAGCGCGTACCGCGCACCACTGCGATCTGCATAATTATAGACCCCCAGGGGTGCCATACTGACAGACCTTGAAACCGACACTGAGGCTTCGCTTGAGCTCAAGCGCTAATATGGGCCTCTGTCACGGACATTGGCCGCACAGCATTTCGGACATGGGGTATTGGAGCACCGATGTGCGTGCACGCACAGATTTATTGGAAGGAGTACCGTTCCTACGAACCCAAATAGTAGTACTTACGTGAAAGGGGATTTCCTTCAGCATGCTGTGTAAGGCGCCAGTGGGGCCTGTAGGTGCCATGACCCAGACACCTTTCCTGATCTAAGGGTGTCTAATGTCATGCAAATAGCTAGAAAGGAGTCCTTTCTACCATCTACATACCTTGCCTATAGCTATCTGATCGTGATGCAAGCACTGTATGCTGTGTCTTTGAAGTCGTAGTAGTAAATCCCAAACAGAACCTCCGAACTCATGCCAGCAAGTCTGCGCGTGATTGACAAACACAGTAGGACGTTAGCGTGAGTTCTGCCAGTGAAAGCACGAGATCACATTGCCGTGTCGTGCGCAACCCTATAACCTGGTGTGGAAGCCCCAAATGCAATGAGAACGCTTCACTAACAATCTTTGCGGAGGAATAAAGACTCGTACCGCAACTTTAGCTCCTCCGGATCTCCACTGGGTCACGTAATGCGCGGAGGGGTGTCAGAAAAAAAACAGTAAAACGCTCTCGGTGTCTACTCGCTACCGTCGTCGCTGTATGGTCGAGCTCCTGGAGATGCACCTGCACTGGGGAGGTCGACACGACTGATAATTAGTCTTGGGACGTGTAGTAACGACTGGTACTGAATATCGCCAGACATCGTTGAGACATCATGTCGGTCAGACAGACACGCGAGGATACAAAGCACAACCAAACCAGAAGCCCGCACTCCTAAGAGAACGTGCACCCATATGTCCATGCCGCAGAACCGAGATCATGTCATGAAGGTCTCCGTAGCTGCAGGCTTGACCGTCTTGACTTGCTCTGGAGATGGCTCGACGTCTTGCGTTGCTGTTCCCTGCGCGGCGAAATCCAGGGGATTGATATATCATCCACGTCGAGGCTCGGTATCCGACGAAGATGAATGCGATTGAGAAGGTGAGCGAGGAGCGTGATGGCGTATCTGCCCAGTGCCAACTAAGTCCAAGACGCATGTGTGAAATCAAGGATGATACCCACAATTTGGATTGGTTGTATACGCTGAGTCGGGGTCATTAATTGAGTTCACTCGGCAACAATAGTATCACTCACGCTGGAATATAGTACGTTCCTTTCTAGAAAGGCGCCATTTAGATAAGGAGCCGACTACCTCGTCTACGTCGACTTACAGGGAATGTCAGAGCTAGTATTCCCCCCAAGATCGCGACGCTCGCTACACGGGTTGTGTAAGTTAGCGATCTCTAATGAGCAATCAGGGAAGAAGTCACGTACCTGTCAAGGCTCCTGTCTCTATAGTCAGGAGAACGATCCTGTTGATCATCACAGTCGTCCTTCTCAACACCATCTTCTGCCTGAGTAGCTGTTGTCGAGGAAGGATGATCAGTAATGTAATATACCAAGTTCAACTGCACGCACCAAAATGGTCATCGAAAGGGCAGTGATGACATCGACCAACAGGGTAGTCGCTCCGAGGAGCTGCAGTTCTGGTAGGTGAGAATGCATAGCTCGTTGCTGGAAGACCTTACGATTATGGTGATTACGCCAGATTTTGTTGAGAGCACCCCATCAATCGTATGTGCTTCTCTCAGCTGAGGGGGCGAACGAGTGAATGTAAGATCAGCTGTTGAAACAGAGTGGAGGATGTACCTTTACCCCATGACGATCCCGCTCATGATCTGTATAACACAGAGCTGGTCGTATATCAGACGTCCCGTTAGAATGTTGCTTATGGAGATCATAAAAGCGTGGTACTGACGAGGACTATGTGCCAGCTAGGATCCACATCTCGAGAGCACGTAGATGCGCCATGCAAAAAAGCACTGCACCACGGTAAGCCGAGCGGACCCAAGATGGGCACGACAAACCATTGATTGCCGATGGCGTAATACTTGTCGACACCTTTGTTTGCGTTGTGAACGAACGTGACGAAGGCGTCCGCCGTAATGAGTCCGAAGGTGATCCATTCGAAAATGAATATCCCATATACTGTTGATACTATAATTGGAGGTACGGTGAGATAGAGATTATTGCGCACCGATGAGTTTCAGCCGTAGGGGATCTTTAGGGAAGTTGGTATGATAGAAAACTATATGAGAATGCGTGGTGAGCTCAATCAATGTCATAGAGGTTACTACGGTAGCCTGACTCACAGACTTGCACCGCAAGCACGCCCTGCAACGCCCAATGAAGTAGGTAGCTGAGAAGCTAGTAGTCATGTCAGCGACCAGTAAGTCCATTTACAGGCACGGAGGGCAACCAATAAACGAACATCTGGTGCAGCACTGAGAAACCGGATGAATATCGAGGTGAGGCACCAGGGAATGACAGCTCACAGTTCTTCAATGGACGTAGAGTTGGCCATCTTCACGGTCGGGGAACAAAGTGCGTAGGTGCATCGCTTGCGCCCCCGCGTATTTCATGTCGATCAGCAGCGCAGAGCTGTGAACTTTCAACGGCATTCCGCTCGATTCTTGATGCGGAATGAATCATTAGCCTCCGCGTAGCTACTGGGTCGCATTCACTGCCATCGCCAGAGAGCAGCGCTGCAGCAGCCTTCATCGGCCGAGCGTGTACTCCTATGCTGCCGGGGGCAACCGCCACTTTGCCGAATGAACTGGTGTGTTGCGCACTGGCACTTGGTGAGCCTGGTGACCGGGCGAGCAAACGACAGGGAGACTCACTCGCTCACCTTGATTCTGCATGCCGGCACGATCAAGCGCTAGAACGCAATGTACAGTAGCTTCCTAAAGGATATACATGAGCGCCGCAAGATTCCTGTGAGTCGCTGCCACCTTATAGGCACTATCGGCGACCTCCTGCGTGGAATTCGAATCGTGTTACAGATGACCAATGGTGAACCCTAAGTACAATTACTAACTTACTCGAAGCATATCCAGGGCCTGGCGCCAAGATTGAGTGAGGGTACTAATTGCCCTCATGAGCTCAGTGTTACGTTGTCGATGCAAGGGAAACGTACTTGCAAAGCAGAAGCACCCATCACATCACGGCCGATGCACTTGCTTCGAGGTCATGGGTGCACTGGCGTAGACTTTGTTGAACTAGCGAGGTATGCCCGCCGGTATGGCATGCACTTGATTCTGAGTGGGCTCGCGAACTGGATCAGTGACCAAACAGCGGCCGTAAGTAAGTCCGGCGACACTTCGACGCCTTCAACGTCTTCGTGCATTGAATTTCCAAGCGGTACTGTCATTTTCAAAACTTGCAGGCACACCAAACGTATGCGACAGCCCTCCCCCACTCAAGGAGGTCGCATTGAGAGTCTGCCTACGGAGACTACATAGACCAGACGACTGCTGAGGTGACGACCGTTCAACCGTAGTATGGTTCCAGGATGTTCCATGAACTCAGGTGCTATGTTTCGTTTGAGTCGCAACACATTGGTCCCGCAATCAGAATGAGTAGGAGCCCTAGTCATACTCTTGTCAATCCACGCAGTTCAGTTCAAGAACAACATTACGAGCGTACCTCGTTATACCCATTCAGTTAAGACCTGTCGAGTCCTCCGGATCACCGAAAGAGGGTACACGGCATGACACATACAATGATACATACGTACTTATGGCCTTGGTATAGTCTGTCGGCTCCATCACCAGAACCTGAAGCATATGTGACCGGCGTCGAGGCTCAGGCCGTCAGACTGAGGATTCATATGTGCTTCGTATACCCAATTGCAGCAGCCGAGTCCTGTGAGCCTGCGCAACTCAATATGAGCGTTATGAGGGGCTCACCCTTCGAATTCGGCGTAAAAAGACATAGATTTGATATCGAGTGAGTTGCTGCTGGCCTAGCCTGGGTATAAGAAGTGGGACCGGACGAGACCAACCACAGAAGTCGAGACTCAGACTCAGACTGCCACCGCGCGGGCGCACGCTTCGGTCTCGACTCTTTCCTACACCACGACCTCGCCCTGCCGCTCAACGTCCTGTAAGCTCCTTCTGAGCAATTCGAGCGATTGATTCCCCCTGAAGGCCCCTTGCGACTGCGATGATTCCGACTGTAAGGTGCCAGCACCCGCCGGCAGCTTTCAATACAAAATCAGCACGGGGCTCGTCTCGTGCAACTTCCCTCACCTCTCAAATGCCGACGACCGACCCAGCTGATGTCTCTTGACGGTGGACCTGCTCGGTGACGCGCGAGGATGGAGCTGGATGGGGCAGCAGACATCGAGACTGCTGTCGGGCAAGTTCCAGAAAGGGAGGGCTCGTGTCTCCGATTCGCAGGCACTCCGGCCTTGCATCCGTAGGCCCAGGGGCCAGGTCTGTCCATCATTCAAATTACATTTCAGTATAAAATGCTGCGATGTTCGTCTGACCCTCTACGCCCGCTCACCCCTGGACCTGAGGCCTGAGCGGTCTCGTCTGCTCTGAGTCTCTGCAGCCGCAACCATGACCTCCACGATCGACCCGAAGGCCATCGGCAAGCCCGCCCCCAGGCGCAGGCATGTCAGGTCCTTGACAGGTGAGCGGCCGTGCTGAGTGTCCGAGAATATAACTGGTGGGATGGGCCGGAGTAGCAGGTCTCTCGGTCTCCTGCGGCGACATGCTTAGGCGAAAGGGGGGATCTATGTAATCTGCACGGACAGACGAGACGCAGGCTTAACGCAGTCTCTAACCGTGACTTCGGATATATGCATGTCTGACATGAATCCGAGTCCATAATGTTCTTGTCTTGCGCGCGAACGACGACAGGCAGCTCGGGCCGGGGTAACGAGCTGAGCTTCACAGCATGCAAGCGCACTCCCAGTCGAGCTCTCTGAACCTCTATGGTCGCTCCTACTCGCATATATGCGGCTGTTGACGTCTCCTTTACTCGCTGATAGGATATACGCCGGAGACCGATGAATCGGGCAAGGAGAAATGGCCGAGGGGCGACGAGAAAGCATGGAAGGGGAGTATGCGTGGGCTCGATAATGGTGGGTGCAGGCAGAGTATTGTCTGGTCTTCAGTCGCACTGAGCTCGAGGTCAGACGTGCCGTCGATTGCGAAGTCAGTGGTGAACCACGTCCAGACGTCGCTCGCGCGCCAGGCTTACAACCTGGATAACCTCGGGGCGTACCAATCTGCCGCATTGTCCGTGCGGGACAACCTGATTGTGAGTTCACCGTGGTACTACTTCCTACAATTACCTGACCTTCCCGCAGTTGAATTGGAACGACACCCAACTGCACTACACGCGCAAGGAACCGAAGCGCGCGTACTACCTCTCGCTCGAGTTCCTGATGGGCCGCACGCTGGACAACGCGCTCCTGAACCTCGGTTTGAAGGAGTCCTACAACGAGGCGATCGACAAGCTCGGGTTCAACCTCGAGGACCTGCTCGAGCAAGAGCGCGACGCTGGGCTCGGTAACGGCGGCCTCGGGCGGCTCGCAGCATGCTACCTCGATTCGAGCGCGAGCCAGGAGCTGCCGGTGTGGGGCTACGGCCTGCGCTACAAGTACGGCATCTTCCAGCAGCTCATCTCGCCCGAGGGCGCACAACTTGAGGCGCCCGACCCATGGCTCGAGCACGACAACCCGTGGGAGCTCCCTCGCCTCGACGTCGTGTACGATGTGCGCTTCTATGGCCATGCAGAGAAGCTGGACAACATGAAGGCAGTCTGGAGCGGCGGCCAGGAGGTGCTGGCGATGGCGTATGACACGATGATCCCTGGGTACGAGACGAAGTGTACGAACAACCTCAGGCTTTGGGAGAGCAAGCCAAAGCGAGGCTTCGACTTGAACAGCTTCAATGGTGCACAATACGTGGTCTCTTCTTTTCTCCTCTGACGGCTTTGGTGAACAGCTGGTGACTACGAGCGCGCGGTTGAGTCCTCCAACAGCGCAGCAGCGATCACGGCTGTCCTCTATCCCAATGACCATACGACTTGTATGTGTGCGAACTCTATAATGACTGCCCCCGCTGACGCTTCTGGGTAGTCGGAAAGGAGCTGCGCCTCAAGCAGCAATACTTCTGGACGGCCGCCAGCTTGGCTGATATCATGCGTCGCTTCAAGAACATGGACAAGCCGATCACTGAACTACCTGACTGTGAGACATTCCATCAACGACGGGCCCTCCCTAGCTCACCCGGTACCTTACACTGCAGATGTTGCCATTCAACTGAACGACGTATGTTTGCCACATCTGACTCAACCAAAATTGCTCCGAGAGAAGGGACCTTGAGCTGACTATATCTATAGACTCATCCCACGCTCGCCGTTCCCGAGCTTATGCGCATCCTCGTCGACGAAGAGGACGTCCCTTGGGACCTGGCCTGGCAAATCACCACGAACGTATTCTTCTTCACGAATCACACTGTGCTGCCGGAAGCGCTGGAGGTGGGAGAAAGTACTCTTACAATGTTTTCAGGGTCCTGATGATTGTGGTCGCGCAGAAATGGGCCGTCCCGTTGATGTCTCACTTGTTGCCTCGGTATGTCGGTGTGTGACGTACAAGTTATATACAGGCTAAATGACCGTTCGTTGCAAGCCATATGCAAATTATCTTCGATATCGTAAGTCTCCCTGCATTTCGTTTTATTGTTTTATCTGAATTGAACGCTGCAGAACATGTGAGGAGTTTGGATGGTTCGATGATATTGTGCTAACTCTGATGCCCTTCTCAGGATATTCTTGCAAGGTGTGCATCATGGTCCTAGTCTGACGCTCACGTATCGCTCACGCTGCACATGATCTAGCGGTCGAAAAGAAGTTCCCAGGAGACCGTGACAGGCTGGCAAGGATGTCCCTCATCGAAGAGGGCTACCCTCAACAAGTGCGCATGGCGAACCTCGCTTGCATCGGTGAGCACTATCACCCTCTCATGCCCGGTAACGTACATGCTGACCCAGGCTATAGGAAGCCGAAAAGTGAATGGTGTCGCGGAGGTAGGGCACAGACGTCCAGGAACGACTGAGTATGCACTGACAGCACCTTGGCCATATAGCTTCACTCGGAGTTGGTCAAGACGACCATCATGAAGGATTTCGTAGACTTCTTCGGCGTCAGCAAGTGGGTTCTTCAATGTGTCACTTGTCTTACACGCTCATGTCAAACAATCTCGTGTAGGTTCTCCAACGTAACGAACGGCAGTGAGTACATGCAGCTCAAGCATACGCGGCTGGTGCTGAGATCCGTTAGTCACTCCGCGACGATGGCTCGACCAGTGCAACCCCGGCCTTAGCCAGTTGATCAGCGACACTTTGAAGATGCCCAAGGCCGAGTTCCTCAAAGACCTGTTCAAGCTCGAGGCACGGGTCATAGTCCTCCTATTGTAACATCGCATGCTGATGTTGGAGAGTTTCTAGGGTCTCCTGAAGCATGTAGACGACCCGACTTTCCACAAGAAGTGGGCAGTGATCAAGCAGAGCAACAAGGAGCGCCTTGCGCGATACGTGGAATCAACGCTGGGCCTCAAGATCAATACGCACGCTATGTTTGATGTGCAAATCAAGGTACGTTTGATGATCATGTTCATTCGTGTTGTCAGTGCTGAATTTGCACCACAGCGGTTGCACGAGTACAAGGTGACTTGTTTAATATATTGAGGAAGTCACTGTTGTCTAACGGGCACAACTACAGCGCCAAACGCTAAACATCATGGGTGTCATCCATGTAAGTTCTTGTCTACATGTTACCCAGACGTTTGCTCAAGCATACTGCAGAGATACCTAACCCTGAAGGACATGACGCCTGCCGAGCGCAAGAAAGCTAATCCGAAGGTCGTTTTCTTTGCTGGCAAAGCGGCACCTGGCTGTACGTCCAACTCGTCGTTGTGGTTGGATGCAGAACTAACTGGCCCTCTCAGACTATGTTGCTAAGCTGGTGAGCACCACGAGAGTGACAGTCCGTAAGACGACAAAGCTGATCACATACGGCTCAGACCATCCGTCTCATCGTCAATGTCGCACGTATCATCAACGCCGATCCGGACACGAAAGACCTGCTCCAGCTCTACTTCCTCCCTGACTACTCCGTGTCGCTTGCTGAGGTGCTGATCCCCGCATCGGACATCAGCCAGCACATCTCGACGGCTGGCACAGAAGCGTCTGGAACGTCGAACATGAAGTTCTGTCTCAACGGTGGTCTCCTTGTCGGGACTGTCGATGGTGCGAACATCGAGATTGCAGAGGAAGTCGGCGAGAACAATGTCTGTGAGTATCACAATTTCACATCATCTTTGAATGTCATTCACGCCTCAGTACCAGTCTTCTTCGGGCACCTGACGCCCGCTGTCGAGGATCTGCGCTATCAGCACATGTACCACTCAGTTCCTGTCGAGCAGAAATGCCCTGCCTTGGCTAGAGTCCTGAACGAGGTCTCTGCTGGGAGATTCGGTGACGGCGGTGTATACGAGCCGTATGTCTACCTACCTGAGCGATCATCGTCGTTGATTCTAAATGCGTTCAAGACTCCTCAATACCATTCGTCAAAACGACTACTACCTGCTGACGGAAGACTTTGATTCTTGTGCGTGCAGACATGCCACCTTGTGTTTTGAAGATGACAATACTCATTATGATTCTCCAGACATCGAGGCTTTAAGGCTTGTTGACCAGGCTTACCAGGACCGCACCGAGTGGATCAAGAAGAGCATCCGGACGACTGCGAAGGCTAGTATCCACAAATCCCTTCGTATATCGCGGTATTGACAGCGACACTCCACAGATGGGCAAATTCAGCTCAGACCGTGCAATCATCGACTATGCTCAGGAGTACTGGAACATCGAGGCCACGAAGCCGGAGTAGATGTCTTGCCCAGTATATAAGCTCATCAAACGTCGTCGCGCAGTGTACATCAAATGACGGACTATACTGTATCAAAGTAGTAGAAAGTCCATGCATGCGCCGAAGCTGTAGTAATAGGCTGGATGTAAATGTATTGATTCCGCATCCGAATGACGGAGATAGGAAATAAGAGAAGTGAATTATCGACGCAGCATAGCAGCATAATGGTGGCGACAGCAAGAATAGGCCGGGATGGATGGGTATCTTCAGCGGATAACCTGGAATCAATAAGACTAACTCCCTCACTACACCTCTCCACCATTGTAGATCTTCCTCTCAACATAACGCAAACCCAAAGGAAACAGTTTGACACTGGCACAAATCCGCATGTGTGAGTGGTAGAGCTCGTTCAAGCTGCGACTTCCGGCACCACGGTGTCGTCAGCCTTATGTGCAGACCCGTTCTGAGTCTCGTCTAAAGTTATGATGATATCAGTGAAGCCCTACAGCAGCGCGGACCTGCACGAATGTACCTGTTGCATGTCCTTGCTCGAGTTCTGAGGACACCGGTGCTTCTGCAGCCTTTTCTTCAGTCACTGGACAGATGTCATCAGGTAATCCACAACGAGAAGCTAAAAGAATGCTCACCAATGCTGTCAGCCTGGACCTCAGATACGCTCTCTTCCGGCTCAGGTGTGGTGACTGCAGGTTCTGGGTCAGCACCACTTGTGCTTCCCTTCTCCTGATCTGCCTCGCGCTCGTCTTCAACGGCCGCGCCCTCAGACGCAGTCGGCTCCGCTACAACTGTCTCGGAAGCCAACGTCGGCTCAGCAGCCGGTTCCTCTTCGGTTGGCAGCACTTCCGGCACGGGTTCTGCAACTGGAACAGGGGGTTCTGCAGCGGCCTCGACGTCTGCATGCACCTCAGTTACTTCAGCCGGTGCTTCGGCCTCTGGTTCGACTTCGGGTACATCGGGGGCCTCCTGCACGGGTGCGGCAGCGGGTAAGTCCTCCTCTGGCTCGGTAGGAGCGACGACCACAGGCTCTGCAGCGGCTGTGCTAGCCTCGACCTCTTGTATTGGGGCTTCGGTCGACTCCTGTACAGGCAGGGTCTCCTCGACAACCGCAGGCTGCTCGGCGGCACTCGGTTCCTCTTCCGGCGCACTCGGTTCCTCTGCCAGCGCACTCTCTGTGTGTGCGGAAGCCTCTGCCAGAGCTACAGGCTCACTCGTGCTGAGCGCCACGTCGGGGCCCGGGGTCTCTCCAGCAAGCACGACGGGCTCGGGAGCAGGCGGCAACTCCTTAGACTCTGCAGCATCACCATCATCCGCAGCTTCCGACGACGCCGGCGACGTATTTGTCGGAGGAGTGATATGTTCGACGAACTTCGTCGGCTTCTCCGTGGGCTCTTCGTCGCTCTTGACGTGTGAGACGGAGGTCGCCGTGTCAGCGGAGGGAGCCTCCGCTTCAACGATGGGGACGGGCGGAAGGTCAGCATTGACCCTCCCCGAGTCTGCAGCAGCAGCTGTGCCAGCAGTAGCAGCAGCCGCTGCAGCCACACCCGTAGCGACTTCGGCACCAGTCAACCCAAGACCCTTCGTCTCTGCCTCAGGCTTCTCAGCGGGAGCAGCTGAAGGCAAGCTCTCGGGCTCCTCAGGAAGAACCTCGCCCATCTCCCCGATCCTCGGCGTCCTGCCCGTCTTCTTGCGCGGCGCGAGCTTCGCGTCGAGGCTCCCGACCGGCTCCTTGGGCGAGAAGAGCGTGAAGCGCTTCTTCGCGGTCGAGAACGTCGCGCTCTTGCGCCCAGAGATATTCGATCGCAGCGACGGCTTCGGCGACGATGCGCGCTGCAGGACGGGCGACGACGGCTCGGGCGGGGGCGGCGGACGCGTGAAAACCTGCTCGATGACGAGCCAGCTGAGCGGCTTGCCGTTCGCCTCGAGCCCGGCGATGGGCTTCAGCTGGCACACGACGAAGTTGGGCCAGTTCTTGGCGATGGGGTCGAGCAGGGCGTCGCTCCAGAAGTCGATGAACGCCTCGTCGATGTGGACGACGCTGACCGACGCGCACTTCGACGGAAGCGAGACGGTGCGGCCGGTCGTCGACGCATCGAACGGCGTGCGGGGCGTGCTCGCCTTCTGCCTCTTGCTCGACCCGCGCTGCACACGCGGAGGATCAGTCACCTCGACGTCGTTGTCCATGAGCGTCGAGGCGAAGTCCCTGCCGATAGAGCTGTCGCCGAACCCGAGAGACGAAAAGTCGGTCCAGTCCTTTGGCGAGAGGTCCGTCGTGGACGCGGTGGCCCTACTGGTACCATTCGTGATCGCGCCATTCTGACCTGCCCCGACAGACCGTGACCGCCCACGAGGTTCCAGGACCTCCAGCTTGACAGTGGTGGCCTCGGTCTTCGAACCCTCAGTGGGGAGCATGGAGAACAAGCGCGTTGTCTCATCAGTGAAGACGCGCGACAACGCTGGAGCGGCGTCGTCCTCAGCAGCCAACGGCGCCTTCTCGGTAGCGTCTGCTTGCTGCTTGAGCAATTCCCACAAGCCGACGTGCTCATCGCCCTGCTGCGTGCCTTCTGCCTTGACAGCGTCCGCGATGATCTGCTGGGGCGGTTGTTTGGGCTGGCCAACCGCAAAATCGGGAAGCTGCGTCTCGACACGAACATAGAGTGCATCGAACATCCTCGTCGAGAGTCGCGGTCGTGGCAGGAACTCGTCTTTGGGCTCGCCACCCTTGAGATATGGATAGCCAGTGACGAGTTCGACAAGACGCCGGGGCATCTTCGTGCGGGCCATCTCATCCCTGCACTATGGTCAGTCGACGTTGCGGGGGAGCGGTGATTGATGCTTACCTGATTTGCGCGAGGAGGAGATGCTCCAATATTCGACCCGCGCGCTCCCATCGCGCGTAGAACGTCGACCAGTCGTCTCCGTCCTCCGCTCTCCGGGTTGTGAGGAGCCAGAGGCCGAATAGCTTGGAGAGCTTGCTACCGGAAACACCACTCCGGTCGGAATGCGAAGCAAGAGACGAGACGATCTCGAGCGTCGTCTCGAGAAGGCGGAGATGTGCCGGGGGTAGTTGCGGAGTGAGAAACTTTGAGAACGCACCAGAAGGGTACGACGCGACGCGCTCAGCCTCTGAGAATTTCTTGTACCATTGCCATGGCTCAGCACTGCTGCTGCCGATACCAAAGAAGTCACCCTCGAGCCGGAGATGGCGAAGGGCCCAACGGAGGACGGCGGCGAGATCATGCGGAGAGCGGGTGTATTCCAACTCGGTATTAAATAAAGCAGAGGGTGAATTAGGAGAGGGAGGGAGCGTGGACGGGCTGTTGGAAGCCAAGGAGAGGATAAATAGAGAGATTAGTCTGCGCTGTACGTCGGGCGACGAGGAATACCAGTGCGGGTGCATGACACCAAGCGTCTCCAGGCCTGCGACACGGTCAGAAGGGTATTCATCGTTCAAAGGAAAGCGTACGGACCACCACGGTCTACGATGGCTGTCGAACATGCCTTGACGAGGTTGAGCGCCTCGTTGGGACTGAGTCGCCTTTCTCCAAGGACATTGTCGGGCAGGACACCACGATCACCCGTGTCCGCCTCAAAGACAACGCCAAGCTGCCGGCCGTCCTTGCCCTTGTCCTCGGGGAGGTTGAGCGTGAGGTGGGGGAGCTGCGGTTTCGCAGCGTCTGTCTTGGGAGACGTGGTGCGGGGCGACCTGGTCCTGAAGAGAGAGAACCCGGCGTCCTTCTCCTTCTCCTTCTCCTTCTTGTCCTCCTTCGCAGCCGGCTGTGCGTGCGTGATGTTGGTCGCGGAGGGCGACGCGGGCGGGGAGACGGCCTCGAACTTGCCCTCGAGGAGGGAGGCTACTGAGGTGCGCTTGGGAGCGTCCTTCTCCTCTCTCTTGCGCGTGAAGACTTTGGATAGGAACGAGGGCATCGCGCGGCAATCAGAGGATAGGTGAAGGAGAGTAGCTGGCGAGGAGCATGCGCCCAAGTTCAACGCGGTCGTCGCGGTCAAGACGAACGCGAACAAACCGTTGAAGTTTGTTACTGTCTGATTACCGCGTTTAGAAAGGTAACGATCCGCGTCTTACCCCTACTTACCACCGCAGCTTATCGCCGTTGTTATGTTGGGCTTACTTACCGGCTAATTGGTGCGCGACACTAGTACTAGACTAGTAATAGGCATGACGCTCAATTGACGACAGCAGGACTTGCAGAGAAAATGCAACGGGAATGAAATACAGAACATGCACATGCGAAAGAAAAGTAGTGATATCCACAGCAGACACGAGAAACACAATGATCCAACGACTAGAACAAGCACAACATCAGCACGCCGCCCCTCGTACACTATAGCCGTTTGAGAGCCTTCTTCCGCTTCTCCGATCCAGCCCCTCCACCCGTCGCAGCCCTCTTGACCGCTTTCGTCTTTGCAGCTGCAGCCGCGGGTACGGCAGCAGTAGAGCCAGCTACGTTCGAGTCTGCGGTACCAAGCGGGGCAGGGGAGGTCAAGCGTTCCTTGCCCGTCGGCTTCTCGCCTGCCAGCGACGAGTCTGACGTCGACAGCGTGCACGTATTGGGGGTGGATGCATGAAGGGGATAGGTAACCGGAGCAGAATTCTCCGTCGTGGCACTCGCGGAAGCACTTGACGATATTGACTTCGAAGACGCAGACTTGCTGGTCGATGGAGCGGGGGCAGCTGAAGAGGAAGGGGTGGACCCCACGGGCTTGTCGAACTCTGTGGGGCGCACCCGCGGCGTCGCGTGCACGCTTGTGATTAGCCGGGCCCGGTCACAGTAGCTGTCGTAATTCTCCAGCAGCAGCTTGCCAGCTTCCTCGTCCAGCGCGGATTCGGGGTTGGGGTGAATGAGCAGGCACTTGACGGTCACCAGGATGTGTGCAATGCCGTATGTGGATTTCCAATCCTTCTTGAGGGTGTTAACGCAGATCTCGCCCGCGGCTGAGACATTGGGGTGGAAGATCTTGGTTATCATGCGGCCTAAGATAGGTAATGAGCGGAGTGAGTTCAGGGACGTGAGGAGAAACTCACACTTTGGTGGTGCAGCAGGGAACTCTTCCGTGAACGCAAACTTTACTCTGAAGTATCCGCCAGCGTATGGTGTGCCCTCTGTGGTGGTTTGTGGTTAGTTGGGCGATTTCTACAGTATACTGAAGTATCGCTGTGCTCGCTGCTTGCAGGAGGAAGCCATATGTCCGACAAACACATGAGAATACGGGTATCATCCGAATGGCATCTGGAATGCAACCAGTGACCCATCTTAATGGGGATCATACACTATATGGGTTTATACCATACGCACACCCGACCACTTGGGTAAAGGCATAGCTGGCCAGCCACTGGTGGACAATGCTGAACAGACTAATCCTCGGTACGTGGAGGGCGCATACTTCCGACAGCAGCGAGCAAGATATACGCGTCTCAAGTACCCACCTGGGCCCTCTACAATGCCTGTAACGTCCAGCATATTGTCTTCGCTGGTAACAACGCGTATCCCTTCCGGGGGGCTCGTCTGGAGCTCACTGAGCTCACGCATCAAGCGGCGGAGAACTGCAGGCGACACAGACTACACCGCATCACCAAGTCAGTATCTCCCGCATGCATACGAGCAGTGAGACTCACCATGGCAGGCAAAACGGCGCGTATGGGGAAAGTGAGGATGTCAGAGGTTGAAGTCGTTGTTGGTCAGAAACGAACTGAAGGCAGCGCCCGATTCATCTCCGCCCCTGTGTCACGCCACCCCGGTCACGACTGTAACCGTAACGCGCCTTCAGTTTGCTTCCGCGCCTGTGACGTTCACGTGACACAGGGTCACGCACCATCGGCGCGGTTGCCACAAGCGCGTCTTGCCTGCACTGTGCACACCCCGACGACCCGCGTCGCCACTGGCAGAGACAGGGATACCCAGACCCACGCACCTTCCGGACATGCGCGAAAGCTCACCAGACGAGTCCTCTCTTCCTCCACCAAAGCGGAGGAGGTTTGGCGGGTCGTTGGCGTCATATGGTTCGACAGCGTTCTGGTTCAGCGACGGCGACATTGTTCTCGAAGTCGAGCAACACAGGTTCAAGGTGCATGGAACACGCCTCCAATGCTCGGAGATATTCTTGGACATGCTCGGCATGCCGCAACCCAAAGACGCGGATGCCGTAGACGGGTGTCCCTTGGTGTTGCTCGCGGACTCGGCGCAGGATTGGCAGGTTGCGCTGAAGTGGATGTACGACCCTGAGTATGTAGCGCACCCCTTCTGCCCCAGCCACGCTTATCCTTCTGCTGGGGCGTCAGTTCCTTCGCAGCTATGCAACATCCTGTGCCGTTCCCACTTCTCCCGAGTGCTCTACGTATAGGCACAAAGTACGAAATCGCTGCTCTCCGTGAGTGGGCCGTCAATCACCTGTGCGCACGGTGGCCATCTGACCTCGAGCGCATGGACACTACGTCTCTTCCCTGTGCTGCTGGTAAGTTCTTCATCTCCCAAGGAGTGGCCAAGGTTGAACGCTGACGTTCACCAGAGGCAATCGCCCTCGCCCGCGAATGTGACGTTCCAGAGATCCTTTCCGCAGCATTCTACGCATTGTCCCTCCAAAGGTTCGGCTGCAATGCCGACGGGGGCCGCTCGCACGTCGTCCTTTCCCAAGCAGACATGCGCCGGCTCGTCATCGGGCGCGAGCGTCTGACAGACTTCGCGACACAATTGCTCCTCGACCCGCTCAGCGCTGCTCCCGGGATGCCTCCGTTCGAGTCATGCGACAACTGCCGCGACACGCTACAACGATACTGGCGCGCGAAGGTCGCGTCGGACCCGCAGTCGCCCTTCGAGCGGTGGCTCCTCCGCGAGTTCTACTTGATGCTCACCGTGCCGGACGCGCTATTCGAGTCGGGACTTTGTGTCGGGTGCCTGACGTGGCATAAGGACGCCGCGTGGACGAGGTTTGACAGTCTGAAGACTTCCATGTCGCGACTCTTTTGCTTGTGATAGACGTGGTTTATACTTTCGCTTGTTGCTCTCGTGCTCATTCATTCCAACTCTGTCTCGGACTTGCATCACACACCACACGTAATTTTCATTGTACAGACCGACTCTCCTTGTATACTCACAGTTGTTATCACGCACAGTACTGACCCTCATCCACATACATATATTTTCATCTTCTACTTTAAAGCAATGCGCAATCAGTCGGTCGGTTGATTTATTTGTTGAACGTCTAGAGGCAAACTTCAGCGCTTCAGCTTGAGTCGTTGGACATATGTACGCCCGGCTGGGCGCTTGCATGGTTAAGTGAATTTGACTACATAACAAATTGCGCTGCGTGAATTTGATTATGGATCCTGCCGAGTCCGAGTCTGCAAGCCCTGTTCAGTTCTAGCCTGACTCGAACCTCGACCTATTATCTATCCGCGTCTCACGTTGGACGGAGGAACACCCGAGGTGGATGCGATTACTGAAGGCCTACCGGTGCTTGTGATTGTGCAGGTCGTTGCTACTCGTAGGCTACAGGTGCGTCGTAGTGTATGTTTGCTTTGAGACAGCCTGACAAGTCTTCGTTGGCAGTATCTCCCATTATTGGTACTTGTCTGCGACCACAAGTCTCCTTGGAGAATGATCCACAAGCTCCTTGCCACGGACGCTCGAGCAGCCGTCACGCGATTGCGAAGGCAGGGCCTTACGTTTCATCCATCGACATGGCCGGGACCATCTACGCTCATTGACCTCCCTCCACGACGATGCGCACACACCCAAGCGGAACAGACAACACAGACTACAGCTACAGCAAGCGACAGCGCACAGTCTACAAGCGAGCGGATACCCCAGTGGTTGAATCCTCGGCATCTAGTCGGTGACACATTGAAGCATTCGAGAGCATATCTTCCGGGACCTCGGGGCAAAGATGCGCGCTCGGAGACTGACGGTGAGGACGAGCTCCCCGATGAAGACGTCGCTCAGGACAGCGAAGGGAACCCCGCAGGGAAGAAAGTCTTGATTGCCAGACTACCTAAAACTACAACGCTGGAGGACTTGATGGAACTGTTGGACGGACGCGGGGAGTGCCTGATCCATTTCAGTGAGCGGTCAATCTACCGTTGCGTGCGCGCCGCACACTCATAGATCCCTTCTAGCACCGCCTCAGCCGAATAATCGGCGGTGCTATGCCCATGTTCTGTTCCGCAGATTAAAGGACGCTCTGGCTTTCATGCGTGCACACAATGAGCAGAAGCTCTCCCTGGGAAGCCACAAGCCTCGTGTGCTCTATTCCGACACTCACGACAGGGGCCAGCTTTCTGAGCCGGTCAAGGTGAACCGGGTTCTGTGGGTCAGCAACCTACCCTACGACGCCACCATGAAGCAGGTCCGCGAACTCTTCGAACCATACGGCATCGTCCGCCGCGTCAGCATGAGTCAGTTGCGCTTCGGGTGACACCTCTCCGTTGCTGACGTCCACCTCTACCCAGCTCCTACTCAGCGCGGGAAGTTCGCAGGGTACGCACATGTAGACTTCGAGTTTATCGAAGACGCCAGCGCCGTCATGTTCGCAAACTGGCACCAACACTTCGAGCTCGGCGGCCGCAGACTGTGGATCTCCCCTGCAAAGTCCATAACCGGTGCGCCGTCCCCCGCACCGATCCGCTCGCCTGCGCAGGATATACGCACCATTGACGAGGACGGCACCCACCCGACATACCCGCCCTGTCGCGTACTCTGGGTAGGCGGTCTGCCCCGGGGGACGAAGTGGAAACACATACGCAAGATATTTCGCGACCACACCGAGGTGGTGGACATCCAGCTGGGTATGTGTTCCCAGCTCATCCGATGATGCACCCGCTAACGTTCATTGCAGTTCGGCTCAAGACAGTTTCTACGGGGATGTACGCCCACGTCCAGTTCCGCACGCAGAAGGATGCGGAGCGCATCATGGCGCTGCACGCACGGAGGCCGTTCTCGGTGTATCTTGGTGTGAGGCACCCCGTCGTGCTCGGGTACGCAGCGCCGCTCGTGAAGGACAACGAGCCGCACTTCAAGCTGTTCACGCCATTCGTGCGGGGCGACGAGACGGACATCCGGGTGCTCTTCGGGGCGCACGCACGGAATATACGCAAAATTGACTTCTGTACGTGTCCCCTGGGCTGCTTCTCCGACCGCTTCGCTGACTGTAATTGGACTTTTCATGACAGACGAGCGCCCTTCCGTCGATCCTTCTGGCCGCGCCGCGTTCATCGAGTTCTTCACGACGCATCACGCAATGGCCGCGAAGAACGCATTGGACCAAAAGCAAATCGACGGCAGCGCGCCGCTCATTCTGGCGTACGCAAAGAAGCCACCAGTCGTAATCAAGTCAGCGGAGGAAAGGGCTGCGAAATCTGATAGTCACTCGCCCAACTCTTCCCTCAAATGAGTCTGGTCAGAATGACCGCCAGTCGGTGCACGCACCCCCTGATTCACCACTCGTGGCGAAAATTGAGAGCATCCTGGACATGTCACGTTCTGTGTCCCAGAAGTGAGTTACGCTCCTGGATGTTCGTAGGCGTGCTACCTATGTGTCACAATGCTTCTATGTGGTTCATGATCATATATGAGCAGCGCGTCAAGTCGATGCATATAAACTATGAAACTGGTTGTCTTTACAAGCTTTCGTGATGCTGCGGAGAAGTGTATGTCGATCGTCATATGCGCCGGGGACAACATGTGGGATTCGCGATCGGGCTCCGAACATACTACTAAGAACACAGGCGTTTGTGTGGCTCCGACTGCTTTGTCTGAATCTGTCGATTGGCATAGACTGTTCTGCGCCCCCGAGAGCCCGAACAGATCAAACAAGAGTCACATCTACTTGAACCGTGGAACAAGCTCTAGTAGCCTCCTTTGCATGACATCAGAGAGACATGAGCGCACAGTTATGATATCTCACCGATGTCTGGCGCGGCGGTACTCCGAAGTATCAGTCTGTTCTTCTGGATACTGGACGTCTAAAGACTTTATCAGTCGTGTCGACTCGGACCTCCCCAGTGCATGTGTAGTTACGTGGGCTCGAGCAGACAGCAATGACGGCAGTATAGTAGTGAGCAGGCACCGAGAGCGTTGTACTGTCCGTGACAGAGGCCCCGAATAGCACTTGATCTCAAGCCTGAGCGTCGGTTCGAAGGTCCGCCTGTAAGTGCAGCACCCCTGGGGTGTCTAAGATTCTAGTAGTAAGATTATGCAAATCGTTGTCGCGCGGCACGCGCTATGTGCTTACTGAACTCTGTCACAGTGAAATTCCGATCCGAGTCCTCGCCATCAGTGTGTTCAATGTGACTGTACTTCCGATTGCCACGCAAGGATTACGATGCATGTAGACATAACCGTATTACTAGCAATCAAAACACGATAATAGCGCGTTGAGTATATACTATAAATCATACACACAGCGTCTTAACTTGAGAGCACTGGCATTGCAAGGGATGAAATCATCTTCATACATCAGCGAGTCGTTTCTGCCCTCCCTGCCTGTTTCTGCTCGAATCGTTCTTTCTTCACTACAGATCCTTGATGATACGCGGTGCATCAGGAATCGTTGCAGGGGAAGATATTGACGACAATATGGCACCGCTATATTCTGTTCTCTTTTCCCTTTCCCTTGGCGGACCTGTTCTGTTCATGGTCTACTTGTGGCATGTATAGCGTAAGCCTTGCTTGCAAACTCGGCGTGAAGTGGTGATTTACAGGCACAAATTTTGGCCTGAATCCCTGGGGAGTGTCTAGCATGGCCGCTAGTCGCTAACATTAGTTTCCTGCTGGTGATATTGAACGTGCGGGGACTTACTGCCGTCCTCATCCACCATCACTGGGATTGAAGCGTCTGTGAGGGCAGCAAACAACAGCCACGCTTGCGGTTTCGTGTAGGCATCACGCGTGAGCCCACCCAATAATGTCGCCCACTTATCTTGTTCGTCTTCATAATAGGTCATCAACCTGCAGAAGTCGGCGTCGCTAGCAATTGCGTGAGATATATGTGGTTGCGAGTCGGGAGCCTGTAGCGCACAAACAGGTCAGTGACTAGGCTGGAGTTGAAGCAGAGTCACTGTAGATACCTTGGCAATGTCATCCTTCAGTATGTAGTCTAAAATGACATCGACAGGGTCGTAGGGCTGTATCATCATAGATTACATCAGTCGAGTTCCGCGTGGAATGTGAACGACAAACTCACTTTTGGCACTGCCGGAGTCTCAAAGATGTCGCGGTAATCCCCCATTTCTGATTGAGGTGATTCCCCCGCAGCCTGGATGATCTTAGGAGCACGCCAACGCCTCCTACACTTGAAATAATGCAGAAGGACGCATTGATTCTTGGGTTTCGTTTGGTCTACCCCTTCCCTCCGTCCCGACGCGTTTCCTGAAGCTTCGCTTGAAGCTGGTGCCGGCCCGCACCGGGCCTCTGCAACATGCTGCGTAGAACGCGAGATGGTCACACCGAGAGACGCAGATCCCATAGGGCCGAGGCCACCGTGTACGTAGCAACGCCCGTTCTCTCCCTTCTCGCGGAACGCTGCTAGAGCCCAGTGAGTCGTCTTGACCCAACCCTTCACGAACATGATCCTGTCTTCAGGCAGGTCCAAGCCCATGGATTCGGCGAAGGCGACCCAGTTGTCGATGTGCTTCCTCATGTAGGTCGTCATGCATTTCGTGTGCAGGACCTCCTGGAGCTCTGCCGGTGAGCCCAGAACGAGAACTGCACCTTGTTGGTCGGTACATTCGAATGAAAGATCCGCGGATACAGCGTGTCTGATGTGTTTGAGTCCAGTGAACGCGGGCAATGCTGGAAATGACCCACGTGGATCCTTCCGCCTCGACGCGGACCTGCCTCATCGTTCTGCTATACAGGGGCCCAGAGATCGCATTCCCAACTCGGAAGAGCGGGTGAGTCAGAACGAGTTTTTCAAACCCGTCCGGAACATTGGGCATATCCTCTGGACGTTGGTTGATCGGATCGTCCGCGTCTCGCATGGCGTTGAAGAGGCGGACGAAAGCTCCTCGGTGCAGATATCCAACGTCGCCAAGGTGGACCTCGCCCGCTTGGCCATCTTCCCGCGGCTCCGGGTACCACAGAGGATATCCCTTGCCCAGGGGACAGAGTTGGCGAGCATAGACTTCCTCGACCGGGGTCATAGACGACATCATTGGTCGTACGCAGATGACGGTGAAGGGGAGGGCAATGGTTGGGTCGACGACTATAAGGGTTTTTGAGAAAAATTAGGTTCTTAGCGCACGCGTACGTGATAAATATGAGCACACCGTTTCGGTTTGGATGTTTCTAGCGCAATGGGAGGCTATGTGGACATTCTATCCTGGTCCTGACGCCGCGCTTGTACTGCCAATGCAATTACGGTTCCTCTATCAGGGTCGCCATGAGAAGACAGCGCGAGTGTCCTAGATGGTTCAACAGTGAGTACGACGGTTCTGTGAGCATGAAGTATTACCCCTAGAGTAGTTTATTGTCGAGTGCGATGAGCGGACGTACACACCGGTCACATAGATGTGACGATTCGAGCAAATCGACGCTGACAAGAAATCAGCAATCGCAGGGGCAGGAAAGCCTTCGGTGACGATGAAGCTGTCCATGCTTCGCACTCTAGAATATAACCCTATTTGCGGACAGAAAAGGCTATGCAATTGAAAGGGATTCCTCCCACGTTGCGCACAACGTCAAGGCATTTGGGAGATACGCCAAGGGCTGTGTAGCCTTTCTTTCGTCAAAAAGCTCACAGGTGTCCAGTCACCATGTTGTCGACTTAGTCTGATTCTATCACTGCCAGTTAGATTGGATCGCAGTCATGTCCAGAGTGCAATAGCACACGGGAATAGAATAGCATAGGTCGTCTCTGCAATACTCCGGGATCATTCGTGCCATTACGACATTCACTGGAGCTCACCTTACACGAGCGAAAACCATCTACGCTTGCAGCTGGTCAGGCGAAGCTTCGATAGCATCGCATTAGGTTCTAGCCACACTACTATGTATAGGTCACCACGAGCTTCTACTTCCTCATCTGCCTTGTGTCACATCAGTATAGTCAAGTATTGAGGGTTCGTGGACAGCCAAGCCGCCAGCTCCCTGACCAAGTGCGCCGCATTTGCCTCCAGAGTCTGGTCCCGTGTCCGCGCCACATCCACAACCGTCTTCCTGCGCTGCTTCGTCGCGAGCACGAGGCCGACCTTCCTAGGGGAGAACGACACCGACACCAGGTTGAAAGGGACCGAGCGCGAGCCGTTCGGCGTCTGGCATCGCGACGGCGGGGCGGACGGGGTCCACGGCGGGCCAGACACAGAGATGACGCCCGCGCGGATGCCGTAGAGCCGTACGATGTCCTCGAGGCGTGCGCGCGGCTGCATGAGGTCGAAGAGGTCCTTGAAGCTCTCCTCGCGCTCGAGGTGGAGCTCGCTCTCGTCCGCCCAGACGTCCTCGCGGACCTTGAGCGCGATGAAGAGGTCGAGGACGTGCGTCTCGCGCTGGAGAGAGCGCACGGGCGATACGGGCGGGTCCGCGTCGCTGACTTCGGGGGTCGCCATCGGAAAGGGGTCGGAGGAGTAGGGTGCGCGGACGAGTGAGCTGTAGATGGGGAGGTAGGTCGAGCGGAGGACGTGCATACACGCTTGGGGTGTGTAAGTCTAGGTAGGAAGTATGTAGCGGGACGAGGAGACATACCGATGTAGAGAGAGCGACTGACGCGCCGAAGGCTTACTGTGAGCCAGTAGAGGATCCGCCTCTGCCCCTCCGGCTGCCCTCGAGGGAATATCTCATACACTGTCCGCAACAGCAGATATGGTGGCAAAGTCGACAGCGTAATACGTCGAGACGAGTCTGAGAACGATGGAGGTCTATCCGCCGCCGCCGCAGCGTAGGACGGCGGAGGAGTGAGAATGACCTTGCTGTCGAGGATCATTTTGCGGAGGTGTCTCGAGCTGTCAGTTCAGGAAATCTCAGGATGATAGTGAGACGACGCTGGAGATGTCGATGATGGCTTAAGTAGACGAATAGCCCGACGTGCGCAGCCTTTAGAGCCAAGTCCCCAGGGTTCGCAGCAGGCGTTCGTGGACCGCGCGATCATATTGCGCATACGATGAGCACTGCGGCATCACACTGCGCAGAATGAAACATGGCCGAGCAAGAAACCAAGAAAAGGCATTCAGATAGCAAAGTGAACAGACAGAACCAGATGTTCGAGTGAACGTTGAGTAAACGAGGATTTCGTTGGCGACGGCGAGCCTCGTGTGGCACTGGTTCGGCTCGGCTCAGTTCAGCCGGCCGTGGCCCCAAGAAAGCCCATCTGGTGGATCTCGTTGTTCACGACTGAAGGCATTGTTCGCCCTCTTCAGCCTCTGTTCGTCGAACGCAAACGCCTCTTTCTATCGCAGAGTTGAAGCCTTCCCCAGACCTTCGAGACCGCAGTGCTCCTGGGAGGAGGCTGGATTTGGGCGGCTTGCACACTTGTTTTGCCGTGTCCGAGGTCCACGGCAGGACCCGGAACCGCGTGGCTGGCTGCTGTCCTGGACGACGAGGCGAGGAGCACCGACGACGAGCAGACGAATCCACCCACAGAGCGATGGGCACATCCAAGAGGAAGGCTGCGAAGCCCCCGCCGCAACGTGAGTCGTCCAGCTCGCGTGCTGGAGAGACTCGGTTGATCAGCTCTGCCTCGTCACCGCCCAGTGCGCTCCCGCACAACGAGGAGCAGAGGCAAGGTGCGTCCCACCCATCTTATCGCCCTGGCCACGCGACTAACGCTTTCTCTTCGCCTCGCAGCCCCTAAACCTCTCTGATCCTGCAGAGAATAGCCAGCTGCTCAATGAGCAGCTGCGCGCCATGGGGCTCTATGCTGCCCCGACCCTCGGCGACGGGAACTGCCTTTTCCGCGCGCTCTCCGACCAGCTTTACGGCACTCCTGCGTACCACCTCAGACTGCGGCAGGAAATCTGCGACTGGATAGAATCTCACAAGCAACGCTACGAGCCCTTTGTCGATGACGAACGGGGTCTCGACGTCCATCTACAATGCATGCGACAACCAGGTGTGTGACTCGTGCATATGTTCTGAGCGGTGTTTCCCGGGAAGTGCCTCGCGTCATAAGACTACTCAAGTGCAAGCAAAGCCTACGCTTATTGCGGCCCACATTATCTCGTTACAATGGCGAATGTGGTTCGCGCCTAGATTGCTGTCCTGTTTGGTCTAAGCGCCAGCCTGCAAATGTTCGTTAGGGTTGCTGCAGTGCTGCCCTGCATGTCGATATCCAGCGGGATTGTTCGTTGCTTGTGACCGTTGCTCGTCTCTGACGCACTCAAAACGGTGTGCTACATATGTATGCTATCAACACGCGGAGTGCTGTTTCTTGGGTCGCACTGTATGATTTCCGTGACTCATTCTTATTACAGCGACGTACGGCGGGCACCTCGAACTATCCGCCTTCGCACACATGAAGCGCCGTGACGTCAAAGTCATCCAGCCCGGGCTCGTCTACGTTATCGAGTGGGCCGCGGGTGCCGACGCCGACGACGACGACGCAGACAACGCCCCCTCGACATCGTCCGCACCGTCCGCGCCTACTACAGCGGTCGAGTCATCGGGCAACGAGCGCGAGAAACGGCGCGCGGCGCGCGACCGCAAGCGCGCAGAGAAGGAGCGCGAGAAGCTCCCGCCGCCGCCCGAGCCGTCAGAAGAGGACGACCCTCCTGGTCCAGTCTACGTTGCGTGTGTACATGTTCATTCCCCCTTGTCTGCAGCACCCTGAAGTGTGTAATAGATATCATGATTGGGAGCACTTCTCATCAATACGGAACCTGCGAGGTCCAGCCACGGGCCTGCCTAATGTCGTCGAGATGCCAGCACCCGATGAATCGAGGCCTCCTTCTCCGGTGCCAGCCAAGAAGAAACCAGTGTCGAAGGTCAAGACAAAGCCAGAGCCAAAGGCGAAGCCCGAATCGAAGGCCAAACCTGAGTCGAAAGCGAAGGGTAGAGTAGCTGCACTCGCCGAAGCCGGCGCTTCGGAACCACAAACACCATCGCAGATCCCGCTGCCCTCATCCCGCTCCGTATCACCGATCCCTTCTGCAGCAACGCTGCCGTCAGACGCGAACGAGGCCGTCTCATACCGCTCGCCCAAGCGGACGTTCGACGAGTCGTCTGCGTCGTCGCAGGGCCATTCCGACTCGCAGAGCGCGTCCAAGCGGCAGAAGAGCTCCTCGCGGCCGTCGTCAAAGACTCCTCGGGACAGTGAGCCTCCACTGCCGGGCAGTGCCCCGCACGGCATGGACATGCTCGTCGACGACGCGGACATCGACACGCCCGAACTGTCGGCGTCGGGTTCGTCGTCTGCATCCGAGAGCTCCCTTTCCTCTTGCTCGTCGCCGGCACCCTCACCGCCCCCCGTCGTGGTGCCGCCCTCTCCAGTCCAGCCGCGCCTCACACGCCGGCAGCGCAAGGCTCTCGGTCTGCCGAAGCCGCGCTCGGCGCTCGTGGCCAGCGCGACGGCGAAGACGAGGGGCGCGGGGAAGATCGTCATTCCGGGCGGGAAGTCGAAGAAGTTCAAACCTGTGGTGCAGGACACGGGCGCCGGCGAGGACGAGGAGGACGTGGACGTGGATGCGAGCGCGGAGTGGAGGCAGAACGGCACGGGCCGCGTGGACGTGCGGGGGTTCCGCGAGCTGAAGATTTAGCGGCGCGCGCGCTGCACTCGATCTATCACCCACTTTTGCATCGGCAGGGACATTCTTCGCACATCTCGCACAGCATCATCTGGACTCGTCTCTCGTGTCTTTGTCGTCGTCGTCTTGTTTTGTGTCTCGCAGCGCACCGCAACGCATCTCCTACGCAGCATCCTTTTTGTCTCCCCCTCCTCGTTTTGTACTCCGCATCACATTCTGCATCATCGCCCCGGGCTGCCTCCCTCCATCTTCCCCACACGCCAGTGATACCGCGCATAATTACGACTAGCGGCTGGACTCTCTGTATCGCATACGACACGCAAGTCTGCCCACGACCTACATACCTCTCTTCTGATCTCATCCCATGTCAATCCGGACTAACATCAGAGTTGCATGGCATGACGCGTCTCCGCCCGTCCGGATACCACATCGTCGCGATACCTCGTACATACATCCATCTCTTCCATCTCTTCCATCTGTGTATTATGGCTTGCGACTGGCGCCTTCGCATGTGTACCACTACCTACTAGATGTGCTAATAAATCCTCATTAGCTATAGACTTTAGTGCTTTCCTGCGATGACTCCGATTCTAGATGTCTAGTGCGCACATGGGCTGGTCGGTTTCGCTCTCAATGATCAAGGTCAAACAGCATTGTGGAGTACACTTACGTGACAAAGGTACCAAGGCTGGCAGCTCCCATTCGCGCACCATACCATCATCTGATGCAGACGCGATATGCCTGTTGTCGTGGGAGAAGGAGAGGTGGTTCACGTTGTCGGTGAGCCCGGGCAACTGCCAGTGAGCGACCTCCTGCTTCGTCGACATGTCCCACACCGTGATGGTGTGGTCCTCACCACCCGCGGCGAACAGACGACCGTCCGCAGAGAACGCGGGGGACGTGACGACCTTGTTGCCGCCGTCGATTGTGTTGAGCAGCTCGGCCGTGAAGGAGTCGTACGTCTTGATCACCCGCTCACTGCCGACGGAGTGAAGCTCTTTGCCATCTGCAGAGAACGCCGCCGCGCACACCGAGCCATCTTCGCCTTCACGCAGCCTCGCGAACTCGTCTCCAATTAACGCGCTCCAGATTCTAGTGGTTCCGTCGTCTGCGCGTGTGACGAGCCTTTTCCTGTCGGGAGAGTACGCTATGGTGTAGATGACTCCCTCATGCCCTTTCAAGTCACAGACATGCGCCGCGGTATGGGTGCTCCATACGCGTGCGGAACCATCGGAGCTCGTAGACACGAATCGCTCGTTGTCGGGGGCGAACACGACGTACATGATAATCCCGCCATGTTCCTCCGTCGTCCCGCGCAGGTTTCCGGTCTCTGCCTCCCAGAGCTTCACGACAGAGTCGGCACCGGAAGCAATCAGCTTTCCGTCCGCCGAGTATGCAACGCGCTCGACGGTACCCTGATGGGCGTTGAGCGACCGGATCGACCCTCCGTCGATGAGGTCCCAGATAATGACGCGTCCATCGCGTCCGCCTGAGACCAGCTTGCTCCCGTCTGGAGAGAAGACAAGAGCGGAGACGTTGCCGCTATGTTCTTCGAATTGGAAGCGCACAGAGCGATTCATCGCAGTCCAGACGACGATGGTGTTATTCTCGCACCCAGCGGCGATCTCCCTACCCACGGGCGAGTATGCGAGCGCAGAAATCCCGCCACAGCGCTCGGCGCAAGCAAGCGGAGGAAGTAGAATGCATGTGCCCGAGTGATTGGGCAGATGGACTGCATGTGGTGATCCTGGCGCTTGTGCATCATTATGGGGACCCTCAACGTGAATGTTTGCGTTCTCTGGGAGCCTCAGGTCCATAACTTGAACATCGTCGAAGCGCAACATGCCAACTGGGAAGTCCACAATGAATATGCGCCTCGATGCGTGAAGGCGACAGCACTCACGACCGTCCTCGGTGACCTCAATTTCGGGCGAGGAATCCTCAAGGAAGCGCGGAATATCATCAGGGATTGGGTATTGACATCGATTCTGCGGTCTCGTGAATTCGATATCGGCGATGCAACCACGTTGATCACCTACTTTGCACACACGAATTAGGTCTATATCACTTGCGACTGCTACCGCTGCCTCCGAATGCTATGAGCGACGGTCAGTTGAAACGTTGCCTGTGCACAATTTGGAAACTCGCCTCGAATATGTAATTCAAAATGAAGATGACAGGGTCATAGGGCCACTTTCAAAGAGAATATGTATGAGGTATAATACGGAGACGACGGAGACGACGAATGTATTCGTACTCACTTGACGGAGATCTCCACCTGACTCGATCTCTATATCCTCCGACTCATCGTCCTGAGGTTTGACGCCAGTTGCGGTCTTCAATGAGGGCAGTGGTGGGCGCTTCTTCAGTTTGAAGTAGTGCAGGAACATACACTGGTCCGAGGGGTACTGCTCCTGAGCCTGGTTTCCCCACGGTCCGGAGGAAGGGCCAGCGTCCATTTCTCTGGAACGTCGTTGGTCCATGTCATCTGCACGACCCTTCCCTTTCTTCTTTTTGCTTCGCTGATTCTGAGCCTGGGTAAGACTTGGAGGCTCTTCCGGTTGAGCAGGCCCCAGAGGTCTGTTCGGATTCAGTCGGGGACGGTTGTCTGGCCCTATTCGAGGGAGACATGTCGCAGCTGTCTCTCTCTGCGTCTCAATTCGAAATGCGGCAGAGACAGGCAGTCCCAAGTCGCCGTTGAAGGTAAGCTTCGCATGCCTACCAGTGTTACCGAAGAAGGCTGCGACGGCCCAACGACTCGTTTTGACCCACCCTCGGACGAAGAGTATGTCTTCGATAGCGACGCTGTAACCTACCTCATCTGAGTTCGCCCAGCGGTGCCAAGTATCTATGTTCTCCTTCATATATTTGGCCATCCGGCGAGTCTGCTGCACGAGTTCACGCTTTCCGGGGGTATCGAGGATGGCCAACGCGCCTTGTTGGTCGGTACATTCGCATTGAAAGGCGACGTTGACGCCGTGGCTGTGAAATGAGTTCGATCAGAGAGCGCCACACATTACTGAAGAGCCACTTACGATCCAGCTCCGCCTCCTACCTCGAGACGACGGACAGTTTGACTGAACAAGGGACCTTCATTGATGACATTGTTTGCTGTGATGATTGGTATCATGCCGAGTTGGAATTTCTTGAAATTCGGAGGGACGGCAATATGTATACTGTCCTCAGCCTCCCTCATCGCATTAAAGAAGCGGTAGAAGCCTCCTTGACCAAGATATCCGACATCGCCGATTAGTACCTCGCCTTGCCCGCGCGCGTTCTTCGGCTCGGGCTCCCATAGAGGATATCCCAGCGCGAGCTTGAAGAGTTGTTGCGCGTACACATCGTGCGCATTTTCAGGCATATTCGTTTCGTTATCTCTGTCAGAGAGGTGTGAGGTGTGAGGTGATGTGAGGGTACGATATACGATTGTGACTCACAGTATGTTCTCTCTAAGGAGCCAGCTACTAGATGTTAGCCGGTTTGGGTATCCAGCCTTATATCGATTTTGGGGTCGCTCATGGTTTCAGTGTTCGTAGAGCCTGGAACAATAGCAACCTTGGTCACGCATACGTTTCGTGTGTGAAGCACTAGCGGTTGCGACGGTCTGTGTCAGCATTATGTGTACGGCGGCCAATTGAAACACTGCCTGCATACCAATCAAGAGATCTCCAGCAGTAAGCAATCCAAAACGACAGCATACACTTCACTGAAGGGGTGTCGCCCTCAAGTGACCACTCGGATGAGCATACACATAATCTCCGCGACATGTCTCATGTACGACTTTCCATTGCAGGCGTGCAACCTCATTCGTCATCTGTATTGTCGGATCCCATGGCGATTTTAATGCCTATCTCCTCGCTTCAGTATTATTGCTCCTTGCGATACCCAATGATCTCGCACATACTTGCATATTTTAGTACACTTCTCCAATGATATATTATCAATTGCGACTGGTGCTGAGTCGGTCTTCACATGCATCACGTTTCACTCTGCTAACCCTGTAAACGAGGGACTCAGCATAGCACTCAACCCCAGTACGCAGCATGATGGGACCTACCCTGAAGCCCCACTCGCATCGCTGGCAGCTCCCATTTTCGACCAGTGCGGTCGTCTGAGGCGGATGCGAGATACTTGTTATCGCGAGAGAAGACGAGGTAATACGTCGCCAGTATGTCCGCTCAAGCGCACGACCTCCAGCCTCGTCACTGTGTCCCAGACAGTGATGGCGTAGTCCAGGCCGACGGTGACGAGCAGACGACCATACGTGAAGAACATCGTGCTCATGGCACCCTTCATCCTGTCGCCGTGGTCGATGGCGTGGGGGAACTGCTCGGCGGGGAAGGAGTTATGCCTCTTGATGACTCGTTCACTGACCACAAAGTGCAGCTTCCTGCCGTTTGCAGAGAACGTAGTTGCCCACACCGAGCCGATTCCCCCTCATTCAGCGTCATGAGCTCATCTCCGAGTAGTGTAGTCCAGGCCCTGGTAGTGCCGTCTTTCGCGCCTGCAACGAACCTCCTCCCGTCAGGAGAATACGCGATGGTGTTGATGGTCCCTCTGTTTCCCTGTGGATCGCAGCTGTGCGCCACCGTGTGTCTGTCCCACACGTGCGCGGTGGTTTCTGCGCATGTAAAGAATTGGTCGTTCTTGGGTGAGAAGGCGACAGTCGTGATGGTTCCGTAGTGTTCGTCAGTCACCGCATGCAAGTTCTTCATCTCGGCGTCCCAGAGCTTCACGATGGAGTCCGCCGCGGAAGCGTGCACCACCCCGCCAGGCGAGTATGCGGCCAGCTGACGGTGTCCTGATGAGCATGCAGCGAACAGATTACCCGTCCTGCGACGAGGTCCCATAATGACACGCCCGTCGCGCCCTCCAGAGACGAGCGTGTCCCTGCCTGGAGAGAAGGCAGGGCAGGAGACGGCTCCGGTGTGCTCGTGCAAGCGGTGTCGAGTCGCGTCAAGTCGCATTCCAGACAACGACAGTCCTCGAATCCCACGACGATGTCCTTCCCCATGGGTGAGTATGCGAGCGCAGAGGATCCATCTTGACATTCGCCATCGGTTGGCGCAGGGAAGCGCAAGACATGCGTGTCTGGTTGGTATACGTTGTTGACATCGTTTGCATGGGCTCCAGCGTACATTCACCTGGGACGTCCGGGGCCTGTTCGGTGTTGATCGTGCGAATCGTTCAGTAGGTAGTACTAGTCCTGTTGCAATATTGTCATGCTTGATCGTATCTAGTGGATAGAAACATACCAAGGACAAGTGTGGTGCTTCTGGTGTCTCCAGTTTCCTCAAAGCCTTGGCGGAGTTGAATGCACTTGACCTTTTGGCAGGCGACATCGAGCGAATAGCAGTCGATTATGCAGTCTGCGGCATGCGACTATACGCCGAGTCCTCAACGTCAGAACTCGAGGGTACAGGATGTTAATGCTATGCCGGCACTGTCAGTCAATGTCCACCTACAGCTGTGTCCCGGCCCGGGGAGGTTGGGCGGTGTTGCATGAGCGATGACGGGCATTGAACATTGTAGCTAGACGTGGTGACCTGATAGCATCTTCGCCAAATCCGGCATGAGTACGGGCTATGAACCGTAACACGAGAGATGCAAAACCCCTCGCCGTTCGTGTTGGACCACCTGCTCTGTGGTTATGGCGCGTCGCAGGCTCCAGTACACTGCCAAGGGGACGTCGGGACGTCAAATCGCCACAGCGGCAAGCAAGTGCAACGCGCCATCGGTGCGGTGAACGTGGACTTCTTCGCAAGAATTCAGAAAGGACGTCCAGCTCGCTCTAGTCGTTTCGTGCTTAGCACAGGGCTGATAATTCGGAAACGCCGGAACTAGGGTACAGGAAGACACTGACCTAAATGGGCTATGATAGTCACCACAGACGTAGGTGTGCCCGCAAGGACCCGCACATTGTTATGTCACAGCAACTGTGCCAAACATCATCAAGTTCGCCTGTATGTACAGAGGTAAGTACGGACACCGCACTGGGGCCATGTCTGGAAATGGCTGTTACGACGACGGCGCAGATCCGCCTCCGGCTCAGTTCACTCGGACTACGGAAAACAACTTGATGCCATACGCGACGGATTGTAAGTACTGATTCCTGCAGACCGAGCATTGATGACCAGCATTGTTGACGAGGATCGATGCTGAAGCACTGACGGGCCACTGCCAGCGGCGAGCGGCGAGCGGCGTATGCCAGGTGTGCACGTGACCTTGGTGCACGCGCGACGCGCGTCAGGAGCCAATCGCAGTGTGAGGACCCAAGAATGGAATTTGTCAGTTCGTCCAGTTCGCCTGGTTCCTCGCCATGTCTTGCCGAACCAGCTCATACACGCCGCGTGTTTTCTCAGTCAATTTTCCGTATAAAATTCGTTTCTTCACTATCTGAAATTGACAGCTCACAATCATCTGTTAGACCGTGACGGGCTGCAAGTCAGACAACACTGGCATGTCCCGACGCGACGCAGTCCTTAGCTGGGACAGCTTCTACTCACGAAACCGAATTTGCGAAGGGGGCACGGTCGCAAGGCTTGATTGCGTCCGATATCGGTACGTCAGATCCGGTCAATATTCAGGACACGTCGAGTGGTCTACTAGGCCAACATGCATTGCGCGGCATTGAACTCGAACTCAGGCTTCATTTCACAACCTTGCTATGTAGCGGTACGCTACCTCGCTCGTATGTCTGCCAGTCCAAGGACCGGCATGGCACGATGATGACTCAAGAGCTCCGTGTCGACTGTATCTAAATCATCTAGCGTTGATCACGGCGATCGAACTGACGGGCCGTCCCCTTGAGCTTGAGTAAAATCCCCCGTCCGCGGCCATGCTTCGAATTTCCCAAGCTTAGTTGGCTGTTGCTTCCCCGACAACGTGTCTACCGCATGTCAATCTGTGTGTCGTCTACAGTGGCTAGGACGTTGACGTGCGGGCTCGTCTCGTGGCCTTGTATGTTTCTCCTTTGGATCGCGCACATCTACATCTATGGTGGCGGTTCGGCGGATAGGCTCAAATACTCTTGCTTACATCCAGTCATGGCCAGTATCAACTGATTACAGGGCCATCCAGTACTGTTCATCTCGTTCTTCGATACCTCGTACACACATATCTGTTCGTCCACCTGCCAATCATGGCTTATATCTAGCGCCTTCATGCGTGTTCGAGGATTCTCGTCAGCCTTCAGTCGCGAGGTGCATCTCGGTAGCCTCATCAAATAGTGTGCCGACTATGAAACTCATGGTCAACACCGGCCAACCAGTGTTACTTAATACGACTCACGTCCATCCTCAGTGACGTTAACGGGAGGCTTGGTTTCTTCCAAGAATTTCGGTATATCATCAGGAATTGGGTATTCATCGTCAGTTCGACCCTGTAGTCCCCCCCGAGTTCAACAATGCCGAGAGTCGATCAAGAACGACGGACCTTACACAAGCGTATCAAGTCGAAATCACTAGCGATCGCAACATTCGCCTCGGAGTTCTGTGTTCGATGATGAGATAAGGTATTGGTTCGAAGCGGACCGTGAACTAACCTTCAGTATGTAGTCCAGAATAAAAACGACAGGGTCGTATGGCTTGGACTAACAAGACATGCATGAGACATGATGTAACAGAACGCCATGTGTATACTCACTCGGTCGGTATTGCCATCTGACTCGTCTTCTACTGGCTCTGTATCAACGACCGAATTAGAGAGAGCTTCCTCCGAGGTTGGACGCCTCTTCAATTTGAAGTAGTGCAGAAACATGCATTGATCTGAGGGAAAGTTTTATCCGCCCGTTGCCATGGAATGTTGCAAGTCCGCACCGTCTGCAATGCTGCTAACTTTCTCCCTTCCTCCCTGCAGTCCTTGCACGGGTGCACAACTCGAGGATCGAAATAGCCCCATATGCCTCAGGCCATCTGTCCGAGGACGATCTGGCCCTACTCGAGGAAGGCATACCCCTCGTTGCGTCTCAAAAGCGGCATATGCAGGGAGGCCCAAATCGCCGTTGAAAGTAAGCTTCTCACCCCTGCTGTCTTCGGCGAAGGCCACGGCAGCCCAACAACTGGTTTTGACCCACCCTCGAACAAACAGTATGTCCTCGATGGCGACCATGTCGCGCGCACCTATACCGCTCAAGGTCGCACCAAGGTGCCAGATATCTATGTTCTCCTTCATGTGTTCCACCATCTCGCGAGATTGCTGCATAACTTCGTGCTTGCCAGGTGTACCGAGGATAGCCAACGCGCCTTGTTGGCCAGTACATACGCATTGAAAGGCCACGTTGGCGCCATGGCTACGAACAGAGTCGAATCCGAGCGAAACGCAAGCCGGTAAAGAGACACTTACGATCCTACTGTGCCTTTTTCCATGACACGATGGACAGTTTGACTGAAGAGGGGTCCTTCAGGGACGGCAGTTGCCTCGGCTCTTGGTGTCGACCTGAGATCCAATTTCTTAAATCCCGGAGGGACACAGATTTGTGTACTGTCATTGGCGTCTCTCATTGCATTGCAGATACGATAGAATCTTCCCTCGTCCAAATATCCGACATCGCCAATCAGTACCTCGCCTTCTTCTACCCTGGGTTCGGGATCCCATAGAGGATAGCCTAATCCTCGCCTGAAGAGCTGTTGCGCATACACGTTCCAGTGGCAGTCAAAACCTTCCACTGGGGCCTCCATTCGGCTACGGGTAAAATTTGCTTACTGTAGAGTGTGAAGTGAATACACGCGCACGGTATTTGAATGTGGCAGACTCACATCTATGGAGTATCGAGTGCCTAAAGTGGGCTTCAGAAAGCCGGATATGTCGTTTGGGTTGGCATAGCCAACCTTTTAAATGATTCGACAGCCACTCATTTTCCTTCGTCGCATAGTTTAGAACAATAGCAATCTATCATGCAAACGTGTATCAGGTCCAGAACCGCATCACTCAAAGGGAGCTACAGACCTGAAACAGTGTCTTGTACACGGCGAGATACTACTATATCACTTACAGACGAACACAGAACCATATAAATATACCTCCAGACATAGTCCCAGGACAAAAGAGCAGGGTGATACGGCTTCGAACGCACAACCTCCACGAAACACTGACATGTGTACCCCTATTGTCTTTCGGATAGGGACGAATGCCGCCAGACACGAGCCGCTTGGGTATGTGTATGGTGCGCTCAGAAATAGGCGAGTTGGGTCGCTGAGCGGAATACCAATAGAGTGAAGCTGCACTCTTACAAAAGACAACCGAAGCTTGTCATTAGTCCTGGCTCGCCCTCAATTCAAAGTTAATGGTGATTTCGATCATGTCAGACGTACTGTATGGCTTGACTCGGTCAAGCTTTTGGTCTGCTTCCTACCGGGACTGAAAGCGAAGCTTGGAAAAGTCATCCATCAATTCACCGAAACTTCGCGTGCTGTCAGTGGGTTCGCCGTCTTGTACGTCCGTGGATATGGCACGTCACAGTGCACTGCCTGACTGATACCGGGTCACCACAGCAGCGAGCAAGTGTGGGATGCTATCAGGGTGCGTGAAGCTCCACAAGAATGCACACGGGACGTCCATCCGACTCCAATCAGCCCTAGTCGCTTCGTGCTCAGAGTTAGCAAGTCGCGGGCAGGACCAGGGTACAGGGAAACACTAACATAAGAGAGCTTTCATAGTAGCCCCAGGAGTGGGCGCGCCCGCAGAGACCCGTGCACGAGATTATCAGTACTGGCAGTGCTTCCGCGACTGTACAGAGGTCTCTGGACATAGCCTTTACGACGACGTCGCCGTTCTGCCTGTTAAGGCACGCCATCGTGGCGCGCACGCACGCTCAGCCGCAATAGCGCCTAGCTGAGGATAGCTTACAGAGGTCAGAGGATATACAGTGACAGATTTGTTTGTTGTATTTACCTCACTTCCGAGTCTGGCATCGTTCGTGCCCGCCGACGTCGTGATCATTCTTTGCTTGTCCTTTGGCCTCTGATTTCGGAAGGTGTAAGCTCCATGCTACATAAAAGTTGTGATTAGTGATCCTATGCCTGTAGTACAGCGGGGATGAGCACAGTGAGGACCGTAACGGCGACTTGCGACTCCGAGCTCGGAGGAGGCCCGGCGTCGGGCGAGCGCTGGGCGAGCGTCCGCAGTGGGGGTACACGTGATCGTGGCGCAGGCGATCTCGTTCTCGAAAATGGAATTCGGCGCCTGTGGCTGTCGGTCGATGACTAAATGTATCCCCCCCTCCTCCTCCTCCTCCTCCTCCCTTCTGTAGTCGTCTGGTTATGCTAATTGTTTGACTCTGCCCCTTCACCACGTCCGAAAAGTACTTATATATGCACGTCGCGCTCCTCCTCAGTCGACGTTCTGTTTATTCACATTCCTTGTGCTCCTTGCTTTCTGGCGCCGACAGCTTTCAATCAAATCATCTACATAAGTATGTAAAACGAGACACTCTGGGATAGTGGCTGGCCAATCGTCGTCTCATGACTTTGTTTGTTTCCCCCTTGCATTGCACACATCTATGACTGGCGTTGTTCGACGACTGTCCTATTCCACACTATCCGATCGTAGCGAAGTTCAACTAGTCCGAGTCAAGGCAATCTGGTATCATTCGGCTCGTTCTGTGAACCTCGTACATACGTAGCTACTCGTCCATCCACAGCGTGAAGCTTGCATCTGACGCCTTTGCGCGTTGTTTGACGACTCCCGTCAGTTCCCTTCATCGACGCGGTGAATACTGCGGTCAGTCCTCAGTATTCCCATATGCATTACAGCCACTTACGTCTAAGCTGTCGTCGTCACCAGGGCAGGGAGCTCCCATTTGCACACCGTACCGTCATCCGATGCAGATGTGATATGCCTGTTGTCGTGGGAGAAGGCAAGGTAGTTCACGTTGTCGGTGTGCCCGGGCAACTGAACAACCTCCTGCTTCGTCGCCATGTCCCACACCGTGATGATGTGGTCCTCACCACCCGCGGCGAGCAGACGACCATCCGCAGAGAACGCGGGAGCCATAGCGACCTTGTCGCCGCCGTCGATTGTGTCGATCAGCTCGGCCGTGAAGGAATCGTACGTCTTGATCACCCGCTCACTGCCGACAGAGTGAAGCTCTTTGCCATCTGCAGAGAACGCCGCCGCCCACACCGAGCCGCCTTCGCCTTCGCTCAGCCTCGCGAACTCATCTCCAATCAGCGCACTCCAGATCCTAGCGGTGCCGTCGTCTGCGCCTGTGACGAGCCTTCTCCCGTCGTGAGAATACGCGATAGTGTAGATGACTCCCTCATGCCCTTTCAGATCGCAGACATGCGACGCGGTGTGGGTGCTCCATACGCGTGCGGAACCATCGGAGCTCGTAGACACGAATCGCTCGTTGTCGGGCGAGAACACGACGTACATGATAATCCCGCCATGTTCCTCCGTCGTCCCGCGCAGGTTTCCGCTTTCGGCCTCCCAGAGCTTCACGACCGAATCGGCGCCGGAAGCAATGAGCTTTCCGTCCGCCGAGTATGCAACGCGCTCGACGGCACCCTGGTGGGCGTTGAGCGACCGGATCGACCCTCCGTCGATGAGGTCCCAGATGATGACGCGCCCGTCGCGTCCGCCTGAGACCAGCTTGCTCCCGTCTGGAGAGAAGACGAGGGAGGAGACGGTGTCGCTATGATCTTCGAATTGGAAGCGCACAGAGCGATTCATCGCAGTCCAGACGATGATGGTGTTATCTTCGAACCCGGCAGCGATCTCCCTACCCACAGGCGAGTATGCGAGCGCAGAGATCCCACCTCTGCGCTGTTCGCTGCTCAGTGGAGGGAGCGGCAGAACGTGATACTGATCTCCGAGCTTCCATTTGTCCTCGTCGCGGCTGCTCGGAGGAGTTGCAGAGTTGATATCAATTGCTCCTGCTCCTGAGTCAACCTGGCTGGTATCGCTGGCTCCGGGACCAGACACTGCGGAATCCCCTCGCCTGCCTCCGTGATCGTCACCTGCTTCCTTGTGTGGAGTGGGTTCAGTTGATGTGGTGTTCGAGGATCCCGCTGTTGGTGCGCTAGGCAACGCATCTCCAGCCTTCGCACTCTCCGCGATGTGCACCGCAGTGTCATCATCAATAAATTGTAAGAGTCCGACTAAGAAGACCATAGTGAGTACAGGTAGCGATGCGTGATTGAAACAACACTCACGCCCGTCCTCAGTCACTTCAATGTCTGGCTGAACTTCCTCCAGAAAGCGCGGTATATCATCAGGGATGAGCTTAGGACGATCCTCGTCGGATCGACTCTGCAACCCTCGTGAGCTCAAGTTGTTCTGAACAGCAACAGTGACAGCCGACCTCGCACACGCGAATCAGGTCAAAATCACTTGCGATGGCGATCTTGGCTTCAGAGTGCTATGATCGACCGTTAGGTAGTTGAAACATCAATTCGAATAGAGATGGTGAACTTGCCTGCAATATGTAGTCGAGGACGAACATCACAGGGTCGTATGGCTTCAGAATAAAGTATCCATACATGAGATGAATCATTGATACTAAGACGACGTATGCGCCCTTACCGTCTCTCGAGGGGGATCTCCTCTATCAACTCCATAGCATCCTCCGCATCACGGTCCATGGACGGGTCCTGAGGCTCAGCCGCAGCTTCAATCTTCGTAGGAAGTAACAAGCGTTTCTTGGCTTTAAAGTAATGCAGAAACATGCATTGATCCGCGGGATACTGGTCCTCCCTGAGCGACGCGGAGGAGAGCGAGCTGGCATCCGTCTCGCTGGTGTAGCGTTGGTCTGCAAGTTCTCCACGACTCTTGCTTTTTTATTCTTCCCTCGCTTCCCCTGGGCTTGGGCATGATCAGGAGACGGATTCATTCCCAGAAGGCTGTTGAGGGTTGAGTGCCCACGGCCTACCGGCCCTACTCGATGCTCAGGCATATGTTCTCTCTCTGTCAGCAAGCCGAAGTGGACGCCTGCAGAAGCAGGCATGGCCGGCACATTGCCCTCGATGGTAAGCTTCATTGATCTGCTGTCGCCGAAGAAGCTGACGACCCCCAGCGAGTGGTCTTAGTCCATCCTTGGACAAAAAATATGTCCTCAAGAGAAATGTCAAGTCCAGGCTCTCGGTTTCTCGCGTCTGAGCCCGTCGCCCACTGGTGCCAGACGTCTATATTGTTCTTCATGTGTGTCTTCATTCGGCGGTCTTGATGCACCTCTTCGCGTATTCCGGGTGTGTCCAGGATAACCATGGCGCCATATTGGCTAGTGCACTCGCATTCGAACCCGAATTTGGCCCCGTGACTATGTACACAGCATTAATAACGTTAAATATCAGTGATTCCACAAGAGATGCATGAGGAACTACTGACGTTCCAGCATCAGCTCCCATGCCGATGCGACGAACACTTCTACTATAGTGGGGACCTTTGCTCATCGCGTTAGACTTGGAGTGGACCAACGACTGATCGAGGATGAACCTCGCAGAGCCGGAGGGCGGGTTCGGAGTCCCTGTTCGTTGAGTCTCCCCATCCACCACTGTCACTGCGTTGAAGAGGCGGTAAAATGCTCCATGCCTGAGATAACCGACATCACCAATCAGAACCTCGCCCCGCGCCTCCGGCTCAGGTTCCCATAGAGGATAGCCCCACGCGCGATTGTAGAGCTCTTGAGCATACACTTCGTACGCGGCGGGTCCAGCATTCATGGTGGCCGTAGTTGAGGTTGAAGGCAATGAAGGCGGATAGGATGGCCAAGATGATATACAGTTTGGCACGAGGCGGTGGTCTTCTGCGTGCCGCCTCAAATAAGGTTCTATCGATAGACGTGTGGTCCGCTCGTGAGACGGTTGGCTTCATGTTACTGAAGCGCGGGGCGGAAAGAACACGCGGTTCGGAGTTAAAGCCTGCATCCAACAGGGTCAATCTCGACACGTAACTTACGACGCTCGCCATACAACGACTTATTTGAAGTACTCGCCGGTCAACCGATATAAGCCAGCATGCTGCATATGCAGATTCCAATCGCGCAACACAGCCTTCGAAGATGGCAGTGGTAGCCTGAGCAGAGGAAATTGAAAACCGGCCGAACAGCCTCCGAGCTAAGACGCACAGACCACTCGAAAGCTCTACTTCCTTTGACTAGGGTGTCACAGCTTCGTGCCATCGTCATCAACATTTGTACCCTACAGTGACAGGCTCAGCGAATGATATCTGCCGTGACGATGAGAACAAGTCACCAAAGACGCTGTTGCTTCAAGTTTCCATTTCCGCCAACGACTATACATTGATCGTGGCCGTCTTTGAATGCTGAAAGTATTGTTGGTTCGCTGTGAATCCTATTCAGAGTATCACTGGCAGAGAGTCCCGCAGAATGCAGTTTTCTGCCAAGTTCGCGACGAAGCGTCGAAGAGACGCGTCTGCTACGTGATGACTTGGATGAGAAGGTTCAGTGACGTGTCACGTGCCCTCGCGAGTTAGCATTTTGTAGTGCGTTTATTCAAGGTGATCAACTAGTAACGGGCCGTTGGAAAGGAAAAGAAATGTCCCTCTGTTTTCCCTCAACCGCTTCAGCCTAACTAAATCAAATACTAAAAAGTAGCATCATCACTAGTATCGTCGTGGTACATGTGGCTTATCGATTGTATGTTCAATCTGTTCAATTGTTACGGCTCGCCGCATCTGGGAGAACTTTAGATCTATCGTTCGTGTACTATCATCACTCACAACCATAGTGATAATACATGGACCAATCTTGTATCAAGCCCAGCGAGACTCTGATGTCCCTGTGCAAATGAAAGATCTTACGCGTTTAGCTCTCGACACGATACGCAACGCGGTAAGTACTTACGATTAAGCCACTGCTGCCAAAGCCGGGAGTTCCCACTTGCGCACGCTACCATCGTCCGAGGCTGACGCAACGAACTTGTGGTCGTGAGAGAAGGAGAGGTAGTTCACGTTGTCGGTGTGTCCGCTCAACTGTACGACCTCCTGCCTCGCCACCATGTCCCACACAGTGACAACATGGTCCTCGCCCCCGGCGGCGAGCAGGCGGCCATCCGAGGAGAACGTCATGCCCATGGCGACCTTGTCACCACAGTCTATGCTGTGGATGAGGTCGGCGGTGAAAGAGTCGAACGTCTTGATGACCCGCTCGCTGCCGACGTAGTGAAGGACCCTCCCATCTGCAGAGAACGTCGCAGCCCACACCGAGCCTCCCTCTCCCTCGCTCAGCGTCATGAATTCGTCTCCGAGCAGCGCGCTCCAGACCCTGGCGGTACCGTCGTCCGAGCCCGTGACGAGCCTCCTCCCGTCGGGAGAGTACGACACCGTATAGATCACCCCTTCATGCCCCTGCAGGTCACAGATGTGTGACGCCGTATGCGTACTCCATACGTGCGCGGTGCCCTCCGCGCTCGTAGAGACGAACCGCTCGTTATCAGGGGAGAATACGACGGCCATGATGATCCCGCTGTGCTCGTCCGTCCTAGCGCGCAAGTTGCCGGTCTCGGCTTCCCAGAGTTTCACGACCGAGTCGCCAGCCGCTGACGCGAACAGCTTGCCGTCAGGCGAATATGCAACGCAGTCGACGGTGCCTTCGTGAGCGTGCATCGATTTGATCATCCCTCCTGCGATGAGATCCCAGATGATGACACGTCCGTCGCGTCCGCCCGAGACCAGTTTGTTGCCGTCTGGAGAGAAGGCAAGGGAGGAGACGGCTCCGCCGTGGTCCTGGAATTGGTGTCTTGGAGCGTGGTTCATCGCGCTCCAGATGATGATAGTGTTGTTCTCGAAGCCAGCGGCGATGTCCCGCCCTACTGGTGAGTACGCGAGGGCGGAGATGCCACCTCTGCGCTCGCTGCCTGTTGGCGCCGGGAGATGCAGGATGTTCGACCTGTCTCCGTACTTCTTCTCCTCCGCACGGTTATCTGGTGGGATGAATGGGTGGTCGTCGTTTATTCCGGGATCAGCCCCTCCACCTTCATCTTGCATGTCGACGTCCTCCTCTACAGGTGGAGCGGCTTCTTGTTGTACATCATGATGTGGTGCCGCCGCTTGTGCGTCATGCATAGGATCCGCCGCATTTGCGCTCTCGGCGATACGCCTTTCCGTGTCCTCATCGTTGAATAATAGTATGCCAACTGAGGAGACCGTAGTGAGTACAATCCACAATACACGCACGTGAATCCACCTACGTCCATCCTCGGTCACTTCGATGTCAGGTTGAACCTCCTCCAGAAAGCCTCGTATATCATCGGGAATCGGATGTTCACCATCGAATTTACTCTGTGGCCCCTCATGAGCTCTGCCCTGGCGAGACGGGGACAGCGACAGCATACTTTGCACACACGAATCAAGTCTAAGTCACTTGCGATTGCGACGTCTGCTTGAGAATGCTGTGAGCGACGGTGAGATGGAACGACACCTTGATATGGATGGCCACTCGCCTCCAAAATGTAGTCCAACACGAAGACGACAGGATCATATTGCTTTCATATATAGACATGTAAGACGTGTCGCAGGGACAATGTATGTGGACCTACTGGTACTCGAGGCGGAACCTCTTCGATCAATTCCATAGCATCCTCCGCATCACGGTCCACAGACGGGTCTTGTGGTTCGGCGGCAGCTTCGATCTTCGAGGGCAGCAGCAGGCGCTTCTTCAGCTTGAAGTAGTGTAGAAACATACACTGGTCCGAGGGATACTGCTCCTGAGCACCGGCGACCTGGTTCCCCCACTGTCCGGAGGACGGGCCAGCGTCCATCTCTCTGGAACGTCGTTGGTCCATGTCATCTGCACGACCCTTCCCTTTCTTCTTTTTGCTTCGCGGACTCTGAGCCTGGGTAAGATTTGGAGGCTCTTCCAGTTGATTTGGCCCTAGAGGTCTGTTCGGATTCAACCGGGGACGGTCGTCTGGTCCTATGCGAGGGAGACATGTCGCAGCTGTCTCTCTCTGCGTCTCAATCCGAAATGCGGCAGAGACAGGCAGGCCCAAATCGCCGTTGAAGGTAAGCTTCGCATGCCTGCTGTTACCGAAGAAGGCTACGACGGCCCAACGACTCGTTTTGACCCACCCTCGGACGAAGAGTATGTCTTCGATAGCGACGCTGAGGCCTACCTCATCTGAGTTCGCCCAGCGGTGCCAAGTATCTATATTCTCCTTCATATATTTGGCCATTCGGCGAGTCTGCTGCACAAGTTCACGCTTTCCGGGGGTATCGAGGATAGCCAACGCGCCTTGTTGGTCGGTACATTCGCATTGAAAGGCGACGTTGACGCCATGACTGTGAAAAGAGTTTGATCAGAGAGCGCCACACGTTAGTAAAGAGCCACTTACGATCCAGCTCCGCCTCCTACCTCGAGACGACGGACATTTTGACTGAACAAGGGACCTTCATTGATGACATTGTTTGCTGTGATGATTGGTATCAAGCCGAGTTGGAATTTCTTGAAATTCGGAGGGACGGCAATATGTATACTGTCCTCGGCCTCCCTCATCGCATTAAAGAGGCGGTAGAAGCCTCCTTGACCAAGATATCCGACATCGCCGATCAGTACCTCGCCTTGCCCGGGCGCATTCTTCGGCTCGGGCTCCCATAGAGGATATCCTAGCGCGAGTTTGAAGAGTTGTTGCGCGTACACTTCGGACGCAGCAGGCCCAGCGTTCATGGCGATCGGGGTTCAAGATTGAAGAGGAAAGTTTGACAGTCCGGCCGCACAGCTCCGGATGTTCTGGAGGCTGAAGATGATGATGGTGTATTAGCATGTGAGGATCCCACCGTTGTGGTTCTATGCGTACAGCCGCTGCAGCGCTTCATGCAAATTGGGTTCTATCGATAGAGAAGGGAACCCCGGCCCGTGGAACGGACCCCCCAGACACACGAACTGGCCAGACGAACCATTCATTGGAGGCTCTGCATGGCATTGCACAAGTCTCGTCACTAGACCTACCCTTCCTCCATTGAATTGCGTTGTTGGTAGGTATTTCGAGTCCGACTTGTCCTTGTCCCGTAGCTGAGATGTACATACTATATGCGATCCGAGGGACACGATTTGACGATGATTTGACGCCCGAAATGTAAGCTCCGAACTGGAGGAAGCACAGCCTTCACAAAAGCGGGTGGGGATCCGGAGCTGCCAGGGAGGCTACGCCTGCCTGTAGCGGTAGAGGCGGAGTAGTAGAGCACTGTCCGAGTCCACATTAGTACCTCTTGAGCTGAGTCGTGGCATCGCCGGTGGACACAGAACAGGTGGTAGACCCTCTGATCAGGCATTATGAGAGAGAGACTTGTAGTACTAAGTCACCAGGGTATGATACAACTGATGCGGATAAGTTCGAGCAAGCGACCGTGACGAGTCTTAAGTCACGGTGAGGGTAACCTGTCAGTGACACTGACAGCTCATCAATGCATCATCCCGGGATGATTCATATGTGGATATAATGTTGCGCAAACGTTATATGTACTTTGCGTGTCTTGTAACTTACCGATATCGCGATGCCTTCCTCTCAAAAATACAAGATGAACGGATAGATTTGATCCCTAAGGCCAAACGCGGCATACAAGTGTTTGTTCGTTCTAGTCGTAAGTACAGTGACACCGGGAGGCTGCCATGTTGGACGAGGCAAAAAGAGCAGAGACCGGACAAAGAGGAGCAGTATACACTAGGTTCACGCCAAGTAACCTGAGGAAATTACCTTTCGAATCACTGGGCGCCAGCCGAGTCCTCCTCCTCGTCCTTATCCTTGACCGAGTCCTCCTCGTCCTCTTCTTCATCCTCGCCCACCTCGCGTTTCTCGCCCTCCTCGTTTTCCTCATCCCCCTCATCTGTATGCTCCTCCGCCTCATCTCCGTCATCTGAGGGAGGAGGGGATGGGAGATCACTGAGCTGCCAGAGTCGCACACGACCGTCGTCCGCTGCTGAAACTATGCGCTCGTTGTCCGGAGAGAAACAAATGCGAGTGATGATGTCCAGATGGCCTCGAAGCTTCGCGATACGCTTTTTCGTTTCCGTGTTCCAGATCGACAACGAGTAGTCTTCGCCGCCTGCAGCGACAAACCGACCATCCGCTGACAGCGTCGGCGCGCTCGCGAATGCGGAGCCGCCGTCGATGGTGTCGAGCAGCTCGGCACTGAATGAGTTCGCAACCTTCACGGTTCCTTCGCTGGACACGGACAGGACGCGCTGTCCGTCTGCCGAAAACACCGCCATCCATACCGACCCGGAGTTCTCGCTAATTCTCATGAACTCGTCTCCAGATTCGGCGCCCCACACTCTGGCGGTGCCGTCGTCAGAGCTGGTGACCAGCCTGCGGCCATCGGGAGAGAAGGCAACTTCGTAGATGACACCGTCATGCCCCTGATAGGCCTGAAGAGCGGAGGCGTCTGTTGCATCCCACAGACGTGCAACGCCATCCGCGGCACCGGAGAGGAGGCGCGATCCGTCTGGTGAGAAGACAACTCCAAGGACAAGGGCATCATGATCAGTCGTTGATGCGCGCTCCGTATAGCTGTCGGTGTCCCAGAGCTTGACGGTCGCGTCGACGGCAGCGGACGCGAGCGTGCGCCCATCGGGAGAGAACACGACGCAGTTAACGAAGCCGTCATGGCCGGTCAACGTCGCAAGCCTTTCGCCGGTATTGAGATCCCATACGATGACAACGGCATCGCGGTATCCGACTGCAAGTATTGATGCGTCAGGCGAGAAGGCAAGAGCGCATACGTAGTCGGTGTGCTCGATATCGCGTAGTGAGAGCAGCAAACGGCGCGTGTTTGCGTCCCAGACGAGAACGGAGGAGTCTTCAAAACCGGCTGCGATGCGGTGCTCCCGACGCGAATACTCCAAGGCGGTTATCCCACCTCTTCGCCCGTCCGCAGAGTTTGCAGGAAATGGCAAGACAGCAGGATCGGCATCGAGGGCCTTCATCTCCGCAGTAATGGTGTCCTCTTCGGGTGCCAAATTGAGGCCGTCAAGAGACTGCTCTAGTGGTGGGTCGACAGACTCATCCTGGTCTGTGGGGAGCTCTGCGCCTCCCGCCTCGGGCACATCCTCCTCTGTGGCCCGGCCCTTTCCTTTGTCTACTTTAGACAATTCTGTGAACACAGAGATGAGCTGGATACGGCGGACGGCCATGAAGCAGACTAACGTTCGGTCTCGTCCACATCTTCATCGATCTCGTCTTCCACCAACGATTTCGGGACGTCCTCAGACATGATCGCTATCGTACTGGCTCGGTCAGCAACTGAGCTATGCGAAGGACGGAAGGCTGACCTAAATCGTACACTGCGACCAGCGGGAATACAAGTTAGAGAGCGTAACGACTCGGAGCGGCAGACAAGGGGGTAGATGGGGAGGTGATAGAGATGTGTATCAAGGTTCTGTTTGGGTCTTAATAGTTGACATGAGGCACACCTTCTTGTACTGCCCTATTGTATGTCCGATCAAATTGTGGTTCGCACCTGCATGCACAGGGTGGAATGAACGCTGAGCTGTGTGTGGATTCGGTGAGGGCCTCGTCAGCGAACGAACGTAGTAGAGAGCTATGCTATACGGGTACCGACCACACTGCCTCGAGCAATGTAGACGCGCATAGCCCCCACGTCGACAGCTGCCAGTGCGACAAGATGTCTCCGGTATGTAAGTTACTCATAATTGAAGTCTGTAGGATACAAGCGGCTAAGCAAGAGGAAGCATCCGCGAACCACACAGCGCCCGTTGTCTTCCCACGCTCTGCGAGTGGCATTAGATTGCAACGGAATACCAAAGTCTGCGATATGGGGTACCAACGAATAGGACTGTGGATGGGTACCGCCTGGACCACTCAATATCATGCGTAATATAATTCTAGTAGCTAGCAAGGTATCCGGATGTGCGGGAATGCCAATCCGACCGGGCTCAAGTATCGATGCCCAGTAAGTACTAGGTACCGGTGTCTCAGAAACATAATACGTACAAATCGACAGGCGATGTCGACTCCGTGCACGATGCTACATGTTAGATATCCTCACTTCAAGATCCATTTCATCAGATCGCCACAGGAGCGAGGAGCTGAGGTCCATCCAGCCTCCAGATCCTGACGGTCCCGTCATCCGACGCAGACACCAGTCGCTTGTTGTCGGCGGGGGAGAATATAATCTTGTTGACATTATCCCTGTGTCCGTTGAACTGCCTGACGCACTCCTTGAAATCCACGTTTCACACAGAGATGGTATGATCCTCGCCGCCTGCAGCGATGTACTTGCCGTCCGCCGAGAGCTTGTGACGAGTCGACCACCATGTGGAGAGAAGCTCGTCGTGTAGATGACTCCTTCGTGCCTCGAGAGTGTGCTGGTGCGCTGCGCGTCGACAGTGTCCCAGAGGAACGCCACGCCCTCCGCACTCGCGTATACGATGCGCTGTCCATCGGGAGAGAAAGCGACGCTCATGACCATCGCCTCGTGTCCCTCCGTCGAGCAGCGCTCATACCCAGTCTCTGGGTCCCACAACTTCACAGTCGAGTCGACGGAAGCGGAGGCAATCATCCGTCCGTCGGGCGAGTACGCGACACAGTTAACAAAGCCATCATGGCCACGCAGGGTCCTCAGCCGATCTCCTGTGGCGGCATCCCAGATGATGACGAGGTGGTCCCTGGACCCGGTGACCAAGCGTTGACCGTCTGGCGAGAACGCCAACGAGCAGACCGCATTGTGGTATCCTGAAAGAGTCTACAGCAAGCGGCGGCTCGCGCCACTCCATACGAGTACGGTCGCGTCCTCGAATCCGGCGGCGACCTTGTTGCCAGCGGTTGAGTACGCGAGCGCGAAGACCCCGCCTTTGCGCTCGAGATCCACGTCGTGTGGCATTTGCAGCAGAGAGTCGCTCGACTCAAAACTGATCCCAAACTTCTTCCCCTCTCCTTCCTCACGAGGTGCGTCTCGGTTGCCGCCGGCCGCGTCACCCCGGCCGTCGTTGGCGGTACGTTCTCGGTTGCCGTGCGACTTGCCAGCAGAGTCGTCGGCGCCAGCTGAACCCTGAGCCGAATCTGGATCGGCTCCTGCTTGCGCTTCAGTCTGCTCTTCAGGTGGCCTCTCTTCCGATCCGGCAGGATTCGCCGCATTTCTTTGCGCGAGGGCGGCGCTTTCCGCAATGTGTTGAATCGTGATGTCATCGTTGAAGAGCAACATACCAACTGAGGACACCATCAGTACGATCCAACACTATCCAAGTGGACACACACGCACGACCATCATTGGTGAGCTCGATTTCTGGGCGGACAGTCTCAAGGAAAGCGGGTATGTCGTCTGGGATGGGGTATTCACTCGGCTCATTGTTCTGTCCCCGAAGACGTCAGCTGAACTCGTAGGTACGGCAATGTATATCGCCCACCTTGCAAAGTTCTAGGATATCGCCGTCGCCCGCGATAGCTTCGGTTGCGTCAGAGTTCTGTAGAGGTGGTCTGAGGACGTTCGACAGGCAGGCACTCTATGGAAACAAACCTGTAATATATAGTCGAGTATATGGTCAACTGGATCGTAGCACTGCGCAACATTCGTCAGAAAGTGAATCACGGGCATGCCTCAGATACATACCTTTTTCTTCAGCGGAGCCTCTTCGAACTTATCGTCCTCGTCATCATCGATAGAGGACACATCGCGCGGTTCCGCTGCAGCTTCTATCTTCGCAGGCAGAACCGGTCTCCTCTTCATCTTGAAGTAGTGCAAGAAGATACATTGGTCTGCTTTCATCTCGACTTTGGGCCCGACCTCAGCCACCTCGCGATTCTTCCCCTCCTTGTTGCGCTTGGGGCTAACCTGCGGGATCTGGACCGTGGTGCTCTCTGGACCAGAGTGGTATTTCACAGACCTCGACGACGACTCCACCACGAGGCGGCCGCCCATTTCCGCCATCGCGCCGAACGATCCGTTGACACTCACTTTCGCGTTCTTCGCTCGCTCGACGAACGCGACTACAGCCCAATGAGTCGTCTTGACCCATCCTCTGACGAACAAAACCTCGTCGAGCCGCTTCTCCATACCGAGGACCTCTGTGGCGTAGTGCACCCAGCTGTCGATGTTCTTCTTCATATACGCCTTCATCCGGCGCGCCTGGTGGAGTTCCGCGCGCGCAGCAGACGAACCGACAACGACGCAAGCACCTTGGTTTTCCACACATTCGAACTCGAAGCCCGCCTTCGTGCCATCTCTGTGGCGAGGTGAGATTTACGATGATATAGGATACGAAGACGAGAACCACATACACGGCGGCTTCCGCCTTCCCTCCGACTTTCTTGACGGTCCCGCTGAGCAGGGGACCCGAGCCAACGGCGTTGATCGTCCGGCGGGGCGCCATGTCGATCGTGAACCTCTCGAATCCGTCGGGAACATGCTGAGGCTTGTTATTCAGAGGATCTTCCTTGTCACGGAACGCGTTGAACAGACGGCAGAAGCCCCCTTGTCCAAGTAACCGACGTCCCCAGCTCTATCTCTATGTCTTCTTCCGGCGAGTCGGGTTGCCATAGTGGATAACCCTTGCCGCAGGCGAAGAGCTCCTTTGCGTATACCTCCTCTGGAGCGACCATCGGTAGAGATCGTCAAGGGTCAGATTGCAGGGTGCGACGGAACACCACCGACAGGACAGGCAGCAGCACGCAAGGAGATGATGGTTAGACAGCGGAGGAATTTTCTACTCTGCGCACGGGAGACTAAGATGATGGTGATTTGTAGCGTTGACCACGAGTCTCGTCTGATGGTCTCGTACGCATCCGTGTGGACGCCCTCCACCAGCGCTCCGACACGTTCGATGGGGCCTCCTGAGCGGGCGTAGTCTCGATCCAGACGGGGTCTCACCCGATCACGTGGAGAAACACGTCGCGCGGCGCCAACGCGCACAGAGACACAACGCGCATACATACTTACAGTCTGCAGCGACCAGGCTGCGCACAACTTCCCGTACCCCCAAGGTCGTGCTCGCTACCTACTGCGCCGGCCGCTGCCTCAATCTCATTCCCAGACGACTATTCTGCCCCGCAAGTCTAGTTACCCATCGCGGTGCTGCCCGACATATTGGTCGGGAACGTAAGTAATCTATGCGTGTTCTCTCGTGTCAGTCAGCTCGAACTCTGTCCGGGGTCGCTGTAGATCCCAATGTGCATGTGAGCATCCAACGCGCCTCAACACCAAACGTACGCTTCTATACGACCCGGATACCTCTCGTCCAATCATGGCTGCCCTGTAGGTACAATACGGCTGCCGGAAGCATGCAATACGTAACGGCGTTCACTGTTATCGCACAATCGCACAATAGCATGCACCTTGCCTCCCATGTCAATCTGCGAGGATCGGCCTACGCGCTCGAGGCTCGGCGGTGTTGCTCCATCCAGCATCACCTCGATGACATACATCCTCGCGTTGTCAACGCCCGATAGCCAGTATCGGCGTCCTCTACTGGGGGCTCTGTCACTCGCCCTGATCTACGTGAGGTTGCGAGACTGAGTCAGCTATACGGTACCATCTTTCACTCTCCTCTCCGTCGTCCTCCCGCTCTCTGACTCTGCCTGATCGTATCTCTCGAGCTAGACCAATCGCCGTACAACGCCATTATGGGCCCACCCAAGGTACGTACCATCGCCCTCCACTGGCACGGCACGCAAACTGATATCGCCGTTGTATCCGTGGACTGTATGTACAGGAACCGTCGGCCAATGCTTCGATTGCCATCGGTTCAACGGGCTTATGCTCCGATCCGTCAGTGAGTATATGCAGGATTGAAGGCTGGATGCGATTGCCCACCTATGTGCATGGCAGTCATCAAACCCGGATGGTGGGGGTACTACGAGGGCCTCCCCGTCGCCTCGTAAATCTGCATCTTCACCTCAGAATCAGGTGAGTACGGACATCGATCATTCTATGCTTGTGCGTGAACTGGTCGTAATATGATATGCACCATCAGGACCAGTATGTGCGAACGGATGGGGCGGAAGCTCCGCCATCACACGACTCTCCAGCGCAGGGAACAGTGCAGTCAGAACAGGAAAAGGCTTTCTTCAACTTACTCGAGAAGTTCATGAAGTCACAAAACCCGACAGGGGCACCAGAAGAAGCTTGGTTGAAACTGGCGGATACAGCGTGGGCCTATGAAAAGAACCGTGCAGATCGATGGCGGAATGAAATCAATACACTGCTCACCTTTGTGAGTCATGTTCACACCGCTGACTGGGCGCGCGCGAAGAGCGACTGAGAGATGATTCGCTTGTAGGCCGGCTTGTTTTCCGCCGTTCTCACCGCTTTTGTGGTGCAGTACTATGCCGTTCTGCTGCCGGCACCGGACTTCAATATGATCATCCTTGAGCGCATACTATCCTTGCAACTCAGTAATATGGCTACCAACGCCGTCGTCGTAGCGGCCGCCAACTCCTCGAACCCGGTACCGGTGCCGATGGCTCTTACGAACTACTTATCTACAAACCTCCCCCCGCCACCCGCTGCGCCCCGCTGGATTGCCGCGCTGTGGTTCGTCGCCCTAGTCTTCAGTCTCAGCGCGGCATCCGTCGGTTTAGCCGTGAACCAATGGCTGAACTTCCATGCCACGGAGCAAGCTGGGCTGCAAGATGCATCCCAGAGTATCTGGACGTGGCAGCTCCGTAGGCACGCACTGGACAAGGGGCAAGTGGAAAACATGGTCAGCATCCTTCCATCTCTCCTTCAGGTGGCCCTCGTCCTCTTCCTCGTTGGGATTGTGGGCTACCTCTGGGAGCTTGGCTTCGACATCGCCGTCCCGAGCACGGTCGTTGTCGGCGCCTTGCTGCTCTTTCTGGCTTTCACTTCCGTGTCACCCGCACTGGGTGGTTACAGTCCCTACAAGTCGCCCCAAGCGTGGTGGATATGGAAGGCCTGCATACGCACGCGGTGGGCGGTTTACTGGGTCGTCATGCTGTTACATCACATGGTCGACGTCCTCATCAAGATCCAAATTCCGCTGCAGTCTTCATCTATACGTGTGTATAATATATACCAACGGATCAAGGACCTCCGTGCATCCCTCGTACAACATCAAGCACGCACGCGTACGTTGATGATGAAGAAAAACTGGCTAGAATATGAAGCATCATGTCTGGATGACTGGATAACCCACAGCAAAAACAACACAATATTCAGGGACATTTATTCCATTGCAAACGACATAGCCGTCCTTCGCGCAATGGAAACCTGCGTGCGAGCGATGCCTAGTGCCCGAGCAATGAGACATGTGACACAATTAGGCCAGACCGCCTTCGCGGCCTTGTCAAACCGCCAGGATTCACGTTCACGAGCGCCCAGGCCGCCATCTGGTAACCAACACGATGTTCCGGACAGCACCTCTACCACTTTGATAGGTCACATGGTGCTGGACGAGTTCATTAATATTCGACCACAGACAGAACTCGACGACGACACTCAGGCTCTCGATTTGGACTCAAACCGTCGCATGCTATCTGGACTGATCCGCGCTATGCCTCCCACTCATGGAATCGAGGCCTGCATGACTTTGTTTCAGCATTTACGTGATGATCGACTGTCCAAGAAACAACGAAGAGCCACCTTAGATGTTGTACGAAACATTTATGTGCCGGTCGACTTCCTTGCGGAGGACTTGCAGGACTCCAAGATGCAAGCGGCGAGAACATACGACTGTGCACCGTATACTGAGCTATATCGTCTGCGCGACATTGAAAGTAAGTCAAACATCTGCTTCAATCGCAATGGCTGTAAGCTGATGTTCAACGGCATAGACTGGGAATGCGTGCAAACTGCACTCATGACGGTGTCCAAACTCGGTGATCCTGTATCCACCATTCAGATCATGACGATCGTTCTGGCGATATGCATGTTATCCGTTAAAAACGGGCACACATTGCCACACGAACCATCGAGGGGAGCTTATTTGGATGACATGCTCCAACGATTCGACGAGTACTTGGCTACCCTCCGTCGCAAGGAGCTGAAAATCACTATACGACACCTTCCTCCCCCGGCAGTATATATACTCGATTGGGCATTGGCTCGCATGTCCTTCAGCGACATCTATTCCGCCTTGGGTGCGACCGAGATCCGCCGGAACATCATGATCTCCACAAACCACATCGCACGGCGTCTTCAATGGCTGCTCACACGCAAAGCTTGGACACCACAAGGGGCGGTCCAAGGGTTCTGCGTTCAGTTGCATTGGTATGTGCACTGGACACAAGAGATCCTAAAAGACCCTGAGATAGGCCAGAAAGGCTGGTCAGTCACATCTTCGACACTCAAAGTGCCAAGACACGCTGACATTCGCAACAGGTCAGGTTGGCTCGAATGCGTTCCAGATGAGCCACAGAGCGAAGACGATCAAAGTGTTGACTCCTCAGAAGCGACTGACCCAGAGCCTACATCGAAAGCTGGGGATGAGCAGGACCCACCGGAACCGCGAACGGGCAGTATGATACAATCTATAGTGCGAGTCATGTAAGCGGTGAACCTTGCACTCCACTCGTTCGATCGTCGCTGATGAAGGCTCTCTAGCCGAAACAGCTGGCACAGATTGAGAGGAACCACTGCAGCACAGGAACCCGACTCGGACATTGAAGGGCGAGCCGTGGATACTAGCCCGAGCGCAGCACTAGATGTACCCGGTGCGACGGACACCGCGACGACGCGGCTCGACGAATCGCCACAAGGACAGGACACGGCCCACAGTACCAAGCCTTCGCAGCCACTAAATACCACTGAACCGCACGCAGACGACTCGAATGCCACACGCAGACTAGCTGAGGACGGCGTGGACGCGGACGCGGACAAAGGCTCTCGCGACGAGGTCGGGGGCGCGAGCGAGGACGCAGATGAACGTCGAGGCGACGACAGGCGTTGGGAGGAAACACCTGACACCGAAGTCGCACCTGCGCAATCCGAGTCGCACTCCCAGTTGGGCAGCCAGAACGAGAGCGGCGGCTGATTGGGAGTTCGGAAGATGACGGGTTTGACGTGTACGTCGCACGTTGCTGGACACATCATCGTCGCTGAAGCGCTGACTGCTGACGTTCAAACGTTCACTCTAGTGACGGGCGGACGATCGACGAAACCCAATACACAAAGATATATCTTGAATTGCGTCTGGCAGCCCTGGCAGCCTTGTATTTCTTATAGCCATCTGATGCTTTCGCGGGCTATGGTCTCGGAGTCTCAATATGTACGGGCTTGCTGGGTGTGCTCTACGATACGCTTGTGTTCGCCGACCGGATTGCCTGGAGCTTCCGCGAACGGGGTGTTGCTGTTCAAATGTTTTCAATGTGTTGTGTACTAGTCGCTCGGTACGAATCGCTTCCCGTACGTCTGCTTGGAACTGTTGTTGGACTATCGCATATCTATATAACGCGCCATGTTCCGTCGAGCAGTTCGCGACAAGCAAGAGCGGATATAAGTGAAAAAGAATTCCCATTGTGATGGTCTGAACATATGTAGTTCGCGACGACCTTTACAATCTGAGCCGCCGCGTCCACTAGACAATATCCGCAGTATTCGATAGCGACGCTCGTACCCCGCGCAGGGCTGACGGAGCTACCGCTGCCACTGCTGCATGAGCAGTTGTGTAGACAGGCAAGCTGCTAGTCAGCACTGTATGGGCTTAATCGCATAGAGACATGCCGTACTCACAATCTCGTCCCTCATCCATCGCCGCCTCTCGCTCCTCCGAGCCTCCCGTACGGTGACTCGGAGCCCTCCCGTCTCCTCCTGCAGACGGTGCGAGTAGCAATACGTTCGTTTTAATACGTTACCGAAGGTCTGTGATATGACATACCAGCGAATCGGACTGTGGATGGGTACTGCGTGGGCCACTCGATATTATGGGTCCCATAATCCTAGTAAAGCTAGCAAAACCATGTATTCGGACGTGCGTAGATGCCAATCCGACCGGGCTCAAGTATCGATTCCCAGTAGTTATCTCTCAAAAACATGACAAATCGACTGGCGATGTTGACTGCGTCCGTACACGATGCTCCATGTTAAATATCCTCACTTCAAGATCCATTTCATCAGACCGCCACAGGAGCGAGGAGCTGAGGTCCATCCAGCCTCCAGATCCTGACGGTCCCGTCATCCGACGCAGACACCAGTCGCTTGTTGTCGGGGGAGAATATGATCTTGTTGACATTATCCCTGTGCCCGTTGAGCTGCCTGACGCGTTCCTTGGAATCCGTGTTCCACACAGAGATAGTGTGATCCTCGCCGCCTGCAGCGATGTACTTGCCGTCCGCCGAGAACGTCGCCGCGTTCGCAAGATCATCGCCGCCGTCGATGGTATCCAAGAGCTCCGCGCTGTACGAGTCGCAGATCTTGACGGTTCGCTCACTCCCGACGGAGAGCACGCGTCGTCCATCGGCCGAGAAGACCGCTCCCCAGACGGACCCCTGGTGCTCGCGCAGCGACATGTACTCGTCTCCCGATATCGCGCTCCAAACCTTGGCCGATCCGTCGTCTGAGCTTGTGATGAGTCGATCACCATGTGGAGAGAAGCTCGTCGTGTAGATGACTCCCTCGTGCCCCGAGAGTGTGCTGGTGCGCTGCGCGTCGATAGTGTCCCAGAGGAACGCCACGCCCTCCGCACTCGCGGATACGATCGCTGGCCATCGGGAGAGAAAGCGACGCTCATGACCATCGCCTCGTGTCCCTCCGTCGAGCAGCGCTCATACCCAGTGTCTGGGTCCCACAACTTCACAGCGAGTCGACGGAAGCGGAGGCAATCATCCGTCCGTCGGGCGAGTACGCGACACAGTTAACAAAGCCATCATGGCCACGCAGGGTCCTCAGCCGATCTCCTGTGCGGCATCCCAGATGATGACGAGGTGGTCCCTGGACCCGGTGACCAAGCGTTGACCGTCTGGCGAGAACGCCAACGAGCAGACCGAATTGTGTGTCCTGAAAGAGTATACAGCAGGCGGCGGTTCTCGCCACTCCATACCAGAACGGTCGCGTCCTCGAATCCGGCGGCGACCTTGTTGCCAGCGACGGAGTACGCGAGCGCGAAGACCCCGCCTTTGCGCTCGAGATCCACGTCGTGTGGCATTTGCAGCAGAGAGTCGCTCGACTCAAAACTGATCCCAAACTTCTTCCCCTCTCCTTCCTCACGAGGTGCGTCTCGGTTGCCGCCGGCCGCGTCACCCCGGCCGTCGTTGGCGGTACGTTCTCGGTTGCCGTGCGACTTGCCAGCAGAGTCGTCGGCGCCAGCTGAACCCTGAGCCGAATCTGGATCGGCTCCTGCTTGCGATCAGTCTGCTCTTCGGTGGCCTCTCTTCCGATCCGGCAGGATTCGCCGCGTTTCTTTGCGCGAGGGCGGCGCTTTCCGCAATGTGTTGAATCGTGATGTCATCGTTGAAGAGCAACATACCAACTGAGGACACCATCAGTACGATCCAACACTATCCAAGTGGACACACACTCACGACCATCATTGGTGAGCTCGATTTCTGGGCGACAGTCTCAAGGAAAGCGGGTATGTCGTCTGGATGGGGTATTCACTCGGCTCATTGTTCTGTCCCCGAAGACGTCAGCTGAACTAGTAGATACGGTAATGTATGTCGCCACCTTGCAGAGTTCTAGGATATCGCCGTCGCCGCGATAGCTTCGGTTGCGTCTGAGTTCTGTAGAGGTGATCTGAGGACGTTCGACAGGCAGGCACTCTACGGAAACAAACCTGTAATATATAGTCGAGTACATGGTCAACTGGATCGTAGCACTGCGCAATCTTCGTCAGACAGTGAATCACGGGCACGCTCGGATGCATACCGTTTTCTTCAACGGAGCTTCCTCGAATTGATCATCCTCGTCATCATTGATAGAGGACACATCTTGCGGTTCCGCCGCAGCTTCAATCTTTGCGGCAGAACCAGTCTCCTCTTCATCTTGAAGTAATGCAAGAAGATACATTGGTCTGCTTCATCTCGACTTTGGGCCCGACCTCAGCCACCTCACGATTCTTCCCCTTCTTATTGCGCTTGGGGCTGGCCTGCGGGACCTGGACCGTGGTGCCCCCGGACCTGTGTGGTGGTCCACAGAGCTCGACGACGTTTCTACCACGAGGCCGACGCCGACTTCCGCGATGGCGCCGAGCCCTCCGCTGACACTCACTTTCGCGTTCTTCGCTCGCTCGACGAACGCGGCTACAGCCCAATGCGTCGTCTTGACCCATCCTCTGACGAACAGAACCTCGTCGAGCCGCTTATCCATACCGAGGACCTCTGTGGCGTAGTACACCCAGCTGTCGATGTTCTTCTTCATATACGCCTTCATCCGGCGCGCTTGGTGGAGCTCCGCGCGCGCAGCAGACGAGCCTACGACGACGCAAGCACCTTGGTTCTCCACACATTCGAACTCGAAGCCCGCCTTCGCGCCATGTCTGCAGCAAGGTGAGATTTACGATGATCTAGCTTGCGAAGACATGAAAGACATACACGACGGCTTCCGCTTTCCCTCCAACTCTCTTGACGGTCCTGCTGAGCAGGGGACCTGCCCCGATAGCATTGGGTGTCCGCTTGGGCTGCATGTCGATCGTGAACCTCTCGAATCCGTCGGGGACATGCTGAGGCTTGTTGTTCAGAGGATCTTCCTTGTCACGGAGCGCGTTGAACAGACGGCAGAATCCACCCTTGTCCAAGTAACCGACGTCCCCCAGCTCTATCTCTATGTCGTCTTCCGTCGCCTCGGGCTGCCATAGTGGGTAACCCTTGCCACATTTGAAGAGCTCCTTCGCGTATACCTCCTCTGAAGCGGCCATCGGTCGAGATCGTCAAGGGTCAGATCGCGGTGTGCAACGGAGCACCACCGGCAGGACAGGCGGGTAGTAGTACGCAAGGAGATGATGATGATTTGTAGCACGAGTCTCGTACAATTAAGTCGAAGGAATAACTGTACCTGTGGACACGCGGCTGTGGTTGCGGGCTGTGCGACAACGACTTCTACTTGGGGCCGCTACAGGGTCCGGCCCGTCTCAGAGTCGATAGCTGTGCGTTGTAGCCCTTTCCGATTCAGGTTCAGACTTCATGTGACTGGACAAACGGAAGCTGCATAACATACTCAGTTTCAGGTGTATTGACGTTTACAACATACACACACCCTCTGCAACGCACAGGGCTGCGTCCCTCCAGAGTCCACAGCGCGCCGCGCGGCGAACATGCCATCCCAAGGCCTTGGACTTATGAACGCCCGATACGCGCCGATTTTGAATGCCTCGTTGCAGTTGAACGCTATATGGCTGAACGCTAAACACACCCGGTCCCATGTATGTCTGCGCGTTATGCATTTGAACCAAAACAAGCCAGGGACATATAGAGCTGTGAGTAGACAATGCCAGTGTGTCCAATGCCATCGCGTTGGTCGCCGGCGGAAAGTGCGTTGCTCATGGAGGACGGAAAGAAGGCCGGTAGTACGACCATGCCGTGACAGTACATCCGGCGTCTCAGTGTGACAGCACTATACATAGCGTGATTATCATGACACTCGCTACATGTCCCAACATGTACCGTCACATGCACGTATGTACTTCCATTGCCAGTGAACGCACTGTGCGCTCATACTAACGTTTTATCTTGACCAAACACTGCCGGGGCGAGGCTGCGCAAGCATATGTACTCAACTATGGAATCAGAGAAGGCGTCGTATACAAATACTACTGTTGAGTCTCAAACGGAACCCATCGTGCTGGGCCGTCGACGAACGTGGTATGTTCAGTTCTCTATTGTCTTCGCGGCTGCAGAAGATCTGATTCAATGATATGCAGCAGGACTATACGAGCCTGATACTCAGCCCTCTGTCAGACACCGTGATCTGACTCACGATTATAACCTTCAAGAACCCTTCGTGAGCATCATAGTCTCGTCCAGCCTCCCTGCGTCTCGACAGTGCCAGATGTAACCGATATAGCACTGGAAGTGCTCCATTGGACCGAAGCGAGCGTTCAATCCCTGCTGCTATTATAGCCAGATCATAGGACGTCTTGTGCGTTGGCAACAACCGCACGCGGGGCGTTCTCCATCCGCTTCTTCATGGTGCGAACATCGTCTTCATCTCCTTATGTGCACTGTCCGCGGCGTGGGCAGTGCGATGATCCCTTCGCTATGATGTGACGCAAATGTGAAGGAGTCTTGTACTCGTGTCTTCCACGCTGGTTACGCGAGGCTCTGAGGTTCTCTCCCCACAGGACTCGAGTCCCGACGTTCAAGCTAGTCGACCTGACGTTGGGCCGCAACGTCTGTCCACGTTCTAGCGGCGTATGCTACAATCACTGGCAGGCCGGCTGACCAGGGATCAGTGACGCCCTCACGGATACTCCACCATATTCCGAGGGTGACCGGGCGACCTATCAATACCAAGTCCGATCTAACTCCTCGACCTCGAGGACGTATTCATGGCCCCTCTTCGGTTCTCTTGACGCGGCCTCATCCCAAAAATAACCTTCCCACTCAGATTGTGAGAAGAGCAGCTGATGGCGACGGCCACGACTTGGCCACGACGGTACTTCTTGACCGAGGAAGTATGTTGGCGCGATGTCCCCGTTCAGCAACTGCGACGCACTGGTATCCTTTTTTCTCCTTGTGATTGCACCCCGAATGTCCATCTACGCCGTATCTGTCCGTCACGACCTCGACATGCAGACGCTCATACATGTCCATGTAATGAGCGCTCTGTGATTCGCCACATGCTCGTACGCCGTTCTTACGTCCCAACTTGGTGTCTGGCTGCACCAGTGACCCTCCGACGGCGTCCGTTGTCTGTTCTCACGACAGCGTTACGACAGCTGCCAGCTTGGTTACATCTTATCATGTTCGCCCCGACGCCGCTGTATAGCTAATCCTGTAGCGCTTCGATGTAAATATAGCGTTGCGCGCGACTTCTCCTCTCGGAGTGAGTGAGGCGACGTGAGTTATAAGTATGGTGCCCCAGCGACTTCCGTCTCATCAGCGTCCGCCGCTGCAGCAGCCGTTCGTTCCACCAACTCGCGACGGGTCTCCGCCCGAGCCCAGATCCGGAGGTGGTCAAGGTCAGCTCTGGTCAGCTGCTCTCGATTGCGCCGTGCCTGGACTGATGGATTATGCTACCGTACAGTGCGCGGCTTTGCAAGCTGAGGCACCGAACCTGCTCACCGTGGCCGTTTTGGCACCGTTTCGGTAAGTTTGTTGGTCCACCTGTTCACAGGGCCAGGTACCGTGATGGGCCCTTACATGCAGTTGCTAGTGTTCGACCGCTGCTGCGCTTCGATCATCACCCATCCGGCAGCAAGCACGTACCGGGAATACACATCTCTGACGGCAGGTATGTTGAATGGCCTTCAACATTCGTGAAAAGGCACCCTCTCTGACGGACAGCTGGTCTCTCCAGGATTACATTCACTTTCAACCTACGGTGCTGTACGTCGTACTATCGGAATCTTCGTGAACAGGCGGTTTACAAGCATCAGGTGCACCCGACTTGCAGACACTTTGTAACATCCACGTCTCAGGTGACTAGTGATTAGTCGACTGTCAACGTATTAAGAGTACTCTCTGTAAGTCTCATTGTACTAGTCCTTCCTTGGCATAAAACTCATGCTGCGCTACCAGGAGACCCACTAATTCAGTCATCTCTCGAAGCACCCACAATGGGCTTCCTCACACCAACCAAATTACTCCGCCGCCTCGCGCGCGTATTAAAACCGAAGCACAAATGTCATCCTGCACCACGCCCACCGCGCCCACCATGTCAACCACGCCCAACTTCAAAACCATGCCGCCGCCGCCACCGCCAGTACCCGAGCTCCCGCTCGAAGTGTACGAGCTCATCATCGACCTCGTCTGGCCCGACCGCGAGACGCTCCTCGCGTGCGCGCTGACCTGCCGCGGTGGCACGAGCGCAGCCGGCACAACCTCTTCGCCCGCGTCGAGCTCTACAATTTCGACCAGCTCTCGCGCTACACCGCGCAGCTCGCCGCGGACCCGGGCCTCGGCGCGACGCTCCGCGAGCTCTTCGTCACGCCGTACTACTCGCAGTCCCAGCTCTTTGGCACGTTCCCTTTCGAGCTCGCGGGGAAGCTGTCGTGCGTGGAGCGGCTCCGGATCGACATACGCCGCGACTTCTATCCGTACATACACCCGGATTTCTACCCCGCGTTCGCGCGGTTCGCGAGCGTGACGACGCTGGAGCTGCGCCGCATACAGTTTCCGACGCTGAACGACTTCTCGACGCTCGTGTGCTCGTTGCCGAGGCTGACCAGCTTGTCGTGTTGGATGGTGGACTGGGTGAAGAAGACGTACGACGTGCAGGCGCTCCGGGACTGCAAGCAGTGTCTGAAGCTGAAGTCGCTCTCGGTGCGCGATATGGAATGGTCGAGTGCCTTCGCAGACTGGCTGTTCATGGCTGCCACCGTGCAGAATCTGGAGACTATATGCGTGTCGACCATCAGCGCCGAAGATGTCGAGCACGTCGAACGTTTGTTGACGGCAGCAGGGCCTTCGCTGCGACGCCTGGAGATCGGCGTAGCGTCACGCCGTGCGACCAGAAGAAAAAACAAGAGAGTATCCGAGTGGGAAGGCGACGCAGGTAAGTGCTGGGCGCGAGCATACAGAGGTTACCGAAACATGAGACTCATACTCTATCTACAGGCACGTATCCTCGTCTAGTCCACAACGCCTCGCTCAGCTCGCTATGTCTCTTTCTGGACACGAGGAGCGACTGGATTCCTGGGCTCCTCTCCCAGATAAACTCCCCCTCTGTCCGCGACATCACCGTGCAACTGCCACGCCTCCGCAAACCGGGCCAAATGAAGCACATCCGATTCGACGCGCTGGACAGCATCCTGTCGCAGCCGCAGTTCGATGGTGTCCACCGGCTCGTCGTCGAGTGCGACGGGGGCGTTGGTACGCCGGCCCAGATGGATGCATATACGGCGGAAGTCTCGACGAGACTCCCGCTCTCGTGCGCGCGCCGGATCGTTTCCGTACGGCCGCGGAAGGTGTCGGTCACGTCGGCGCCGAAGCCTGTCTTGAGAAAGTCTCGTCTGAAGCAAAGCCGGAACTGTGGGACCCGTGGTGAGCGTAGCGGGGCTAGGACTACGATTTGTAATCTTGGGACACTAGGCTGTATGGACCTTCTGAGCAACCGTGACTGGACATCGGACGTTGTCGACACACTCGTTTGTAAAACCCATTGGACTATCAGGGGACGCTTGCGCGCTGTATGTAACAATAGGCTTCGGACCGGTGATTAGCAATTCGCCTATTGTATAGATAGTCATTTCAGAGTAACTGCAGGTGTATCCACGGGTACGAATCTACGCGATGCATACCTCTGAGTCAGTCTTGAGCTTGAGCTGCGATATCGATGAGCACCAGGCCGACGCCGGACGGCAGGCAGCTGCACATCGCGCGCAGGAGACACGCCTCACGTGGTCGTGTACGACGATGCCGACCTCCGTTTCCCTCTCTCCTCCAGTCGATCGAGCTCATCTATCTGGCTCTCGTTCACGACACTTCTGGTCCTGGATTATATTCGATCCACTCTGTGCGACGTCGACTAAGGTGTTGATACTCGGCGCACACTGGCAGCTACCTGTTCGCCCACTACGTGAAATGCCCGGTCGTGTGCGCCACTAGTTATTCACTACACAAGCTGCTGAGCCTCTTGGACTCACTGGACTCATCTCCTCGTCTGCAGCATATGAAGCGACAACCTAGGGCTTCTCGGCTTGCTTTGCATATCATCGATCGCCACAGCCAGTCGATCAAGGCATCTACATAGAGGACCTGTGAAAGCCGCGATAGCACTGGACCGCTCTGCACGGTCACCTTCTACTAGTTCTACACGCATTGAACAGAACAATTCGTTAGGCGTTCAACATCGTGCGTACGATATATCGTGGCATGCCTCTTCGTCATTGAAGTGTTGACAGTGCACCTCCAGAGTTAGAGTATAGCACACATGAGTCTCAGGCGTTATACAAAGGGCGTAGACGGGACGATACCCGTCCAAGCCTTGCTGTACGAGGATGAGGAACTGCTAGCCACTCAGGAAGGCATAGGCATATATGATGGGTGAGTGTCCTCACGCAGTATGTGCCCCCACCATCCATTGTCTCCTCCTTTCCTATGGCTCTAAGAGCGCACCGTGTTGATATCGTCATTCCTCTTCACTTTCTCAGCACCGAGAAATCAGCCCCTCACCAATCTGGCACAGCGTTCGCTACCACCCATCGCCTGTTCTACATCGATGCGTCGCACCCCGAGACCCGCTCGTTCGAGATGGATCTCGCGCATGTTGCCCGGACGGAGTACTACGCAGGTCTCTTCACGAGCTCGTCCAAAGTAACGCTATACCTGCACCCGATCGAGACTCCCGCTTCGCCGGTCGATGGACCGTCAAGGAGCCTGGCGGCGCCCGAAGACCCCGCTTTCCTGTCGTGGACATGCGATGTATGCAACTACCGCAACCCACCAGGTCTCAGCCCTGCTGCATCCCGTATATGTGCTCTCTGTGGCGTCCCACGCTCAGCCACGACATCCTCTGACGGTGGTGAACCCTCTGCGTCCGCCGCGACTCTCTCCTCCTCCCTACCCTCCTCCTCCGTCCACCTCGCACGCGTGCCCACCTCTTCTTCGTCCTCACCCAGACCCGCGACACCCCGAGGTCCCAATGACGAGATATCATGCACTATATGCACCTTTCTGAATCACCCCGCACTGACAATGTGCGAGATGTGCGGCACGCCGCTGCCCAAGCGGGTAGCCCCGCCCCGTGCGTCTCAGACGGTCCATGCGAAGTCAGCTCCTGCATCGCGCCCGACCTCGCCGCTCCCGGACAAGGATGGCCCAGATCCGAGGATGATCAGGCTGAGCTTCCGTAGGGGAGGCGACAAGACGTTCTATGCTGTACTTCGCCGGAGCCTGCTTGGTAAGGGATGGGAGGTACGTTCGTTTACTGTCATCTGCTGATGGTTTTGGCTTATGGCGCGTCATGTAGCTGAAGCCTAGCAGAGCAGCGCGACCTCGCATGCACGCAACAAGTCCACACCGGCCAGACATCTGGCCTTTCCGGGATCAGTGAGTCGTTCTCCCGACTGAGCCTTGCACTTCGCTGAGCACACTTCCATCTCTAGATGGCATCCTGCGCAACGTCGAGACGACCGCGGCGAGCTCGCAGACCGATATGGAAGATGCACTCCAGGACTTCGAGGCGCTCACGGTCAAGTGGCGGGAGATGGTCAAGCTCGCGCAAGACCTCAACGAGCGGCTCACCGCCGCGTCCTCGACCTCTACTGCCACCGCCGCCGCCCTGCCATCATTCCCTTCCCCCGCAGGCGCATCACCCACGCCCGCCAACGCGGAGGTGCTCACGACGCAGGCCGTCGAGCCGGAGGAGGCGACCTTCATCCGGTCCTCGCTCGCGCAGCTCGGGCTGCAGATGGCGAACGCGCCCGTGACGCTCGACATGATCCGCGACGAGCGGCGGTGGATCGAGGAGCTTGCGCGGGAGCTCGCGGGGGTCCTGCAGGGCGGCGGCGGGAAGGAGAAGCGCGAGGGCATCATGCGCCAGCGCGGGGTGGTGGGGCTCGACGAAGTATGGGGAGGGTGGAATCGCGCGAGAGGCGTCGGTGCGTACTTTGTGGACGATCTGTTCGGTTGAGGGTCTGTGCTGATGTGTGAATGGACAGCCCTCATCCCTCCGTCGACCTTCCTCCAGGTCATCCCGCAGCTCCCTCCGTATACCGACCCTCCGATACACACGCGGACCTTCCCTGCATCTGGGCTCTCAGTTCTGCATACGCCACCATACACCAAGGCAGCGTTTGCTGCGCGCCTCGTTGGGCTCCTTTCTCTCGGTACGTCTCCCTTACATCGCGAGTGCTTGCTGCTCCTGATGTCACTTCCTTAGCCGGCCCTCAGACTGTCGTCGAAGTCGCACGAGAAGAGGCCCTCCCCATCGGCCTCACCCAAGAAATGGTCAATGAAGTCGAAGAGGAGGGGGAGGTATGTCGAGACGAGGGCGGCGCAGGTTTGGATGTCACGTCCGGACTCTCAGGGAGCGGTTGGGCGAGTTCAGGTGGCGGAGAAGTGAGGCTCTGGGTGAACGTATTCCGAGGATACGTCTGGGACGGACAGATCGCATGATTGAGCACAGACTATTAGACACTGGCAGGCTTGTGGCAGGCCGCTCGACGTTCGATGTATTAAGAAGAGATGTATTGAAGGACGATCCATTGTATTGTAGCTAATCAATGCACTCGACGCAAAAAGCAGTGCACATGCATTCGACTATGTAAACAAAGAGAGGGTGCAGTTAGCAGATATACGGTACAACCGGCCACCAATATACGACAGCTATATACAAGTAGGTGGAAAAAAACAAAACGCGTCTGGCGCGTATAATTAGGCGAAGTAGTAAGTAGGTATTGCGTGTCGAGACGCCGTACACGCGGAAACCGTTTTGCAGGACAGGGCAGAGGAAATAACGACAGCGATTACTGTATAGATACAACCGATGGCGTCCAGAATGTCGAGACTTGCGAGAGATGGGAGCATTAGTGGATAGATCAGTAGAATAAATTAAGCTTGTTGCTGTAAATCCGATTCCGTTGGTTCACATGAGGACCTGCTGAGGGTCGCCGTGCGCGAATGTTGAATAGGATGCATCCGAGACCGGGGCCTGGGTGGAGAATTGGTCACCTTGCTGCTCCGGGAGGCCGTAGAGGCCGTACATCGGCACCTGCTGGCTCGCGTCTGCGGTGGGGAGCATGTTCACGAGCTCGTACTCCGCGCTCGCCGTCGTCGTGTACTGCATGGGCGAGTCCGTGCGGAACGGCGCTGTGTACGAGGTGAGCAAGGGGTCGCGCATGAACGCCGCGGTCTGCGTATGGTCCACGTCCATCTCCGTCTGCTGCAGCGTCATCATCTGGCGCATCTGGTCCTGCAGCTCGTTACTCGAGGCCGACCCGGCGCGAGAGTGCCCCCGGTGGAGGTTCGCCATCGGCGCCGCACCGCTGTAGCCAAGAGAAACGGTAGACGCCATCGGACTGGACTCCGCGGAGTACGCGTGGGCGTAGGGGTGGTAGGGACGCCCGGCAGGAACGCCGTGGTCGGACGCAACGCTGTACGGGCGGCGTATGTTCTCGCCATAGCGCGCTGGAGTGACGCTGCGATGGCGGCGGATGGGCCCGGGGCCACCCACATCGAGCTCCGAGGGGTAGAGCGCCCCGTGTTCGAACGTTGCCTTGTGTGACGGCGCCGACATGGACAGCCCGTAGTCGTTCGCGATCCCGAACTCGGTGGTGACATGCGCATAGGATGGCCGGCAGTGTAAGACATGCTCGAGTGTGGCCGGACGGTCGCCCATTGTGAGCCCGGGGACCCCTCCGTTTGCATGAAGTTGCCCTGCTGGTCAGGTGAGGGGTTCATAGAGTGCGTCGAGTAATATCCGTCTTGCACCTCGTCGGAGGGACCGACGACTGGCACCGCACCCGCCGCCATCACGAGGCCCTCCTCGTCGCCCTGGACCTCATGCAACGGGCCCTGAAACTCGACCTCGTATATCCGCACGTCGTTCACGTTCACATCCTGGTCGCTCTCCTCCGGCTCCTGCTCGGCCTCGGGGCCGAGCTCGCCGCCCTCATCAGCACGGAGGTGCGTCCGCGTGTGCTGCGCGAGGTTGTCCGAGCGCGAGAAGCGCTTCTGGCAGCGGTCGCACTGGTACGGCCGCTCGAGGGTGTGCGTGCGCAGGTGCCGCTTGAGGTGCTCCATCCGCTTGAACATGCGCCCGCACGAGAAGAGCGGGCAGACGAACGCCTTCGCGCGCGTGCTCGACTCCGCTAGCATGTCGGGAGCCGCGGGCGCGCCCTGCCACCCGTCGACGTCGCCGAACGGCACGGCGCTCGAGCTGGGGAACGGCTGTGATAGCGAGCGCGCGTGATGCGGGAAGTCGGCGTTTGGGAAGGTGTGCCGCGCGTGCGGTACAGGGCGCTGGGGCAGGTGGCCAGGGTACGCGGGCATCATCGCGGGCTGGCCGCCGCCCTCCATCATCATGGACGCCTGCATGTCGTGCGCGAGCGCAGCCTGTGGCATGCTCCCCGCGCGGTTGGGGTCCACGAAGCGATTCCGGTTCGCGAGCGCGAACTGCGCCTCCAGCGCGCGCCGCTGCCGCTCCTTCTGCGACGCGATGAGGTCCGGGTTGCTCTGCCCGTCGAAGTCGCCCCGCGCCTGCGCCATGAAGAGCTCGCTTGCGCTCATCCGCGATGTGTCCCGGCCGAAGCGGTCGACGTGCGGCTCGTGCATCCGGCCCATGTAGCCGTCCATGCTGTATGCGTCTGGCGGCGTCCGCCGCGTGCGATGCAGCTTCTTCCGTCGCTGCTTGTACGTCGGCGAGCCCTCGAACAAGCTGAACATCGAGAAGAAGGGCGACGCCGGCCCGAACTTCTTCGTCGTCTTCGTTCCCTGAGCTGCCTCGGATTCCACGTCAGATTGCGCCGACGCACTCGCGGACTCGCCGTCGGACTCGCCCGTTTGCTCGTTGGGGCGCGCAGGGCCCTCTAGCTCGCTTTCGTTGTCAGAGCCGCTCTGCGCTTTGCTGAACTGCTCGTACAGCGAACGCTTCGAGTCATACGTGAACGAGCGCGCGGGCTCGCCTACGACGACTGTGGTCGGCTCCATGCCCATCTTCTCACGCTTGAGATCCCGCTCGAGGGCATCGAGGAAGAGACGGTCGTGGGGGACGGAGAACCTTTCTGGAGAGTGAGCAAGGATGCGGAGGCAGTTAGTGCGATGCCAGAACATACCAGTAGAAAACCTTCTGCTTCTTTTGCGTGCGGATGCATTGATACTTGAACAGCAGGTCGAGGAAGGGCGACTGGATCAGATTAAGTCAGTATCTCTCACTTCGACGGACATATGAACGATTGGCGAGTGGCGTTGACAAGGAAAAGAACAGATGGATTGTGAACAGTGACCCTTCAAAACCCTGATGAAGAGTAGGAAACCCTAGCTCTCATCCAGGGTTCGTAACGGTCCGTTCAGAGCATCCCGTTGAGATGCTGGCTCCGATCCCAGGTCCTCACTGATTTTGACACGAACGCAGTCGATGCGCATATCGATCTCCACATTGCCGTTCTAACGTGGAGACCAGAGGTCTAGGACCTGGAATCAAGCCTCTCGCGCGTCTAGGGGCACGTATAGCAGCATGATCGACGATGTATCACAGCGTCTACTCATATACGCGCATATACCGACCCCAGACATCCAGCGACCACGCAACCTGTCCGTGTATGCGCGCATACGCACGCATCTCGAGGCAAGTACCAGCGACTGAAGCAGTGCTCACCTTGGGCTCTTCAAGACACGCGTCCATACCTGGCTTTAGGTTCCGGAGATCACTGAACACCCCCTCTTCGAACTTCTTCATGTTCCGCACCGGCCGCCCGAACGCCTCGAAGCGGAAGACGAGCGCACGCACGATGTCCGTGCCGGTGATGTGGTACAGGCCGCCCCAAAGCACGCAGCTCACATACTCCGAGTTCGGGAGCAGGAAGCGGTTCAGCGCAGGGTGCGCGCTACTGGGGTGGCCGACGGGGAGGCCCGCGGCAGCGGCAGACGACGGGTCGTCGCCGGACCAGCGCGAGGGCGCGGTGGCGAGGAAGAACTTGAGGCGATCGAGGTGGTTGAGGAGCTCGCGCTCCTTGTGCGTGAGTGGGCTAGTGAGTCCGCCGTGCGGACCGGGCCCGCGGGTCATTGCGTGGGCGATGGAGTCGGGCGCAGCTGCCGCGTCCGCGCCATGGTCGCTGTGCGAGGGGTCCCCCTCCGCGTCTGCAAGCAGCTCGTGCTGCCCGCGCGAGCGCAGGGGGTGGGCGGTCTGCTCCTCGGGCTCGGGTGCGTGTGCGCCTGCCGCACCGGTGGCTATCTGGAGGGAGCGCGGGGAGGGCTGCTGGGAGTACGTGGGCTGGAAGGAGGTCGATGCGGGCGCGGTGTGCTGGAGCGGTGATGGGTCGTGGAGTGCTGCGGTCTGATATGGTGCTGACGAGTCCATTAGAACGAGTAGTATGCTTCGGACGGGGAAGGGAGCGTGGCCAGGACGGTCGTGATGCTATAACTGGGGGGCACGCGTGAGCTGGCGGGCGGTGAGAGGATCGATGGGAAGTTGGGCTCACATTATGGGTCGTGCTGGCAACACGCGTGCATGCAGAAGGGGCGAGCGAGCGAGCGGGAGCGTTGTCAGAAGGCGTGCGTGCGGGCGGGAGGACGGAAGCGTGCACCTGGGCGTGCAGCACGCAGCACGGGCGATTATCAGGCGGTCGGTAGAGATATGGGGGAGGCCCGGGCTCAGATGGATGTGAAATATTAGCCTCTCGCGAGGTGGACGAAGAAAGGAAGGGACGAGGGCGGCGTCCACAAGTTATGAGCACAGAGGCGCTCCGGCGCGGACGCTGCCCCAGCGCGTCTCCGCGTCTGCCCTCTCGCCAGTCACGCCCTCGCACCGCCTCTGCTGTCCGCCAGCCACATCATCCATCCGTCTGGACGCCTCCTCGATGGCTGGGCTCGCCAGCCCACAGGCACAGGCCCATCGCGCGGGCGCTCGCTGCCCGACATCAAGACCCTCCACACAGCCATACCGGCGTAGGCGTCTGTTGTCACAGCATTACCACCCGCACGCCGTCGCCCTCATCATTTCTCGTCGGCTCGTCCGTCTCCAGCGGAACCCCTCGGACTCTCGCCGAGGCCGGTCGCGCATTGTCCAGTTGGCCCAGGCCGGCGACGACGCAGAAACGGACGGGCACGGTGGGCTTCGTGCACGGCGTCCGCTCCTTCCCCCAGATCAGTGATATTTCCGCCTCCATCTTCAGGTTCAACCACGGCCCTCGTCCGTCCGCTGCCGGAATGATCTGCATCTTCCTCTTCGATGCCAGTTCAGTGGCTTCTGCGCAGCCAACGGTCTTCTCCACCTGTCAGTCAGTCAGATAATTAAGCCCTGTCCAACACCAACTGACAGCTGCTGCCAGCCAAGACGGCCATGGTACCACCTCGGCAGTGGCTGCCCGTCCCACTGGCACTGGGCTCTGCCGACTGAACGTCGGCTCTTATGGTCTGCAACGGAGACTTGCACGTATACGCTACCGAGCGAGCTCTGCACCAGCTCTGCACTCTGAGTCGCGTCGTGGCTCGTGTGCATTTCTCCGCCCGCGTCGGCCTGCTATAGGTATATAGTTTTCGCGGTCCAGAAGACCGGACTCCGAGGGCGTGCCTCGTCAACAGCACCCTCGTCCCAAATGCGCCGTGCCCATTCCTCCGGGTCGGAAATCTCAAGCCGCCACCGGGGGCAAACCACTTATTCCGGACTCTGAATATTCCGAGCGTGTTCGTAGCCAACAGATCTTGCTTCAATCAGATTTTGACCCCAAATCCCAGCATTGTTTGTAGCATGTTCAGCCAAAAGCGTCGAACATTGGCGGTCTGCGAGAGGCGAGGCACGAGCCGAGCGCAGAGCGTAGTCTAAGTGCAGGGCTTAGGCGCGCATCGCTCTCTTTGCGCGCCCACGTCTCTCCTCCAACGAAGCACCCTATGTAGAGCTCAGTTTCGTCCTCGGTCATCTTTTCACCCAACCACCTCACCCTCTCCGCTTTCTCACCACTTGCTTCCCAGCTCTCAGGCAAGTGCATTCCCCTTTCAGTCCATTGGCTCGACGTGCTTCCTCCCCAATTCCTCCCGCAACCTGTGAAGGATCATGCTACGAAGCGGCTGCGGTTGTCCCGCCTGCCCTTGCAGCTCATCCGTACCCACAGGTCCCGGTGGTTCGTTTTGGGTCTGGCAGCCCGGAGGGCTGCGCCCCGCACTCGTTGCTACTTACACACCTCTCTCTCGCCCCTAATACTCTCGAAGATCGCGCGGCGGTCTACCCCACTCTCCCATTGCGATGATTTCCCATTACCGAGCTCAAGCGCTCATGTCTCACGTCTTCTATAGTACTATCCAAGTTTTCTCTAATAGTACTACTCTAATCGACAGGAGCCCGAACGGAAATACCTAGAGTTGATTTCTTGGACTTTTCGGCGGTAAACATTTCATGCAAATGGTCAGCATGTTCGAATTCTGAACAAACCCAAGAAAGGTTCCCCGTGCACGCTCGTCTTCTCAGGATTCTCGGAGTCCAAAATAAACGGTTCGCCCTCAACTCCTCCATCGCGGACGAATCTAGCGCGTGGGTCTCGCGTGGCCGTCCTCCCCGCGCGGGTCCGCTCGGCTACAACGACGTCGACGCCTCAACGCCTTCGCTGCTGATCGCAATCGTACTCAACACGCACCACCGCCCACCGTGCCCATCTGCCGGCCGCCTCACTCACCATGCTATCCCGCAGGCATCGCGCGCCGCGCATGCTAGAACCCGTCAACAATCCCAGCTGATGGCCTGCAGGCGCACGCTAGAGCCCGCCGAGGCGCTAGGTCGCCATCCGACATCAGCTAGCTCTCTCGCGAACCCCCCTGCGCCTCCGCTGACGCGTGCCTCCTGCCCCGAAAGATCCAAGGATCGGCGCGTTTCCGCGGATAGCGGACCTGATGGGTCTCTCTCCGCGCTATCTCCGTGAGCTCGTCCAAGGCTTGTCCCGTGCTCGGCACTCCCGCGCCTCCCCCAGGTCCGACCCCTGGTGCAACCCTGGTGTCCTACAAGATCGCCCTCCGCCGAGACTTGCCTCTAAGAGAACCGCTTGAGTTGCCGGAAGCCCCGAGGTGCCCGATCCCAGCCGTCTCATCCACATCGCGCTTTTTGTCTCTCTGAAGATTCCCCCGGCCCACCCTTCTGCAGTCCCCAGGCGCCATAAGCATCATCCAACAATCGAAGATAAGTACACCCCTATGATGCCATCTTGATCCTCCGGTCCCGGCCCTGCCATGTGCAATGTCGCCGGCGCTCGACGCTAGATCTGCTCGACCAACCATCGCAGCACTAGAGCTGCTATTGTCATCGGCAGACATTGGCGACCGTCACGGTCATTCGGGGTGGTTGTTGCACTGACGCCGTACACGAGAGCACTCGGGCTATTCATGTCCCACATCCCCCGGGCGACCACGAAGTGCTCTGTCTGAATGGCTCGCATGTCCGGAATCCGGATAACATCCCTCGAAAACGCCCGCTTCCTCCCCAACCATCGAGGGTTCTGCATACTCGACCCCACCATCAGAGCGCAGCCGCGCGACTAGAGTTGCTATCGTCACCGACGGACATGGCACCCTGATCCACTCTGCCCGCAGTGGCGCGACATGCCGAGCTGGCGAACAGACATCCAGGACAGGTTATGCAAATCGACTACTGACAGGTTTGATTAGGTTGTCGAAGGGTGCATCTACGAGCGACTCTGTACGCTGCATAGGTGCGCTGCCAAGACTCACGCGCTCCCCAAAGTCGGCCGATGGCGCAGGCGGAGTCCTTCCGAGGCCCTTCCACCCAGCGAACAGACGCACGGGCGAGTCCACAACATTGCCCAGGACAACTGGGCTGGCGGCACCGGCCATCCTCCCCGTACCCTGCCGCGGCACTGCCACCTCGCCACCATCTTGCCGAACTGAGCGTCCAACCGAGCGCACCGCGCAGGCCTAGGGCCAATCAGGAACCTGCCCACCCTGCCAGAGCCATACGAGGGTAGACCCACTTCGTCTGTGGGGGCAATCTATCACCGAGGGTGAGTAGCGCATGATCGCCCTGCTCGTCCGTCTAATCGTCGCGTTCCCTCGTACAGAGTCTCGGAGACCGGGGGCTGGTACTCATCTGCACCTGGGCAACGCGAGGGCGTATGGACACCCGGCGCGGCGAGCACAGGAGTGCGGGTTCCTGTCGATGACGCGCCCCTGCTCAACAGCAGGAGCGCGTCAATCCCAGTGGCACGCGGGTCACAGCATCATGATCTATACCGTTCATGAGGCCAGGCCGCGGCGCGCACGGAGCTACACGCCAGCCCAGATACATACAATGCACATGGTATTGGTCGTGATGCCGGGCGGCGACGGCCTCGGAGGGCGGATGGTGGAATGCAGCTCGGGCTAGCGTACCGCCTATAAGGCCCGATGATGGGGTACCTTTCCCTTCGTGGCCCGCGCGGCGTCCCGCTATTCGCAGTTCGGAGGTCGAGGTTCGGTGCGCGGGACGGAGATGGGGCGCGCCGCCGCTGTGGAATGCCGAATTGTGGCCGTCCGACCTCCGAGCGCACCCTCCGAGCTTCCTGCATGCCGTAGCCGTATGCGCTTGCTGACACCACCATCGCAGTTCTCGGAGTCGAGCTCTCGAATACCCGCTCGTCGCCTGCTCTGTTCGTTTTTTGTCGTCCGGTTCGGTCGGACCCTCGTCACGGCTGCAGTGACACTCGTTGACAGCTTGCAGAGAAGTCGAACCTCGAGGTCACCAACTTGCGATGCAGAAGCGCGGACCCAATCTAGTACCTCGGATTGTCGGCAAGTCGGCATCTCGATGGGTCGCGTGCGGGGCGGGCGCATTCAGTCACGGTGTGCTGTGATCAAGCTAGGCAGGACCTGGCCTATGGCGAGGATGCGCTGAGGGCGCGAGCGGAGATGAGCCGATGGTCGCGGTCCCGGTGGGTCGGATCCAAGTTGAGCGGCGTACAGCTTCTGCTGAAAATTTGGCTGAGCAGCTGGGGGGCCGCGTATATTTCTGTCATTGCGCAGAAATAGTCATGCGAGCACATTGGTTAAGCTCGTCTAATATAGGGCTTCTGTCAGATGGTCCGCCTCCGGGTCCTATGTTAAATGCGCCACTTAGCTACGGAACGGCGAATGGATGCGGCGAGAGAGCGGGCCAGGGATGCGGTCATTAAGCATTGAGGCCAGACCAGAACCGTGGAGATCCTGGATGTCCTTTCGCAGACGAAAAGAGATAGCCTGCAAAGCTTAGGGTTGCGATTGAGACGGTTTGGGGAGAAGTTCAGGTGCAAGTCTCCGAGGCTTCTCATCTCTTCCTGCGGCGACATACTGCAAATAGCTGCAAATCCAGGCGTCGCATAACTCAAACTAAAAGTTCACATGCATGAACGACGCTAAAAGCGTAAGTCCCGAACCGCACGACCCGACGAAGGGCGCCGCGGCGGGATCGTGGCAGGCGGCCGTGATCGAATGATGTACAGCACAGGGCACCGACTAATACGTACACCGATCGCACGCAGTTGTCGATCTGCCAGAGATGGCCTGCTCTGCCGATGTCGTGCAGGTGGTGCGAGAGCAATTGTCGGCATGGCAGGTATCCAAGGCGGTGAGTGCGGTTTGCTATGATCCGTTCAAACTGAACACGGAGTATTCTTCCCGTTCACTACCGTCAGTTCTGTTCGGCTCGAGCTTCACAGAACCTGTTATTAATAATGATGTTCAATGTACCAACAGATTGTCACACAGGTCCGAGTTAATGACTGCACATCACTGCCCACTTGACCTGCGCCGCCCATCTTGTGCCGTCAGCATTTACCGGAACCTCGAAGTCACACCGACTCGAGTACTCCACGTACGCCTGTCTTCGCGACGGCGCGACAGACTGCGAATCTGGCGGCGCCCATCTGTCTAACACTGCCCCGGGGCTTGTCCGGTTCATGGTTCAGCAGCTCCATAGTTGACCGGGGACATCGACTTGACGTTCGACGTCGAGGACCCTCTATGTACTCCTTGTGGCAGTCGTCTTAAATCCACTGTTGATCGGTGGTCGCCCAGATTAGCATGCAGACGTCGTCCAACCACGGCCAGAACGCTATATATCAGACGGTCTACGGACGTTGATGATAATTGTCTTTTCACGGCGGAAACGCTTGTCCCTGGTCCGCCGGCGGCGACCGCACAATGACCCTCCATTTTGTGAGTAAATTCGGACGTTGAACGTCCAATCGGCATACTCACGGCGTATACTCACTCAGGGAGTCAGGATTCGTCGAAGTACCGATAAATGAGGCTCGGTCAAAGGATCCGCCCGACCTGCACGCCGTCGGGACAGCGCATACGTACGCACCAAACCCAGGCCGGAGAATGACACTGTGCGGCGCACCCTAGGTATCCGGCCAGTACTCAAGCAATAGTCCGGAGTCGAGGTAGTATGTGATGCGCCATCCAGCTCATTGCATTTCAAAGCGGCAACCGTCCTGTCATCCGCAAGCGCGCACCACCTAATAACGGCGCAGCGATGATGATCAGACGGCGGCGTTGTCGCCACCGACGACGGTGCCCCACTTCTGCACGCACGGAAATATCGGGGCTGTGGGGGGACGCAAGGTGGGTATGTAGGTGTCTTCACCGTGACGACGAGACACGTAGGACTGCGGTGCTGCGTATTCTATCAGCGGGCGCGTCCTGGAAACCACTGTTCGCCGGTGCAGCCGGGAGGACAGTGGGATCTCAGTCGAGTCCTTCGAGGTAGGACCGACGCTAGCTGATACCGCACATCAGCCCTGGGTGTGTGCCAGTAGACGCACACTGCAGCACTAGCTTCGTCCGTCAATTCGTTCTAGCGTAGCAAGAGACAAATAAACACACTCAATTCCCCGTCCATCCGCAGAGAATGAATCAGAATATTCAGGGACGTCGGGCAGCCCGAGGATGTCGCACACCGACGCATACTACGCATCCCCGTCCGAATCCGTCGCCGCCGGCACCCCGCAACCCGGAAGGGGATACGGAAACACCGCCGTACGTCAGAAGAATACTGAATAGCGTGAAGTCTGGTACCATCGCATCCTCTGGATCTCGACAACTGACGCAGCAAGGCGAGTCTCGGGTATATTTGTTGGGTTGCACACAAGGTATCCAGGCGAGCTGATCTCTCAGAGTCACCGTTGAGCCTGGACGCAGCGATAGATCCAAACGTGCTCGAGCCCCATTCTTTCTTACTGTGTGCAACAGTCGACATTATGATGCTAAGTCTACGACCTGCAACAGTCGACATCATGATGCTAAGTCTACGACCTTCGAGTTCGAACTGGTTGGCTCCTGCAGTGGGACGGGTATGTAGTAGACACAACCGGGTAACCATGATTCAAATTCTGCGTTTGAGTTGGCCGCTCTGGACTCTTCGTATTGGGATTCGTTCCATGCTCTGATACTAATAGGACTCAGACGAGGGAGGACATGGGGGAAGGTCGGTGTACTAGTGATGACATGTCGCAAATCAATCGGACACACTCGGAGCGTCTGAAGGTCTGGTCACTGCGAGAAAACCAATGCATTGAGCGTGTCCATGACAGATATCACTAAAGCCACTCAGTGGTCTGTGGCATATACACTTGTTACGAACGTGTTGTACATTACGATTAAATTAGACTAAAGAAACTGTGGATGGCTATGAGGGCAACGTGGAGGACCTGCTTCAGCGTTTGCAGATGGTTGCTGACGTGCTTGCGAGGATGCGGCGGCGGGGGCGGTATCGTTTATGACTGAGTCTTCGGGTGGGATCAGATATTCAATATCTTCGAATAGGTGAGGGAAGAAGATAGCCAGCATATCGTCGGTCCTACAAGTTGCCATGTGGATTAGCCAAGGAACATCGACGAGCACTAGTACCGTACTTGAAAACAAAATCGCCCTTCTGCGCTCTCTTGGCAGGTGCGTCGACCGCGTTCTTGCCAGGCGCCAGGGCGAACGTTGAGGTGTCCAGAGTCCCTGCTGAGTTGTCTTTCGTGTACAGCGATTGTCCCTGTCGAACAGCCAGATCCAAGATGTTTCGCTCTACTGTGTCTTCGGCAAAGTAGCAATACACTGATCATGGCATGAGCTGTGGACCGTCATTTGTGTCGTTTATGTAGACTTACCTTCTGTTGGTTTGGTCTGTCCCATACGGTCGATTCGTGCAATCGCTACCAATAATCTCAGTCGAGTGCTCGCGCCGCGAGGGTTGCACACCGACCTTGCAATTCGAAAGCATGGTGGACGACACTCTCGACGAGGAAAACGCGAGAGGCACACGTTACATTCAACCCCGCATTTTCCCGCTCCCTGATAGACGGCAATGTTGAGCGATCAAACTCATGAGAGAAAAATGAACATACCCATGCAGAAGAAGAACATCAATAGTAGGATCTGTGCGGAACTTCTTCGCTGCATGCTCCTTTCGTCTTTGTTGATCAATCCGCAAACAAGATATATCTGTCCTGATCGTCAGCATGGACGAGATCCTCATACAGACAGAACGCTCACCATTGCGCTTCAAAGCATGCTGGATGACTGCACGACAGGAGAAATAAGTGTTCGTTATCAACGAACCATACATATACGCACTGTGGAGTGAATCAGCCCATGCTGAAAATACAATGCTCTTTGCCCCTGGGTCCGCAACCTTCAAGTACAAGAGATGTCTCAACAACGTATTGATCTTGCTGCCATAACTTCCGATAGCCTCCATAGTCTGGATATCTTCGAATAAAGTGGCAGGGATGTAGTTATAGTCGTTTGACGCTGCGACTTGGGGATAGCTTCGTTGTTGCGAATGAGGGCCGGTGCTACGGGTGCTGGTTCTGTCTTCGAGTTGTGTATTGAGAAGCGCTGCAACTGGCTGGGATTGATGTTCTCCCGACACACAGGACACACTTTCCCTTCTTTGCGAGAGATCCATTCTTTCAAGCAAGCCTAGAGCGTGGGCAATGCTAAGCATAACAGATCCCAGACGGATCATACTGGATACATACCTCACAGAAGACGTGCGCGCTTCCACAGTCAATTAATACCAGAAGGCGAGCAGACGAGTAAAACAACACAACGCACCATTGCGTGATGTAACCACGGAGGAAGTCACATCGACAGAGAACGCAGCAGCGCTCTTCCTCATCTTCCTCATTCTCGTTGCGGGACTGTGCCAAATTATCAAGGTACCGTTGATGAGCGCGCCCAGTAGTAATCTTCGTCTCCAGCTCCGCTTGGTCTCGAGCTATGTCAGCCAAGGCAACCTCGACACTGTCTCCCCATGCAGCCTCTGCGACTGTGTCAGAGATCTCTTGTAATTGTCGAAAATAGCTGATAGCAGTGTCAACTCAGATTAGTGATCGACAATGGGCACACTTACGATATGCGCTCGTTGAACGCTCTTCGCAATGGGACAAGATCGGCCTGTAGTTTGTCCATCAATTTATCTGTGAAGCGATGAACGACGCAGGCACATGAATGTTAGTCCAGTAACGCACTCTGCTCTAGGAGTAGCTTTCTTAATTGCTTGGTGGCCTCACGCGCCAGGATCTTCTCGGGATCAGTATCTTTGGCGATGCGAGCGGCAACATTGTTGAGGTCGACCAAAACCGATCTGACGGCCCTATCACTGTTAAATTCTTCCAGTATCGCCTTTCGCTCCTCGTTCAACGTCTTCAGGAGAACTTCATGCTCCGGCAATTGTTCTTGATTATCGAGTTGGTGAAGTTCGACCATGTCGTCCGGTTCCAAAGCGCGTTGGGCCGCTTTCGTATGTCGAGCGTGAGTCTCTCGGACGTCGTGCGTAGCAAGTAAAGTCCGTTCAGCTGTCAGAGCTTCGCGGCGGTCTGCAATGAGTGCCGCATAAGCTTGTAGATATGCCTCTGCCTCTCCTTGCGTCTCCAAGCTCCGACCGTACTCTTGTCCATCCGCGGCATCGTCTTGATGAGTCAATGATTGCGTGAGCAAGGCGATAAGCTTCTGTCTCCACTTCCACAGGAGGGCAGACTGCGTATTCAAAACCTCATCAATTATCTCGTGCACTTCCTCGATCTAGTGATCCCCGTTAGTGTCAGTACTGGACGGAACGTCGCAGCTACCTACAAGGTCAGCCGATTTGATTCCACCGGGCTCGCAGTAAGGAACTTTGATATACAGCTCCGTTTCCTTGAGTGCCTTGACCGACGCAGTGTTCGTCAATAGAGTCATAGCCTTTGCAGCCATCTCCTCGGTACCTAATTGCAGTGAGTTCAACAGCTTCTCCGAAGAAAAGGCATGTCCACTCACCTGAGAGCAGCAATCGTCTCAATTCTTCCGCTTTGGCGTAAGCTTCGTTCTCGGCATCGGCATATGCTTCTCCCAGGACATGATACACATCGCCCTTGAGGAATAGCACCTTGTGCAGTGAGATACGAGCGTCTCTTAAGCGGTTTTGCAGTCCGCTGCCCTTCGAAGTGTGCTCTTCCCCCGCGCGATTGCGAGGCAAGCCGTATTCGTCGGAGTCTAGGTCGTCATCGGTCAGGTCGGACTCGCTAGGCGCTCGCCCCTTCCCTTTGTCGACCGAGGAGGATGCCTGGCCACGTTCTGCTCGTAGCCTTGCGGCCTCTGCCTTGAGTGCCGCACCCTTCTCGGCATGTTCGGCGAGCGCAGCATTTATGTCATTGATGAGCTGATTCGCTTCCCTATCTGCGTTAAGCAGGACGTCTAATGCCGAGCGATAGCGAAACTTGTCATCTTCCTGGTGCTGACGCAGCTGAGCAGTTGTTGACATGAGTTGGATCTGTGCAGAGTCGATAGTCAGCTATGGTCGCGTGAATGTGACTTGCGCCTTGTTAATCACCCTGTTACGCCGGTCCTCCATGAGATTTCTCCAGTTCTGGTCCCTCATGCCCTACAAACACGCCCAAGGCGCTTTAATATCCCGCCGACGATGACCAAACAAAGACGTACGTCAAGCACTTCCTCCATAGACTTGAGCACACCTGGTTTGTGTAGTCTATCTCCGGCGTTGAGCAACTGGCCAACCTGTGGATGCGTACAGATACCACGCAATTTCCTGAGCCAAGTACGCAGGACGGCTGTATCGACCTCCCAATCAGCCCTTGCAGCGACCCCTCGGGCATCCAAACCCAATGCCAAGAGGGCGCCATCGAACATCTGGTCGTATACCTGAAACCCACCACAATGAGCATGATCCCGGGACATAAAAGATAATACTTACGTGTCGCTCGACCCGGCCCAATTCGATGGGTACGAGGTACGGGTTTGCTTTGGGATGGTGAGCTCGTGCTTCACCGCGGCTTTGACCGTCCTAGCCAATGCGATGGTGGTCAATCTCCGCACAAACTGAGATGAATGTTGCTTGTCATGCAAACCCACCTGATGCTATATTTGCTGAATAGATCAGCGAAGTCAGTGGCATACGGCGCCTTGAGTAAGCGAGGCCAGGTGCGTGAATTCTCCGTCACAGCGCGTATTCGCAGAAACCTGCTTGCCTATGAGACGCTCTATCCCATTTCAAAGTTCCGCGATACGTACCGCAGGACATGTATGAGATCAGACACTTGCGCTCGCGCGGGAGTCCCGGAGACAGCAAACGAGGATAGTCGCGGAATCAGCGAGACCATCTCCCTGTTCGACACTGAGCACAACTAGACCCAATGAAAGCCGTTTGACGGTACGTACTCAGCTTGTCCTCCACCAACCATCTGCACCTCGTCCATGATGACCCTATACCACTCGCACATGATCAGTGGACTCCGCGCACGTTCAATCTCAGAGTAGTTGACGTTTGCTCGTCGCGGGCGCGTCGGCGGTGCTCGTGCGACACTCAGATCGTGTTGTAGAACGTTATACGTGTGATGCAGACGTCGAACGTGTTGACATACGAGCACCAGTCCAGCACGTCTTCGTCTTGTGGGCTGCTCAGCGTTCTCGCCTACTTGCTGGTCACCTTCATCTCCGTATCGACTGTCTGGCACGCTTGCTCCTGCCTCTCTCGGAGCTGGGCGCTTTAGAGCTGGCTCTGCTCCCGTCGCGTGCCACCGATTTGCCTCTCTGAGAGGATTGTGATTCACGTTGTCTCGCCGCTGCTGCCTCGGTGATGGGGACGGGTACTTTCGCCCAGCCGTCGTAGACCAAGACTCTCAAGGATGGAGCGTGTAACGCGAGTTCATCCGCCCACTGTTGTGCTAACGAGGAAGGAGTCACGATGAGCGTCGTCTACAGTGCCATCCGTCAGTTCAAATAGCTGTAGCATCGAACGACTTCGCAAACCTTTGTTTCCTTAACATATACTTTCGCCTCGGGGTCCCACCTCTTCTTCGCAGGCCCCCGTCCAACGGAAGGGTTGAGTAGGATGAGCGTAATACACTCGAGCGTCTTGCCCAGGCCTGGTTCTTCGGCGAGGATACCTCCTAAGGCGTCTGCATCGTTCTGAGGCTTCTCGCGAGATAGCAGTCCTCGTACGCGGTTGAGGTATAAAGTCTCTTCGCTAACCCGAATTTCATCCCAGAACAACGGAGGATCCGCGAATTGGGTATATCCGTTACATCCCGTGCGTATCAACCTGCTTGCCTTCTCGGGACAATAACCAAGCCACACTACGACGCTGGAACGGCAGGAGGTAGGAAGGAGGTCTTCGGGCTGAAAGCGCTCCTCTTGTTCTGGGGCACTCAAGTGGGGCGCGGTCCGAGGATAGAATAAAAGCGGAATGTCGACCGTACCCTGGAATGATGCAGGCGAGGTCGTATACGGGAAGTAGTGCAGCAAGACACGACGCTGTGCTTCTTCGACCTCACTTGGGTGCCCTTTACGAATGGTGGGAACGGCTCCAGCATCTTCGAGTACAGGAGGGCAGCCTCGACTTCCAGTCGCAAAGTGAACGGAAGCATATCGTCTTCGATCTTGGGAACGGTGGGATCATGAACGTCAACATACAGGTGCACGAAATATTGCCCGGCCGTCTCTGCTAAGTGCCTCAAACGCAAATAGCAATTGAGATATGTGGGTGTGTCGAAGACCGTAGTCCTGTTATCGAGGCGTCAGCCTCGCTAGGCAGGTCTATATGTAGGAGTGTTCGGGATATGTGCTGTAGACTTGCATGAGGGGGCAACGCGTCGAGACGGCTTGCGAGCTTCTAGGAGCACTTTCCCGAGATCGAGAGTAGTTGGGAGGTCGTCTGCATAACGCTTCGCTAACCAAGACTTGATTCGGTCCTCGACTCGGTCTGCTCTGTGCGGTCCATGTCTATTTCGTCATCGCGTCGTCTTCATCGTCCTCGCTATTCTCGCTTAAACGAGGTGCGGCAGATGAAATGAAGTCGATATGAAAGACGTGATGATACACCCATGTCTCCGTGGTATCGGTCGCGACGTTGTCTGACTCCGCCACAGTTGTGTTCCCCACGTCCTTCGCGTCTAAGCGCGCTCGTTTGCGAGAGAGGGGCTCCGCCGACCTAGCACGTTTCTTGCCCTTCTTGTTGGCAGAACAGGCATCTAGGAGGTACTCTAAGCTTGAGAGGTCGACTTCATTTCCTTGCGATGGCGCGTTTAGGTGGACGGTGTGATACGTGTGGTCGCTGCGGTCGGACATGGTGGTGGCGGTCAAGACGCGTTCTTGTGAAGATCCTCATCTCACACGCGTAGTGTCACAACGTCACTGAGTACCGTCACACATCACACGTCACAAATCACTTTGATTGTGTCTCTTGCCGTCTACTTATTAGGAGTCAAAGGCCGCAACTAAGGTAAGAAGCTTAAACATGTACATCCAAAGAAATGCTGCGGGGGTGACGCTAGGTCAATATCGTGTGCGCACGACGTCGCAGTTCTATGGCTTCTGTTGACCACACCAGCTCCGCTATATGTATGTATGCGTGTTACCCTATCAGTTGATGGAGATATAGAGCAGTACTGTAAATGGCTGGTCAGAAGATTGAAGGCTGCGAGTTGTGTGGTGGTCCTGCAATGACGTACGAAAGCGGTTGTTTGTGACTATTATATCTAGAAGCTCTTGGCATACAAGACAAACAACGCCTACGCGTCCCACATACGCGTCGGTGCACTCACTGCGTTCACCATTTCAGTCACTCACCGCACCTGCACTCTCCAGCATGGCTTCCTCAATGGCAGTCGACAAGCCCAGAGCACCAAAAATTGATATCGACGAGTACCTCACGCTTGCCGTTCGGGCACGCCAGCGGACCTGCACCCGTTCTTCGAGTCCTTCCGGAATCTGTACAGTCGTAAGTGCGTAATCCACACTGGAGATCATGAACAGACAACTTATTTTGCGCTGTAGGCTATGGCACCAATTGACGCTCAAGCTGTTTGAGTTCTTCGACCACCCACTATCGAAGCCGTACCGGGTAGACATATACGACAAGTTTGTTCGGGATTTCGACTCGCGGCTTAACCAGCTGCGGTTGGTGGAGATGGGGGTGAAGGTGTCAAAGGAGCTTGACAGTACGTGTTATGTGTATGTGGCCGTGTTTCTGAGCACATCTGACGACTCGTTGTCTCGTGCAGATCCTCAGAAACACCTTGAGTTCCTGACCGACCTGCTCTCGCGGGTAGATACTGGGAAGGCCCCAGAAGCCCACGTGCTCCTGTTGGCAAGCATCGCGCATGCAAAGCTGCTGTACGGTGACCTAGAAGGCACGAAGAGTGACATCGACGGCGCATGGAAGATCTTGGATGAGCTGTCTGGTGTGGACAATTCTGTGAACGCAGCCTATTACGGTGTTGCTGCAGACTATTACAAGGTGGGTCCTGATTCACCCCCTCCCTCGAAAGATCATCTCTGGTTATAATCACTAGCTCCGTCATTCGCGCCTCGACCGCGTTCCATGCTAATGCCTGCGTTTCAGACAAAGGAGGGTACGCGGCTTACTATCGCAACTCCCTGCTCTACCTGGCATGTATCGACCCCGCCAAGGACTTGACGGCAGACGAGCGCCTCGTGCGGGCGCACGACCTCGCTATAGCGGCGTTCCTGGCGGAGACGATCTACAACTTTGGGGAACTCGTGCGTACCGCGGATCGCTTCTCTGGTGGCCTCTCTGACGTGCTCATGGTGACTGATCGCAGCTGATGCACCCGATTCTGGACGCGCTGGACAACACGCCTGTGGAGTGGCTGAAGAAACTGCTCTTCACGTTTAATGAAGGGAACATCGGCAAGTTCGAGAGCCTGTCACCACTTTTCCCGCAGGAGGTGCGTGTTTAGTCAACGTACCTGTGCACCTACTCATGCGCTCATCTTGTACCAGGCCATCTTGCAGGAGAACTACTCCTTCCTCCGGCAGAAGATCTGCCTCATGGCGCTGATCGAGTCGGTGTTCAAGCGCGGCGCCAGCGACCGGACGATGTCGTTCCAGACCATTGCGCAGGAGACACGGCTGCCCCTCAACGAGGTTGAGCACTTGCTCATGAAGGCGCTGAGGTAGGTTGCCTGCCTGTTCGACGCCGATGACGGTGCTAACGTGATCTGTATGACAGCCTGAAGCTGATTAAGGGCTCGCTCGACCAGGTAGACCAGAAGGCATATCTTACGTGGGTGCAGCCGCGGGTGCTCTCAGTCGAGCAGATTGGGCAGCTCGCGCAGCGGCTGGCTTTGTGGGGCGAGAAGCTGCACAAAGTGGAGGAACGCATTGCCCCCGAGGTGCTTGTCAACGGCTGATCATGATACGCACGCAAATGTTGTATTGTACTTGCATTATGGACTTATCTCTCACTGCGACAGCTGTATGCCGTCCTCGAGCAGGTGACCGTATCGTCAGCAAGCCAATTCAGGATCTGTGCGACGATCCGGATTCTAGAATGGCATCGTGGTGTGGAACGAGGATAGCAAAGTAGTGAGACCCTTCCGGAGGTCATATCCTCTCACGACAAATCGTTCCGGCTGTATGGCATCGGTAGCGAGAGTAGTTACTCTATTTCGCCCGTACTAGCAATCGATCTCCCCTACAATGGACGGCCCCAATACCGACCACCTGTTGGATAGACGAATTCGCATGTTCTCAGCATCTTTACCGTGCACTCTGGTCCGTCCGGCTCTGAATGACGACGGTGGCTGGAGAGCGTAGTGGCCAGAAATGGCAATGGGCGAAGGATCAAGCCAGTGCAGCCACCACGACTCGTGCTCTTCCTCGAGGAGACCGCATGCCCGCCTCCCTGCTCGCCTCCACGTTCGAGTGCCGCGTCCAGTGGTCGCCTTACGCAACGGCCTAGAGGGTTTCAACGTGTCTGCAATCTGCGCGCGACTCGCTGCCTGCTGCACTTCATATCCGACTCGCAGCATCTCCAGATCTCCTGGTGACGACAGTCTGGGGAAGAGACGACACCTATAGCTACTACAGCCATGGCGACTTCAGCTGAACACGCCACCCAGCTTCCTTCGTCCTCGACCTTCTCCTTCAGCGCACCGTTCCCGCTTCCGAAACCCGCGTCTGCGTCCTCCGCGCCCCAGCCCAAGCAGCGCCGTGTTTCGCTTGCATTGCCATCCTCGCCCCGTCTGTTCCCCGCATTCCACTTCCGCGACGACACGGGCGTCGGTGTCCACTCAGGAGAGTCATCGTCGAGCCTTGGTCCCGAGAAGAAGGGCAAGATGAGAAGAATCGAAACCGACCCTCTAGAGGAGGAGGTTGTTCAAATGTCTGGGCTGTCCGAGAAGAAGATGAGGAAGAAGTGGACAACGGAGGAGACCCAGATGCTTGTTGACGGCTGCAACAAGGTATGTCAGGCCAATCGCTGTACGACTGCGTGGGCTCATCTGTGCGCGCCTCGGGGTAGTGGGGTGTCGGGAACTGGAAGTCAATCCTCAATGACCCCAATTCAAGTTCGACGGTCGCTCGCCCGTGGATCTGAAAGACAGGTGTGTACGCGTCATCTGTTGAATCAACGTGCAGAGGCTTGGATATACGTCGGACATTGTATGTGCGCGGTCGTGCACGGGACTTCCTTGCGGACATTGTTCCACTGTGCAATTGGCTCGAGTCGTATGAAGCAGCGTAATGGCCAAGCATGCTACTACCACGATGCTCTACGGAGCATACAGGGCGTTCAATATCCGTAGATGAAATCGACGGGTTGCTCCTGACGCATGCATGCGTTACTCTGGCGTTCCATTTCCGCCTTGCGATGTCCCACAACCATGGTTCAGCAAGCTATATGCATCCGGGATGTACCGCGTTACACCGAGGATCCATGTCTAGCAGAACGGGTTTGAGTCCGATCATGAATTTGCCGGTGTCCCATTCACCCCCTAAGCGCGATGCGTGTCTTACACTCGTGGCGTGGTTGTCTGAGCGTCATCAGGGACTAATTTACCCCTCACCAGATTCCGCACCTATTTTCCCGACGCGTACAAGCAACATTATCCAAACGCGAAGACGCATTTGTCCTCCAAGATTCGCTCCGCCCTACCCGACGGTAGCTCGATCTTCGAGAAGACGCGCAGCAAGAAGCGTAGACCCTTCACCGAGGAGGAGGATCGCGCTCTCAAGGCTGGTTACGACAAGCATGGCACCGTTTGGGCCACCATTGTGAAGGACCCTATCTTCCAGGAGCAGAACCGACGGTCTACCGACCTCCGTGACCGCTTCCGGAATGCGTTCCCCGACCTGTACGAGGCGGCAGGATACAAACCACGCGCATCGGCGAAGAAGAGGAGAGGAGATATGCCTCAGCCCGTGCGAGCGGCAACTGATGATCAACTCGTCTCAACCAGCTCGACTGGCCCTGTCAGGAAGAGGCGCCATACCACTCAGGGCCTGTTCCGCGGTGGAACGAAGAGCGTGCCGGAGAGCACGACTTGCTCTGAGGACGAGGACAGCTCGGATGGGAGGAGGAAATGACAAGCTCCGTCGCGCAGGAAGGCCTCCGCACATCGCCGCCCGAAGATGTACACTCAGTCTCTGTCATCGAGGGCTACCCGGGCGAAGTCGATATGCAAGCTGACACTATGGCAGACTCGTCGGATATCCAAGATTATATGCCGAATTCCGAGCTGTCTGAAATCACGGATTCGTCGCAGTCGCAGGCCTGGGCGTCTGGACTCGACACACCCTTGCACTCAGGCCCATGGTCCTCTGCGACCAATGCGGCGTCACCGACATCCTCCCATCTTTCATCTGACTATTTCGTGACTCAATCTCCTTTCCACCGGCGGCCAGACGGTGCGCAGATCATGATCGGCAAATCCGCCTGGGGTCCCCAAGACTGGCTTTCAGCCAACCCACGCCTCGACCCCTCCGCTGCCCATAGTAGCAACTCGTCTTTCCTTGGCGGCGTCTCCCCCACTCCTTCGTCTCCCTTCTCCTTTGCGCACCTCAACCACGGCGTGCTTGACCGCTACGACTTATTCCCACCGTCGCTTGCGCACGACTTCGCGTCCGAGGCAGGATCGGCGACACGCACTCCACCTTCTCGGACCGGATATGTACCCCACCAACAGCTTCCACGGCTTCACACATCATTCTAACTACGCTGGAGACCTGATCTTCGGTGCGCGCTCACACCAGCCTCAACAATCCTTCGACTATGGCCCCGGTTCGGTTTGGGAGCGCGGGCCTTGGGCTTTCGGGCATGCAACAACCTCACGGGCTCCCTATGCATGCGCATACGCCTGCACTGCCAGGAATCGACGAGATCGAGCTCACGTCGATCACCTTGAACGACCAGACCGACGCCTCAGCGCCGATGGACACCGCTGAGACAGCTATACCCAAGGACGACTCTACATCAGGATGGACCTCAGCGCATTCAGCTTGCCTTCGCAATCGCTCGAGCTCGACGAGATCGTCGGGCTGTCGCTGCCGCAGGAGTTCAATGCTACGCCGCCGGGCACGCCGCAGACGACGTCGCGGTCCATTCGATCTCATGCCAACGCACACTATACTCGTCCCACAACCGTTCGGTTTCGGTCCCTCCGACTGAGCACCGCGCTGCGATGCCCCGTGCGCCGCAGACGCAGCTGCTCAAGTCCAGGCCTCTGCAGCCACCGCCACGGTCAATGTCCTTCATGGATGACATGCCTGTCCATGGACCGGAGGTCGTTGACATGGCTCTCCAGCAGGCGCAAGCGTATCAGCCGGGACCATCCTATCAGCCTGACGGGTGGCGGCCTCAGGGGGATATGTACGATCTGCCCTTCCTGGATCTGCACTACTACACGTCGTCCAGCCACAATCCTGCAATCACCGGGCTTGATGGAGACGGTGCTGCACAAGGCACTCTGAAGCCAGACGTGGACCTTGCCCGTCAAGGCCAAGCGCTGGATCTTGCGGAGACGTACGCCTCTTCGAGGCCGTTGGGTGTCATGCCGTCGCTCACGCAGCAGATGTCGTTGATGTCGCATAGCGCGAGCACGCCTCCAGTGGCGAATCGCATGGTCCCTATGCATCATCGTGGGCTGAGTGCGGTCTCCCCGCAGGACCTCCTACTCCGGAAGAGTAACGACAACAAGCGCAAGCGGTCCAGCTGGGATGGCGGCGTGCACTGACGTCCGAAGCCTGACGTGTTCGGTGTCTCTAATTCTGGTTATGATGTGTTGAATGCCGTAGCTATCCGAGGAAGGGACTTTGCATGTACTCACACGCGCGCGTTTGTTATTTTCGCTGACTTTGCTCGACTGGCTATCACTTTGGATTATTCGCTTCCTGTTACCATCGCATTTCCGAGTCATATCATGCTACCCTTCGTACTGTACTTGGGCACTGCTCGTATGATCACTATTCAGCGAACCCTGGATGCTCGCTAGCTTCATCTATGCCACGGCATAACATATTCGTATTTCGGGGGCATACACCATAGTCATAGTTGCAGCTACTGGTGCAGGATGCGGTCGACTTCAGAAGCGTGCTTCCGTTCCCAAATGTCATGGATATGCTAGGTTGATCCCACCTGCTGCAACTTCCGCAAAAAGACCTGGTCGCCCGCTAATATGACCAAGTTTCCGTCTCCAGCGAAGACCAGGTTGCATGATACTTTCCCGACAAAGAATTTGCCAATGAGAATGCCGTCCCGATTCCAAACCTGTTCCGATGGTCAGCTCTTCACCAGCGTGATGTTAAGAAGAGAACCTACATGGATGCCATCTCCACAAGATGAGTAAACATTGCCGAACTTGTCGACCTGTATCCCGTCTGGCAGACCAGCGTCGATATAGGCGAAGACGCGCTTGTGCTCGAATACCTGAGTTTTGGGATTGACGTCAAACTCGTAGCTGTGGCCGGATTGAACGCATGAGGAGACCATTCTGCAACCAAAGAACAGTCGACATACATCGTAGAAGGGAGAGTCTGGTTTCTCCCATGGAATCCGATGGAAGCAGCGGTGTCCGCCCTGATGATAATTCACCTTCCTTAGCGTACTTCATGACAGCGGTCGTTGTGCAGGACTCACACGTATGCGATTTGGCCGTCGGCCGAGAACGCCAAACCATTGGGTCTCACGAGTTCGTCGGAGACGACCCTCACGTTGCCAGTGTCCGGATCGAAGCGGTAGACTTGGTTGTGCAAGAGCGGTGGTTCACGGAAATGCTGCAAGAATCCGTATCTATCCACAAGCAAGCATTTGTTAGTATCAGAGAATACGCCTCCAAGCTCGAAGCTTGAACGCTCATACGTGGGATCGGTAACGAAGATCTTGTGGCTCGTTGGATGGATCTTGCCATCGTTGAGCGAATTGAATTGCCTCCCGTAGTAGTTGTCGAACAGAACCGTAATGTTGTATGGCGGTGCGGGGTTCATGAGTGCGATCGACGACGGACGGTCAACATTCCCTGAGTTGATCAGAATGAGCGATGACTTGTAAGGGCCTGTCGCGCCCCATGTCTTCTGCCGCACATCTGCAGTGTCGAGCTGGAGAAGTGACGATGTAGTGAAGTGTTATCACTAGCGTGAGGTGCTTACCTGAGTGACAGTGACATTTAGCGGTGCCACAGTGCTTCCAGCAGCCTGTACAACGCCTTTGACTTCTTGCATGCTGATCTTCGACATGAAGTTGTTTCCGCGACAGTCGCGCCAACCCTTCGGTCCAGAGCAGTGACTACCGAAGAAGACTTCGTCTGTCTCTGGGAACCATACGGGTGCCTCATGTGCGAAAATAGTTCCAGGCGAGACGCGATGGCTCGAATAGAGGGTCGATCACCCAGAATTCGCAGAAATTCTGGGTGGAATATCTGGAAGAACGGGGGACTCGTATTCGTAGGGTTGAAAACTCGGTAAACGAGTTTCGACGGTAAGTGCCGCTCTCGCCCATAACATTGTATGCCCGTGGATCAATGACCTATCCGAGTGTTAGTCATAGCTGAGTATCGTCTCATGCGAATGACCACCACAGACTGGGGAGGAATGGTCATACCGCTGAAGGAGATGGATTGCTCCTGCGAGGAAGTCCACTTCCAAGCAGCAAAGCCACCCAATGCTGCCAAGCTCAATTGCCACAACATCTTGCTAACAAGCACTGTCGTATCGTCGGGTATTCACAAGGTGATATGCGACCTACGCAGACTCAATCTGAGTTACGGGGCAGTAGACTGGATTACAGATCGGACCATGGACCGCTCACCTATATGGCTCTGCACAACGGATTCACTTCTGCAGCCCAGTACCAGAGGAGGATACAGGACAGAGTCAACGACTGCATCGTGATACTGGGCCCGTGCACACAGCCTATACTCGACTCCAATGACGGAAGCAGACACTCAGCTGACTGCACATTGTCGGAGGTGACGCTTCTTCGGCCATCCGTGGGACGTCAGGCAAGCACCGAACTATGTTCTGGATGTCGTCTGTTGTTTATCGGGAAGTCTCGTTGGTGCTATATTTGGCTGTTCAACCCCAGAAAGCACCAGTCCGGGCGCGTAATCTCCTATGTTGAAATGGTCAGTGGGCTCTCCTCGCAGTCCGAGTTTAACGACTTACCATGATGGCTGCGTTAGTACAAGCATTCAATTCACATGCCAGATGAGAGGGGAGCTCATTACAGTCATACATTGAGCCTATACCATTCTACAACAAACAACAAGAAGTACGGCTACAGCACCAAGAAGAACCATTGCTTTATCACGAAGTGACTACTCGTACCAAACCAGTCTTAACATACCTACCTTTCCACGGATTAGCTCAGCTGGACGTCCGCCCCCTAGGTTCATAGGGTAGAAGGAGCACCAGAGCTCCGCTGCCTATGATCAGGGCGCCCGAAACATACACGGGCGCCGCTGTCTCGAGGTTGGCGTACATCGCTATCACTGGAGCCTGCGAACGTCGTCAGCCGCTACTGTCAGGCTGAGAAGGGACTTGACTGACTATGATCCCGAAGACGCGAGTCGCAGTGGCTGTCAGGCCGTTACCTGTACCTCGGTCTTTCGCAGGGAACACCTCAGGCGATATAGCATACAAGACACCATACATGATCTGCAAGTGCGATGTTCAGTCCTGCCCTCTGCTGTGTGACTTTTGTCTACTCACGTTACTTGCAAAGGCGTACCTACGCATCGCGCCCAGTCTCATGAGCTCTGGCAAGTTCCACACGAAAGCACGCCTTACTCACCCGCAGTTCCATCCCAACAGCGCATTTGAGCTGTGGGAGGTGGTGCTCGCAAAGAGAAAGACACCAGTGAGCCCTGTCTTTCGCGAGGGGTCGTTGAATAATGTCACCCATTGTCAGTAATGAAATACTTGCCCGAGGAGATTGCCAGAGTACCCTTCCGTCCGATACGCGGAAGCTCGACCGCCCACCCAGCAATCAGCGCGCTTGGCACACCGATCGCGCCGAGTATGACTTCTTGACGGTAGGTCGTGTAGTATGAACTGTCTCCGTAATTGGCGTCGCGGTGTGCGAGACTAGCGGTCAAACTGTGAGCCAGCCATCACTGCGAAAAGGAGAAGACGTACATGTAAGGCAGGAAGCTGTTGTACAACGTGGACGCAAGACCGATAATGCCCCAAATTACAATCAACAGACTAGTTGACCATGCAAGCTTCGCGGTCTTGAACAAGCTCCTGATGTGGTACGTCGTCCATACTGAGGTTCCGCTCAATAGTGTGGGCAGGCCAGCTGCACCTGCAGCAGCCTTGTTCGCCTCCACAGCGCGCTCTCCGGCCGCCGCGAGCTGCTCCACGGTCAAGCTAGACGAGCGCCCGTTATAGGCAGCGATTCTGTGAATGACGGCAACGGCGTCGGCGTCGCGACCGCGACCGACGAGATACCGCGGGCTCTCCTCGAGGTTGAACGCGAAGAAGCGGATGGCCCAAAGAACAAGCGTCATGCCTCCCAAGGTGAACAGGAGATACCGCCATCCCATGTTCTCGGACTTGGTGCAGGTCGTTGCAGTCTCGGGGCATGATATGTTGGAAATAAGCGGCCAGGCGATCTACGGCATCGTCAGTGACGACAGAATGAGACCAGGCAGGCATTCTCCCATACCAAGCTCGCAACCAACTGGCCAATTGCCCACCAAATGGATAGGATAGTCAGTAGGTACTGGTGGCTTCCCGGCACGAAGTCTAACGAAATAAGTCAGCTCGCTTGTCGGTACAAGCACTTGCCCTCTCAGCTCACCGAGGAACACAGCAGAGTCGACGGGCATGTTACCGCCCACGCCAAACCCTACGACAGCAAACAAGGAGGCTAAGGTGACGAAGTTGGGAGCGCCTCCGGCTGCCAGACCGAATACACCGGCGATGAACAACGTGAAGTTGAATGGCCACCTGGGGTCCACAATCAGTAAATACACCACGACCGATGATCTCGAAGTGTAAGCGCACTGCGTACCTACGCCCCCAAATATCACACCCCAAAGCCCAGAACACCGCACCGGCGAATAGACCAATATTCAATGCCAAGGACAACCATTGGCTGTCGACTTGGAATTCGGCGACGACAGGATTGAGTATGAGACCTGCCACAAGCTGATACACCATATCATCGCGGTAAGGCGCGGATCGTCGCAAAGAGGCACCTATGCAACTCACTGGCCAAACGCTATCTCTGTGTCGGGAAATTGGGGGTCAGAATACAGACCAGAAGAGTAGTCCGACAACCGCGACGTACGAGAACCAGCCGAAACCAGCAACCACAAAGAGATACCACTGGTTCAAACAAGTCAACACCCGGTCCCTCCTCGACAAGATCATACTGCCACGGACCTGGTATCTTCCCATTCCAATCTCCCGCACAGCAGCGTTCAGTACGCGTGCCTTCGCTTGATAGACAGCGTCCACGGCTCCCTCTTCAAATAGGTCCTCTTCGGCGTACGCATGAGGATATGGGTCCCGCGAAAGAGACTCCGTGAGGGCAACAGCATCCTTCTTCTCCACGTCGTCAGAGGATCGCGTAGGCTCGTTCGCCGAGGGGATTCGAGTCGACATGGTGGTGGTACGATGAAGAACTGTGAAGGAGCTTTATGTCCGACCGTCAACGGCGTGAGTCTTGCACGCAACGGTATCTGGAAGGTGGAGGAATCGTCCGACTTGGGATCCGAGGAGCTAACTCGCGTCCGTGGGTGACACACTCCCACTTTAACACCACCTCGCGCTAGAAAGAAACCAGCGAGGGCTATCGGAATGCTGACGAGCTCAGATCGTACAGGTGATTACCACCGCTGACTGGGACTTACGGCCCAAAGACGGTCGCCCGACCATGCGGGTGCGCAAGAGCTTGGGAAATTGAACGCCTTGCCGTGTCTCATCGATGGGTATCAGGCACTGTCAGTGTCTCGCAGGCGCACGGCCGAACAACGGCGCGTTCGACTTTGTAAGGTCAAGCATATCTATTGGGTAGCATGAGGTAACGTGTAATACACTCGCGTCAAGGGCGGCGGTGCTAAAGTAATGATACATACGAATATCATTAGTAGCCGCAAAGGGATATGGGAGCCGGCGGCGTCGTGGAGTGAGGTACAAAGAGCTAACAATACAGTGTGAAGCGGAGGACGAACCCAGGTGATAACGGTGACAGTAGGTGATGGCAACAACAACGAGCGAAAATCCAACAGGAGATACACGGTGGGAGGGGGGTGGGATAATCTTGCGGGTTTTGTCCAGGTCACAGGGGATATTGAAGGTCTCTAAACCTCAGACTATGTCGAAGGTGTTGTCGTGCACGGACGCGGGCACGTCCGGCGGGGCAGCGCGCGTCGGCGACGCAGGATCGTGCACGCGGGCGGGCGGCGATGGCGGCGGCGGGAACACGAACGTGTGTGCCTTGTCGGCGCTCTTCGCGGACATCGGCGACGGGACGTACGTGCTCGAGCCCGCGGAGTGCTCCGAGGGCGAGTACGGCACCTTGAGGTCGTCGACGGGCGTTTCCTCCCCGATGGAGATAGACGTCGAGAGGCGGTCGGAGAACGAGTCGAGCGAGTTGCGCCGCTTGTGCTGCACGAACGTCGGGATCGTGATGCGGCCCAGTGCGCTCGCCGTCGGCTTCGACGTGTTGTAACTGAGGCAACTGTCAGCTTCGTGCTAGCGCAAACATACGCAAGGAACGTACCCATAGGAGCCGTTGGCAGTGGAGCGCGACAGCCAGCTCGTCGATAGACCGACGCGCTTCGCCACGGTCGTCGCAGCTATCGAGTAGTGCTTCCGCGCCTCCTCCGCGCAGCCGAAGAACGCGAAGAAGATGAACGCACAGATGATGATGTCCCAGATGTCGAAGATGATGGCCGGCTTCGTGAACTCGTTGTTGAGCCAGAGGATCGCAGGGAACTGGTCCACGCGCGAGAAGTCGTAGTGCAGGTCGCCGAGGCCCTTCCATACGTACAGCGGGTTGCGCGACTGCATGTACAGGTTCCACGACGCGAGCGGGACCGTGCACGCGATCTCGATGCCTGCCAGACCCATGAGCCGGAGGTACCGGTGGAACGTCAGGTTCTTGTTGCTCGACATGAGCTCGTTGAACTGCTTGCGACGCCTGAAGAACGCGCGCAGCGTCAAAAAGCAGTAGACGGCGGAGATGCAGCCGATGACGATCGGCCACGAGGTGAGCAGGAAGTAGGAGAGGATGGTGTTCGCGATCTCGAATGTGCACCCATAACCCTCGTAGATATCGAAGCGGTGGCCTTGAATGAACCAGACTGGATCGGTCGACGCGTCAGTAGGCACAACAGACCGAGCGTCGATAGGAACTCACACAGTGCAACGACCACGATAGAGGGAATTAGACCGATGGCGAGATCCACCCAAATCATCCGCCGCTTGTCGCTGTTCGTCATCGACACCGTGGAAATGGTCGCGATCTTGTACAGACGACGGTTGATGATGAGCGAAGCCGTGCAGATGCCGATGCTGGAGGCGAGGCGGAAGCGGGTGACGATGTCGCACCAGACAGGGACCCAGACGATAACGTTGTCCCGCCAGATGATCATGTTGATGAACTGGATGAGGCACTGGGTGCCGCACCAGAAGATGTAGAGAACGCAGCCAACGTTCCAGGCTGTCGTCACTTTGTGAGCCCGACGTAATGAGATAGCGAAGCGGTCACGTACCTTCCAAGTGCCAGTAGAGGGGAATGCTAACCAGAACAAACCCGATGAAGGAGAGAGCGGTGGCAGCAAGTTGCTGCGCTGACCACGACGCCAGTTGTGCGTCCATCGCGTAAAGATCTCCGAGGGTAAACGCGGTGAAGAGAGGTAGCACAGAAGACGCCGGACGGGCGGAGACTTGGAAGCCTGCAGGGAGGAGGGCGGGCGACTGCGGCAATGCACAGATGGGTGATTGCTGGAGGGCAGTCCTCGCCAGCGCGTCCATGAAATACTTCACCACGCTCTCTGCCCTTGTGTACGTATTCGGATGGTTGCTTGTGCGTCGGCTGGCATCTGAGCGCCATCACCATGCTCGCGGAGGTTGACGATGCTTCTCACGGATTGCCTGATATAGACGTTACCTTGTCTTGCTTCCGGATTGGGACCGTTTGATGAAGCCACGGAGGCAGATCCCGGCAGGCACCACATGAGGGCACATGGCTCGGCTACGCGGGCACGAGCCACGAGCGCCGTCTGGAGCATCAAGCCGAGATGCCCAGCCGCTAACCAAAGAGGTGCGAATGGGAACTCCAAAACGGGATGCGGAGAAGTCGTTCTGTCGAAGACGCATTGCCAGCGACGCGAGTCCCCAATTTGATGCAGCAACAGGCCGGTCGTCGTCTCGACGGAAAGCTGAGTTGGAGGTTTCGAACAAAGTCGCAGGCAGAGGTAAATCAGCGAAGGTTTGAAACATCAACGAGAGTACCAGGAGGGAGTTCACGGTCCAGTACCGAGACTGTGGGAGCTCCAGCGATAACGCGTCTAATCAGCAGGCACGAGCAGAAAGGCATACATCGAATGCGAATTCCGGACCAGAACTAGAAGTCTCTTGAGCACGAGATGGTGGTGTTCCAGCCTCTCCTTGTTTGGATTCCTCGGGAGACCTAGCGACGCGTCTGTTGTCACGTGAACGAAGGACGAATACCGCAGTGCGAAGTCCGGTATCAAAGGACAAGGGGAATACCCAACCAGCTAGGTTGGATTCGCAGAGCACAAGAGGCAGCGTAGAGACCAAGTTGACATGGTGCCAATATTGCCAAGGACGCCTGAGTGATTCCCAGTAGGGTGGGTCTTGGACCCAGATTACGCTGTGTCGGTGGAGATGGGACATGATGATTGGCAGGACTGTCTAAATGAACCAGATCAGCAGCCGAAGTGTAGTTCTAACAACCTCAGTGCACGAAGTCAATAGAAGGACGCAGAGCCGAAGCAATAAGTCGTTAGCCAAAGCCTGCGTCAGCGACAATCGACACAATGATGGTATGCATAGAGGTGTTGGCGTTGAGTCCATTGCAATTGCAAATCGCGAACGCATTCACGAGGTCAATTTGGATGAGCCGCGCATGAGGTTCAGAAAGACAAGCCAATTTCAGACTGAGGCTAAGCGGGGGCCGACGATAATAAGTACAACACTTACCTTTCGCCAAGTCGGGGCGGCACGCAGTATGGCGTGCAATGAGACGTCTCGAATGGCTGAAGCTCTCCGTCGTCAAGGGTGGATAATGGTACTGCCACTACCCGTCGTCGACCTGGGTAGATGCCATCGCACTAAGGTCAGTGAGCATAACATCCGGTGACGGCAGTGGGCGACAACACTCACCGCGCCTCGGCGCGAACTGTCTTCTGTTTTCGTTTCACTGCCCTGTGGTCCAAGAGTGTAGGAGCGACTATTTCGATGCATCGTCAAGTCCAAGAGACAAGAACATAGCCACCCGCTGAACACAGGGCTATCCCCAAGAAAACAGCGGACGGCGGCGAGCACGCGCTGTCGTCCGATATCGTCGTCGGCATAGTCTGGTACGATCCGTCGAGCTCGAGAGACCGATCGGTCGTGGCGGGAGGAAGGGGAGGGAGGAGGATGGCGAGGAGGAGGGTGCAGTATATGACTGTCACCGTTCTTTTGTCTTGCGGGAGCGCTTGGGGAGCGCCTTCGCCCCGCTGGCGCTAAAGTGCTTATTGTCCTTCACCGCTGCTTCCGCTTCGGGATACTATTTAATAGACGCCCGGCCACACCTTCTGGTGGACTTTGATCACTTCTCAAAATGCACGTCCACTCATTTCCGCAGGTCGATGCGTGGTCCTTTGAACCACCTCACGTTCACAATGAACGTAGTAACCTTGAAGGTGTAGTAAGGTAAAATGCACAAGTGGTCGAGAATTTGCGTGCCACGGCTCACTGTTAATTTGCCAGTGAATTCACAGCAACTGTTCCGTGAGCTAGATGCAGTGGTTAGCCCGCGATGTCCCGCTAATGAGCTGCTTTAATCTTCCGAATACCGGTAAGATGCATCATCTTCGCGGCCTCCGTGTCTGGCGGCAGAAAGGCTGCGTTCAGTGGATTGCCACGGACGGTGCCATTCTTCTCCGCACGGTCTGCGTTGGCGATGAAGACGAGCTGTACAGGTGTCCGGAGACACGAACCACATCCTGTGGCTCCGTACCGGCGGTACAGTACCTGCGGCAGCCTATCTGGCTGTGAATCTAGTGACGCAGTCGACTAGATATTGTTCCCTCCTTTTGTCTACGCATCTCGATACTGATCCGCGCAGAACACCCATCCCCGCCATCCGATCAAGTTCTTCCCATTTCCGTCTCATGACTCAAATTCCGTACCCATGCGTGAGGCTGCCGGCGTATCATCCCAACCTCGCCGTCGCACGCGCCAGCCCGAAGCGGCCTGCCGACCACGCTCCCAATTGTCGTTCTCTTTCGGTCATCGCTTCGTGTCTGAATTGGTAATGTGCTCCACGAATCCTGTTGTTAACTCTGAATCGCCGGGGCTTTGGCTGTGGTGCGTGGACGAGTTGTGGCCGTCGTCATGACTTGCGCTGCACAGCAAGCTCCGTGCTGCACTTCCCCCTCTCCTATCGCGCTCTCTTGTCGCTGCCGCAGGTCATAGGACACATTGCGCTGTGCGCTTGACGACATCTCCTAATTCTTGTAGGTGCAGCACCATTGTGGTATAAAACGTACAGAACGCCCCTGACACAGTGCAGCTTCAGCCTTCTCCAAACGACATATATAGACGAACAAATAGCGCGCGGGTCGCCGAGGAACTCCCTTCTTCTCCCTTCATCACCTTCAGTGCGAGTGCGTTTAGCACAAGCCATGGACGACTTCTTCGTCCTCTCTCCGCCCGAGCCTGTGGGCGCAGAGTACGCCATCATGCCACGGGACGCGCAGGAGGATATCCTCAAGGACTTCGAGCATCACGCCGAGACATGCTCGAACGGGCAGATCGTGGCCCAAATGTGCATTGTCGCATAATTGTCTTCGACCCAGGTAAGTATGTATCATCGCTACCCTCTTCTCGTGGTATCTAACCGCAATGCAGATTGTCGCCAGTCCTTGCCACTTTCTGCCCTTATCTACATCCTCTTTCCAACATGCGCGTTGATCACTGCTTTGGTATCCATGCGTCTCATGGACCACTGTCAAGGGGTCAAGCTTCAAGCTTCAAGACGCGCCATACACTCCCTCATCGGACTTCGACTTCTCTCGCTTTACGAACTTGCTGCTCACAGAGAGCAGTGGATGACAGACTCTTATGGTTATTTATACGGTGTTCACGACAGACACTGCAGTGTAGCTCTTATTGTAACATCTATCATGCATGTCTGATTCGTACGTATTACTACTGTACGACGATGACTTCCATCACTGGAGGTTCAATTAGACTACGAATTTGACGGCGGATATTATCGCCGCTATTGCCGGCGCGCGTCATGCGACTGCCATTTCGTGGCGTGACGGCGTGAGCGCGTCCTGCCACCTTTGCCGCCGACAATCACCATCTCTCCGAACGTAAGTCTAACTGGTGTGTTCTGTCCATGGCCGCTTAATTTACACACAAAAAGTGCTCGTTTACATGCGGCGAACACGCAGGAGCTGCGGAAGTGACTGATCCAGCAAGGCGGAACGGAGCCTACGGCCTTGAAGCAGCCTCGCTCACTCCACGCGCCGACACTTGCACTCTCCTCCTCTCTCTTCCATTCACTTCATCTCATCTCTCTGAACGACAATGGCGACGCAAGCTGCGCAGGCGGGCCCCTCTCAGCGCGCAAGGATGCCGAACGGACACTCCGGACGCAGTCCTTCTCTGCCGACGAGGTCTGGAGGGGCTGTGTTGCAAGAAGACGACTCGGACTACGAGGAAGACGACGGAAGCGAACATGAGAGCGAGGAGGAGATTGCCTACGCGACCGTGAAGGGAAAGGGAAAGGGAACAGCAGTTCCGCCGCTGCCCCGGCCGCAGATCCCGAGTCCTCGCAGCACCCCGTACTCGCGTGAGCGGTCGGGAACGTCATGGGCCGACTTGGACCTTTCGATTATCGTCGCTTGCGTGTCTCCCATTGGGAACTGGCTCACCGGAGGGGATCACATCAAGAACCTGTTCCTCATCATACTCCTCATATTCTATCTCCACCAGCTCATCGAAGGTGCGCATTATCCTTGCTTATGTTAAGTTTCGTTAACTGAATTGTTCTTTCAGTTCCTTGGAAGCTCTATCAAGCCTCGCGACCTCGCAAGTCGGGCATGCGCGCCGGAGAGCCCGACCGTGTCACCAAGCTTGCTGCGACAGAGTTACGGCGGCAGGAGCTGTTTCTACTCTGTGTCACCGGCGTATCCCCCCTACTTGGTGCCACTTTCTTGAAGCATGTCCTGTCGGCCATCGGGGAGACAGAGTCGCTCTCTTGGTTCAGCACGACGCTCTTCGTGCTCGCGACTGGCATCCGACCATGGACGCACCTTATCTCCCGCATACAAGGACATACCGAAGCGCTACACGATGCCATCCACTACCCGCCCGAGAAGCACGAAACGGAGGACGTCACCGTCAACGCTATGCTCCTCAAACGACTCGACATCCTCGACCGCGAAGTACAGGAACTCAATGCACGCACGACGCTCGCCGGCCGGCTCCAGGAAGTGTGCGACGACCTCAGCGAGGCTCTCGGTGAGGTCGAGCGCGACGCAAAGCGCAGCGAGCGCAAGACCGAGATGGCGCGGATGGCGCTGGCTGCCCGCGTGCTAGCGCTGGAGAAGGGCCTGCTACAGGTTGAGCAGAATAGGCGGATGGACATCGACGCCTTCCGGCGTGGCTATGTTGCCCCGGCCTACGAGCGAGCGTACCGACGTGTTTGGAGTTATGTTCGCACCTTCGTTGTTGGAGTCTTGCGCCTGCCAAAGACGGTATGGTCGCTGGGCGCGCCAGACACACCGCTCGAGAAGTTGGTTGGCGGAAGCTCGTCATCGCCACTGCCCTCTTCCCAGAGTACATCCCGAAGCTCGAATGGGACTGCACATCACAGGCTATCCTCGAGCGGCGCGCCTGACCCCAGCCTGCCGACCATCCCCGAGTCTGCACTCTCCGATGGGGAAGCCGAGCTGAACGGCGAAGGCGACGCGGACTCCGAGGGGACGTACGTTACCGATAACGAGAAGGATCACCACTCGACGGTGAATGACGCGCACCACAAGGCCCGCCGCGTCCGGAGCAAGAGCGGCAGCCGCAGTCGCAGTCGAAGCCATAGCGGGGGCAGCTCGGCGGCGCGCAAGCGAGCGGCTCAAGCGGCGCCGGTGTCGTTCCACCAGTGGGTACTCGAGTGCGCGCACACGATCCTGCTATGGCCATACCGCGCGAGCGTGAGGATCATGGTCGTGCTGGTGCCACCACTGCGTAACGTTCTCCCCAAGGCCGTCGTTTAAACGATGCTGGGCCAAAGGAAGAGGGGAGTGCGATGGTGAGATATTGGCTGTATCATATGTATCATTGCCGGTCCTGTGGCGCGTAAGTTATGGAGTGGCAGTATGCCACCGATGTGTGTTTGTGTCCTTACTTGTCCATGTTGTATCGCCCTTATCGCTCCCTGCTGTCTGACTAGTATGCATACCAACCCGAGCTGTAGCCTCTAATATTCTATCGCCCAGCCGATCCTCCATTCTTTTCCGTAATGTGTATCGCGGCTGTCGTATGCTCCTCACCTAACTCCCTAGATATCTCGCTCTGGGACTCAACTAATGGATAATATCTCCTGCCTCCCATTCCGAACCTGGGCACGCATTCGTGAGTCAGGAGCTTGCTGAACCAACTGGACAGGCTATGAGTGTGAGTGACTCGACAATAGTGGCACCATCGCAAACGAAATGTAGAGAATGCGGCATATTGACAGACAGATCACATTTGAATAGTAGACTTGCATTGCAATCATCTAGCCACGAACACCTGTCGCTGCCAGCCTGAGTCGGTGTATAGCCAAGGTGTGTAGCCAGGTTAGCTCGGGAGCTAGACCATGATGCCAACGCACATGCGGTTCTCCATTCATACCAATGGTGCTATTTGTCGCGGACATACCGTGTTGTGTAATCGCGCTCCTCGCGGTCCTCGACGATGAGAAGTTAAAACGCGATCCTTACCCAGACGCGGTCACATGACCCGCGCATAACAATAACGCCAGCCGGATATAGAGGATATGTACTGCCAGAGACGCACCGCGGTCCGTATAGAAACACAGCGTGTCCTTTTCTATTGTGCACGAGGCGCGCTAGCTGTATCCGTGAGTCCGAACGTGCGCTCACCTACACGGCAGCCGTTTTGGTGACTCTCATCTCCAAGGTTCCCAGACTGCCACTTCCCCGCTCACCCAAAGCTCCCCGCTCGTCCAAAGCCAGTGAAAGAAGCCTCCGGGCTTTCGGCGTTCAAACGTGTAGCTAAGAGCTTCAAGTACTTCAGTGAGTTGCTTGAACCATGAGTTCGCGCTGAGCACCGCATGGAGCACTGAGCACAGAGTCAGTATGAGCGTCATAAACCCGACAACGGTACAGTACCAGAGCGCGCGCTATAGGAATCCATGCCAATCAATCACCGTCCTCCTAGACCTTCTCAGACCCTTGCGATAGGATTCCCGCAAGAACAATAAGACGTATACACGACCATCGCTCACCAGGTGTCTCTCCAGCGCATGGTGAACTGTTCCGATATCTGGGGAGAACAATCGTATAGCGCCTTCTGGTTTTATTCCCCGAAAGTGCGTATATAAAGCACTCCTGTTGACTACGGACACATTCGACAGTCAGCACATCGACGAGAGGTACATCTTGGAGCTCACCGCAGCATCCCACACGCTCTGCGTACCTCGTAACTAGGGATGGATGCCTTCTTTGATATTGCTGCACCCGTCCCCGCCGAGATCGAAGAGTCACAAATTCCGGTCAACTACGACACCACCAATGGGAGTGGAAGTGGGTCGTGCACGATCGTCTAAGTCTCTGGTAAGCGGCCTTAGCGTAGACAATTCTTACTTGCCTAACGTCGACAACCTTCTCCAGACCTCAGCGCCGGTTCCGCAACACTAGCCTTGCAAGCCGTAGACGACCCTCCCTGTTACAGCACACTTTTGTTTTCGCGAGTAGCGTCACTCGTGATCGGCGCTCACACACCATCCTTGGGCTTTTACTTCGTTCTCGATTAATCCTAAGTTATACATCAGTAGTTCGGCAAGCCGGGTGTTTGTTTAAAGAAGAGGAAGGGGGGAAATCGGGTTACAAAATGACATACTTTGCACAAGAGCCTCATCGGACGCCGCATGTTGTTAGGGACATTGATCTCAACATTCCGAACTTGCCTCAGCTCGATATCGTACAGGGCATCATCGTAGTCTTTATGCAGCCCCTGGGTGGCCGATAGGAACCTCTGTAAGAGGATACTGCCAGTGAAAGAGAGCATCAATCTTCGCTGTCTTGTCTTTCGGAAGTCTCGAGTGTTTTCCAAACAACTGCGTGCTCGTAGTCTCCTCCGAGTACTAAGTGATGTTGGATTGCCTTCCGCTGACTCCGCAGCTCTCCTGAGTAATCGAGGATTCAGTCTGGTCAGGAAGAGTTCCGCCTCACTCACGTGACATGATCAACACAATTGCACTCTGCGGACGGAATGCCATACTGCATGCACGGCGAAGACAACAGCGTGTATGCGCGCTCCGGGAACGGTGTTCGGCATCGATCACACGCGGGTTCTCGGGCTATTGTCTTTGCGGCTATGCTGTCGTGCGACGTTCAAGTTCCGCTGCCTGTCAGTGCGGTGCGGCAAATAAGAAGGATGAAAGAATTGCGAGCTGTACGTACTGTGCTGTGCATGCGGTAACTGAGCTAGCAAGTGAACATGCGTGAAGGAGTGTTTCGGAGGACATGACTCTCTCAGGAAAGAGTTTCTGACATCGGATTCTCGGAACCACGACGGAAGAGAAGGGATCCGAAGACTCTTCAAATGTCCTAAAGAAACGCGAGGACAGGGGCTCGGGGCTCATAGGGGCTGACACTGCGGAGGCAATTTCACAGTCGGCTGGACAACTTCTACACAATTACTCACCGAACGGTGCCTTGACTGGCTATGTTGCGACCGGAACTTCCATCGCGATCGCAATGCAGTTTCCAAAACTCTGTGGACGCCTTCCTAGTTGTGTTCATGTTCTGAGAATAGATCCGTTCTGCGGCCTATAAAAGCACAAGCAAGGTCACAGACTAACGGCAACGAAGTTACCCACCCGCCACTCGACCTTCACTTTCGGCTACCTGCCACTCTTCGCTCTTCTCGCGACATATCCATCGTGACCGATGGACGCGTTCTTCCCCGTCGCTGTACCTGTCCCTGCCGAGGAGATCGAGGCGGACGCTTCCCAGGTGCCAAACAATTTCGACCACACGAACGGTTCCGCCGCGTACTCGTGCATCATTTCATGAACACTTCCTTGTTCTTCCTATCGGTGACCTGTTCGCTTGATACGTGAGTAGCAAGATAAATCACTGGACGTCAATTCTGACAGAGCCCATACAGCGCTGCATGCGGATACACGGTCCAGTCGGGCCTCCAATCATACCTTCCTCGCACCTGCGCATCGCTGATACCAACGACCTCCCCACTCATTTGTTGAGCTCGGCGTTCGCCATCTGGGATGCACACACTATCCTTATCGACCTCTTCGTTCGCGATTGCACGGACATGGCCTTTTGCTACTTGTATTCCTATTTGTTGATCCAGATTAATTTTGTATTATGGACCGGAAATGGACGGACGGATGAAGGACTTGTATTTGTAAATGTTCGGCCTGCCTAGGCGACCAAACAAATAGGCTGGTCATGAGCATTCAGATACACTATTTCAAAGAGTAAACACACCGTTCATCGTGACAAGTATCAAATCAAGGGCACGGACAGCGACATTCGCGCGCGCCACGAGACAACCATAGCACGCAGCAGGACAATGGACATCGCCGCTAGCTACGAACACAATGGTTCCTGTATGTGGTTGAGACGTATGGGCACTCAAGGGCACTACCGGTAGCTCGGACGAGTACGCACCAGCTACTGACTCGAGCGAAGGTCTAGCAGTCCGACAACATGAGTTGCCTTTGGCATAGCAGCGACTTGGAAGGGACATATCCAAACCATATCCAATGCACATAGGGGTGACCACCGGGATACGTGCTCACACTTGTGCGGACAAACCCGTGCGACCTGCCGAGGTCAACGTGTTGCCAGCCTGAGTGGTGGTGCTGCAGAGTCAAGCGATTCAGACGGTCGCATCATGCATCATATCCAAAACATACTTACCTCGAGCTTCCCATTCGACGTCATAGCATCATTTGTGGTGTATACGGTGCATTGCATATGTAGGAAGTCGGTACATATTTTGAGTGGCCCTCAGGATTACCAGGATAGTTAGACGATGTTACGCGCCAAGCCTAGGATGTCATGGATACCAAGCAAGATCAAATACGGGGGTGGCGTTGCACGTGTCAAAGTACTAGTGTGACAGTAGAGCGCCGAGGTAGCTCTCCTCCTCCTCTCTGTTTTCGGATGACATTTAACCCTCGTTGTAAGCTCTACACAACAGTATAGTACTTTATATTAGCTCTGTGACACAGTCGCTATTTCTTGATGCTCCCTACCTGCTCCTACGGCTCAACAAGGCGAAGCTGTACCTTGGACTCCAATATTTTCATAGCACTACCACCTATTCACGGTTCCATGTTTCCCCTGCAGCGTGGCGGGAAGAAATGTTTCACCAGGTGAGAATATATCTGTACTAATCCCATTTTCCGGCTGATTTCTCAGATCTCAGGCCTCAGGCCCTCGAGCTCATTTGCATATTTACGACGGCCCCGCCGATAGTTGACTAGCTCGGGCGCCGGAACGTGTTGGTACAAAATCTCGTGTGGGAGTTCCCTGCGAGGCCGAACCTGGGCCGCATGCTCTTATCTGTTCGTCTCAGGTTCGTCTGACACGGCCTGCTCAAGGGGCGTATGCCGATATGTACTTGTGCTATTATTGGTGTGCACTGCGGTCCCGCGTACAGCCCATATGTTTACTGTCACGGTGAACGTTCCACTTGAACACATACCAGCCCTACTGGTAGGGCCACTGGCCTCATCGTATCACGACGCCTGCTTGTGCGAATGTCTGCTCTACCTACAGAAAGCTGTCTGGATAATCCTATTGTCTGCAGTATACGGGGCCAGGTCTTTCCGTCAGGACGTCCCTTCATCCTGATGCTGTTATGGCAGATAGATGCATAGCCTACCGTGCTCGCACCGTATAAGATACTGGACCAGTAGTGTCGTGTCTACCTTTCACCTTCAGACATACCAGGATGGGATCCAGCTCCAAGCTTTTCGACGAACTGTGAGTTAGATTTCTTATTCAGATCTAGTAGGTTGCCTGATAGCTGACTACGTTTCCAGAGCTGCACCTGCTGTGAGTCTTTACGGTGAATGATTGGGTTGTTATTGAAGCGAGCCGTTCACAGCTTCTGAGCTATTTGATGCACTGGATGCTACAGGGGGTACTAACAGTGCAAGTCTGTAAGTCTCAACGGGCAAGCAGCACAGTGGCGTGCTTTATATTGAAGATACAAGATTTCTACTACCTCCAGTTCCCCCAGGACCCTCTGCGACTGAAGATCCTTGGTCGGTCTAGATGACAAGCCCCTACGAACGTTGTACTGATGCCGATTATAGTCTACGGACTGTTCGTCTTTGAATGGGTCGAGTGGGGACTGGTCACTGAGGATGCCTTCATCACCTTCGTTTTCAACGCGAGCAATGGCATAGCCGAATACTCCACCATCGCAAACGAGTGGTTCTCCCTGCCGATCATGTGTGCACTCGTCTCGGTCACGGTGCAATGTTTCTTCGCATGGCGCATCTACAAACTATCGAGTTCGCGGGTTTTGGGTGGTGGCATCGTACTGGTATGTCTTATCGCCTCGACGCTTGTTCTCCGTAAGCGAAGTGATGATTTGGCCCTTGTGATAGATATGTCTGACTCAGTCTATCGGCGGAATCATGACGGGAGTGAAGGTATCTCTCCTCCAAAACTAGATCACGGCATCGTCTCACGTGGAAGTAGTTGAAAGAGTCGCGGTCCATAGGAGATGTCCTGGGTTCGACGTCCGGACGAATCACTATTGGCGTATGCTCTTCCCATGTAGGCTTCGTGATCTTAGGCTAAGACGACCCCCCTCACAGATTTGGGTTGGAGGCACCGTGATAGTCGACGTTGTCATTGCGGTATCTATGACTATATTGGCGAGTTGTACTATATGGGCATTGCTCTAGTGCCAGTGCCCTCATATTCCTCCCTGCAGATGCTCAAGATGAAAACGGGGATAATAAACACCAATCAAATGATCGATAAACTCGTCCGTCTTACTGTTGAGACCGGTACTTTGACCGGTATGTCGCCTTTCATCACCTCTCGCCGGGCTCTAGTCAACTTGGACTTTCTGTGCAGCGAGCGTCGCTGTAGTAGGAGTTGCCCTCGCTCTAGCATATCCGGTGAGCGAAAACGTTACATGAACCGCAAAGCCCGTAACATACGACTCTGTCCACAGGAACAATCGTATTACATGCCAGCGTGAGTGTGTGACGGCATTTACATCGCACAATGCATACCGACTGACTCACTCTGAACGATGATTAGCATCTACAACGAAGCTAAACTGTATGTACCGCGTTACAGTTGCTGGCATCTGATACGACTAAAGCATAACCTTAGTTACGCCAATAGCTTGGTCGCACATCTCCTGAACCGTGCATATCTATCTCATGCGCCGGCGGCGACCACTGGGAGCAGAGTATGGACTTCGGTGGCGTTTGCGCCCAGGATGACGGCACCAGACTCCGAAAACTCCTCGTCTGACAATAAACCCTCGGATCGGGAGGTTCAAGTGGTGGATAGAACGGTCTCTGCATGACATGTTTTGATACTACCAGTCCCCCCCGGCGAAGATCTTGAATTTTGATACGTATATATGTTGCACGGCAAGCAGTACTAGGAGGAGAAAGTAATTAGCCTGCAACTGCGGATGAGATACTTGAGTGCATGGATGGATTCTTCAGGTACGTGCCGATCAGACCTATGAGTCTTCAGACCGACACCAAACCGACACGCAGATGAAGCGTCCCGAGTCTTCTCCCGGCGTCATCGTCTCGCATGCTTAACGATCTATGTCTGATGCAGACAATCACTGGCAAGTGCACGTTCGAGGACTCGGTCACTGTTACAATTCACGCGTCCACGCGATGAGCGGACAGTCGAATACTACGCCTTCCATATAGGGAACGCCACTCGCCCCATCCGCTTGCGGCAAGCCGAAAGAAACCCCGTCCCAGTTTGGGCTTCCACTTATTGTCGCTCTGCGTTCCGCCGCGCAGAGGGACGTCAGGTGGTTCTAGTGCATTTCCTCGCGAGCGCGCGCCGGGTAAGGCCTCCGTAGATACCCCCGGCTCCCGCTCATTGTCTCGCTGCAGGCAATTGTTGTTCTCCGTCAAGGGCTCTATTGGCAGTCACCAGTAGCTTGCCGATCTTGTCGTCGCTCATTAATGGCGAGGCTTCATTTTGACTACGCGCCTTCCTTCCCCCTCCATATCACATCACCCCGTCAAGTCGTGAAACTGTCTGATTGCGACCTTCGTACACTCCCACTCAATTCTGCGATACCACTCTTTAGACCTGGATCGTCCATGGCATCTGCGTTGGCTGCTGTGGCTTTCGCGTGCGTCGCTTTGCTTGCATGTCTCCTTCCTGCGTACTGGACTTCGCGGAACATCGCCATGATGGCTCTTATCTGCTGGCTGTTCATCTGCAATGCCATCCAAGGCGTGAACGCCGCAGTTTGGGAAGGAAGTGTCGAAGTAAGAGCACCTGTCTGGTGTGACATCTGTGAGCCCGTCTGCAGGAATATCTGACAAAGAGCTTACCATCACACAGGTACAAAACTGCTGCTCGGCGCACGAGTGGCAGTACCTGCAGCTTGCTTATGTCTATCCAATCGAGTGAGACATCTTCTCATGACGGGCGACGCCAAAGGGGGCATCGGCGTCCTCTCCTTTGATCTGGCAATGTGTATCATGTCCCTATTGTCTACATGGCCCTTCGTGAGTTTGCAAGCGTACATGCCCTGCATCGGATCCTGACTCTGGGCCAGATATAATCGTGCAAGACCACAGATTTAACCTAACGGAGAACATCGGTTGCTCACCAGCTGTATACAACTCCGTTCCCGCACTTGTCCTGGTCTGGTTACCACCGTTCATTCTCTGCATATCGGCCATCGTCCTCACCTGTATCACTATGTATCGCGGTCACCGTCGCGGTTTCGCGCTGGCCCGCACCAGTCGGTCAGTGGGTTCTAGCCCCCACACCTTCGATTTTCTCCGGCCGCTGCTCAGGTCCCTCCTGATTGCGTCGCTATTTCTGACTTCTTCTACGTTCACCTTACATGCTGCGCTTGCATCCACTCCTCACCTGCTTCCTTGGACGTCCTGGGACGTGGTACACATGCAACTGTCCCACGCGAACGTCGTCTCCCGCTCTGCGACTCTTACCGTGACAGATATCGAGGTGACATGGTGGATGATACCCACCTCGTCCTTCGTTCTCATCGGCATCTTCCTCGTGAATCTAGCTCGTGCGTCCCGGGAGGACTGCTCGCTGGATGGCTATCGCACGATGGTTTGGCGGGCCAGCACCCTCTTCACGGGCACGGGCAAGGACGAGATGAGGCCGCTGTCTTGCTCTTCTTCCGTCATGGACCTGCAGCCGCAAATGTCGTCGAAACGCTCCTCCGAGACGCTGAAGTCGATCCACCCTATGGACCCGGAGCGTAAGGGGAGCACACGTTCTCGTGCCCATATGCGCGTCAAGCTCGCGCCGCTGTCCTTTCAGCCTCCGGACGGCAAGGCCGCGTCGCCCCCGACCTCTATCGACTCTGACGATACGGATATCAGCTTCGCCCAATCTGCAATGTCTTACCTCGATTCGCCGGTCGGTCGCGCAACGATAGCCTCGATGCCCCGTCCACCTTCCATTTTCCGACCCGCCAATATACCTGGATATTTACCTGACGTACCTCCACCTGTTGCTATCTCAGAATCAGTGAGGCCAACCAACGACGGAGAAGAGATTCACAGACCAAGCTCGCGTCGCCGACCAAGTTCCATAATTTCAGGTCCATGGCCGCGACCTCCCTCCTCTCTCCCGCCTTCGCCTGTGAAGGGAAGGACTGCGTCTCCCGTCTCTCCTACCACGCCTACCGCGACTCCTCTCATCGCTTCCGATGAAATCGTCGTGATTCCCGTACCGCCACCAGCAGTCCACCGCCTGCGTCCGCCAAGCACCGTCTCTGTCGATATGAGCCTCGCGTCATCCACGGTCAGCACTTCCGCGTATGCGCTCGAGTCCCCGGATGTTCTGCACGACTCGCCGACGCTCCCCCATTTCCCTCCTTTTGCAAACGCTGGAGTGCCGGCAGATGGTTCGGGGAGAGGCCACAATGCGGGTTCGCCGAGGCAGGCGAGAAGGACGCGTAGCAAGGACGGCCTCCCTACTCTCGGGAGAAACTTGAGTCTCAACGGCCTGCGCGGGCGGGAGAAGCGACCGGAGGGCTTAGATGGAGGTGCCATCTATATGACTGTCGTCCATGAGACTGTGTAAGGAAGGTAATGATACTTCTACGATCTTTTGTTCTTCGTTTGTCAATAACGCATGTTGTTTTGTTCATACTGTTGAGTACTCACATTTGACTTGCATATCCTGTATCCTCTCCCCGACCCATATGACCCACCCCCTGTAGCCATTGTTCTGTATCATAGTTGACTGACCCGTTCACATACCTAGGTAATGTAGCACGATCGGACAATCCACTTAGGTTGTGCTGTTTTACATGCTTCGTGAGTATCACCTGCTTGAGTATGCAGTGACCGGCAAACTTGTTACACTGGTGTAATGCGCGATACAACACAGGTGCTTCAACAATCCCACTTGAACGTAAAGAATGAGTGAAGACTCGGTGAAGACAAAGAAAAGACAGAGTAGACTCGCTGAATTCGAAGTTCAAGTTGGCGCGGTAGTATTTGGGCTTATTTGCTCGCACTGTCATATTCCAAAAGGAAGGTAACCCATCTCCGGGCGCTTTGCGATCTTTCATCCGAGTCAAGCCTCGATCAGCCACCACTCTCCTTGCCTTTATACCTCCCATCTATCTCGGCTAGTCCACACGAAAACAGCACAGAATGCGGTACTATGAGCAGCGCTATCCGGAGGTGGACGAGCTGGTCATGGTCCAGGTCCGCCAAATTGCGGAGATGGGTGCATACGTGAAGTTGGTGCGGCCTCCGAGGTATTATCTACTGAGCAATCGGCTGACCGCGCGAATGGTTATGCAGCTCGAATATGATAACATCGAGGGAATGATCTTGCTCTCCGAACTGTCGAGGAGACGTATCCGATCGATACAGAAACTCATCCGGGTGGGCAGGAATGAGGTCGTGGTCGTGCTGAGGGTGGACAAGGAGAAGGGTGCGCCTAGTGTTGCTTCGACACTAATTTAAGTTCTGACACTCCTCTCGTCACAGGTTACATTGATCTGTCAAAGCGCCGCGTGTCCCCCGAAGATATCACGAAGTGCGAGGAACGCTACATGAAGTCAAAAAGCGTAGCCTCTATTATGCGGCACGTCGCCTCCAAGATTCCATCCGTCCCCAGTGAGGGTGCCGAGGGAAAGGAGGCAAGGGGGCCGAAGATACGGGCGCGAGCGAGGAGGAGCGTCTCGAGCAGCTATACGAGCAAATTGCATGGCCAGTCGGGAAGAAATATGGCCACCCATACGACGCCTTCAAGCTGGCTCTCACGTACGTGCCTCTGCATTCGAAAACTTTTGCTATCGCTGATCAACACCTTTCCGTGCAGTGAGCAAGAGACCGTCTTTTCTTCCCTCTCCGCTCCCGTCCCCGAGAACGTCAAGTCCATCCTCCTCGCCACCATCGCCCGCCGACTCACACCCAGCCCATCAAGCTCCGTGCGGATATCGAGCTCACCTGCTACACCCCCGCGGGTATCAACGCCATAAAGAAGGCCCTCCGTGCGGGTGAGAAGCAGAGCAGCGAGGCGGTCCCCATCAAGGCGAAGCTCGTCGCGCCGCCACTGTATGTCCTTACCACCAACGCTACAGACAAGGTGCGTCGTCTCCTCACTGTAGCCCATGACTTGGACATCTCACCGAACTGTTTGTCCGTACAGTACGCTGCTGTGGATCGCCTCGAGCGGGCAATAGAATCCATCCAGACGACGATCGAGGACAACGGTGGTTCGCTCCTGGTCAAGATGAAGGTACGTCTCCCTCAGCCGGTCATGATTTCGTAATGCTCAATCTTCTCCGACAGCCAAAAGCCATTTCCGAGACGGAAGAACAGGAATTTGCACAGATCCTGGCCAAGGCCGGGCAGGAGAATGCCGAAGTGTCGGGCGACGAGACCGAGGAGGAAGCCATCTAGACTGCCAGGCTCCTCATCATGACGCCTCACACCCATCGCTATTTCTGGGATGCATCGCTGGGGCATGCATATACATGTGCATGTGCATGTTAGATAGCGGCACACAATGCTCTGTATAGTACGGAATGACGAATGCTGTAGCCCTATTGCACGGTACGGATACACCCTAGATTGCAAGGTGCAATGCGATTAAAATGCCCAAAGCTCCTCAATCACGTTCGGAGGTGCGAGGCTCGCGTCCTCCACGACAGGTTCCTTCTTGATGCGTCTGTTCGCCTCGGTCTCGAACATCTACAAGCCCTCCGATAAGTTATACCGCGAATTGCTTGAATCAGAGTTTGACGTACGGTGCCATACGTATGGTCCAAGAAATCCTCCATCGCGTACTGCGGCCGTGTGAACGCCTCTTCCAACACACTTGCTAGCGTCGCTACCACCGGGTGATAGTGGTTCACATGAGAATGGAGCTCCCACAGCGACGACTCGAGTGCGTGCGTGTGTTGCGGGTTCGCCTCTTTCTCGTCGTACGGATCTGCGCGGCACAACGTCTCAGCGGGTCAGTGGCAAAGGTAGAGGCAGTATGTGACGCACCGACGAATGACCCGACGGACTCGACGGGCTTGTGAATCATGACCATGCACGCAGGGTGCAGCTTCAGGAGATTGTATGTGAAGGGGATGAGCATCACCACCGCTGCTGGTGGGGCATTCAGCGAGAGTCGGGCGAGCCGCTTGGCGAAGGCGGCGACGAGCGCGGCGGGGAGGTGACTGCATAAGCGGTCAGTCAGTTGCGGGTGGGGAGGGGAGGCCAGAGGGAACGTACGTGGAGCTGAGGAAAGTCTCGGTAAGCCGGAAGAAGCGGGCGCGGTGCCTGAGGTGCAGGACGTCCCGGTCGAGGAAGGTGTAGAGGCGTGTGTAGAACGCGGGATAGTCCCTGTGTGAGGTGTGAGTGACGACGCAGGGAGAGAAGGACGAGGTACAGACAGGTTGTACTCCTTCATGAGCGTGAAAAGCGCGTTCAACGCGAGCAAGCCAACAGTACCACCTGAGTCCCGGATGTCAGCACATTGCTTCACGTAGCGCGATCACAGGCGTACCGTAGTCCACACTGCCCGCGACCCAATCCATGACCAACACCGGCCTCGTCAAATGCGGAAGCACGCCTCGATGAAGCACATTCAATACCCTCAACGCATACCCTCTCGCCTCGGCCTCTCCCTTCTTTGTCTCTTTCCGCTTCCCATCATTTTCCCGCGTCGCCGGTGACGAGAGCTTCGGTAGGAGCGCGAGCCAACAGCGCGTGAACACCGCCCGGTGGCTCGCGAGTGAGTGTAGCGACTGGTGCAAAGTCAGTGTGTGCACGCGTGCGGATTTGCGCTTCTCCTGCTCCTTCGAGTTGGCTGCCGGTTCGTCGAAAAATTTGCGCCAGTCGTCATCGTCCTCTGCGCCCTTGTCTTCTCGAGCTTCGTCCGAGGAGTCGTCAGAGTCGTCGTTTTGTGAGTGGTGCCTTTACCCTTCTTGTTCTTGGGGGATGGTGGTTTCGCGCCGAGTTCTTCGACCCACCATGAGTTGAGCTCCTTCGCGTCGGTAGGGAGCGTAGAGAGTTTCTCCAGAAGTGAGAGGAGGTTGATAGGAAGGTTGGGTGCGTCTGACTTCGAGAGTAGTGTGCTGTTCATGGATGAGCACAGACACAGTATGGATGATCGAGGTACGAACCCAGCCTCGCGGAGGAAGAACCACCGAATGTCGTCGTGTACATCGAGCCATGTGTTCAGGAAGGTGTCATGCACGTCTTCCTCGAGAAGTCCTTCGCGCGGGTGACTGAGCTTTTGCTTTTTGCTCGATGATGAAGGTGCAGAACGGGATGATGAAGGACAAGTGAGAAGAGCAGACACGATCTTCCGGAAGTGAGAGATATGGAATTGTGGCTGTGGCTTGGACGAGGTAGATGGGTTTGGAGAGTACGTCGCGAACGCGGTAGAGAGGTGCTTCTGCAAGGAGAAGAGGATCTGGAGGGACGATGTCTACGTGCATGTAGTATTAGAACATGTTTGGGAAGCAGAACATGGCGACGCACCCGCAGGACGGCATCTTCGTCTTGCAGCAATTCGCCAAGGAACTCGACATATTGGTTCATATGCTCCGACAACCATGCCCTCACCGCTTGCGTCTCCTCTGTCTCCTTATCACCCTTACTGTTCATCATCCCCTTCGTGACTAGCATCACGAATGTGCGGTAGAGCGCGTAGATCGCCTTGAGCACATGGTTCGCGTCCGATGCGTTCAGAGCGAGCTGGACGAGGTTGGCAAGTTTGTTGAGAGACCCATTATCAGAAATGGCCGTGATAAGCTGTGTTTCGAGTCGTTTGATCTCTCCGAGAGTCTCGTCTTCAAGAGAGTCGACTTTTGCAGGGGTTTGCGTTTTGTGGAGGAGCTGGGAAGTGAGGATCGAGGAGCAGACATCACGGCGGTTAGGACAACTACAGGTCTGAGGACAGGGTGTATATAGTACGCAAGCAAGACAGGCCGTCGATATTCAACCAGGTTGACACGAGAAACGAGAATGACTGGCGGCTTGTGATCGGCAGACGAGACAGACGAGCTCGAGGGATTGAGACTCGGATAAATTCTATTCTAATATCACCGATCTGAGATTCTGTCCGGGAATTCCGGATCAAGTCCTGTCGGCAATTCCCGCCCCATCAATTGATCGTGGCAAACGGTGGCGCAGACTCCGAGTCAAACACCCACCGTGGCCAACGTCGCGCGACTCGGACGGCTTTCTCGTTGGCCTCCTCCTGATACGTATACCGTCTCTGCCCTGCATATGCCTGAAGGAACATACCGTCTAAACGGACCCATTGTGTTACCTCGACCGAGCTTGGGCGGTCTGCGAGTTGAAGCCAAAGTTACCAACGTACTTGTCATATTCATCCATCCCAGTCGCGCCTACACTGCAATGCAGGGCCCAGCACCTCAGGCCTCATGCCTAGCAAGGCGTCATATTCTAGGTCTTAGACTGTTGAATGTGTTGCTCTTGTTCGCTCAATTATGTTTTGTTTACACTGAATCCCAGAATTTGGAGCCGCTCAACATGCTAGCGCGAACGTTGAACGTGGCGCGCCAAGTTAGGACAGCGAGAGGTGCTAGATCGCAGATGCACAGTTCAGATGACGCCACCAAAGCTATACACAAGGTCGGAGGAGATGGTTTGTGATAGGGTTGCCAGCGAGAGGGCGAAGATTCCGGCTCGACGGTATGTTCATGCTCTTCAGCCTTGAAGGGGTCCTTGCTACTAAGGTTTAGAATGCAGACTTTAATGCGCTCTTGACGTTCCCTAAACATCTGCGGGAAGGCCTGATCAGATTGGAGTTGCTGAAATGGCCCAGCGGCTGGACACGATCGCGCCAAGAGGCTCACATTCTGAATTGGACCGGGGAATTGACTCGTCGAGGGCAGCCGTAGCGCAGGCTGACACTGATGCTGACGTCCAGCCTCACCTAAAATGGCGTATAAAAGACCTCCTGCTCGTCTCTGGATCGTGACCTCTCGTCCTTTGTCCCTCCATTTGCTAGTCCGTAGCTCCCAAGCTCTCCAGTCCCGACATGATCACCTCATTGCGCTACTTGTCTCTGCTCACCTCGCTCACCGCTCTTGCAGCGTCGGTTCCAGCTGCTAGGGCGGATGGTCAGGCAGGGTCTGGCGCGGGATACAACACGTCGCGCATCGGTCCGGACAACGCCAACTGCAGCCGCCAGATCTACCAACTCGACATCATGAGCAACAACGTTGTCTTCAAGGATGTCGACTCCAATGCGAATCAGGTGCGCTTTCCTCTCAACTCTCTGGCAGGTGCCTCGTTGCCAACGTGCATAGACCAGACGTACATCACGTCGCTCTTCCAGACCTTCCTGCCAGCGATGAGCAACTTCACGGAAATGTACGAGGACACGGAGAAGCAGATGGTCTCCAACACCTACTCGCTCTCCGGTACGCTGTGCACCCCGAAGAACGGCACGAAGAATCCTTCCCATGTGCAGTACCTTATCCACGGGGTTGGGTTTGACTCCAGTTACTGGGACTTCGCTGCGAGTGAGGAGTACAGCTACGTGCGTGCTGCGGCTGACGCTGGCTATACGACTTTCCGTTATGACCGGCTCGGGACCGGTCTGTCTGAGAAGCCGTCAGATGCGTACAAGTACGTACGATCTCTATCTCACGGATGAGACGCAGCTTATGGGTATACCTAGTGTTGTGCAATCCCCTACGGACCTCGCCATCGCCATAAAATTTGCGCAGATGCTCCGTAACGGTGGAATTGGTGGCCAAAAGTTCGACAAAATTGTCGGTGTCGGACACAGCTACGGGTCCGTGCAGGTGCAGGCAATTACTGCGCACTCCCCTACCGCGTTGGATGCCGCGCTCCTGCAAGGCTTCTCCAACAACGGGTGAGTCTTTGGTTAGGCACCCATGAAGATCATTATTTAACAAATTGTCCAGCACCGGCCAGGGCTCTTTCCTTGCGGGTGGCGTGTACTCGATCGCCACTGAGGTCTTCCCTGACCGGTTCTCCACCGACGAGCTGAGCAATGCCTACCTAGTTACGGCAGTTGTACGTCGTCGCATGCCTTCTGAGCACGAGCACCATCCTGACGTTGTTTTGTATGCAGCCGCAAGCCAACCAGTTCGACTTCTTCTACTTCCCCTACTTCTCGCCCGCCGCCTTCAACCTCACCCGTGCGACGGAGCAGCCCGCGGCACAAGGCGTACTCTTCACGCAAACCGCCATCATGGGCACCGCGACCGATTTCACCGGTCCCGTCCACGTCGTGCGTCCCATCTCTTCCTCTTACATCCCTTCTTCCCAGCTCATTCACTGCGCTGCACGATAGGTCACGGGCGCACAGGACGTCCCCTTCTGCTACCGCGACTGCTATGCCGTCCCGCCGAACGCGAAGTACCCGAACATCCCGGCGTATGCAGAGGAGCTCTACCCGAAGACGAGCAACTTCTCGGTGTACATCCCGACGAACACGGGCCATGCGGTGAACCAGCACTACTCGGCGCCGGATGTCTACCAGGAGATGCTGGCGTTTGTTGAAAGTGCGTTGATGTAGTCGTTCAGAGTATGGTGTGTTGTGAGGGGCAGGCGAATATACGTGCCGATACGAACCCTTCTGGTCTGAACTGACGTGGATCACACGTGGTCGCATCAGCATTGCACTATGCCTGTATCGTCATGAAGATCAGTGTCAGACCACTGTCGTACCCATACATGTTGAATCGAAAACGACTAGACTCCGCCATCCAGTCACTGTGGTCCGTAGTTATGATCGTGATACGGCATGCTCTCTGCAGTGGCTTAGGAACTGGTATCCGTGAATAACATTCTAGGAACGCTGGGTCGGTGGAAACACTCTTGACAGAAAGACGACGCGCTTCATGCCGTAATCAACGGTGCATTCCTTGTCATCCAACTATTGACGTGCGAGTGCTACCATCTACCCTAAGTTTAATTATCCAGCTGTGTCCCCGTCAGTGTCTTGCATCTGGCTGCGCTCTTCGTGGCATTGCAGTAACCTGTACCCCCACCGCTCGAAGCACTGACTGCCCCTTTTCCAAAGTCGAACCTCACTTCGAACGTGGCGCCGTCGGCGATGGGCTTGAGCTTCCCGCCTTGAGCTGAAGAAGTCCGTCAGTTGAGTGATATTATAATTGACGCGTGTATATGCACACCACTGTTTTGCCCCGACGGAACACATCCTGTGATTGAGAGTTAGGAACGAAAGCTTTTACTAGTGATTGACTTGAACGCGCACTCGTCACTGCGATGCTAGGACTCTGCTGTCCCTCAAGCGTAGTAGCAAAGGGGTACTCGTCGCAGTTCACGCCTTGGAGTCCCTTTCCCTTCCTGTTCATACACAATAATGTTATCATTAGTAGTCACATCTAAATGACATTGCGGGGTCCGGGTTACTCAAGCTGAACTCACCCGCCAAAATCCTTGCTACAGCGATTTGGACGTGCACATTGATTTCTTCTGCGTGCAGCATCTGCGAGCTTCGTGTTGGTGTTCTTGGTCAATGTATCAGGGCGACCCTTGCCTGTGAATCGTCTCAGTATTCAGGACTAATGTTCATGCAACGCCGTACACGTGATCCCATAGCACATATTTTGCTGCGATGCAAATATCATGGTGAGGATCACGACGAGTGCATGATATGAATGGAGAACGTACGCAGATGTCGGGCATGCCATTGGCCCCACAGTTGAACACAACTTGTGGGTTACTGCGCTCCGACAGCACGTGTATACGGACCGTCTCGCCCTCTTCCCAAGGGACAGTGGTGTTTCCGTAGATTGTCCGAGTCGGGGGCTCCTCTTGCGAGGACACATTAAGGCCAGCGAAGACACGATCATCGTCATGTCTATCAATCACCATGTTAGTACTTTCATAAAGCGATATGTGGAATGCATACAGATCATACCTATTTTCAACGTCCACATCATGACCACAGGCTCGTGCAGCCAGGGGAGCAGTCGTTCCTCCGCGCGTGATCTTGCACGCAGTGGGGTCCAACATGGCTGCAGTAGTGTAGGTCAAACACACGAGCGCAAGAATGAAGACAATGCGCGTCATCAAGAGAAGTCGAATAGGAAGTATTAGAAAAGATTCGAGATATTACGTGGGGGGAAGGACCAGCCTGAGGTTTGGCTATGGTACTCTGGTTTTTAATAGTGCATGCGCGCCTTCGTGAGGGCGTTCCAAGTAACGGTGAGTGCACCCGCCGCACTGTCCGGGGCTGTCCTTTCAAGTTCCACATTCGATGCATCTCCGACACTTCAGTCACACTGTATACCACTGGCATCTACGGTAGCGGTCAACAGATGCTGCAAATTTGCACAAGAACGAGATCATAATGATGAGCTCAACTAACAACACACGGGCTCAGGGTTGCTACCACGGCGTATGCATTTTTGAGGTGATAACATTTATGCTGCTGGGCTGTAACTTGCCAAACTTGAATTGGGGATATAACATAGAGGAAGAGGAGTTCACTGAATCATCTGCATCAGTACCTACCGCCAACACATGAGCGCTCAACAAGTTCTTGACGACGACAGCTGACAGATACGTATCATTGTGAAGACCAGACGAACAGGAAGTTCATCATGAGGACGGCGTACATCAGGATTCAGCAGCTGTCTATCTGAACGTCCAGTGGTGGTAAACGAGCCGAGGGCTGCATCTCGTCAGAGACAGTTGACGACTCTGAGACAATGCTGAGGCCTGCTACTAGTAGGCAGTGGAAGTGAGCGCTGAGGGTATGCACACGGTAGGAACCAGCCCAGAGCGCTAGCGCTGTTGTCAGTGGTCACGGTGGCGAGTCGGAGAAGGCGAGGCGCCAAACGACAGCGTTGCTAAATCGGGGAGGAGGGTGATACAGTGCCCCTCCGCTCAGGCTTGCAATCAACTTTGTTTCAACATGGCAACAAGTTCTCCGAGTTGGCCGTGGCAGCATCAGTAGCAAGTATGGCAGTCGAGGCTGTGGATGCGGCTAAGTGTTCCGTGCAATGCGCAGCCCATCTACCTGTCATCGAACGAAACAGCTTCCACAAACCTTCGAGTTACAAAACTCCTGGCCGCCGCTCACTGACAGCAGCATCCCCACTGGCATCCTCCGGATCAAGTCTGGTCCTACTCATCCAAGTCGCCTACTATGACTGAATCAAAAACGGAAGCTATCGTGGTGGTCTCGAGGTGAGTAGTGCTAGTACTACTAGTTCGCCTTCGTTCACGACTTTGACCCTTGATGCAAGCGAACTCACCGAGACCTCGTTGCTGTTCCTGGATACGCTCAAGATCCGCGAGACTGCTACATATCTGTATATGGACGGATCGCACGTAGAACATATCCGTCGCTACGTGCAACAAGGAGACCTTGTCAATGCCCACACATACGTCGAACGAAGCGAACACGACGGGTCAGTACTTCAGTCCCTGACCACCCTTCTATGTTGAGTGACGTGCGATGCAGGCTGATCCCCAAGCTAGTCTTTATACCGGGGCATGTGGGTGACCTAAAAGCGGACTCTTCGTGGATCGCTGTCATCCGATCACTGGTACGTGTCATGCAACAAACGTAGTTACATGGACTGATGGAGTCTCAAGTATCGCGAGGGCGTAGAGGTATTTGCCACTGGTGTCGGCAGACTCTGTAAGAGCATCAGCACTATCGTAAGACTATTCTACTCACTGACTCTATGCCAGTGCTCGCTGCCTCTGGCATCCTTAAAGAAAGTGTCGCTTCGTCTGCTTCTCTTGCTCTCGATGATAACTACCGTGGTAGGTAATCGACAAGCTCGCCTGTTCTTGTTTCTCATTGTTCTGTTAGACCTCGCTGCTGGGTGGCGAGGTGACGAGATCGTCCGCGACAGTCAGTACTAGATTCTATGTCACGATGCTGGCTCTGATTGGCATGCCTTGACAGGATTCTTTTGGACGGCCAATGATTCTGCTACAACACTCAGCTCCCTCGCATATCTGTACAAAGCCGACTCGAAGGGCGGAATACCCGCGCAGTTCCCGGTGCACGCCTTCGAGGAACGCGGTGAACATGACAGTCCTTCCGTCCCGATGCCCTCCGCCACACCTGCCGCAGATATCGCTCGTATGATTGCTCAGCACTCACGGGCAGAAACGAAACAATTTGTCGATCCCGTCGCGAACTTCGCCCTTCGCCTAGCCCTGGAGGGGCACGTAGCGTCATGCAACGCGGTGATACAATCCCTGTTGGCGGTCTTCCCGAACCTGTACACCACGCTCGGAGCGCATGGAGTCATGCCCCTTGAATGTGTCTGGCGAAGTGCTGGCGAGCGACCGATGCTCCCATGGGAAGTCGCACCAGAGGAACTGGACACATGGGATCGGGACAGACGCGAGAACTACCGGATCCCGTCTGGAGAAGAGGATCGGCTCGATCTTCTCGAGTCGTTCAAGGTCCGCGTGTCGCTCGGCAGGGATCGGCTGCTCTATCCGTACACCACTCCAGGTGCAATTGTGATGGCAGTAGAGGCGGGCTGGGTCAACGAAGCTCGTCAGTGGATGGCCATGCTGTGGGTAGCGTTTCTTTCACATCACTCCACGTGAACTGAACTAGGTGTAGTGTACAGGGCGCCATGGTGCAGGACTTCCTATGGCCCTCCCAGGTCGGAGCATGCCGAACGCTCGTCGACTTCGCCCTCACAGGCGTCGTGGCCGAGATCACCGGCCACACCGCGACGCAGGCAGAGCAAGACGCAAGCACCATCAAGCAAGCGCTTCTCGATTTCCCTGAGACATCAGCGGTGGTCGAAAAACAGCAGCGCGCGACCGCGCAGAGGTTCGCCGAGGCCCCGTGGCCGGCGCTGGTGCGTATGCTTGACATCTTCAAGCTGGAAGGTATCTATGAGACGATTATCCGCCCGCCCGCCTCTCCGTCGGCTATCCGCGAGGCCGAGCAACGCCTGGGCGTTGAGCTTCCATCTGATTACAAGGACTTCCTGCTCATTTCGAATGGCACGAACGACCTGTCGATCGATGTGCCCGGATTCAAACGTGTCGAAGACTTGTGCTGGGAGAGCCCCGACGACCTCGGCCTGGACTGGGTTCGCGTGACCCTCGGATGTGAAGTGGATCTTGCAGAGGAAGAACAACTCCCTAGTATGAAACGGGTGCTGACCATATCGGAGCCCGGCGAGGAGATGATGTGGTACGTCGAGCCTGACACGGTCGCCGAAGCGATCCAGGCGCTCAAGGGCTTGGGCCGGTCGGATGAGTCGGTCGGGGAACGCGAATGGCGGTGGGTACTGCAGGCGTTCTTAGCTGTCTTCACGACTCATTTCGTCCTAGGCCGGTTTTCTTCCTCCACTGGGCTCCGGAGCTGCAGTGGTACAAGAACTTCAGGGTTTATATTGAGTCGGTGGCGCAGCAAGCCGAGAAGGCGGGTGCACAACTCGATGTATAATATATTCCGACATGTTTGTAGTAATGTGCGGAGCATCTTGCACCCAAGGGTAATGCGAAACTTTCCCGCATATTCCCATTCGACCGACCCGCAATCTAGCGCGTTGTGGTGGAAGGCACGGTCCGATGCCCGGGATGTGTCGTGCTGTTGCCTCTACGTAACATCATACACAGGGTCTCAGGGAAGCTCGGCGAGACTGAGCAGATGTCCCCCTAAAATCAGCCGGTAGAGGACGTCGAAATGGATCGCAACGAGTACCACTCCCGCTCAACATCCGTCACGGACACGTTTAGCTTGCTATGTAACTGCCTCGCGCTACGACTCGAAACAGCTCTGAGACCTCCATTCCGAATGGCCGTCAGGCTTCGTTGAACCGTATCGCAGAACTGAAACACAGGTATTCAATACAAGCTCAACTATTCTGTTGCCATGTATCTGTCTGCTGGCACACAGAATCTGTGTGCAACTTAGCCTTGCAGTAGTCTACCCCTCCTCCGCTGGATGCACGAACCGGGCCGGCGCCGAAATCGAACAGTACGTCGAATGCAGTGCCGTCGCCATATTTCTTCACCACGCCGAGTGTTCCACCTTGGACTGGATAAATAGATCAATGACGGCATTGTTTGCTTGTTTGATGAACAATCTTACTACTATTCTCTCTTTGGGGAACACATCCTAAGACATCATGAGAGGTCAGGGCGGAAGCTCTTGGTGGATGAAAGACACATTTGTTTACTCACTCGTAACTGATTTGCTCGGATCCTGCTGCCCTTCCAGCGTAGTAGCGAAGGGGTATTCGTCACAACTCATACCCGAGGGTCCTTTTCCCGTGCTGTCCACACATAGGAACTTGAGTGACGTGGTCACTCTGAAGATAAATTGCACTTACCCTCCGAAATCCTTGCTGCAGCGGTTCGGCTTCTTCGACCCGCATTTGTTTCTCTTGCGTGCGTCATCAGGCTCCTTCCCGGCGGAATGCTTGGTCAACGTATCAGGGAGCTCTCTGCCTGTCTATATGGTCAGGTGCACATCGGTTTGTCATAGGAACTGCTGCACATACATGTGATCCCGTAGCACATATTCTGCTGTGAATGAAAACCGCATGATGAGTGCTATGAATACCGTACTTGGATGAAAGGTAGTACGCAAACTTCCTTCATCTCGCTGCACTTGAAGACAACTTGTGGGTTTTCACGCTCCGAAAGCACATGTATACGGACTCCCTCTCCATCCTCCCAAGGGACAGAGGCGTTCCCGTAGATGGTCCGGATGTGATGACCTGAGTCCAGTATGTGCTCGTTGAGAACCTGATCCTCGTGCCTCCTGCTGACCACTGCTATCAGTCTAGGAAGAATGGCTCCACGGAGAACATACAGATCGTGTCCGAGTTTGTCATCGTTGCCAACCTCGCGGCCGCAAGCACGTGCAGCAAGAGGCGCAGTTGTTCCTCCACGTCTGACCTTGCATGCACCGGGGAGAACTGCAGTGGCTGCGGCAGCATAACATAAGTAAAGAAGGGTAAGTACGATTACAATGCGCGCCATGGAGAGAAATAGGAATGGAGACGAGTAAGATCGCTGAAGGTGGGACGTCGAAGTAGAGGACCAGCCTGAAGTCCAGCCATCGACCGTAGAGCTTTATAACGCGTGGGGAGAGCGTTTCCCCAGGAGAAGCTGGACGTTCTGCATGTGCTATCGGCATGAGATCAATTCAAAGAGACACTGAAACACTCACAATACAGCTGCGTAGTGGCGCTACGATGTTCAATAAAGCAGATGTATCAGAGCCACCCACCGAAACGGATGCGCCGAGTCGGGCGCAAAGTAAGCCTCACTAGTCCGGCGGCATGATTGCATAACCGCCGTACTGACAGACCTGGGCTTCGAGTCCACTGAGACGGTAACGTTGACGATGTGCACACTGGTGGTACTGGATGGAAACACAGTAACCGTTCAAGTTCGCTCACGACACATCACAGCCTCTTCAACCTGGGCCTTCAACGTTTAACCTCAGAAGCTAGCAAGAGCGTTATCAAGATCCTGAAGCTGCGACTCAACTGCGACTCAACTGCGACTCACATAAAGGCCACTTAGATCATCCCTGGGCGACCAGCTGCGACCGGCCTCCAAACGGGTAGTCGGGGTTGCCATATTTGTCGTAAATATACTGGGGTGCGCCCGCGTAGTACGATCGTGATCTGATCGCTACTTGAACTCAAGACTTTCCGAGTTGGCCGCTCGCGATGTAAGTATGTCTTTTGAGGTTGCGAAACGCCGCGGACCTTTATAAAGTGCGCTGCGCATACTTCTCGAAGATTTCTTGACCAGTGTGACAGTGAATCACAGGCTAGGCTCCGGAGCTGCAACGGAATAAGAACCTCAGGGTACATATCGAGTCGCTGGCACAGGAAGCTGGGAAAGCAGGCCGCAACTCACCCCCTAATATATCCCTGTCTTCAATCTCGCAGTATGCCCAATTGTTTACGAGTAATGACATTCACCCACACGACACTATTTTATCAGCCTTGGAGGTGCAGTAGTGGGAACCCGCATCGGTAACACGGTTGGCGGAAAGTGTCGCAAAACTTGGATAATCCTCACTTTGTACCTGCCTTGTCGGCCTTGCGCGCAAGACCCTCCATAAACTCGCGGATACTCTTCAGCCATCTCAGGTCCGGCATGTGACTCACCCAGAAGACCGCCCTGTAGAACTAATGTCAGCATCGGTCGCATCTTGCCAACTGTGTAACGTACCGCCACCCAGGCTGTCCGACAACCTCGTCGCTCCGTCCTTCCGCCTTGAGGACTCGGATCGCCTCTGTAACGGTCTCCGGATCCACATACCACACTTGCTCCTCGCATTCCGGGTCCGAGATGACCAGCACGCGGTCCATCTTTGGCAAGCGCTCGTACTCGGCAGGGTCAGTCTTGCACCCTAGGTCAACGCGGAAAGCGTCCAAGCCGAGTTCATCCGCTGCCTGCCATTCGAGCTCTTCCACTGACATGAGTCCTGGGGAGTCGATGGATGGCATGAATTCGATGCCATTGGAGACGAGGAGGAATCCCTTGTAGTCCTCGGGAAGCTCGACGCCGAGCCGCTGCTCTGCTTCTTGGATGGCAGACGAGGAAGCGGGAGGCTTCAGCAGCGTGGCGTGCTGTTCCCACTTCAGGACTTCGAGCATGGGTACGAGCGAGCTCCAAGGGAGGTCATCGATCTCTTGTGCAGAGGTGTGTTGTTGAGATCGGCCGGCGGCAGGGGTAGTCGTGGAACGGAAGGAGTGCAACGCCTGCTTCACGAGCTCCGCATCACGACTAGCCCGTTCAGTTGTGCGCCCGCTAACTTCGGCCACGATGCCTGTCCTGCAGAGCTTAACCAACGGTCGCCACCTCGCGATGTCGAATGTCCAGACGTCATTCATGTGGCTTTTGCAAGCGTCTTGTACTCTGAGTGTCGATGTCAGTCGGAATCCACTGCAACGTTATGAGGGTCAAGCTTCGTACAATTTTAGCGTCCATTGACGAGCTTGCTCATCCCAGCCAGCATCGAGCGCCATCACGATCGCACCCGCCAGAGTGTAAGGCGTGAGGTACCAATCGTTATCGATGCCTATGCGGAGCTTGATGGACTCGAGGATATCGTCGCGGTCTTCTTCGGCAACGAGTTTGTAGCTGTCGCGGATGTCGCGATCCCAGATATCAAGATCCTCTGCGGAAGGCGTGTTCCATGATACAGTGGGTCTCTGCCCGGAGCTTTCCCATATGAACTCTATGGGTCGCAAGCATGGGTCACCTAAGCTCTCGATCGCGTTGGGGAAACTGCTGAGTAGCGTCAGCAAGATGGAGTTGCACGCATCCGTAAAGCCTTCGAGACCCAAGCGGATGGCGAAATGGAATACGAGGTTAGCGACCTTGTCTGCGTCGGAAGACGAGAGACCTGCTACTTCTGCAGCAAGATCTTCGCCGGATGTCATGGCAGCGGGGGTAGACGTCACCCCTAGCGTGTCATCCGTGCGACGGGATGAATGTCCCAGAAACTTGCGCGAAACAGAACCCGGGAAGATGCCGCTTATGTCACCGTGGCGAGCCGCTTTGTACAGTATACCGACCGTTCTCAGGGACTCTGGTGTGTCGGTAGCAGTCCAAAACTGGACTATCGACGCAACAATTAACTCTCATAGCTACGATGAAGTCGTGGATGCTTACCATCGCGTAAGACAGCGGCTTCAGAATCCCACGCCCGCGCCATTTCTGGTGGGACACGTCAGTTGTAGTTCGCCAAACCTGTGAATGTCGTACTCGTGTGTGTTTCATCCAACTCGAGCGATGCAGAAGACGCAATTCTGTCGTTCAATAGGCCAGAAGCGGCAAGCACTGTGAATTGGTAAGTGGTAGCTCCGCCGAACACTGAAAGATAGTCCACTTACTGAGGCGGGCATTCCCCGTAGCGATGATGTCCAATCCACCACCATACTGTCGTCACGTCAGTAGCTGTAGATTAATTCAGTCCAGCGCACATACCATTGTCTGTATAAGGTTGGCGGAGGACTCCAGCTTGAGATTCATGACATCTGTCGTGCCAGGTATGAACAGAAGATCGTAGCTGATAGGACATCGTTAAAATTGCATACGGCTCTCGGTTAGTACAACGAATGACTGACCTGTCGCTACCTGTTTGAGCTAAGAAGGACTTTACGGATATAATCTCTGCTCGCCCCAACTCGAAGTGACGTCGAACAGCCTCGTGCTGCGAGTCCTGTAGAGTCAGATAGGTTGAATCCTCGCGGATCTGAAGGACATTGAGAGGTATCAGTGCGTTCGAGTTAGGTAGCGCTCTGCATTGGAGAGCCTCCGATAAGCGCGCTATGCCTACAGAACGCCAGCGACAGGACCTACTCAGATGCCAGGAAGACCACGGTCTTTGGCTGAAAGAGGTTAGACATCGCGAAAACGAATGCAGAAGTTTGGAGAAGCGAATCAAGTTGAGACGTCGAGCAATCTGTGTTTGCACCTTTAAAGACCTGGTGCCTCGTGATGTATGAGAAGCCAGAAGCCTTCAGTGGCATAGATCTAGAAATCGCTGTCCTCAAAACGTTCAAACGTTCACTGGTTGCGCTGGCCACCGCCCGCGGCCCTACTAGTACACAGTACAGTGCCCTCCATTGCTCGTCTGATAATCAGAGCACCGCACATTCTTATAACACGAAGGAACCACACCTTGTTAGATGGACGCTCGAATCAAACACTGACAGCGCCTTGGACGTTGAGTTCGCGTCCGATGAGTCGCAACTTCGTTGAAAGTTTGCACGGTGCAGCCGTTGAAATTAAGAAACGTTGAAGGCGGTGCTCAGCGCCTGTGTGACAGTGTAAGTAGCGCTCGCAGTCACAGTACTGCCTGGACCATGACAGTCGTTGACAGCCCGGGCCAGCGGTACGTACCAAACCAATACCAAACTGGTATTGACCATTTTGCACTATTAATAGCACTTTGTTCTTACTACTTAGAGTCGAGGTTCGCTTTCGCCCGCCACTTCCATAAACGACGACGGACGACTCGGACGTAGCCTGACTCGGAGACTGAGTGGCACCTACTACTGGCAGCGATCGACTCGACATAAATGACGATGGAAGAGAGCGTAGTCAAAGGCCTTCCAGCACCTCGGAAGCTCTTGGATCATAAGCTCAAACCGACTCGGACAACTCCTAGACCGAAAGTTGCAATGCTAGTCACCGGGTGAGCATTTTCCCGGAGGAGCTGCGACTGCCATACAAGTTCAGAGTTATCATGTAACCCGTACGCGTTCGCAGTGACTTGGACCCGGGCTCCTTCAAGTTCTTGGACACGCTACACATTCGTGAAGAAGTGACATATATCACCACCTCTAGCTCGCAAATCGAAGATGTTGGCGCCCACGTCGAACGAGCGACGGTCGTCTCCGCCGAATCGTTTCTGAGACAATACGAGAGTAAGAGGTGTGTTAAACTCTGATCGATGCTCATTGCTTTATCCCTACCCGTGCCGCAGCTATGATGCTTTGTTCATTCCCGGGCAGCAAGGGGAGCCGCAATGCCAACAGAGCACTTGCTCTACTATCGTCCAAACACTCGTATGTCGCGTTCTCACTGGCAGCGTGGTCAGGCCGTGCTCATTGACCCCGATTAGTATGATGACCATCGCGAGATCATCGCTACTGGTTCAGGTCGATTGCGTAAGGTGACTTATGTGACCCGTGATATTTGTATCTCAATATCTTCCTCCGGTAGTTATCATATCCACAGGTCTGACAAGCAGCAGGCGCATCTCTTCTATATCAGTTGAAGTCTCAGGGGGTAGGACACATTCTAGGGCCCGGGGCAATACCGACTCGACTCCAGAAAACGACGGGCCACTTTGGGAGGACATCGAGATTATAAGAGACGGTATGAGGATATGACAGCAGACGTGTATACTGCGCTAATATGCATTGAAGGTTACCTATGGACGGCTAGTAGCGCGGAGAAGACATTGACATCCCTTGCATTCTTGTTCAAAGCCGCATGGAAGGGCGATATGGCCTGTTCCGTCTTTCCCGTGCACAGCCGCCGTCCGCTTAGAGACGACGGAGGACAAGACGACACTCCCTCGTCATCATCGCCGCCATCCACCGACGCCGCAACCGAGTTGGCAGATAAGATCGCAGAAACCCCTCTATCAGAAGCAGAAAACTTACCAAGTTCGGTCACTCAGTTCGCCGTCCGCTTGGGCCTCGAAGGTTTCGTATCCAGCTGCAATTTGCTCATGCTCACCTTGCTCTCCGTGTTCCCCGATAACGCCAAGTTCAAGGTCCTCATGGATGCGATCGACGGACGAGCGCTGGAACTCGTCTGGCATTACTCCGCGCAGAGACCCGCGCTACCGTGGGACGCCCCATCCGAAGACGAGATAGAGAAATGGGAGAAGGCCAGCCAGAACGCCGAGTGGTACCCATCTATCGAAGACCTGGGAGACACCCTCGAATCTGTCAAAGTTCGCATGCGGCTTGATGATGAGAACTGGACACTACCGCCGTACTCCCTTGCCGGAGCCATCTCCATGGCTATTGACGCAGGTTGGGAGAACGAGGCGCACCTGTGGCTGTCTTCCCTGTATGTCTTGTGTTCTTCGCTGACATCACGAGCTGACCTTCCTATCACAGCGTCCGAACTGCGACGCCCGACGTATGGAGTGCACAACTCGAACACTGGCCGAAAGTTGTCAAGCTTGCCATAAATGGAGTGGTTGCCGAAGCGACTGGGCGTAGCAGCGATGATGCTGAACGTGACGCCGCCATCGTAAGACGAGCTCTGTTGTCTTTTCCAGAAACGTCCGCGGCGGTCGAAGAACAGCGACACTCAATCGCTCAGAGGGTTTCCCTCGCTCCTCTGCCGTCGCTTCTTCCAATGCTGGATGTCCTGAAATGGGATCAAGATGAGAAGCTTCTGAAGCCACCGGCGTCGCCTTCTGCGATCCACAAGGCGGAAGTACGGCTCGGCGTGCAGCTTCCGGAGGATTACAAACAATTCCTCCAGCTCTCTAACGGCCTCGGACCCACAACCGTCAATAGGCCCGGTCTCAAGCCCGTAGAGCAGCTGCTCTGGGAGGACCCGGACAGACTTGGCCTCGAGTGGTTCCACGTCGACCTAGGGTGCAACGTCCATTCATCACCGAACGTGAAACTGCCGAAGCCCGGGCGCGTTTTGATGCTCTCGGATGACCACAGTGAAGAGTCAATGTGGCTTGTTGAGCCCGGCTTCGTGTCTGAGGCTATACATGCCCTCAAGGGTCACGATCAATCGGATGATGCGTTAGATCCATCAGGATGGCGGTGAGCCTCAACTTGTATAGAGACACACAAGCGGAGCTTATCGTTGAGGCCTCCACAGACTAGTCGTATTCATTGCGTGGAGCCCAGAAATCATATGGCCTAAGAGCTTCCGTGCATACATCGAAGACCTTGCCAAAGATGCGCACCGGAAAGCGGGAGCCATGCCGGTGTTCGAGCACGAGACACTTCAGAGCCGCCTATGAACATGCTATCTCACTTGTGAATGTTAACTACTTATTGAGTCATCCATCTGACCTTGCATTGATGTTCTATTAGCAACATTCCGAGACTGCATCGGAGGAAAGGTTTTGTGGCGAGGTTCGAACGACTTGCATGAGGTCAATCCTCGCCTAAGGACTTGCCCGTATACTCATCTAGCGTCCGGTCATCGAATATTACATCACATTCAGAGATGGTATGCTTATACTCTGGCTAACTTGGTAAGGCTGACAGATCTATGAGTCCCGTCGCGAAGGTCCTGGCACTACCAGGACGGGTTCCCGGTGATGATTCTCAGACATGTACTCGGCAGCATGGAAAGTGCATTGAGGCCAAGGTACGTCATCTCTCTACAAAATACGGCATTCTATGCGTTACCGACTCTTGAAGTTTCAGGAGCCCGAATCAGTGCACCAGCCGCCCGACATTCTCACACTAAGACACAGCCGCAGCTAGGTTCTGACCTTCTCCTGGACCTTCACGACAGTCAAAGCCGTGTCATAGTCACCATGAGACGCGGTTTATAAATTCTGAATCTACAGCGCATACTTCTGACCTGGTGTATCAGCAAACTTGTTGTCCAGCGTTGAAACTCTCAGCAACACAGGTCTGCGACACGGCACAGCATGAATGCCATTGTTTACATAGCTGGGTACGTTCAAGCACACCAGTCTGGATTAGAGCTGTCGTTCAGAGAAATGGACCCTTCCTAACAGGCATCTCGACCCGAGCTCCCTGCTCTTTCTTGACACACTGCGAATCCGCGAGCAAGCAATATACCTCGTCCCTGACGATCTAAAAGAAGATGCCATACAGAGGGGACTAGATTCCACGAAAGTCTCCAGCGTCTCATCCTTCTTGAAAGAAGGCGACCGCGGAAGGTTTGCATGCCATTCACTGCTCAACGTGTGCGTCGGCTTAGTTTCGTGTCCGTAGCTATAATCTTCTGTTCATACCCGGACCATCAAAGACTGACACATCGTCGATGGAGGCAGCGGCCTCCCACATACAGGCTCTGGTACGTTCTTAACACCCGAAACGGCGAACATACTGATACATACGTCATATTAGTATGGGGATGGTTTGATCACTGTTGCTACAGGAAATGGCCGCTTATGTAGGAGTTCAGTCTGTTGAAAAATCCTCATATAAGCTCCATTGAATGTCTAGTGCTCGCGGAGTCAGGGCTACTCAAGGAACACGCTGCGTCGGCCGCCTCGCTTGATTTGCCTCAAACGCAAGCCGGTGGGTATATAGCAATCAAAAGCACAGTGTCTCTATAGCTCATTCCTCGTCAGCATCAGTATGCGAATGGCTCGACGACGACATCATTCGTGATCGTACGTCAATGCTGCAAGATCTGGGTGCGCATTAGGTATTGACCACATACCTTGCGCAGGCTATTTCTGGACAGCCAAGGACTCGCCGGAAACTCTCAGGTCCCTAGCATATCTGGTGAAAGCGGCCGTGAGGGGAATTCAGAGTTCCTTCTTTCCTCTACCAACCTTTTTGAAACGCTGGCAAGCTCAATCCGGAGATCAAACGGCGCCCGCAGAGTCGATGAAGCCGTCGGAGACGCCGGGAGCTGACTTGGCCAGGATCATCGCTGGCTCTATGCCCTCCGAAGCCGACCAGATACCTCATCCGATCGTTCATTTGGCCATGCGTGTTGGCCTGGAGGGCTCCACGTCTTCCTGCAACGCCCTGGTGCGCTCGTTGTTCGACGTGTTCCCGAACACATACGAGCTGTTGGGCGCTCCTTCCACACGACCATTCGAGTACCTCTGGCGACGGCCTGGTGACAGACCTCACGTGCCATGGGAGGCCCCTTCAGACGATACCATGAGATTGTGGGAGCAGGAGAACAAGGAAGATCACCATTACCCGACCAAGAATGACCTTACAGACGTCCTCGAGTACGTGAAAGTGGCGATTGCTTATGAACCTGGCGACTGGAGGTTGGCTCCCTACACGCACGCTGGCGTTGTTGCTATGGCGCTAGAAGCTGGTGCCGAGCAGGAGGCGCATGCTTGGATGTCGGCACTGTGCGTTTGGTTGAACTTTCCTCTCCATACCAATGTTGACGCTGATACGATGTATCAGTGTCAGATCCGCCATGCACTTTGACACGACGTGGACATGGGACATCGGGCGCTGGCCAGCTCTTGTAGACTATGCCTTGCGGACTGGAATTGCAGCCGAGATCACCGGACGCGGCCAAGAGCAGGTAGAGCAAGATGCGGAACTCGCACGACAAGCACTGCTGTCCTTCCCGCAGACTTCCGCTGCTGTGCAGGAGCAGCGGCGCGCAGCTATGCAGAAGTTCCGTGACGCGCCGATGTCCGCTCTCATACCTATGCTGGAAGTATTGAAATGGGAGGATCACGAAACACTGCTTAAGCCGCCAGCGCCCCCGGCAGCTATCCGCGAAGCCGAGGAGCGACTGGGGATCGAGCTCCCGGGCGACCTCAAGGAATTCTACCTCGTCTCCAACGGGACAGAGTTCATGCCGTCGGTGAACGCACCAGGCTTCAAACCCGTCGAGCAGCTCCAGTGGGAACAAGCGAAGAATCTCGGCCTTGACGAGTTTGCTGTCGAGCTTGGGTGCAAGATTGACGGCGCGGAATGGGACCAGCTGCCGAAGATGGACCGTTTGCTCGTCGTTTCTGATGACTCGGAAGAGATGGTTTGGTATGTCCATCCTGAAACGGTGTGCAAGGCCATAGGCACACTCGAGGCCCTGGGATATTCAGCCGGCTCGTTGGGTACACTAGGATGGCGGTGAGTGCTCTTGATAGGTTTCTATAACAGGTTGTGATGACATGAAGTATATTGCAGCGCAGTCTTTTGGGTCAGTTGGATGCCGGAGTTGAAGTGGTTGAACAGAGGCTTCCGCGGGTACATCGAGGAGCTTGCACGAAAGGCAGAGAGGAAAGGTGCTGCATTGAATGTATGAGTGTTGCGCCGACTTGCTATGCAAGCCGGAGGTCTAACAGTATCAGTATTGTTGCATAATCCACGAGCGCATCCCATTGCGTTTCACGGCGGCATACCAGTTCACAATGATGACGCACGCCCAATTGTCTTGGGGTACTCGACACAGTCTCCATTTCCTACACGACGAGCGGCGAATGTCTTCCGTGCTAGTGTAACATGAAACGGTTCTTTGCAAGCCAGATGTCCGAAACGCCCGGGGGACTGAGTAGCTTGTGGGGATAACCATACTGTACGCGCAAGTTGAAGATGCTTGCGTATAGGAGGCATCATTGGCTCCTCTACGCGTTTGATCTATGGTCTAGGTCAAGATAAACTCGAGGACCCAGGCTGGACTACAAACGTGAGCGTTCCACGAAGACCTATTGGCTAAGCGGCAAGTAAGTCACGCACTCGTGAGTTCGATCTTCGAGCGCCACGCAGCGGATAGATCACCAAGAATCGGAAGCCTTCTGAGCGGAAATGAATCGAACGTGCCCCTTGCTTATTGTCTTGCCCTCCGCATTGACCGCCATACCCAAGTAGACCGAGTGTCCAGGACGTTGATCTATGCGTGTGGGCGCTGCAGCACGGATCTCAATCTCTCTTTGGCCAATGAAAGCCGGCGACCCACGGATGGCTTGCCGTTAAGCTGTCTCTCGTGCACTGGCTCCGCTGACAGTCAGTCAGAGGAGTTGTAACAAAGGTTTGGACTGACCTACAATCGCGCAAACGGCCTCGCTATGCTTCTACATCCGTTATGCGGGGATAGCATTACCACGAATGCAGCCCGCAATCCACAGAAGCTACATCGAGGTGCAGAAGTCCATAGCGCTTCTAGCTCGTCTTGCGGTCGCCGATTTCGTGAGAGGCCCCGAAGCCTGCGGTCATATTTTTAGACACAGTCCAAAAAAGCCTTTGTGCTGCGGAGTCGTGAGTATCTCAACATGAATCAAACAGGTCACATTCTCATCAACCATATGTCATCCACCTGAGCCTAAACGCTTCGCCAATTGATTGCATGGCGAGTCGTCCTGGATGTCTGCAGACATCGACCCGGTGCAGCCAGACTCTGATCGCTATCACCAGTAGAGACCGGTGCGCCAAAAGTCATACTCAGGTGTCCCGCCAAATCGACACATCGCGCTTATTTCCCGGTATAGATGTGCATGCGTGCAGAGAGAACAATAAGAACGGGCGCCACCGGGGATCACAACTTATCGCCACTTTGACTGCAACCGGGATGGCTGAGTAGTTTCTGCGAAACACCGTATGGCAGACTGAGACAGGAGCAAGTGTAAAGGAGCGACTGCGACTCACCCCTGTCTGCCGAGCGTTGCAACGCAGCGAGTCACCTTCCCAATGCGGGTGCGCACGAAGAAGTCACCGACGAGATCTGTGGATCTGGCGGAGGCGCTCCGATCGATCGTGGCGTGCCACCCGTTCTTACTATAAAAGGCAAAGCGCCATCTCACCTGCGAGGATGTGTGGCGCGGGCGCCGAGTCACTTCAACTCGAAGGCATTCTGCGGCCGGAGTAAGTTTCCGGGAAATGAGTCCGGGCCGTCCAGCGGAGCACAACAATAAGAGCCAACGAGAATAGCAGGAGCAGGAGGCCACAATTCGTGGCAGGGCCCATGAGGTCAGGTCCCAATTTGAAAGATTAGCTCGCTCGGTGGGCGTCGGTCAGTCGAAGACAATATTTCGGCATGAGAGAGCAGGCATCGATGGTTGGTGCAAAACAATACAGGGGGTTTAACGAGATTATCCGCGAAAGACTGAAGGAGGGGGGAATCAATACGCGAGGACTGAGCCTCAGTGTGAAACGCGGGAAAGGTAGTTTACGACGCTGGCACTGCGAAGCGGGTCGGTACTTGAAGAGCACTTCTGAACTTCTGACACTAAGAAAGTGATTGTGGCGGCGCATCAGACGGGGAAACGAAATCCAAAGGGGACACTCCCGATAGTATCTGACCAAGTTGCAAGATTGCCTTCGCGCGTTCATGCCTCGCAAGACAATAGACTGACTGCCAGGTACTCACGCTGGCCAGAAATAGCTATGAGTCTTCGCCGCGAGGCCGTCATCGAAGTGTCTCGAGAATTTGAGTTGGTGAGTAGCATCTCGTCGTATAAATACTGGTGGAGGGAAGCATGAATGCCAGCGACCCAGCCAGTTCAGAGCAAGTCCAGTCTTCGAGACACCACTCGCACTCGTGCTCTCACCGTCCCTGCGCTCTGAGCCATCCTCCACTCACACACACGAGCAGTAATGGACGCGTTCTTTGACATCGCTACCCCCGTCCCCGTCGAGGAGACCGAGCAGGTCCCCGTCAACTATGACACCACCAATGGTAGCGGCAGCGGCAGCTGCACCATTGCCTAGGTGCCTCCATCCATTCGTACGTGCTCTTTCTCCCCAAAATGTGAAGAGAAGCACTAGTACTGATAATAGGTGATACAGACGAGGCAAGCCTCACACCGTCACGACCCAGCGCATCTTCGACTTCGCGCGCCGACCCAATTGCAAACACCTTCGTTCTTTGACAACATAACTTATTTCGTTCATATGGGGGAAGCCTGATGAGGGAGGGGGGCTCATAGGCTGTTTTGTATTTTCTCCTGGGCACCGCCCAGTTGACGCGATTACGACGAGTGACGAATGACATGACCGTGATTTCCAAGTCTAGAGTACTCACCTAGTGAGCTGTAAATGTTCCCCAGTCTTGTGAGCGACTCTAGAGAATAGGTGTAGCATGTCAGGCGCAACCTCCACCGTCGCGGAGACCTAAGTGGGAAACAATTTCAGTGGACCAATCTCCGGAGCACTGGCACTAGCACACCAGGACCAGGACCGACTATGTCGAGCCGCATATATGTTGGCATACTAAGAACCATTGTAAGCTGCGAGTCGAGGCGAAGAATCAAGCTAGGAGGACTTTGAGCATCGACATGGTGGTCGCTACATGCAAGCCTGAGGCGTTGAGCGCTTGAGCGCGCACGGCGGCACGTTGAAGTCAGAGGAGCGCCTACGGGCATCCCCGAACAATTCGGACTCGCAGTCCATCTACTTCCACTTTCCAATTCTCTACTCTTTTCTACAACAATCAGACACAATTTCATCGATATCATTCCATGGAGAACGATTCAGCGAGCTCGAGCAATCCGGCCCCAAGAGGGCGAGGCCGAGGGAAGTCCCGCGGCGGGCTGGGGAAATACCTGCGCGCACGAGGGAGAGGGCGCGGTGGAGGTCGTCCAGCGCAATTCGGTCAGCGGCTAGTGCTGGAGGGTGAGATGCCGGAGGAGTTGGATGAAGAAGAGGCAGCGGAGATGCAGAAGAGGTATGCGCGGAGGCAGCTTGGGACGAACGCAGATAGGTATAAGGAGCTCGAGCCAGAGCTAGACTCGGAAGGTGCGTGTTGCACGTATTATGGCTCAACGGACCTGGATGATTCCTGGGAGCTGAACCATGCTGCACTGTTGTGTAGGCGAGGAAATTTTGGAACCCGAGGTCGATTTGTCTACATTCCTCGAGCGTCAGCGACTGTCACCACAAGAGTCCTCCGCGCCTCCACCACCCGAAGACGACCCAGAGATAGACGCGAGCGTCGCAAACATCCTTCCGGGACGACAAGGTGCAGCAGCTCAGTCGAAGAAGGGGAAGGTACAGCAAGTCGAGTGGGATGAATCGTTGGAGGAGCTGAGTAGGGAAAAGGCAGCGGCTGAGGCGAAGTGGGGTGAGTTCAGTTCCACGTCGTAAACGAGGGCGAGCTAACGGCCGTTATGGTTCGCCACCGCAGACTTGAAGTCACGCTTCCGTGCTTCAGCAGCAAAACAACGAGGGGCACCAGCCACAACAAGCAGATGCATGGGCCGGGGCAGACAGCACGGTATGTCGATCGGAGTGCCTCTCATACTTGAAAGCCCACTTATAAGTGGCCATATGCGCAGACCGAGTCGTAGAAGCACCACCACTTCCGACAGAGCAAAAGCCACAGAAGTCCGGGAAAGAAGACATGGAAGATTTCCTGGACGATCTACTTGGATGACGTCTGTCCTTCACATTCTTCGTCCACTACTTCGCTCGGCTCTCGCATGAATCTCGCCTTTCTCTTCCTTCGGGCGGACGATGACACAGAAGTGCGTCACCGAGCGCGTCGTGAATGTCATTCAGCGGGCTCTGCCCAGTCTACGATACAGAGAAGACGGCGACATGCAATCCAGAATCATAAGATAACAGCAAATCGGGGTGGCGCAGACGCGATTACGGTGCAGCTAGTACAGTTGAAGAAGAGGCAAGGGGAAAATGCTGGGGTATGGTGTTTGATGTTAGTGATACAGTGGGGAGTCGGAGAGCAAACCAAGCAGGCGGAAAACGAGCAATAACGATACATCAAACCAAGTCGAGGGAGACGGGCGCGACGTAGCAGTGCGGGGGCGTATCCGGAGGCGTAGCGGAGGACGTGGGCATGGCGGCATTCAAGAGGACTCGGCGACCTCGGTCACCTCCCGGTGCATCGTGACTTGTATTGCGGCGCTCTTCGCCGCTATCGTCGAAGGCGAGGCCGGATCGCCGATGGAAGCGAACGGTTTGTGGTACCGCGGGACGACAGTGGACACGGTTAAGGGATAGGAGGGCGTCTCGGGTGATAGGGGAGGCGCGGCGGCGAACTTGAACCTCCCGGACGGCGCCTTTGGTGTGGCGGTCATCGCGGATTCGGGGAAGGACAAGGTGGCGGATGTAGCGGCAGGAGAGTCGGCGGGCTTGTCGGTGCCGTAGACGGTGGTTGAGCTGAGAGACTCAGCGGCTTTCTCTATGTCGTAGTCGACATCGATCTCGATGACGCTGTCAAGGAAGGAAGATGAGAAGGATCTTGGTCGCTGCGGACGCTTGGATTTCCTAGGGCTGTAGGGCGGCAACGTTTCCTCGGAGGGCGATGGGCTTTCTTTGTTACTTCCTAAACTGTGGCGACACCATCAGCTCGTCGAACGGAGAAGATGCCTCCAGGAGTACTCACCGGAAGGCCTTAAACGGCGACGTCCTCGCCTTTCCTGAGGACAGCTCGAAGCCCAGACGTTTCGCTATAGCCCTGAATGCGAGCTTGTAATTCCGCCGCGCTTCCTCGGCGAATCCGAAGAGAGAGAAGAACAGGAATGCGGAGCATGGGTATATCCAACGGCCCATCTCCACGGAGATATAAAACGGACGGCTGAACATCCAGGCGAGAGCAGGGAACTTGCCTACGTAGGAGAAGTCGTAGTGCGCGTTCGCCCAGGACACGTAAGGAGCGACAGGCACGTCGCCATTGTTGATGACAATGCTGAAGACGCCTAGGGGAATGGTACACGCCATCTCGACACAGCAGAGTAGCATCAACCGGAAATACCGGCTCCTCGTGAGGGCGCTGCTGGATGAGAGCAGCTGGCTGAATTCTGCTCGCCGCCGCCAGAATGCTCGAAGGGTCAGACCTTTGAATTCACGGTGAGTCGCGAATCATGGGTAGAAAGCGGAATGGGCGTACTAGCGTATACAAATGATACACAGCCTAAAACGACTGGCCACATGAAGACGAGGGGATATGCCGGTGGTGTGTTCCAAATATCTGGCATGCATCCAACGTCTTCAAAGATATTGTATCTGTGGCCTGATTATGTTGTGAGTATCATCCTCCGTCACCAAGCCATATTGCTGCTTACCTTGCACAATGACATCTATGCGTTCAAGAAGCGGGTGTCAGATACAGTGCGTGCAGTACACAAGCGGCCGACCCACGTAGTATCATTACAAGGACCGGGATACCGATCGCTATTGCCATGTCTTCGAGAACAGCGCGACGTTTCTACAAGAACGATCAGCATTGCAATGCATGGACACTATAAGCAGCTTACCTCATTTCGCGTGATCGTCGCAGTGGTCATTGAAGATATCCGGTAGAGCCGTCTATTGATGCAGAGAGACGATGCAGGGATGCCCACACCTGCACCGATGAGGAATTTCGTTGCTAATCAATGTTAGCCCATGCATTGGACATAATCATGACATCGTCACTCACAGATGTCGCACCAGATCGGTGCGGGGTCGCTGACGCTACCGTTCCAGACAATGGAATCTACGAAGACAACGAGGCTTGCAAGAGATACCCAGATCATGTAGAGGCAGGTTCCTGCGTTCCATCCTTGCAAATGCCACGGTATGGGTATCAAGCCGACGACGAAACCCAGGAAAGCGAATATCGGAAACAGAGGATATGTCGTATCGCCCATATTGACAAGCTGAAAGTAGTAGGGGAGTGGGAGAGGAGTGTGTAAGACAGGGAATTGGCGCGTGCGTTCCTTTATTAGGTTCTGGAGACTGCATGGTTTACTGAACAATGGAGCGTTCAAGTTCAAGCACAATAATGGGCGCCAATTGATGCTGGACGCAAACCGCGTTGCTAAGCGCCCTTTCCTAATCTGGATTACAATGCTGAGGCTCAGCCACAATTGAGCCACAGCCCGTCATTTCATCGAAATTTTATCCGTCGTCGCGCCAAGGAATCTTGGTAGGCTCGTGAATTGGCTCTCTACATGTCTACAGCATTCCATATACTGCTCAACTTGGGATCCCGCGGATCGGTGGGCGCAACTACGGTTTAGTGCAGACTTCGAGACTTGCCTATTCAGGATCAGGCCTTAGGATTGACCCTGATTGCGTTACTGTACGTCCATTGTCCTCCGTTTTTGGATCATCGTTCACAATGACAGTCTACATCGGCGATCCAAATATTTGTGCCCCTTCTACATTCCATATCTCTTACCATATCTATAAAGAGCGTCGCCTGTGCCCACGCTTCCCGCATCCCAAAGTCTACAAACCACCCTGCATCCGCTACAGTCGAAAGCGTTGATCGTTGGCACGCCGTCACTGATCAGACTCATCTGCCACAATGGACGACCTCGCTTCACTCGAATACATCCTCTGCTCCGCACCGTGTGCAGGAGACGACTCCCTGGACTGCGTCATCCCGGTTGACCAGGAGCACATTGGAAACAACAACTCGTACTCGTGGTGTACTATCGTGTAAGAAGTGGCCTCGCCGCTAGCCGGTACGTCTTCTGCTCATAGTCATTCAGACACCCTGCTCAACGCCTGCTATTCAGCAGCAGGCATTGTCTCCGCAGACCCAACTGCTACTTGTATCGATATTTCCCCCAAGCCGTCCGTTATGCTGTAGCCCATACTAGATGATACCATCTTGCCTCCATCCTTCGATGTTTCGTGTCTCCTCCCTCTTTCCAACATCAGTCGTATCTGGACAACTGTCCATCCATTCGTTCACGTCCCTTCGCGTTGTACAACCGCCCTTCAATTATTTGTTCGCTTTCTCGAGTACTCACACTGCCGCCGTTATGTAATTCTTGAAAGTCTTGACAACCACCTTGTGTGTGGAACGCCGGGGCCTCGTTGAACATGCAGGCCACGCGTCTCGAGATCGTGTACACAGTGGGATGCGTAGGTATGTCATCACACAATTGCTGACCAGCGGCTTGACACATCCCGGCCAACTGGCTTTGGCCGACAAAAGGAATGCTAGCCAAAGAGAGTTCGATACAGGAGCGGACGCAGTCGTTTGCGTGGCATTATTTTAACTTGGGAAGAAGAACTTGTGTCAATGGGCGCGTGAGCAGTAGTGGTACAGCCTGAGCGGGTGTGTTGTGAGCCCATGGAGAGTAAACATATACCGACAGATGCATGAGTAGACAGAAATCAATACTGCGCTAAATAACCGACACTCCACTGGCACGTAGACAACGTTCAGACTCTTGGCGACGACGTGCATTCGCAGTCCACGATGTAACGTCCGACCGCCGTGCCGCAGGCGCAGAGCTGCCAATGATACGTAGGCGACGGGTGGGCGATGGCATTGTTACTTGAGATACTAGCGTCCGGCCAGCTGCAGGGGCATAGTAGCAACCGGCTTCTCAGCTACTCAGCGAGGTATGGCTCAGAAGCATGATTGTCGATGGGCCCCGGGATTGCGCTGAAAGTGATAGACAGACACATACCCTACGTACTGGACTGACAGGGTGTAGCCGAAGCACATCGTATACAACATGGGTCTTGACTAGTGAGCCCTCGCGGACTGCAACCCTACCTTGTGATCATCTCCTAAGAATAAGTTAACGAGTGACGCAACACTCGGAGACCGAGAAACCTGCTCACCATTTCTGCACCTCAGACCGGATGGACGAAATAACTCCATGACATGAGCAGGCATGCATAACGAGTTCCTTTGTACGCACTGCCTCAGACTTGCCTTGAGGCTGGCTGGACGTGAGTAGCACTGAAGACGCAGCTCACGCAGTCAGGAGCCTACGCCGAAGCCCAGGCTACTGCCTCGTATCTTGCACAAGACACCCGGGGTCGGATAAGTATGTTCCGAGGACGAGCTTTGTACTGGCATTATGTCATTCCGAACGAGTACTGAGTACACAGAGATCAGCACTTCATCAAGCAGCAAGAGTAGTAAATACGCGACGGGGACTTATTGTACGAGTGAGTCAAAGACCAAGCGCGGCGGACGACACCGCGTCGTCCGCGTCCAGTCCAGTAGGGATACAGCAGTAGACACCGTGGCTAGAGGTACATATCTGCAAGGCTGCAACGCGTTCAGCCCCGTTGAGCCCCGAACGTCCGGGTCATCATTCAAATGGTAAGCGTAAGTCAAGCGGCGCGTTCGGTGTTGACGAGGAGTAGTACTTGCCCTACGTTCAAGTTGACGGGGCATGGCGCCGCCGCCGAGGCCTGGGCGCGGTGGGAGTGGCCGCCCGGCGAGCTGGGGGAGCGGTAGTGGTACGCCGGCGAGGGCGCCGCGATGGGCGAGCTGTGGGCCGCGTGCGTGGAGACGGGCCGCTCAGCGGGGTGAGCGTCGGCGACCTCGATGCGGTGGCCGAGCTCGGTAGGCGAGCCCGGCGAGGGCACGCTGGAGCGGATGGACGGGCACCGCGCGAGGAGGGCGTCGAGCTCCGCGTCGCTGAGCATGATCGAGGCGCGGTGGGCGGGGTACGCGCCGACCTCCGCCTTTGCGGGGAACGACGGGGAGCGCGGGGAGCGGGAGGGACGCACGTAGTCCTCGATGTCGAGGGACGCGTCGCGCGGGGCGTAGTACGCGGGGAGCGCCTTGCCGTCGCTGAAGTCGAACGAGGACGAGGGCCGGAAGGAGGACGAGAACTTGGTCGTGCTCAGGGAGGGCCGGCTGTGCGGTGCGCGGGTCAGTCAGTCAGTCGACCATGCAGAGAAAGAGGCGACGTACCCCATCGGGAGCAGCGGCAGCTTGGTTTTGTCGTGTTTGGCGGGGAGCCGAACGACCTTGCGCGCGACCCAAGAGAGCGCCCTGCGGTAGTCCTTGACCGCCTCCTCGCCGAAGCCGAAGAACACGAAGAAGATGAAGGAGGAGGCGGGGACGGCCCAGACGAACAGGAAGGCCTGCCCCCGGGCGCGCGGCGAGAACTCGACGAGGGTGTACTGCCCGATGCGCGAGAAGGAGGAGTGCACGGACGCCCAGCTGGTGTAGGGGTAGAGCCCGGGCGCGATGTTGTCGTACATCGCGAGCGCGGTGAGGGACGCGCCCCAGAGCATCTCCGTGATGGATATGGCGATGAGCCGGAGGTACCGGCTGGTGGTGAGGGCGGAGTCGCAGCTCCGGAGGTGGGTGGCAAAGTTGAGCCGTTGTCTGAAAAAGTGATTAAGGGCGAGGCCTAGGAGAGCACAGTTGAGCACGGCAAGAAGAAAGATACGAGATAGGTTGACGCACCCGCGTAAATAAACGTAATCGTCGCGAAGAGCAGAGGTGGGAACCAGACGATGAATACCGCTGGGATGGAGTAGTAGGTGGCCGCCTGGCAGCCGATGTCTTCGACAATGTCGAAACGATGGCCCTGGACGATATAGTCTGTACACGGGTCAGCTATAGTAGGTTCCGAGAGAGGTAGCACGCACGCAGAGCCATGAGCACCACCGGTGCCCCGAAACACATCGCAAACTCGAAGCACATCCTCCGCCGCTGATCCTCGCGAGTCAAGCGCACCGCCCGCCCGGACGCGACTAGCTCGAGATGCTTGCAAATGCACATCGCCGCCGCAGGCAGCGCAGAGGAGGCTCCAATAATAATCTTTGTCGCTAGATCGGGCAAACGTTGGACGTCAGACACCGTTGAACGACGGTGGAAGAGAGACGTACTAATGTCGCACCAGACGACCAAACGAACCTCGACGTTACCAGACCACACTATGGTGTTCACGCCATAAATGAGGTCGACCACAACTAGCCAGGCAATGAGGGACAGGATAGCGACGTTCCGTGCACGCCAGTGCGCCGGCGAGGGTATCAAGACCAGGATTGCGGCAATGAAAGCGCCAGCAGACAGTGTTGCAGGCATAGCGGAGAGGACTGTGCCTTCGCTGTGTCAACGCCTGGCATGGTCGCGCAATAAATGGACGCATGTTGACGCTGTAACGAGTTGTGCACCGTTTGCACACCAACAAAGCCGGCGCAGACTATTGACACACGGGCGCTTGTCTGCGCAGGACCCCTCTCCGCTTTCGGCAGTGCACTTTCTATTTTGGGAAACCAAAGGCCACCGCACCTCACTGTCACGAACATTATTGTTCTAGTCACAGTAATCGGTAGGACGAGCCTGTCGACTGTGCAAATACTAGTCTGCTTCTTCACACACAAGTTATCACTCTGATTGTGTTCGCAAATTCGCCGATATTTGGTATAATGACCGTGACAGCCCATGCTGATACACGGATCTAGTATGCACTAAGGTTACATCAAGGGTATCATAACCCGCGGAGGGGTAAGGGTATACAAGTAGTCTCCAGAGTCAATGTAACTTCCATAGCTAAGGATACAGTATACCGAGGCGCTGTATAGACCATAATCAGTCGGAAGTTTGTGAGCAGTGACCGCGAAAGCTTACAGAAATTATATGGCGTAGACGCTACAGACTAGGCGAGATACTAAGCATTATCTAGCTTTAGTAATCTACAGATGCTTGTCATTCAGCTCTCTTATTGCCACAAGTGAAACGGTGTACTTACCATGGAATGATTGACTACGCAATAACGCAGTACTCGCCAGATCGTGGTTCTACGGAGTCCTGATCAACAGGGAGGTCGTATTTGACGGACATGGTGGGCGCGTCATCCATGCCAGGAAAGGCAAGAGTGAGGTCGTATAGCTCGTCCATTGCACGGTAAGGTTAGACGGTGGCTGGCGGTGGAAGTGCGTGATGATGGTGATGCGCGGAGTGGGCAGCGGACTTGGGCGATGGATCTTCGGTTGCAAGCGCGAGCATCAGTCCGCACGGTACTTATGCTCGACGCGTGACCCTATTGTTTGGGTGTGAGGTGCATAACACCGCACACCATTGTCTGCATACTACGGGGGAGGATGAACAACCACGCTCACGTACGCCCTGCAGGCTCAAAGACAATGACCCCGCGGACTTATTGATCTCCAAAAGCGTCTGCGCGTATTTCTCAGGCCTGAAGCTCAAAAGCTCGTGCTTCAACTATCCTCACATCGACTTAGAGCATCCAACACTTGGAATCGCCACCTCTCACTTCGTTCGTTCCAATCACTGCATCTGCCATGGACGCATTTTTCGACATTGTTATCCCCGAGACCTCCCTCCTCCGATGCCCAGACACCGACACCAGACCTGCAGACATCCCCGTAGACATGGATCACTCCGGCTCAGGCAGTTCGTCCATATTCTGCACTATTGCGTAGCACCACCTCCAGTGTACGTGCCCGGAGGTGAGCTTCCACATCCTCAAGCGCCAACGGACGTGCTGATGTGGACTGGCTCGTAGCGCGTCACCAATTATTCGACTTCTCACCGTACGGCACACGTCGTACGCTTTCGTACTAATGGTCAAGGACGTGAGTGCGACTCTTGATACGATATGGCGGTTCGCTCACCAAGCTGGCCCCGAGCAGGTGCTTCCAAGTCCGCATACCCCGTTCAACTCATGGTCCCTCCACGAGCGCCCCACAATCTCCAAGTTGTAGCATGTTGTTCTAGAGACTCGAATTGTATCGATATTGTTTCAAATTCCTTTGGCTTCTTACGGAAACCAGTCTGAGGCGTCGTCGGCGACGACATGGAGACAATGATAATAGTGTCGCCGTAAGTCACAACCGAGAAGTACGCGTATATGTCGGTTCGGTGAGCTTGAGTCATAAAGGGTACAATGGTGGTGCCATCCAAGGCAGAATGGTGAACCATGAACGTCATGCACTCTCCGCGGCGCGCCAGGGCGGTAGTAGATGATGGTGAGAGTTGGGTGAGAGTGCGTCGCCACGAACTTCGTCACAGTGGTTACCCTCGCAATGACATATTCAGCCGTATAAGGACGCGGCCGGTATGCCGACTGAAGTAGCAATGACAACCCGCGTCGCTGAATCAAATGGTTAGAAGCACGTCGAATGATCACCCAGAGGTTGTACTCACAAACATCGCGCTAGATAGGCGTGGAATCAAAGGCGTTGTTGACCCCGACCGGGAGGTTCACGAACTTCTTCAGACAGGTTAGATATGCACAAAATATATCATAGCATGCAGCCAAATTGAGGGCCTCAGGATGCCACGGCAAGGACACAGTTGCTTTGCTATCCTTGCAGAGTTGATGATGTTGCCGTTGTGCGAGACGCTCTGAGCTCTGAGCCTGAGGCCGACCGTCGCTTCACAGACTTGGTACATGATGCATGATGCACCAATTCTCCCTCGAGACATGACATGTTACCGCAGCTAAGGAAAGTAAGTTAAAGATAAGATGTACAGGCGCATTGGAGAGTACAGTCTAGACAGAGGAGGCAAGAAGCTCAGTCGACCGTGACGGCGACGCCGGATAGCGCCGCGCCACACTTGCATACACTTGCCATATCGGGAAGCATCTCATTGGCGGGCGCCAGTGACAACAGACATCCGAGTCTTTGTTCGCCCAAAACGACCATCTATAACGACATGCTCTCAGATATGAGCATGAACCGGCCATCTTTGTTGCTCAGATGTGCCCGCTCTCTACCACTAAACACGAACGATGCAGGTCGGACTCCCACTAGGCTCATTCGCGGCCGCTGTTCTTGTCATCATCCCTCTACCCGCACACGTTAGAGCGCGAAACGTAGCAACCATCGCCATAAGCTTGTGGTTGTTCGCGGTGAACCTGGCGCAAGGAATAAACACTCTTGCCTGGGCTGACAACGTCGAAGTCAAACATGTCGTTTGGTGCGACATAGGTGTGTTTCTACGGTATCGGGCCTCATCGCTTTGACTCACCTTCATCTCGTTTCCGCTCAGCGACGCGCCTCTTCATTGGATCAAACATTGCACTTCCAGCAGCATGCCTTGCGCTATGTATGCATCTGGAGCGCATCGCGTCTGCACGAATGGTTCAGATCACCGAGGCAGATAAACGTAGACGGATGTTAATAGACTCCGTACTCTGCTTCGGACTGCCTGCCGTCTACATGGGCCTATGTGAGTAGCCCCCCTCTCGTCGTCGTCGTTGACTCATGTTTTATTAGACTACGTTGTACAGGGCCACAGATTCGACATCATTGAGAATCTAGGCTGTAGACCGGAGACGTATGTCTCCATCCCCGAGTTTTTCCTCATACGGTTTCCGCCTATACTCCTGTCCCTTGCGACGCTCGTCTACGCAGGTAAGTTCAATTCTGAGACCAATATCACGTCATCTCACCCGACTCGCAGCACTTACCTTCGCACATTTCTTCCGTCGACGAGCAACGTTCGCGAAACACCTACAAAGCAATTCATCCGCGTTAACGCCTTCTCGCTACTTCCGCCTCATGGCAATGGCCCTCGTCGAGATGTTCTGGGGTCTCCTTATCACGGCCCTCAATACCTGGTTCTCCTACCGCGACGGGCTGCGCCCGTGGATCAGTTGGTCCAACACGCATTCCGACTTCTCCCGTATCGGCCAATTCCCCACGGTTACGATACCTCAGCAAACTCTCGTCATGGCGTACTTCCTCTGGTGGGCTGTGCCCGTCTCAGCGTACCTATTCTTCATATTCTTCGCGTTCGGTCAAGATACCGCGCAATCATACATCGCATGTTGGGAGTGGATCCGGCGCTTCCTTCCTCGGTGGATGCGGCCACGACCGTCCAACGACAAAGTCAAAGTCCTCGCCTCTCTTCCTGTATTCAGGTATGCTCAGTCGTCACACACTGCGTCAGATTACTCACAGTGGCCGTGTCCCTAGACCTTCGCCCGTGTCACCTTCGGATTCTACCACCTTCGTCAAGACTAGTTTTTCTGACGATTCTCTCCGCACGCCTACTCGCCCCGACGCTGAGAAGGGTCCGAGCGTGTGGAATGATAGCCCGCCGTCGTTCAGGACGTCCTTCACTCCTTATAGTGTCCCCTGGAACTCGTCTCTGCCTAGCTATTCCAGCTACCCTGCCCCCAGCGCCTCCAATGGATACCGTCCCAAGCACTGTACAAGCATGCATGCACCTTTACCTCTGACGCCTCCGCCTCGTGCATACCCTCCTTCATAGAGGCTACTCGGCCTCTTACTCCCACCAACGTTCAGCCGTCTACATGCCACGAATCACATGATGGATGAACCACGTCTCGTCTTCTTTGTATCTGTACTTGTAAGTTGTCGAGCGGGTCTTGTAGCAATATTTTATCATATTCGTTCGCTGTGTATGACTTTGAGTTGGGTGAACCTGTGTCGCCGTCAATTTTGCAGCCTCAAGCAACCTTTTCCAGAGTTCAATGAATGGACACGACAAAGCCACCGGTCTTCATGTACAGCTGCGATGCGTAGTGACCCTTAAAAGTCAGAGGTTCTGGATGGCATCCCACAAGAATAACGGTATCACTCGGCACAGACGACGTCCATATACATAGCTGAAGATCATTGGTTATACAGTACGAATACGTTACTAGCGATACAAACGCCACGGGCACAGAGGTAGTAGAATGGAAAGCGTCGTGTAGGTCATATCAAGGGCGTCAGCATTTGTCGTGCGCAGATTGAGTGAAGTCTGTTGGGAACTTGTCGGAGAACGACGAGTCGATGGGGGAAGGGTCGCTGTCGGCGACTGTAACGGATGCCAGGGAGCGCCATCCGGGAGACCAAGCAGGTGGCGTATATGCGGGCAACGATTCCTCTGGGTAGCAGGGGGCTTTCGGCTGCGTGGGGGCATGTTTCCTGTCAACGGCGTGAGCATAAGCGAAGTGCACATTAACGAAAATGACGTACGACTCGCTCCGATGCCTAAAGCCCAACACACGCAGAGCTTGCAAACGAGAGCCAATCGCGGAGTAAATGGCGTAGTAGCGTTTCCGCGCTTCTTCCGCGAAGCCGAAGAAAGCAAAGAATATGAAAGCGCAGGAAACTATGATCCAGCGACTCAGCTGCAGTGGAACGGCGAGGGAAGGGTCAGACGTCCAAAGAATAGCAGCGTATTGATCCACCCGGGAGAAGTCGTAGTGGGTGTTAGCCCAACCCTGCCAGGGGGCGACGCCGCCGAGAGAGTTACAGTAGATCTGGTAGATCCCAAATGGAACAGTGAAGAGAAGCTCTGTCGCAGCCAGGGCCATGAGACGAAAGTAACGACTGCTGGTCAACCCTGTGGTTGCCGAGATGAATTCGCGGAATTGGGCTTGTCGGGCAAGCAGAGAACGTAACGAGAGGACTGAAAAGAAGCTCGTGAGTGCTTCACCCAATCTGGACTCGACATAGACTTACCGCAATACACCGCCGACACCAAGCCGATGGCGACCGGCCACATGTAAACCAATGGATATGCGGGGATAGTGTTATATATCGCAGGATAGCAGCCGAGTATCTCAAAGAGGTTGTAGCGGTGACCCTGCACAATGTACGCTGCTCCACAATCAGTATGAGCGCCGCGTAGACTTTAGGGGAAGGTCACTCACAAAGAGCAATGCAAATCACCGGAAAGAGTACACAGATGAGAGAGTCAATAAGGATGGCGCGCCGTTTCTAGCCAACACCGTCAATTAACGAGAGGATCACACAGATATAAGATGCATACCTCGGATTTCGTCGTTCCCACCGCATGCATACGTGCGATTTTATATAGTCGACGATTGATACAGAGAGAAGCAGCGGGAATACCAACTGATGCGCCAACCGTAATCCTTGTGGCTGAACAACATTCAGCGCCAAGGAGATGACTGAGAGCGACTGAATACTTACAGACATCGCACCAGACAGGCGCAACATCCAGGACGGTATTCGCCCAGATAACGGAATTGATAAACTCGTTAAGGCACGCGAGTGCCGTCCAGATCATATAATAGCAGGTTCCGGAATTCCAGGACTGTAGGTGCCATGGCAGGGGTATCAACGCGAGAACGAACCCGACGAAAGCAATGACGGGATACAGAGGATATGTGGGGTCGGCGGCCATCGCCAGAGAGTACTCGATGGATAGTTTAACCGGTGAAAGGGGGGGCTTGGGCTGAACGCGCCACTGCCGCCAGGTGGGTTAAAAGACGGTTCGCCAGGACAATGCAAGACATGGGCGCTTCAAGCCACAAAGGACGATCAGAGAGTCACGTGATCCGCCCACCATCCTTTATTCGGGGCACAATGGTCTCTGGCCTCATTGAGCGGCCGGAACACGCTTATGGCATGAGTTAATCAGCGAGGGAGAGCGTATAAAGGACGGAAAGGGAGACGCACCTTGCCCGCCCCAAGAGACCCTAGCGACTTCCGCGTACCTTTTTGACCCACTCAAACTGCTCACATGGATTCTTTGGACACGCTCGATACTATCCTCTCACTTGAGGCATCCCTCGCCGACTTTCGTCAACAGTCGGAAGACGAACCCGTCGTCCCAGTGGACTTCGAGCACAGCGGTAGTGGCACAGGCTTCTACTGTGTCATTTCCTAAATGCCGCAATAACCAACGATACCGTGAGTGGCCCAGCTTCCAACAATTGTAAGACATATCGACCTACGATGCTTCACCAGCGGGACCATTTGTCCCACTTCCGGAGTCACCGAAAGAAGACCAATGTAGCCGCTTACACCTGTATCCTGTGAGTGCGCCCTCGGACATCGGGCTGCCCTCGCAAACTGACAGCTCCCCAGTAGCCTATTTATCACTTTTGGAGGCCTGTACTCCTACTCACTTTCGACTTTCTGCCGTCATGACCCTTGATAGTGGTCGCCTATTACCTATTGATCGTGTTGTAAGCCTCCGTACCAGTAACCAGTTGCATTTTGTGGGGATACGATATGCGTTCATAGCCGCTGAGGTTGCCCACGCTCAATAAGAATTGAACGTCGCCCCAGTATGCTGAGCCAATATGGACGCCGCTGAGACTCGGACATCTGAATGTTGACGTTGAACGTTGTACACTTGGCTGAATTCTTCGAGCGTGCGGATGACGGCCGACGAGGACCATATGATGCAAAGGGGTGTCTGGTCGCCTCACAGTTGTGTATAACTTTGAAGCTCTAGATTATTGTTTCACGGCTGAGAGTGCGCAGTGTCGACGACGAGAGTTCAAACGTTCAGATCGTTCAGATGCCGAAGAATCCATGAGCGAGCGTGAGAGGTCGTGGCGTCAAGCAAGCCGGTCACAACGACAGACGCCGATCAGGATTGTGGCGGGATTAGACGGCCCGGGGTGGCTGACCCCCTCCCCCTCCCCCGCAGCGCAATGGAGCGCATACACCTAGTACATAGTAGTAATAGCCTAACTTAGTGGTAGTTCAAACGTCTGGTACTGGTCCGGCACAGCCCGCATACCTGGACTACTCTCAGGGTACTTACCGTCCACTCCGAGTCGGATGAGATGAGACGACACAGCCGTGGCATAGTGCGGAACGCCACTGGTAGTACTTATGTATATGCCGCACATGACTGACTGGGTGCCAGGGCGTCGTACTTGCAGGAAGCTACATATGTTGCAAAAATATCGATAGGAGGCGGGCTTGGGTTGAGCTCGTTGGCATTGTTTCTTCCAGTGAGAAGGAAGGTCCTGCATACTTCAACCTTTCTCGACTAACAGTGCGGAGACAAAAGGAGTACGAACGGAAGCTGAAATGAACAATAGAGGGTTTGCGTCAAGACCTGAATCAGAAGGCGCCCCCTTCCACACCAGAGAACAGAGCGTAAAGACCATAGCATGACGGTGAAGCCCATATATCAAGTTCGAGGCGAAGTTATAGATACAGCGAGTTGTGTTACAGCGAGGGAATCTGTACATCGAACGAGAGCAGCCATTGAGGAATCTGTGTGGCGGCGCACAGAGAAGACCAGGACGATATGAGCCAGAGGTAATCAGAGAGCATGTCTAACCGAACCACGGCCAGAAAATTGAACAGACGGTGGAGACGGGCGCGAGGAAGAGCGAACAAACGAAGTGTACGAATACGGCCTGTCGGGGCAAGTGAAACTGTTGCCAAGGGAATGGCACAAAGGTGGCAACGTAGGAGGGTTTCGGTTCTCAAAGAAGCTGGCGTTCTTCTCCGCAGAGATAGGCGTAGTTGGTTCGCTTGTGGGGAAGGTGCTCTTTGATGAGCTGGAGAACTTCGAGAAAGGACTCGTGGGCATCCTACAGATGGATATCAGCGGAGGCGGTAAGAGACATCTGCGGTCAATATTCACCTTGCCGAAGGAAGAGAAACAAAGTCAGAAGGAGCCTTGCGGTCGGTCTGCCTCTGCCTAAGCATGACTCTCCGTACCCATGCAACGCAGGCACCATACTCCATCACCGCATCACGTCCGAACGCAAAGAACGCAAAGAACACGAACGACGACACCGGCACGATCAGCCAAATCACGTAGTAATACGTGAGCGCCAGCTGCGGCGTCCCGAACATGGCATACTGGTCGATCGCGGAGAAGCCCCAGTGCACGTCCGCGAAGCTCGTCCACGGGCGGAGGCTGAGCGTGGAGTACCACAGCGTGATGGATGTGGAAATCACGCCGATGAACATCAGGATGGTGGACATCAGATGAGGCGCATGTACCGCGAGGTGGTGAGCCCGCTTCGTGAGTTGGCGAGGTGCTTGGCGAAGGTGAGGCGGCGCTGGATGAAGTGGTGTAGCGCGAGGGCTGGTGGCGGGAGGTCAGTTAGTATCTCGTAGAGGGACGTGGGGCTTACCGGCGAAGACAAAGGAGATAGCGGAGAGGATGAGTGGCGGGACCCAGAGGAGAAGCATGGAGGGGACGGAGACGTATGTACTGGGTCGGCAACCGTAGCCTTCAATGATGTCGAAACGGTGTCCTTGGACGACGTAGTCTGTAGGCCAAGTGAGAGACGTAACAGTGAAGGACGATGGATACAACGTACGAAGAGCCATCCAAACCGCAGGCAGACCGAAACAAATGAGGCCCTCGAAGACCTGCCTCCTTTGCTTGGTGGCAGTTGATATCCTCGCATCGCGGAGAGACGCGACTTGTTCGAGGTGGATACAAATGCACATGCAGGCAGCAGGTAATGCCATATTTGCACCAATTAGAATCTTCGTCGCTGAGGGTCACCGTAATCAGCCTACACCACACCACATAGTAGGACAGACTTACTGATGTCGCACCAGACGGGAATGACGATGTCTACATTGTCCGCCCAGATGACAGCGTCGACGCCATAGATCGTATTCACGACAAACAGCCACGCAATAATCGAGAGTGTGGCAACATTACGGGCTCGCCAGTGCCAAGGGAGAGGAACCAAGACAAGGGAGGCGGCGATGAAGGCAAGATAGGGCAGCTCGGGATGCATCAGGGAGTCGATGGGGTACTAGCGGGCGAGGGCAAAGAGAGGCTGAAAGTGCATATAGTATGTTCTGGGGCATCCTCGTAGCAGAAGTGCACGCACGAGTTGCCGCTGGGCAGGAAGGGCGAACAAAGGGAGAGTGTAAATCCATAATGGGGTGGAGGAAGAGGACAAAAGGCGTCCATGATCGTTGCATGATCGGGCGGCTCCTCGGCGGCGCTTGATACGTCTGTGGCGCTGGCTGCCACAGCCTACAGCCTACGTTCCATCACTCAGTTACTGTCGCATTGTCATGCCTCCTTCAGAAACAACACTCGCTGTGGATGCCAGTCCTGCTGCGATCGCAAGCGATGTGTATGCTAAACAACTCCTCAAGCTCGCGCTGGGCTATCCTATGTGGGACCCGGAGCCGAAGCACGGGCAAGGCGACATACTGATCGGCGATGTTGGATATATTGTTCAGGGAGGCTTTTACCGCCTCTTCAATGCGACGAGGGAGGCCGAGGACAGTATACAGATTGCCGTCCCTCCGAACTTCAAGAAACTCCTACTCGGCCCGGTACCAATCGCTTCATCCAACAATGTTATTGACAGAGGTCCCCTCTTCAGCCCGACTGTCCGTCGTATCGAGGTAGGAGGTGGAGCTGGATCGTAAGTGCGTTCTACCGATGGGAGTCGCACTCAATTCTGTTCATACTCTCGACGTCAGAGGCGCGTTGCGATGCGAATGTACCGACAAACACGGCGCATTGGTTTCCTCGATACCCCCGGAAAGCGTCAACTCGTGCAACAGAATCGCCTGGTGGCCAGATATATGAAGGAGAATATAGATGCCTGGCACGACTGGGCAACCTCAGATGAGGTAGACCTCCCCATCGCTATCGAAGACATACTCCTCGTCCGAGGGTGGGTCAAAACCAGTCGTTGGGCCGTCGTAGCCTTCCTCGATGACAGCCGGCACACGAAGCTTACCTTCAGCGGCGATCTGGGCGTCCCTGTCTCTAACGCCTTTCGCATTGAGACGCAGAGAGAGACAACAACCGCTACATGCCTTCCCAGGATAGGGCCAGAAAGATTCCCCAGAACAAACACGACCGAGCCTCTGGGACCTTACCAGCTCCCCCATGTCCAGGAGCAGTATCCTTCCGACCAGTGCGTGTTCCTGCACTACTTCAAGATGGCGAAACGTCTACTACTGCCGTCGAAGATCGCAGCGGCCGCTGAACCTCGGGATCCGTCAGTGGACCGCGACCCAGGCGACAGCCCGACGGCCAAACAGACCTCGTCGCGAGTGAAGGTGAGGACGTGCGCTTGTGTCTCTAACTTGTCTAATATGCCGGTGTTCTCGTGGAAGCCATACGACCCAGTCAAATTTGTGTTGGACTATATTTTGGAGGTGAGCGTTTCCGTTGCACGCGTGTTTTGGTCTAGCTCACCGTCGATGACAGCACTCCGATGCGGCCGTCGCAGTTGCGAGCGACATAGACCTCATATGGTATGCGAGGTATGGAGGGCACTAGTCAGCGTAACCTGCACGGTGATTGACGAAGATTATGATCAGGCTCGACGTGAGAATAGCGGCAACAGCGTTGAATACCCCATTCCCGATGACATCCCCCGATTTTTGGAGGAAGTGCAACCTCCGATCGAGGTGACTGAGGATGGCCGTGAGTAACTAGTAAACAGTGTTCTATGGCGATGCCTGCTCACGAACGGTTTTGTAGTTGGCTTCCTACTGCTTGACGAAGGGGAGCCCGCGAGTTATCAGCGTGCAGCTGAAGCGGATGACGATCTGCCTGCAGCGAGAGAAATCATCCCGCCTGCCGTGTCCTCTCTCGACGACGAGCTGTCGATATATGCAGGTGCGCAGGGTGATTCAGCACTCGGCGCCAGTGGCTGCGTGGCGCACGCCAACGGGAGTTTCAACGTCTGGGACAGGGCGGTGAGGTCAAAGGACACGTATTCTAATTGGTACCACGACTGTGATCGCGCTTACTCCACAAGCGAAGGAGCTACGTACAGACGGGGAACCCCCGTTCTGACAGTGGCGGGTTGAGCGTAGTAGTTATGCGTCGGACTGAGGTTGAGATATGTGCGTTGAAATACTACTCCTGGTAGTTTCTGTTATCTATGAGGTTATGAGGGCACTTGATGTTGATATGTATGTACTTAAGGACAGAGAGAGCCACTTGTCACTGGCACGATACTTACGCGAATCGTCACGGTAGGCTGTTGTATGTGATTTCTAGCTGTCTTATCTGAAGGCTGCATACAGCCAATCTGTGGGAGTGGACATGGTACGCTCGCCGGAATGTCGAAGACATGGTGGCATGTCAAAAGAAAAGTAGATGGTGCAAGATGTGTTCGAACGAGTTCGAGCAAGAGTAAGGGAGCACACTGATCCTCCGATTCGGGCGTTCGACGCGTCTGTGGCTTCCTCCGCGCGCGCCAAACCCAGTCAGCGCGTGCGACCTCCGACTCGCGTCGTCCACGGACGGTCGCAGGCTCATTTGGCACATCCTCAAAATGTTCGCATAGGGCAGACTCAGCTCCCAGCTCACTCGTTGTCGTGCTATGTCGTCGCAAAGATGGCCGGCTTCAGCATTTTCGGTCGTCCAGGCTGTCGCGACTCTCGCCCTGCCCGTATATGCTCAAACGCAGACCCCTCTGCGTGGTGCGTCGTTCTACGACGGGACGGCCGATTATGCCATCACCTCTGAACTCTCTGAGTTCATCGCCAACCTCATGAACTCGTCCGGCATCCCGGGCATCTCCCTTGGTATTGTGCATGCTTCCGGCGATAGAGAGAAGCCAGAGGTCGAGCTGAAGTCATAGGGCCGTATGACGTGACTATGGCGACGGAAGTGATCTACCTCCTGCCGTGAGTGGTTGACTACTCTGCTCCTTGCCTCGGAAGACTCCTGCGAGCTAGTCTTATGCTTGCGTGTGCTACACCGCATGCTCGATTTACGTCGCTATATGCGCCTTCTTTGCTAGCCGATCCGTATATTCTCTTGCTGTACTGGATGCCTCTACGTAGGGGTTTACAGTGCGTGTGATCTCACATTCGTGCTGGCTTGTCTCTGCTGCTACCCTCTTGAATGAGATTCGTCTTTGGACGGACCTAAGCGGGAGCGCAGGTTGGTAGGAGGATCGGATCCTCTCTTGCATCTTGCAGAATGACTCAAAGCACGCATCTATCGAACCTTATGTCCTCGCCTCCTTACGTACGGGAGGCGATTTCGTACCGAACAAATTATCATGCAGATACAGACATTGGACAGCACCCCGCTCGCGAAAAACCCCAGCCAATCTTGTAGGCAAACACGATTGTATCGTAAAGCACACCCAGTAGGCCCGTACGTATCAATACTCCGAGACCATAGCTTACAAGAAGATCACGAACAGCTGCACCGAGAACAAGAGGACAGTATACGAGAATCAGCCCATCGCAATACAAGAAATAGTCCATGCATCGAGAGATTCGGTCACGGATCACAGCAAGCGGTCCAAATGGTCCGCCTGCAGTGGACGTCACCATTCGGCAATGAAACATGATAGTCTATCCAGCGACGCACGGCGTACGCGTGAAACCGCCATCCTTCCTCCCCATCAGCTGTTGTTCGCATTCTGGCTCACCGACTCGGAATCCAACTAGGACGGTTGCGTGGGTGTGTTGCTCGGTTCAGGTAATCCCTCCTGACTAGGGTGCGCGTAGCCGCCTCGCTGTCCATCCACGTCCTGGACCGCGCTTCCGACCTCCTCGCAAGGACCTTCGTCCGCGCCCGCACCTTCCTCAGCTACACCCGAATGCGGATCGGTGTCAAATGATGACTGCACTGACTCGGTTTGGGCAACCTGAGCACCCTGCCCTTGGGGCGATTCATCAAGCGTTGTCACGGTCACCGGCGGTGCAGTGTCCGTCGCACCGGGTACATCTGGTGCTGAGTTCGAACTGGCTCCTACGGGTTGCTTCTCAATGTCGGGCTCCTGCGCTGTGGATCCCTCGAGTCTATGTACTGAGTCAACGCTAGAGCAAGCTCGTCAGCGATGATGAGTGGAATGCGAACTCCTTTGCAGTGCTTACATAGACTGGGTAATAGATCGTGTTGGACTGCCGTTTGCGTCTCCGGTGGGTCCTGCTCGTCCCAGCATCTGATGTAGGCCCTGGGTCAGCTGTGTGCGGGGAGTCGACCTGTTGACCGCCTTCGTTCTGAGATCATATGGAGCGCATTCGAGCCATTCTTCCCTGTTGCAGTGTCAGTGTATCTTCACATCCTGAGTATCCGAGTCGAAGATGACTGACCAGCCTTCTGTGTCTATGCCAGCAGCGCTTATGTGACCTCGTGTCCAACGCCCGTATGCTTGAAGGTCAATGCTGAACCCTTGGACCATCCCTGGCGGTGTCCATCTATCGCATTCAAGCAGCCACTGGAGTCGCCGCGCGATGCAATTTGTGGACATGATAACAATCCGGCGAATCTCGGTCGTACTCGAAAACCTATGGATGTCACTTAAGGTCATGCGATCCAACACCCAGTCGAGTCTGTATATGACTGCGGGAGGAAGGTGTTCTATAGCGTCTTGCATGTCCTTGCGGTGGAGGGTAGCCAAGCATTCGTCGAATCGCTGGAGCATGTCGGCCAGGTAAGCTCCACTCGACGGCTCGCCTGGCAAGGTGTGCCCGTTTTTGATGGAGAACATGCATATGGCCAGAATAATTGTCGCGATTTGAATGGCAGATACAGGGTCACGGTGTGCATATACTGTAGTGAGTGCAGTTTTCACGCATTCCCAGTCTATGCCGCACTTCAGCTTACGCCCCTTGCGATTGAAGCGATGTTTGACTCACTTTGAACGTCGCGCAGACGATATAGCTCAGTATGCGGTGCACAGTCGTATGTTCTCGCCTCCTGCATGTTGAAATGTTGACTGTAGTTCTTGTCCTCCGCGAGGAAGTCGACTGGCACATAAATGTTTTGTACGACATCCAATGTGGCTCTTTGTTGTACCATGGACAGACATTCTTCGTTTATGTGCTGAAACAAAGTCATGCAGGCCTTGGTTCCATCGGCGAGAGGCATAGCACGGATAAGTCCAGCTATGCAACGGTTTGAGTCCAGGTCAAGAAGTTTTGTATGCGCGCGAGTGAACGTGTCCAGTACCATGCGACCTATCAAAGCTGTAGAAGTGCTGTCCAAAACTACAGATTGCAGTTGGTTACCAGCTGCCGGAGCAGAGGGCCTAGATGCCCGTGAACGCGGATCCTGTCGTTTTGACAAGGCATCGAAAACAGTTTGGCCGACTCCCGTCACAGCTTCGATTGCTTGGGTGATAGGCATCGCTCGCACGCAGGTCGCCATTGCGCGAAGGTCGTCTGTGTTGTCTACAATGGAATAGATGTCCATCAATAGGGACTTCTCATCGCTATGGTGGGTCCAGTTGCCCAGACATAACTGTTCATGTGCCAGCCAGTCAGATGCGTCCATCAAGGTATGCACGTACGATTGACGCCGAATGAGGAAGTCGCGGATTTTCTGTCTTTGCAAGTATATGTGATATGGGCGATCGGGCGAAGGCCCACTGGGCAGAGCACGAATCCAGTAGTAGAGTCGGTTGAGGGGGAGCAGGATCCAGTAGTTGAAATGATCAAGGGGGAGCAGGATCATACGACACAACTGCAGGAAGACCCAATTAACCACTGGTTGCATGAATTTGCAGGCCTTGTATATCCACCACGCTTGGGGTGACTTGTAGGCACTGTATTCATCCAATGTGGGTGACACAGATGTGAAAGCTAGGAAGAGAAGCAATATGCCGACAAAGACCGTACTCGGAACGGCGATGTCGAAGCCAAGCTCCCAGAGGTAGCCCACAATCCCAACGAGAAAGAGGACGAGGGCCACCTGCAAAAGGAATGGAAGGATGCTGACCATGTCCTCCACTTTCCACTTGTCCAGTGCACGCCTACGGAGCTGCCATGTCCAAGCCTTCTGGGATGCATCTTGCAACCCAGCTTTCTCCATCGCATGGAAGTTCAGCCACTGATTCACGGCTAAACCGACGGAAGCCGAACTGAGACTGAAGACCAGGGCAACGAACCACAGCGTGGCGATCCAGCGGGGCGGCGAAGCGGGTGGTGAGGTGAAGTTTGTAGATGAGGAGTTCGCAAGAACCATCAGCATATGCGCCGGGTTCGACGAGTTAGCGGTCGCTACGACGGCGTTGGTAGCCATGTTACCGAGTTGCAAGGATAGTATGCGGTCAAGGATCATCGTGTTTAAGTCGGGGGCTGGCAGCAGAACGGCATAGTACTGAACCAAAAAAGCAGTAAGGACGGCGGAAAACAAGCCGGCCTATAAGGGAATCATCTCTCAGTCGCTCTTCGCGCGCCCGATCAGCGGTGTGAACACGACTCACAAAGACGAGCAGTGTATTAATCTCATTCCGCCATCGTTCTACACGGTCCTTTTCATAGGCCCAGGCTGTATCCGCCAGTTTCAGCCAAGCGTCTGGTGCATCTGTTGGGTCCCGTGGCTTCATGAACTTCTCGAGTACATTGAACAAAGCCTTTTCCTGTTCTGAGTGTACTGTTCCCTGCGCTGAAGGGTCTTCTAATGGCGGATCCTCCGTCCCATCCGTTCGCCCATGCAGGTCCTGAAGATGCATATCAGATCAAGATCATATCACGTATAAGGGAATGATAGATGTTTGTGCTCACCTGCTTCGGAGATGTAGATGCAGATTTACGAGGTGACGGGGAGGCCCCCGTAGTAGTACGTCCACCATCCGGGTTTGATGACTGTCATGTAGGTGAGCAATCGCACCCACCCTACGATTCTGCATATACTCACTGACGGATCGGAGCATAAGCCCGTTGAACCGATGGCAATCGAAGCATTGGCCGACGTTCCTGTACATACAGTCCACGGATACAACGGCGACATCGGTTTGCGTGCCGTGCCAGTGCCAGTGGAGGGCGAGGTACGTACCTTGGGTGGGCCCATAACGGCGTTGTACGGCGATTGGTCTAGCTCGAGAGATACGATCAGGCAGAGTCAGAGAGGGGAGGACGACGGAGAGGAGAGTGAAAGATGGTACCGTATAGCTGACTCAGTCTCGCAACCTCACGTAGATCGGGGCGAGTGACAGAGCCCCCAGTAGAGGACGCCGATACTGGCTATCGGGCGTTGACAACGCGAGGATGTATGTCATCGAGGTGATGCTGCATGGAGCAACACCGCCGAGCCTCGAGCGCGTAGGCCGATCCTCGCAGATTGACATGGGAGGGAAGGTGCATGCTATTGTGTGATTGTGCGATAACATTGAACGCCGTTACGTATTGCATGCTTCCGGCAGCCGTGTGTACCTACAGGGCACCATGATTGGACGAGAGGTATCCGGGTCGTACCGAAGCGTACGTGTGGTGTCCACGAGCAACCGTCGAGGCGCTGCACCGGAGTCGCATGCCTCTGGACGCTTGCAGGCAAATGTCAGCAATAGCCTACTGTCATGCAAAGCTGTCGAGAATAGCGATAGCGAAAGGTCCCGGTCGAAACGGGGTTGGAGAAGCTGACAATCGTGTCACTGATCGTATGTACCAGCCTGCAAGTGGGCAGGAGATGATATGTCCGCAGCGAGGCGCATTGGAGTGCTCACATTGGGATCTGGTGAGTGACCGCACAGAGGTCGAGCTGAGTGACACGAGAGAACGCGCATAGGCTACCAGTCATGTTCCCGCCGACCGACATTTTGCGGAGCAGCACCCCCGATAGGTAATAGGATAGTCGGCCGGGAATGAAATTGGCGCGTGCCTGTCGGAACACACTTCTGAACCGTGTCGCACTTGCTTCCGCTCACGCAAACTTGAAGGCAGTACTCTGTGGCATTCGCCGCGGCCAAAATGCATTGTCCCTGACAGTGGAGTTGATGGCACAGGCCGGACGTGCACAGATAGATAGAAGCCACGTACATGTCAAGTTGAAGCTCTGCACGCATAGGACTCCCACTACCTCATGGCAGGGCATGTATCACCCTTGGCGATTCTGGGCTAGGCGTACCGTCAAACTTTCCTCTTGAACCACAATCGCCATGAATGTTGGACCTACTGCGTTCTAAATATACGCGCAACAGCTCTTCAAGCTCGCGCTGGGCTATCCTATATGGGACCCGAAGTCAAAGGAGAGGCAAGGCGGAGTACTAATCGGCGATGTTGGATATCTTGGTCAGGGAGGCTTTTACCGCCTCTTCAATGCGATGAGGGAGGCCGAGGACAGTAAACAGATTGCCGTCCCTCCGAATTTCAAGAAACTCCTACTCGGCCCGATACCAATCACTTCAGCGAACGATGTCGTTGATGAAGGTCCCCTGTTCAATAAATCTGTCCGTCGTCTAGAGGTAGAAGGCGGAGCTGGGTCGTAAGTGGCTCTTCATCGAGGTGTGTCGCACTCATACCAAATCCTGTTCAAAGTCACGGCGTCAATGCGGCCTTTCAATGCGAATGTACCGACAAGCAAGGTGCGTTGGCGATCCTCGATACCCCCGGAAAGCGTGAACTCGTGCAGCAGACTCGCGAATGGCCAGATATGTGAAGGAGAATATAGACACTTGGCACCGCTGGCGAGCTCAGATGAGATAGGCCTCAACGTCACTATCGAAGACATACTCTTCGTCCGAGGGTGGGTCAAAACCAGTCGTTGGGCCGTCGTAGCCTTCGTCGAAACAGCAGGTACACGAAGCTTACCTTCAACGGCAACCTGGGCCTGCCTGTCTCTGACGTCTTCAGCATCGAGACGCAGGGAGAGGCAACAACCGATACGTGCCTTCCTCGGGTAGGGCCACACTACCGCAGAACAAATGCGACCGGACCTCTAGGGCATAACCAGCCCGCCCATGTCAGGGCAGTATCCTTCCGACAGTGCATGTTCCTGCATTACTTCAGCTGAAGAAGTGCCTGCTGTGGCCATCGAAGATCGAGCCGCCGCTGAACCTCGGGATCCGTCGGTGGACCGTGACCCCAATGATAAGCCGTCGATTAAAAGACCTCGTCGCGAGCGAAGGTAAGGACGTGCGTTGAAATCTTTGGCTTGTCTGATAAGGCGGTCTCCCCGTTGAAGCCATACGACCCAGTCGCCTTTGTGTTGAATTATATTCTGGAGGTGAGCGTTTCCGACGCACGTGTTTTGGTCCAGCTCACCGTCGATAACAGCACTCCGACGCAGCTGTCGCAGTTGCGAGCGACATAGACCTCATACGTGTATGCGAGGTACGGTAGGCACTGGTCAGCGTGATTGACATAAGATTGACAAAGATTATGATCAGGCTCGACGTGAGAGTGGCGGCAGCAGTGGTGAATACCCCATTCCCGAAGACATCCCCCGATTTTGGAGGAAGTTCAACCTCCGATCGAGGTCACTGAGGACGGCCGTGAGTAATATGCGAGGAATGCCTATTGCATCGCGTACTCACGTACGATTCTGTAGTTGGCTTCCTACTGCTTGACGACGACGAGGCCGAGCTATATGATCCTGCGGCTGATCAGCGTGCCGCTCAAGCGGATGTCGGTCCGCGTGAGGGAGCGGATGACGATCTACCGGCAGCGAGAGGAATCATACCGTCGGCCACGTCTTCTCTCGACGATGAGCTGTCGATATACGCGGGTGCGCAGGGCGGTTCAACACTCAGCGCCAGCGGCTGCGTGGCGGACGCCAACGGGAGTTTCCACGTCTGGGACAGGGCGCGAGATCGAGGGACGCGCATTCCAAGTGGAACCGCGACTTCAATCGCGTCCACTCCTCCACAAACGAGGGTGCTCTATACAGACGGGAAATACCTGTTCTGACAGGGCGGCTTGAGTGTAGTAGTTATGCGTTGGACTTGGTGTTGAGATATGTGCGTTGAGATACGACTTCTGCAGCTTCTATCACCTATGGATTTATGGGGACATTTTATGTTGATATGTATGTACTTCAGGACAATTGGAACGACCTACCACGGTACACGAATCGTCGTGACGATAGGCTGTCTTCTGGAGGCGGACGCTGCCTACGACCATTCTGTGGGTGTAAACATAATGCGCTCACCGGAGTATCGACAGTATGGTGATGTCGAAAGAACAATTGAATGGCAGGACGTGTTCGAGCGAAGGGTTGTGTTCAAGGTTGACGTTGAGCACACCGATCTCCGATTCGGGCGTTCGACGCGTCTGTGGCTGATGCCGCGCGTGCCGAACTCAGTCGGCGCGTGCCAGCCCTCGGCGCGGCGAGGCAGCGTGCGACGTCCGACTCGCGTCTTCCACGGACGGTCGCAGGCGCGTTGGCACATCCTCAACACTGCTCGCACAGGGCAGAATCAGCTCCCGACTCACTCGTTGTCGTGCTACGCCGTCGCAAAGATGTCCGGCTTCGGCACACTCGGTCGTCTCATGCTCGCCTTCCAGGCTGTCGCGACTCTCGCCCTGTCCGTATATGCTCAAACGCAGGCCCCTCTGCGTGGCGCGTCGTTCAACGACGGGACGACCAAGCATGCCATTAACTCTGAACTCTCTGAGTTTATCACCAACCTCATGAACTCGTCTGGCATCCCGGGCATCTCCCTTGGTATTGTGCATACTTCCCGCGACAAAGTGCAACCAGAGGTCGAGCTGAAGTCATGGGGCCGCATGACGGAGAATGGCGACGGAAGTGATCTATCTCCTGACGTGAGTGGTCGACTACTCTGCTCCTGAACTCGGAAGGCTCCTGCGAGTCTCAGTCTAGCGTGCCATGCTGTATCGCGCACGCTGCAAGTAGATCGCTATATGCGTCTCCTACTCTAAGCCAATCTGTGCATTCTCTTGCTGTATTGGATGTCTCTACGTAGAGGCTCACAATGCGTTGAAATTTCACGTTCATATTGGCTTGTCTCTGCTGCTGTCTCGAATGAGACTCCTCTTCCGACGGACCCAGGCAGGAGCGCAGTTTGGTACGAGGATGGGATTCTCTCTTGCGTCTTGCAGACTGACTCAAAGCATACATCTATCGAACTTTCTGTCCCGCCTCCCACCCATCCATATCCGCTCTCACTGGCATGACCTCCCGCCGACACGCCACAGTCACCTATGACCTTGCTACATGTACAATGCAACCCAGGGATGATTGCTGCATTTTATCGATCTCGGGTGCGAGACGTTACACTCGATGTCTACTTCACGGTTCTCAATGACCTACATCCTGCGGAGCGGCATTCGCTATCCATACCTATTTGCAGTGACATGCCGATAACTGGGTTGTATGCGCTTCATCCGCGTCCAATTTCCAGCCAGTGCATGATATAATCTATTGTGACATTTGTATCACTCCCGTACATCCATCTGTCAATGTATGCTGACTTTTCGTAGGCACTCTTCGACCTAGCCTCATGCTCCAAAGCCTTCCTCGCCAGCGCCGTCGGTATCCTCATGGACGACTTCGCCCAGGGTCGTAACGTCACCCCTCTCCCAGACGGCGTCACGAGGTTCGACTGGCAGACCAAAGTCAACGACTTGCTCCCGGATGAGTGGGCGCTCGACGACGAGTGGGCGAGCGTGAAGACGAACATACGCGACACGTTGTCGCATGTGACTGGGATGCCGAGGTGAGTGACACTGCTCTACATCCGATCTGGAGGGCCGTGCTTAGCACGGCATGCGGAAGGCATGACTACTCTTACGCGCCTGGAGATACACTCTCTGGTCTCGTCAAGAACCTCCGCAACCTCCGACCCGCATATGAGCTCCGTCAAAAGTGGTCCTACAACAACCAGGTACCTCATCCTCCCGCCCTTCCCCGCATCCCACCTCTTACCCACCTTCCTAGATGTTCAAAACGGGCGCATACATCATCTCAAAATACTCTGGCAAACCTTATACGGCCTTCGCCTCCGAGCGGCTCTTCGCGCCCATGAACATGACGCACACGACCTTCTGGCCGAATGAGGCGCGTGAAGCGGGGCTGCTGACGGAAGCGTGGACAAAGTTCGGGAGGCTGATCCCGTTCTGGTTCGATGAGGAGGTCGTGGAGCTTATGGCGGGTGCGGGAGGGATCATCTCGAGTGCTGAGGAGATGGTAGGCGTCCGGTCCACTGTCTGCGGTTTGAGTGAGACGTTGATAGTGTGGTGTTACAGACGAAGTGGTTGACTGTGCTCCTAAACAAGGGCATCGAGCCGACCTCGAACGAGACGATCGTCCCGCGCTCCGCGTTCGACGAGATCACCACCGGCACGCCATCACGGCGGGCAGGCCGATCGCCCCCGAGACATCCATCCAGGGCTACGGCCTCGGATGGTGGCGCTTGTCCTATCAAGGCCACGACGTCAGTCCCTTCTCATATGCATTCGCTCTGGATGCGGAACGTAGGCTGACTACCGCGCGTAGATCCTCACGCATTCGGGCGCGATACCCGGGTTCTCGACGCGCGTGGCTTTCTTGCCCGAGGACGGGCTCGGCGTTGTGGTGCTGGCGAACGCGGACGAGAAGGCGAAGGCGAACGAGGCATCATCTACAGGGTCGTGGAGGATGTGCTAGGGCTGAAGAGGGTGGATAGAGGCGTGCGGGCTGATGCCAGGTGGGTTTAGTTTGCAGTGCTTTCGGACGATCGCTCATGTATGCGTGACTTCCAGCGGGATGGCCGTGTTCGAGGACGAACCAGATGCATCACAGGAAGACCAGCAGAATAGCGACCCTGCCGTCGCCCCTGACCCCCTCCCAATCGACCTCGACGCCTTCTCCGGGACATACACCAACCCGGGCTACGGCGCGCTCATCCTCTGTAGCACCCAAAGCACCTCGCACCACTGCCTCTCCGTCCTGTCCTCCTTCGCGCCTTTCATCTCACCCACGCCCTTCCCCTCGCCCATCCCCGTGCCCGCGCCCGCGCCGCAGACGACGCCCGAGCTCTACGCCGCCTGGCCGCGCATCTGGTCGACCCACGTCCGGCTCTCCCATACGGCGGGCACGGACTTTGGGCTGCAGTTCACGGCGCTATTCCCGGAGGGGTATGGGGAAAACCGGACGGCGTTCGAGACGAGCGAGACGGGGGAGAGCGAGGGGAGGGCGGTGTTCGTGCTGGAGGGCGAGGGGGAGAAGGCGCGGGTGCTCGGCTTTGGGATGGAGATTGATGCGGAGGCGGTGGAGGCGCGGAAGCGGGCGGGGGCGGGGGACGCCAAGGGGTGGGCGGACGCGTGGTTCGAGAGGGTTTGAAAAACTCGAGTGACAGTGACGGAATTTTGAGGGACCAGCGTACGAGAAGCGCGACGTGTTGGGACGTTGGTTGTATTGGTAGCTGTTGTAAAATATGTGGTATCACCAGCGCCGCATGTCGGAGTGTCCTGGCTACTAATACCCTGCCCAGCAACCGCGGAGGACGCCAAATCATGCCACAAGTGGCCAGGCGCGTTCAATTGTGGTCATCAGATGTACACAGATGCCAACATATCCGCAATCTGTACTAGGACATGACGCGTATGGTGCGCGTTATGGCCAAGTACAACATGGTCAATGGCCATCATCAGTCCGTTGTCGCTGCGAGGCAACAATTTCATAGGTTGTGAAATGGAGGCCAGTGCGGTGGTACGAAGTGGTTCGATGCCTCGACCACGCGGTAGAGTTCAGATGAACGTCAATGGGACTCGGAGTGGCAACTGTCGTCCACGCAGACACGGTCGTCGTCCTTGGCTCAATGGCCCGGGGATCGCAATGGAGAATGCTGAGAAGTTTCTGGAAATACTTGACGAGTAGTATGGTTGCTTGTGATTGACAAAAGAGGAACCAACAATCAAACCGGCTGCTGTGGTAATGACTGTGTAACTCACCGGCAGGATGGCCCGTCGCTGCCAGTGGTACCGCCATGACATCCATGTAGACAATCAGTCGGCGTGTCAGAGAGTCGGTGATAAACGTGCATTCTGACATCAAATTGGTTAGTCGTTGTCGCGCAGTGACGGAAAAGGGGAGTTCTCACTTCAGGCTCATACTACTAATAGTAACCTCCGACAGCATGATGATGTTCAGAAAGGCAGGATGGATCGAATGGGGTTGCTGTAAGCAAATAATCATCAGGAGTTCTGCTGCATCAAAAATATAATCACTCTATGTGGTATTCCTCTAGCACTGCCGGGTTCAACGGCACTGATTAGGCACGCGGGATGGCACAAATGCATCAGTGTGACAGAAATGGCGGGATAGTCGAAATATGGCACTCACAGAGACGCAAAGTTAGTATGAGCATGAGAACTAGACCTCATGAGTGGACGTTGAACGGCATGGGAAGCATAGGCCGATCCAGAAGACAAGAACTGATAGAATGTTGACTCCTGTTGACACGCGGCTGTCGTGAAGTCTTCCGACGATCTCGGGGTTTCGAAACATTCAAAGGCCACGCGGCAGAATAATCATGACGCGAGAATACAAGACACACCTTGTGATGATAGATCACTAGATGCATGTCTACACCTTCCGGAGGCGTTGTATGCCCGCTCGGGCATAGGGGTACTGAGCCGTGGCGGAGAACCGGCGACTCCAAACAGAAAACAGAAAGGAGAGACACTGCGGTATTCGGTGCACATCGTTCATTGTCGACATAGCAGTGCATGATGCGCACGCAATGAGCCGACAGAAAAGGGGTTGAGCCCGGACTATGTGCTCGACGCCCAGATGCTGATGTTGAAATGGCCAAACAACACTCAAACAACGCCGTTGCCCGAAGTGTCCGAGTGTGGCTGACCCATCCCGATCTTAAGTAGATCAAAACCAACCCCGATGCGATCTTCGGCCTTGTTGTCTGCAAGCCTCGAGGAGGCAGCGTTCCCGCCTGCGCTTGAGCTTTCTGGAAGCCTGCTGGGGTTTTTTATCACTTGTCAACTTGCGCATAGGACTCTCAATTGTATGTAACCGAACCGCACCTCAAGCACGTACGCCACGATGTTATAGGGTCTCTCCTGAGCCTTGCCAGTTGTCGTGTTGACCTCAAGTGCAGTGACTCGTCCTCCCATGCCTAGAACCATGCGTTGCGTTTCCGAGAACCAGGGGATCCGGGGAAAAGTCATCAAAGGTACGGATGAGTCGCTTTGGCTCAGATAGGCGCGATCACCTGCGATCACACGGACCGTGGCTACGAAGCGGCCCGTTACGTAACTGCTCTATTGTCTCAATTGTCTCGCGGCTGTTGTAGCGATACTGCATGAGAGATGCACCAGAGTCTTAAGCAGTGCGGACGGGGGGCTCGCGCTCCCTACCACCCCGCATCACCCTCCCAGCGAATCTCGCTGGACGAGTCTTTGACCCTCTCCGCCATCAGACCCTGTACGTTCAGCTAGAAGAGCCATGCACGCCTCACCGCAACGTTTCCTCATCTCCCTCGTCTTCGGTTGGGCAGGTAAGCGATGTCGGCGACTCGGACTCATCGAACTAGGTCTGACTCTATCTACAGTATTGCGTGGCGCGGAGGCGAGGCCATCTCTGGGCGTCGCGGTAGAGCTCTCGACATGCGGCAATGAAGCATCATACTCCATAGCGGAGGAGGTATGCATTGGCACTCAATAGCACTTTGAGCTCGCATCTGACCAGACCACGTCTCTCCTGCAGTGTATCTCTACCTGCCAGCCTATCCTGAACGCTCAGGTGAGCATCACGACTCCCGCTGGTCGCCACATTCCTCACGAACGACCGTGTTTCACCCACAGAACTGCTCTAGGAGCGCTGCATGCACCTGTGCAGCTGCGCGGCCCTCGGCTGTCCATGCTTGCGTACAGTGTCAGCTCGACGTTAGGTCGAGCGTACTGGCTCTGGTCGTACCCGCGAAACTGAACGGTGAGTCCGGCGCCGTCTGCTTCAACACTTCCATCCTGACACCTGTGTCTGCATCAGAGTACGCAGAACTCTGCGGAGAGGAGCTCACAGCACAGGCTGTGTTACGATTCGATGACGACCCAACTCCCGCCTCCAACGCGTCGCTTCAGAGCAGAGAGCTGCTGTCGAGCACGTGTGTCTACGGGGTCCCCGAGATCGCTACGTCGCCTCTCGCCATCCTGGAGAGCGGGAAACGTGCATGGCCATTCTTCGCCGTCGCTGTCCTCATGATGCTCTATCTATTCGAACGGCGTTCGCATAAATGAGCGCAACCCACTGCGCATACCCTCCTTCGGACTCCGATCTCTGTTATCGTACTGTATTTCTACGACATATTCACCCTGCACTTTGTATCGCGCGTAACTTATGCATCAGGTATTGTCTTTCACTTCAATGCGTGCCGATGTGGCCTCACAACACGATATGTTCAACTTCCGCCATCGCTGCCTCGGTTGTCTTTTTTTTTTTTTTTTTTTTTATTCTCCATGTTTTAGGCCCGTACGGTAGGTACATGCGGGGCAACAATAATAAGGGATGTCCGACGTGAGCAGACCGTGTTGCGGCATGGATCCCCAGATCCCGAGAACCCCGCCTCCCTGCGACCTCACCACCCTCCCAGCCCCTGCCCTCCTGCATCCAAGGCGTGTCGGGGTGTGGGCAGTCGTAGGTATCGTCCTGGTCTTCATCATCCCCCAGTGACCCGTAAGGTGGGCCACTTAACCATCATAATCTCCCCGCGAAGGCGCGTTGAGCGCGCCTGTAGTTACGATAGGCGCTTATCCATCACATCACCAAGGGCGCTCCCAGAGCCCCCGCCCCCCTGCACCGTGTCCGCCTTCACAATGCCGCTTGCAGCCCAATGTATAGCACGCTCAAAACCCCCAGGGCTGGTGTCAACCAACGAGGGCGGCGCCGAGAACGACTCCCCCAACGGCATCGTTTGTGTCGAAGGATTTTTAAGCGAGTCGGGGGCCCGCCGACATGATCCAGTCCTCGCCCAAAGGGCGCCTCGCCCTGCTTGGCTGTGGGTGCTGTGTAATTGCGGAGACCTCCTCCCCAGCAGTGGCAGTTTTCGTGTAGCGAGGGGCAAGCTCAGGCCTGGCGTAGCGGGAGCGGGATCGATGGGACAGGAAGGGGATCGGGTCTGCAACCCGCGATCGGTTTTTTGAGGTCGTCCGCGGTCCCGATTCGTTATCGAGTTGGTCGATATAGGGAAGAAAGGAGTGTGGGGGTCCACCAGATGCTGGCATGCTCATGTATGAATCCCTGTTGTTAGCACAAACAGATCATACATAAATCCCAGTACTTACAAGTCCCCTTCGTGTATGAAGACGCAGTAATCACTGCAGCCGGCGCCCCGCTCGCTACCCAAAAGGGCAGCTGCCCTTTATGGACAGCCCAGGTCACCCGGCGCCGGGGAGAGCTCGCGGCGGCGGCACCTACCCAATTGGGTGCTGTTGCGCGCTCTTCCACTTTGGGTCCCGTCATCGGGCGAATGCGATCGCGATGTGCGATCAGTGAAATCTGACGTTTCCGAGTCCGGGCCTAGGTAGTAGGTACACCTTCCCGATTCAGAATGTTTGAGCCCCCGACATTTCGTCAACACTCTGACAAACGCTACAGTCATAAGGAATGATGTATTCGCGCAATACATCAATACACAGTACTCTGTACTACATGCTGAGTGCTCCAGAATGAGAACCACCAAGGTCCTAGACGAGCAGCCCCGCATGCTCGACCTCGACGTCCTCCGCGCGCTTCATCCCGCGCTTGCACTCTTCCACGACCTGCACGACGCGCTCGGGGACCTGCGACGGCAGCTGAGTGTGCCCGCGGCGTGCGCAAGGAGCGCATGCATGGTGGCGAGGTGGCGCAGACAAGAGAAGTAGAGCCGTGGGGAGGTCATGCTCGCGAATGGACGGCGAAGAGCGATCCGGTTGTAGATGGTGGGCGTGTACAAGCCGCAGTAACTGGAGTGGTGGGTAGGCCTCATCCGCCTCGACTCCATCAAACCCGTGCCAATGCAAACCGTCTCGACATGCTCTACGCTGTGCTCGCCAAGCTCGGGCTCGCGGGCGTAGACGACGATTCGCAGGCTCCTATGGCACCGGGTATAGCGCGCACGCAGCCTCCCACGGAGGTCGAGACGCTAGTCTTTGCGATGAACTGATATGTTAGTGACAATGTTTGGCACGAGGTGGAGGGTGACGTACAGGCTGCGATCGACACCGTCGATGATCACGGTACACATGACATTGCCCGTGTAGTCCGCAGGGACCCTGCTGGTCGACACGCTGCCGTTCGTACTCGCTGACGCACCGTTCGTCTTTGTCAACACGCCGCCGTTTGTACCCAGAAACGGCCACATTTGTACCTCCTTACGCACCACTCATGCTGGTCAACGTGCCGCTGCTTGTGCTGGTCGACGTACCACCGTTCGTGCTGGTCCAAGGGTCCGTCCGGGGCGAGTAGTAGATGGTAGTAGATGGTAGAGCTATCGTAGTACCTGGGCGAGCCTTGCGGGCGCCCGTAAACTCAACATTTGTATCTATTTGTTGCCCCGCCGAATTGGGCAACCCCGATGTGCTCGGGCTGTTCCTGGCCAATCAGAACGCGTTTAACGGTCCTACTTAGGCCTGCAACATATCTGCGACTCGCGTTCCGGTCGGTTTCGCAGTATATGTGCATGTCTTCTATGCTACAATAGTGAATAGATGCATGTCTAGTTACATATACTGAAGTAATACAACACATGGGGGTGCAGTACAACACACAAGCTATTCTCGTATTCGGTAGGGATGTCTATCTACACTAGTGTACTGGTTCTTTGAGTTGCGATCCGTGAATCGTTGACTTTGGGCAGATTGGTGGCAGTGGTTGCTGTATATGCATAGAATACTATGTTATTACTACCATTACAAGGTCTCTATTTATGACATCTCGGCCGTATCTGCGTGCAGAGGCAGTAGGGCAGTTGCCCGGCGCAGTTGGTGTGCGTTGCGCGCCCCGGCCCTGCCCACCGTTGCAGTCACTTATCGCTCACACGCCCGCCTTCCGTTCGTTGGCCGTGCTTGCGTGCGGGGCATTTGCCCTGCACGCTCGCGGTCGCTGTGCGTGTGTTGCTGGTCCGCGCTCTGTGTACGCCTGCTTGCCCTCTCGCCCTCTCGCCCGCTTGCCCTCTTGCTCGCTCGCCCTCCCACTTCCCCCCTCACCTGCTCGTCCGTCTACCCACCCGGTCGCCCACTCGTCTGCGTATCCGTCTGCTCGCCCGGTCGTCCACCCGGTCGCCCATCCGCCCGCCGGCTCGTCCGTCCATCCGCCGGCTCGTCCACCTGCGACTCGTCCTCATCTGTCCACTCTCCTGCTCTACATCTGCTCGCGTGCCTGCTTGCGCGCCTGCGTCTGCATTTGCCGACTGCGTCTGCGTGCTGGGCATTCGCTCAGCGCGCTCACAGCGGGCATGTGTTGTCGCCTGCTCGCTTGACCATCTGGTTTTTTCAAAAAGCGTTCTCATACCTGTCCGCTTGCTCACCTGTCTAATCGTATATCCGACCGTCTGCCCACCCGTCTGCCCGCCCGTCCGCCTGCCCGCTCGCCCGTTTGCCCACTCGCCCGTTTGCCCGCTCGCCCGTTTGCCCGCTCGCCCGTTTGCCTGCCCATCCGCCTGCCCGCCCGCCATCGCGCCGGTGCCCGCGTTCCGCCCGTTGAATGTGTTTGCACGCGGGGCATTAGCCCTGCGCGCTCGCGGTCGACGCGTGCGTCGTACTGCACGTCGGCGCGTCCTGTAGCTACAGTCAGCTCACTCGCTCGTATGGCATTTGCACTCACCTTGATGCTAGCCCTTCGCTACCACGCCCGCCGTACGTTCGTTGGCTGTATCTGCATGCAGGGCATTGGCCCTGCGTGCTCGCTGTCGTCGTACGCGCTATGCTCTAACGACGTCGGTGACCGACAGCGGGATGGTGGAGGTCGCAGACAGCGGACGGAAGCGCTCGGCTTGTTGCGGGCTTCCGGGCTTGGCCGAGGTTGACGCCGGGCAGAGGGCGGCGCGGGGCCTCCACCTTGTCACTCGACTCGGGTTGCGTCAAACGGGAAGCGCTCGGCCGAGCGCTTCCCCACGTGCGATGTATTCGCTGGCGCGAGAGGATGTAGCCTACTGTACAAAAGAATACGGAAAAGCAGTCTACAATAGTAGTACAGATCGGACATGATAAGAAACAATGAAAACAAGGGAGAGGAGGGTGGGCAGATGCGAAGCTTCGAAGTCTGACAGACTTCTAGTGAAATATAATGTGTCAGCTACTGAACAGCAGCATGGAGGGACCCGCGTACGTGAGATATAGTGTGCCTTTGTTTGCGCGATACGCTAAAATATACGAGGCGTACTATATCTGTTCACGGCGGGTGAGCTTCGCGATCAGCGGCGAGGCGGCTGAATCGGACGTACCTGCGGGGCGGCAGCGAGAAGGGTGATCTGTGCGCTGCGCCCGTACGCGAGGTTAAGACCCTGTTTAGGATAGGGGATGCGCAGCGGGCTGCAGGACTGACCAATGAGCATGCTCGTCTGACCTCCGTCAGCAGGTCGCTGACATCAGAGCGAGCTTGGTCGAGCCCGACGCGCCCCTGGCCGGGATGCACGTGCGACGTGCGTGGAGAGGTCTTCCGAGTGGGTGCGGAGGCCTCAGAAATTCCTCCTTACCCCCGGAACCCGGAATTACCTCGACCTCCACCTTGTCACTCGACTCGGGTTGCGTCAAACGGGAAGCGCTCGGCCGAGCGCTTCCCCACGTGCGATGTATTCGCTGGCGCGAGAGGATGTAGCCATAATGGCCAGTGATGGTGAGTGAGGGGGATGGTGGTGGTGTAAAAGATGTGAGCGAGCAGCCGAAAAGAGGTCATTGCTGAGAGGGCAGACGGAGGCGAGCAAGTTCAAGCTCGGCACGTACGGTCGGGTTGTCTCGAACGTAGTCCTTCCATGCTGCTGAAGACCAGCGACCGAGAGCCTGTATGACAGTCTCTGATAGGCCGAGTCCGGCGTAGTACGTCGCTCCACCAGCACGCGCCGAATGGCCTCCGTAGGTGTGGTCGAGGACTGCGAAGAAGTGCTGTTCAAACCAAGAACGCGTAGGAAGGGACCCATCTTCTCGCAAGAACAGCGCAGCCTTGGCACCGTGACGACGATCACGTTCACGGACGTAGTCGCGAAGAAGATCGACTGGGCAACAGACGTCGTGGCGCATGTGGAGGATGGTAGTACCCGTGTAAAAACGGTCGCCTTTGTGGTAGGGTAGGTGTACGAGGCGCGGGAACCAGAGAATTCGAGCGAGGATCGCTTGATGATTTTTCGCCAGTCAAGTGTGCTCCCAGTTGCTTTGACGAGGAGCTCGCCAGATCGGTGGCATGCATAAAACATGCACGAGAGCATGGTAGCAAAGAGGAGGTCGTCGTAACATTTTGAAAGGACAGCAATGTGAACAAAGGTGGCTAGGTGGGACGTACGAAGCGGTAGCTTGCGACGCACAGCCTCTCCTCTCAACTTGCGAGCTCCAGCGATCGTGGCTTGAACAGATGGGTGGGAGCGATGGGTGTCGAAGTCTGGAAAAATGTCGCGCAAGAAGTGCCGAGCACCTGAGAGATATTTCGGACCCGAAGCGATGAACTGTGAAGTGTAGGCGATGTAGCGAGCAAGGGTTTCCGGAGTTGGGTTAAGAGGTAAGCTGTGTTTTGCGCAGAAAGAGATATAATCACGGGCACCAGTCGCATAGTGTCGGGCAGTCGATCGCTCGATTGCGTTGGCTTGCAGAAAGGCCGTTCGCTCGTCAAGTGCTGAGAGCGCTATCACTGGGCGGGCCTGACGTGGCCGGGATGGCCCGCCCAGCGCGTTCAAAAGTGTTCCCTCCATCGCGCCGGCAGCAACTCCCGAGGCGGAGAGAAGAAGCAGACGCGGTCAGCTGGAAATCGACGGGCGTACTCGTCGAACATAAGGCGCGAGAGCAGGTCGGCACGGAGGTTATCTTCGCCCCTGATGTGGCGCACCCTGATGTCGATGCCTGTCTGAAGAACGATAGCTGCGATAGCGAGGAGGACTGAGTTGTGGAGGGATTCGGCAACACTGAGGGAACTCAGAGCCTCGACGGAGTTGAGGCTGTCTGACCAGACGAGCACTCGGCGAGGAGGCGAAGGCAGAGTCGCGATATGGTGCAACGCCGACAAGATAGCGACTAGCTCGAGGAAGAAGATGTCGACTTTGCAGTTCGGTGGAGGAGGTTTGATCTGATAGACAAAGCCCTTGTTAGAATAGACGAAGGCAAGCGCTTTCGTTAGCGCTGCATCCGACCACATCACGATGTCGGCTTCGGAAATTGCCCAGCGACCGTTGTCGACGAACCGGACACCAATGGAACGCGGTATCGTCTGCTTGAACCAGGTGAGGTCGGAGATAACATCGCGGTTCAGGTAGATTGCCCGGAAGGACTGCGTTTTGCCTGACATTTTGCGATAAAGCTCAGTCAATGCCGGTCGACCCCAGGGTAGCACATTGAGAAGCCAGTTGAGCCGCCCTGCGAGGCGCTGCCAGTCACGTAGGGCTGGTTGGCGCTTTGGATGAGCAAGGAAGCGATCAATGTCCTCCAGGGCCTTCGCGATTGCAGACGGTGGCAGAGAAATCGTACCGAGATTGGCGTTAATGTGGAATCCGATGATGGTAAGCTGACCAGCGAACTGCTGCTTTCGTGCTTCCCATGGACACGAAATCGCGTCCCAGAGCACGAGTAGCTGAGCCTGCTTCCGGGTAAAGGTATGACCCTTGTAGACGACCGTATGGCCTTCATAATCCCATCCGAAGAAGTCGTCCATATAGACGAAGAGGCCCACGATGCCGAGCTTTCGGATTGCGATCCAGCATAGCAGACCAGAGACCGCACACCAGATCCTCGGAGAAGCGCGATTGCCGAAGACAAGACGACGCACGACGTAGAGTTTGTTATCGACTACAACAATCTGACGAAGCTGCCAGAGAGGGTGAGCTGGGAGGTTAAGGAACGCTGAGGCGACGTCGTCCTTGAAAGTGACGATCCGACGACCTGGGTTCTGAGCCCTTGCATTTGCGAGCTCTTGGCCAAAGTCGGTCATGTTGTCGTATCGGACTTTTGCCTCCGCCCTCGGGATCCCGTCGTTCAGACCCGAGGCGGTATGGTCAGTGACTACCCGAGCCTTGTCATCACGCCAGACCACGAACATGGGCGAGATCTTCATGCCCGGCAGTAGCTCTGACAGCTCGCCCGACCAACGGCCTGCAGCCTGTTCTTTGTCTCGGAACGCACGAATCGCGTCGAGATCCGGCTCCTCCGTGGAGTAGTTGCCGACAACCTCTTCGAGCTCCAGCTTCCATTCGCCATCCTCCAGTGGCCAGAAACCTTCACGCAGACCTGTAAGAACAGATTGGACGAAGGGTTGATTCGGGTGGTCAACGAGCATGTCGCTCAATCGATCAACATTGAATGGGGTTTCTACTTTAACGTGATCGCTACAACGAGCTAGCGAATTTGCTAATTCGTGGTTCTGAAGGAGGTGTGATGGTGGACGAGGAAGAGGAGGGGCAATCTCGGTGTAGCTGGCAGATGGAGAGAACGTAGAGGATGAGGATGATGACCAAGCAAGTCCCCTTCGATGCTTAGGCAGCTCGTCGTCAAAACCGGGGACTCGCTTACGCTTGCCGAGGTTGTCGAAGGATGATGGGAAAGGTTTAGGACCTGCCGCGGCCTTCTCAGCTGCCTCGCGCATCGCCAGGAGCTCCCTTTCTTTTGCGAGCTTGGACAGAAGCGAAGCACGTTGCCTCGTC